CTCTTGTCTTCTTCTCTTGTCTTCTTCTCTTGTCTTCTTCTCTTGTCTTCTTCTCTTGTCTTCTTCTCTTGTCTTCTTCTCTTGTCTTCTTCTCTTCCCTTCTGCCTCACCCACCCCAAGTCCAAGTCCAAGTCCACAAACTCGATCGTGATCGAACTCTGGAAACAATCGACCTCAAAAAAATAGGATGGGATGGGCCAAAAACCTTTTCCACAACCCCGATCGTGATTGAATCCGTGGAAACAACCGACCCAAAAACGGAATGGGATAGGCCAAAAAACAAAAACTTTTTCCACAAGCCCCAGATCAGATCGGATTTGATATGGGGGTTGTGGGAAGTGAAACCCGGGTTCGCAGGGTTTTTCCGTTGTCGAGGTATTGGTGTCATTGTTGGTGTTGGTGTTGGTGTTGGAGTTGGTGTTGATGTCAACCCGGGTTCGCAGGGTTCAGTGCAGCTCAATTCGAGCCGTTGTCGTTGTCATTGTTATTGTTATTATTTCTGTCATCGCTGGTTGGTGGTTGGCGTCAACCCGGGTTCGCAGGGTTATGAATCGCAACACAAACGGTGTGTGTGTGGTGTGGGATCGACTGAGATTCGAACTCGAGCTTTTGTCGTCGGGTTGGTTTCGCCCAGGATCGACTGGCCATCAGGCCCTGGGGGTCTTTGCGTTATTGAGAGGGAATTCGCCGACTTCAATACATATGCAGTCGATTTTTCGGATGCGGTGAATTGGCTCGGCTTTCTGCCGGTACCCCCTCCCCCCTGAGAGGCACTGTACGGAAGGAAAGTGGTGCGGTAAGCATGAAGGATACAAAGTGTCACTAGGTATCTGCCCGACATGCCTGCCACCTACCTGCTATAGACACGCTCCAGTCGCGTCCACTACTGTCACCATAAGCTCGCTCTGTCCCTGTGTTGTGCGGAAGGTTACAGAGTGTCACTATCCGCCCGAAATGCCTGCCATAGACACGCTCCAGCTCGACCATTACTGTCACCGTAAGTTCGCTCTGTCCATGTCTTGCGGCTATGGTAGTTATGCGAACATGCGGTTGCAATGCTGGTCACGGCCATTCGGGATGAGATGCGATAGAACAGAAACACAGTCGAATTGAAACTCAAATTAAATCGTAACTCCGGCCGTCATCTGAACAGACGCCTTTTCTGCCTTCGCAAGATTTTCTTCAGTTTTCCCATCCCTCGCCGAACAACAAGCGACTTGATGACTTGATAACGTTCAGCCACCTTTTGAAGATCTCAACGTGGACGCCATCCACCGTCTCTATCATGCCCTATAGCCACTCTCGGAAGTGCTTTTGAGTGCTGAAAAAGAAAATCCGTAACGCGGTAGTGACTGGTTCATCTCTTAACGCCTTCGTGCCTTTCACTAAGGAATCCACTGCTCCGAGTCGCCCAAAAACCACATAACAAGGAAGAATTTCTTGCAGGCACACCAATCTGCGTCAAAAACTGCATCAACCATCTGGTATATGGAGCTGGATAATGGAACGATGCCTCGCACCGGGTGTACGGCCCGGTATAGGGCTCGTTACAGTCAAGAGGTTCAAGGTGGCTTGCCACGTTGCTCCCCGTTTGGTCATTCGCGTTTGTGGTATTGTTCCTCCGCCTTCCATATCAGCGGTTGGAATTCCGGGTTCAGGAAATTGGCAGGACTTTGAGTGAAGCTGGAAATGGCATAGTCAGTGAAAAACTGGGAGCGAGGAGGGAGAGCAAGCTGGACTTCAGCAGGAAAACATACTTGCTGCACGATCCTGGATCCAAGGGAAGACTCTCACGATGCCGACTATTGTAGACGTGACACATCTCATTGTATCGAATCTGGAAGTCTGTGCCTCCGTGAGGTACCGCGCCTAGATTTGTTATCCCAGGACCAGGGGTGTTTGGAGAAGGCGATTGAGATATGGTTGAGGGCGACACCCGCGGATGTGAGGGACTCATTGGGGTTTGGTGCGTTTGGTACGGCAGTGATTGTGCTCTGAGGGGTAATAGTGGTCGCGGCCGTGGTGCGGTTTGAGAGACTTGCGGAAGGTATGGCTGCTGCGCAACACCGGTATCTGTGGAGAATGGAGGTGCTTGTGGTGCTTGTGGTGCTTGTGGACGCCCAAACTGTAATGGGAACATATTGCCTGACGGACCGATTTGCGGATCTGTTTGACCTTGGGAGGGCATATTGGGAAACATCGTGAAGTACAGTTCCATGGCGTCCGCATCACCTTTGAACAGTTCACTGCCAAGTGGTGCGACATATAGAGGTGTGTCAGTCTGAAGGAAAACCTGGATCGGTTTGTCATCATCTTTATAGATGATGTCGTAATGACCTGGACGATAGATCAAGCGAATAGTTGGCCAATTCTGCGAGTTCAGGACGAACGGGTGAGGAGTAACCTCGCTGCCGGTGCTCCGGTCCAGATATGAGACTTCCAATGCGATATACGCAGGAGCAATAACTGCATCGGTCAAAGCTTGCAAACCAATGTGGTCAATCTCTTGATTTGCCGGATCAATTCTTGTCAAGCAATATTGGCTGACGGGCATCTCGAGGAAAGCTTCATAGCGGTCGGGATTGGATCGCATGAAGGAGCTTGTCATCATCTTGAAGTGATAAACAATCGAATCAGATTTGGGGCCGTCGTTCATGATCTCCAGAAGAACATGGTCGCTTTTGTCACCGCGTTCGGCGGCGGCCTTGATGGCGCTAAAAAGCTCCCATGTGTAGTCAAACATATCCATGATGATATCATAGTCGACACCGACCGCTCTCATTGTCGGTTCAAAGCTCTGTAGGCGGACCAACTCCTGGTCGATCAGGCCAATGGTCCCAGATCGGAGGAGAATCTCAAAGTAGCCAAAGACTGCACCTGCATGATCCCATCATCAGTTGATTGCTAAGGGCTTTTGGATAAATGCTTCATACCACGCCATCCACATTGTCCGTCACCTTTTATCGGACGATATGCAGAGTGGGTCACAGCAAGAGTCTGCGAAGTGTTAGCTAGATATGGCCGAAGTGGATAGGATCATACGTTGGTTTTGACAACATAGGTATTGTCAGCTTGAGCATATTCAGTTACAAGCTCAGACAGAGGCTTCTTTTCTCCGACTAATGGTCCCTACTACGCGTTTAGTCCAGCTTCTGGATGGTATTCAGGAATGGCGTACGGGAAGTTCTGCTTGATACTGATCCGACAACTGCTGGAATCGTTCCATTTCGTCGGCGTCCGGAGTTGCCATGGTGGAGTTTGCGTGGTTGGTTGCGGGCGGTGTGAAATACCCGTAGTTTTGATAGCAGAAATTGCTGTTCTTCTGATTTGGGAGACAGTCGTAAGGAGGAGGATAGTACGGCTGGCTCTCTGAAATCCAACTGTATTGGTGTTGCTGGGCTGAAGGAGGACCGTAAGGACTGTAGAGAGGAGGCGAATACAAGCCAAATGTCATCTCCTGATGATGATCACTGAAGCGAAGTGTTGAACGTGGTCCTCAATCCCGCGAACTCAGACAGCCGAGTTGAGAGTTTTCAGAGAAGTAATTTGGATAGTCGTTGATAAGTTGATTTCATGAGTGTAGACTGAGGCTGGACGATTTCAACTCGATCAAATCACTCTTGAGCCTTTCTAGATACCTGAGAGTTGGCCCGTTTCCGTCGAAGACATGCACAGTTGACAAGAGACAGAGAGGCGAGGAGCAACGGAAGATCACGCGCGGTAGCTGGACTTTCAGCCACCCACAGGCTAGAGGATTTAAGGCCTGGGAGGACGGCAGCTGGAGTGAATATCACAAGTAAGGTTTTGCACAGAGCAGCAAGCGGAAGCTTTTAACGAGGGCCGTTGGTTCAGCTGCGCCAATGCGGGTGGACTCTTTCCACCCTGGTCTCGGGCTGGAGGATGACGGGACAGGGCGTGGTGGAGGAGTCGTGACCGCCCAGAAGAGCTCAAAGAAGCTTCCAATCGGCAGAGGCTGTTGGCATGGCATCGGGCAGGGGCCAGTGCGATCGCAGAACGTGGGGAGGAAAAGGATAAGGGAGTCGGTATGGCGGTGGGAGTCTGGAGAGAGATCGATGGGGCCTAAGGCTAGAGGAGGGGAGCAAGAGTTGAGGTTGACCGGAGAGTGAGTGGCAGAGAAGCCGGAGATGGATGGGACACGATCGAATTGAGGGATGGAGCGACGAGGTCGAGGTGGAGCCTGCGGGCGCAGGCTCAGGCGTCGTTGAGGCGTCTCGAGGCGTCTCTCTTAACTACGGATTTGACGATTAATTGTACTACACTACATACAACAATACTACCACCTAACTACTACTACTACTATCACCACCATCACCACTACCTCAGTGTGTCTACTGGAGTACTGTACGAGTGCCAAAAGAGTGTCCAGCTGCGGCCCGTGAGGCATTCCTAGCCATTTCCCGCTGACTGATCGGAAGATCTGTGAAGCTTCCACCATGGGCTTTCCCTCCATGGTCACACGTCGGCCACGCCCTTTTATGTCAAGCGCCAGCCCCCAGCTGCTTTCGAGTCCGTCCAGGTGGCAGCCCTGTCGCTCGCCCTCTCGGCCCTGAGATATTGCCGCACATCGCTAGTGATTCAGGGTCTGTGGCCGGGGAACCAGAAAACGCATACTCCGTACGCATCCATCCAATCACTGGGCTTGTCTCCTACGATCCTGAATTAGTCGAGATAGCACCCTCGCCGGGCCTTGCCGGTACGCTATCAAATAGGAACAAACAAGCATTCAAAAGTTGTTAAGACAACCGCATTTCCCAAGCTTTGGCAATAGCATACTCCGTACTCTAGGAGCCACAGCACTTGCCGGCATGAGGCACCATACAGACTCTCTGGACCATGTCTTCGTCACCAAACCCCGAGAACTTGAGCCTGATTCTCGACGAGCTTGCTCCGGTGCACTGCTGGCGAATCCTTGCATCGTTTACGCTGCCCTGGTCTTTCTTCAGGCAATCTCTAACCCTTTCCGACCCTTCTCCTCCTCTTAAAACTTGCAAATCCCTGTAACTGTGGGTCACTGAGCTTCTGATCGATCACACTCATGCCTCAGATCGGTGTCAAGAGTAAGACAAGGCAGCCCCGGTCAGCAAAAGAGCGCTACTTGCGGTGATATACTCCCACCTCGTCGTGGGCCATTTCACTGGCTCTTTGACACTCACCGTAAGGACCGAGCAACCCTTGTTGGCTCGCAAGCTCCATCCGCATTGAGACCATTCGCTGAGCATTTGTTGACATGGGCATTTTCCTATCTTCAACAAGTTCCACCTGGTTTAGCTTGGACCTGACGACGGCTGGCGAAAATAGCCCGCTTGCCCAATATGCAATAGTTCACATCCTATTGCATTGCTTGCGAAGTGATTGTCCTGAGTAACTATTCGATCCCCAGCCATTCTTGCCTACCTGTTGCATTTATCGCCGACAAAGCCATGTCTCTCGCGAGTCATGGGTCTACCTGGTGGATACAGCAAGCATCGATGGCTGCCATCAGGGAGCCCCCGCCGCAGAATCATGGAAAGATTTGCCGCCGATCTAGATACACACCCCAGGAAAATTAGAGGGGGTGAATACAAGCCCGTCTTGCTGGTCGCTGGTTGCGGTTGTATCGTTTTACGGGAACGGAGGAAGCGCGGCACCGCTGGGAAGTTACTTCCACCATTACAGTGTCAGCAATCAGCTGGCCGGCCTAGACCGTGGTGCCCTGTTCGTCGAACCTATTGGGAGCCAGGAAAACTGCAAGGATAAATAGCACATCATATCTGGGAGGCGGGGAGACGAGGATACTGAAGAATCGCCAATCAACTATGTCTCTCTTCCCTGCCTACGGACTACGCCAACGCAGAACCAGGCAACAGCATCAGCCGCGGCGGTCATGGTGCCAGGAGTGAAACCTGCTACTCGAGGTGTGAGGTCAGTCAAGTGCGGAGGTCGAGGGAAAGCAAGCGAGAAACCTCTCGGCTAACCGACGTCCAAGGTTTGAATGAGCGGCAGCTAGTTTCGCTACTACTCTAGCCCCCTAGCTACGACGCCTCGTAACCATCTTGTCATGATGGTCCAGTCATGGCGCAGGCCCGGCGGCATCCTCCGCCTCAAGCACATCCTGCACCAAGGGGAGCGGGAGCGGGATGCCTTTCCAGTATCATGTTCATCAACTTCCATTTCCAGACACCGAGCCTTTGCCTTGGGTCAGAATCCCTGCGCGTAACGGACCATGCAGCTTGCAGTCTTCTCAGACTACTGTCGGGCGTTCCTGTCATAATTTGACATAAGAATGCATTCCGGGTCTGATCCGGCCGGTCCTATTATATGTCGACCGAGGGCGTGCGTCGGCTCAAAGCTAATACCCAGGGGCGGCAGTGCCGGAGTGAGGACATTGTTGCAGAAGGCTTTGACAACTTCAAGCTTCGCCTCTTGACCGCCTTTCAAGAGGTTACGAGTAGCTTGCCCCCCCCTCGACCACCCCGACCAAGACCCCTGCGGCCTAGACCGCGAGTCGGGATGGCATTGCCGGTCTCAAATGCCAAGGGAAAACCCATCATTCCACCAAATGCCCCTGGACCCTGGCTGTCTTCAAGCTTGAATCCTTCTCCATCGTTCAGCACGGCCGACGACAGGGTTTCTACCGCAGACGCCCAGTCACGCAGCCGTGAGAGATGATCTGTGGCACTAGCCCCAGTTTCCACCACGACCGTGCCATTTTCTTGGTTGATTTTCGCATTGAGCTTCTTGTCCACAATCAACACACCTAGTATGTCTTCGACTTCGCTCACAGGGATCTTGATGTGCTTGGAGATGAACTCGAGGGTGAAGCGGGAATACGGGGCAATCAGCTTAGAGACGGCCTTGGTGCGCATATTGCGGCTGACCTCGTCAATGTTCTCAGCGATGAACGGATCCGCGAGCAGGTCTTGGTTCTCCTTCAGTATGGATTCGTATTGGTGAATATCATCGCGTTGGTATGCATCCACAAGATCCGTCATAGCAGATATGCGAGGGTCGTTCCTGTAAGGTTTGGTCTCTTGTGAGTCGAACGGGTTGATGGTCGACCTCATTAACATTGTGGTTAGCACGAGATACTTCAGTACTTGGATTCTTTGCATTGAGCCCGCTTCATCATAGTTCTTGAAGGACTCGAAAAAGTCGCTTTGGGCCTCCTTCCAGTTTTCTTCGCTCATGTGCATTTTGCCTCCACATTCACGGATAATGCCTTGTACCTTGGGATGTGGAACTGCAGAGCGGACTGTCAGAGCCTTCTGGTAGAGAGTTTTGAGACGCTTGTTGTTCTTCATCTCCGCGTACATCTGGATCTCGAGCGCGTATGCCTCCAAAGAATAGGTCCCTTTGCCTGGGTCGTCGGTTCCATCCTCTTTTTGACATGCCTGGTGGATTTCCCGCACCTTGTTTGTGAGCTGGGCGTAGTCTTTCTTGTCGAGATAGAGTTTGGCCAACTTGAGATTTGTCTTCAACGCCAGTCTCTCGTTGTTGGTGCTCTGGAAGGTTTGAAGAGTCAGGGAGTAGAACTCCTCCATACACTTGTACGCCCTCTGCTCAGTGGCAACCTTCTCAATGTAATCCAGCATGTTGTTGATCGACTTTTCTGAATAGTTTCTCGTCACCGCGGACTTAACGTACGTGAGGAGTTCTTTGTAATGTCTGACGGCGTCCTCGTAACGGCCGAGCGCGAATTCCAGTTTGATGGCTTGCTTGAGTCCCTTGAAGCCCCAGTCGCCTTTCTCTGGTTCTAGCTCTGGCACCCCTAGAAACTCCTGTACTGCCTCTTCCGGGTTGTCCACTTTCAGTTGTTTGGCGTTGTAGTATTTGTTCTCAATGTCTACGTCGCCGCTCTCTGCCTCGTCATCGTCTTCATATTCAAAGTCGTATCTGTGTGAAATTATATCAGTGATATGTACATTGGTGCTATATAGCGTCCAGATTGAACGTACTGCTCCTGATCGGAGTCTTGCATGAAATCATCGTCGTCCGACATATTGAATGTGGTGGCTCTGGAGCAGGAGCAGAATTGTTGAATTCGGGGCGGTGATGAACGGGACAGCAGTACCAGCTGCCGCAGGAAGAGTCTATCAGTAAATGGAAGACTCGATTTGTCGTGCAGAATGGAAGATAGGCATATGCGGTAACTACTGAATGGCCGGTGGGTGAGTTGGGCGAGTTGCTGTGGCAGAGGAGTATGTACGCCTGATCGGGGTAGACAGATGCGCCGGAACCAGTGCGGAGAACAGCCTTGTTCCACACTGGCACCAGGATCAACTCTCACTCCCCGCCACTGAGAAATTTACGGCCTCGTTACCAACAGTCCCCGTTTCAGCGGCTGACATCGATCTTACACGTTACATGTTCTTCGTCAAACTCTTCACCAGGCCTGCCGCACTTACTTTCGCCTCTATCATCCACGCTCCCGCGATTCCCTCCTTGAGCCGTCAAGATGGGTGGCGATCTCAACCTCAAGAAATCATGGCACCCGTCGCTCATGACCAACCAGAAGAAAGTCTGGGAGGAGGAAAACAAAGCGCTGGAAGAGCGCAAGAAGATCGAACAGATTAGGAAAGAGAGGGCCGAGGAAAGACAAATCCAAGAACTCGAAGAGCTACAAGAAGCAGCTGGTGGGAAAAAGAGACAGACTCGCGTCGACTGGATGTATTCGGGTCCATCTGATGGGCAAGCCGGCACGACTGAGGAGATGGAAGGCTATCTCCTAGGTAAAAGGCGGATAGATGGCCTCTTGAAGGGCACTGAGAATCAAAAGTTGGAGAAGTCGGCCAAGGAGGACTCTTTCATGGCTGTGCAAAATGTGAACACTGCTAGGGATATGGCTGCTAAGATTCGAGAGGATCCGATGCTCGCAATCAAAAAGCAGGAGCAGGCGGCCTATGAGGCCATGATGAACGATCCGGTCAAGCGGCGAATGTTGCTAAAGGCAGCCGGGAAAGACGACCACGAGAGTGAGCGTGAGCGGGAGCGGAAACGCAGGAAGCACCACCACCACCACCATCACCGACACCGCGACGATCGTGATCGTGGCAGGCATGAAAAGTCTCGTTCTTATCGTGACACAGATGACGAGGATCGCAATGGGCGAAGCCGGCACCGGCGGCGGAGATCATACACCCCCTCACAGTCTCGATCACGCTCACGTTCTCTGCCTTCACCCCCTCGACGTGATGCGCAGTCTAGATCGCGCTCCCCTTACCGACGACATCTCTCGCCTGCTATAGATGACAGGCGGAGGCCGCGGTCGCGGTCGCGGTCGCGGTCACCGTCCTCCCCTCCACGAAATGGACACGGCGATCGAGTCCGGAAGACTCAGAGCTGGCACTCATCAAGGCCGGAGCGGCCACGTTCTCGAAGCCCACGTCGTAACCAAACGAACGCAGATACAGATGCTGCTGCCAAAGCGGCGAAACTAGCAGCCATGCAGCAAGACGCCACAGAGCTTGATAGGCAACGAGAGCAGAGGCTAGCGGAAATTGCAGAACGGGAGAATGCTGAGAGAGTGCGAGACGCTGCTGCTCGAGCACGGAATTCTAAATACGGTGGGCGAGCAGATTTTGTCAACAATTTTCACAAGAAGGCTGGTGCTATGAGCCTGAGTCAACGCATGGGCAGAAATGGGATTTCACAGAGAGAAGACGAGGAATGAAATGGTGCTGAGAAAAGGATACCAGGCACCTAAGGTCCGGCTTGTGAAAGAGCATATCTTCAGCTTGAGCAACCCTATGACAGCTCCGATGCGGCCCGCTCAGCCTGTCAGCGCAATGGTTGCCATCTGCACCCTGACTTCACGTTGCACCACAACTTCGTCGGTGCCAAGTCCTCTACCATACAAACTACTAATACTACACAACCATTGCGTCTATTCTTCCTGTTCCTTTAGGCATACAATCTGTTTGTCAGTGATTGCTCCGAGATTCAAGTTGTTGTCTCAATGAATTATGGTAAAGCTAGACACCTCCGGGCGGGCCGCATTGCTTCGTGCCCGACACCCGGTAGATCTCTGCTCCGGACCGTCTTGAGGTATTGCAGCTCTGGGCTGAACGTCTGTCTGAAACGGGCAACATACAGCATCACGGTTTCATCTCTGTCCATGACCTTTCTAGAAGCCTTTTCGACTTGCTTGCCTACAGTCAGTTGCAAGAACGAAGGGCAAGGAGATTTTTCTTATGGTCCAATCAGACGATACGTTACAGTGACCAACGTCTTGACTCGAAGCTACGAGGCTGGCAGTGAAAGTGGGAACAAGGTTGGACCAACTCGGCGCCAGTGTTAGCGATTAGGGTCAAAACGTAGTGCTCTGGCGAAACGAGCGGAATACTTCAGGACAACATTCTGAAGATGAGATCTCGAAAAGAACTCGGGCGTCAGGCAGACACGAATCGGGGTAGTTTAGGCTCTTGCGCATATGCCTCACTTTTCAGACAAGTTCCAGAAACAAATCTGCAAGGTAGCCGAGCAGAAAACGCCCGATTCATTCTTAAGGGCGAAACCTCCTGTACGGTGGACATCATACTAATAGCGGTATGTTCTCCAGCCTGTAGCAGCGTGGAGGCAGAACAGCGAAGCTTCCGGGTCAAGAGAACTGGCTCCCAATGTAAGATTGGAGTTTGGTCCAGCTATTGTCACCATTGTCACGCAAGCAGGTAGAATAAATGATCCTGATTTGTTTGTCACTCTTTCAATGATCGATTTCTGGTGTGTAGTCGGCGCGCTCGTCCTATGAGCCCTTCGTTGATCAGACTTGTGGTGAAAGAGAGAAGGGATGAGCAGGGCACCTCTCATTGGCGAAGTGAGTGCCTGAGGTTTGGTTGTCAACCCACGTTCAGTATCACTCAGTTCAGTGATAGTATATCAAGTTAATGAGCATATAATGCATGGGACAGGCAGAGCTGAAGCCATTGTTTTGGGGCCTGAGGCGTGCACTGGCACTCTGGCTTAGGAGGCTCCTAAGGCCTCTGGAGGAATTACTGCAGAGTCCAGCAGGCGCAGGCGCAGGCGGGGAATGATGCGTCAAGTGCATGGCCCCTAAGCCTACACAAGGGACTAGCAGCACTGATATCTGACCCCCTGCGCAGTGTGTTTCGCTCGCCCCAGGCTACTCCGGCTTTATCCAGCCTACTACAGGCCTCCTACAGGCCTCGTACGCCTGTTGTCATGCTAGTTGACCACGCCCCAGTCTTGGTTCCGGGCTGGTTGCTCCGGTGTTGCCTTGCCTGAAACTCGAAACCTGAATCTGCGCATGCGACTCTCACCACCACTGCTCATCTGTGCATTGCTTGTTCAGGTCGGTCAGTCAATAATCAGTCAACAAATCTATTCACCCTATCTCCAGCCATCACTCCTCGGCCTTCAGTACCCGAACAAGCAATCCTACAATCCATCACCGCCAGAATCTCAGACTCCTGTCGGTTGCAACACGTATAGGTCTGCGTGTCCCTGGTCCCTTCCACCTATCCGCTGAGCGTCGGGCCCATCCACACTAAACTACTTCTACTGCCCCCAAAAGGTGCCTTTTCCTGCCAATCCTCTCTCAACCTCTTTATACCGTTCTGTTTAACACTCCCTCCTACCTTTCATCCTTTGCGCCTGCCATCCACTCCATCCTAATCTCAATCTTTCTTGCAGAAGCCGCTCCCATTATTCTTACCCCTGTACCCCTTCTATCTTTACTTCCTCCCACCTGACAAGGTCCGCAGCAGCCGCCATGGCTGAGATCCGACGCAAGCTTGTCATCGTTGGAGATGGTGCCTGCGGAAAGACCTGTTTGTTGATGTAAGTGACCTACTATCAACCGCTCTACCTTTTCAAGCACGAATGCTAACAATATCTTCGTCTGTGTCCAGCGTCTTCTCCAAGGGCACATTTCCTGAGGTTCGCAGCCATCCTATCCTCTCCCATCTCAACTACTGGAATAATCACCCCTATCATACACACTACATTGTAGGAGCTGGGATCTAGGCACGCAATACTAAGCCCCCATCTCAACAGGTCTATGTCCCAACTGTCTTCGAGAACTACGTCGCCGATGTCGAAGTTGATGGAAAACACGTGGAACTCGCTCTGTGGGATACCGCAGGCCAGGAAGATTACGACCGTCTCCGTCCTCTATCGTACCCGGACTCCCACGTCATCCTGATCTGTTTCGCCATCGACTCTCCCGATTCACTCGACAACGTCCAGGAGAAGGTACATGACTAAAACTCGATTGTGGTCATCGGATCGCGAGCTGACCTCATTACCATAGTGGATTTCCGAAGTCCTACACTTCTGTCAAGGTCTTCCCATCATCCTCGTTGGGTGCAAATGCGATCTGCGACACGACCCCAAAACCATTGAAGAGCTGGCAAAGACATCCCAAAAGCCCGTTACACCCGAGCAGGTTCGTTCGCTCACACATCCACACCTTCCACTTCTGCCCATAGATACGGACTAACCTTTGGCTTATCTAGGGTGAGGAGGTCCGCAAGAAGATCGGGGCCTACAAGTACCTCGAATGCTCGGCCAAGACCGGCCAGGGCGTCCGTGAGGTGTTTGAGTCCGCCACGCGTGCGGCCCTGTTGACTCGGAAGAGTGGAAAGAGCAAGAAATGCTTGATCTTGTAATTCAAGCCACCTGTTTCTCTTGTAGCAGACATATGGTCCAAACACGTTCCCGACTTTTATACCAGGATATCGCCGGACGGGTCGAGATATCAATCAAAGAACCGCAAATTCCTTTGTTCTTGCTTCGACGCAGGTTCGGCTCGGTGGCTTGATCGTGCTGCACTTTGGCACTGATACATTAGTTTTGTTTCCTTATCGAGCGAGGGATGGGTTGATGGCTGACGCAATGCAAGAATTGCACAGAGGCTATGGATGGGCAAGCTGGGATGGTACTACAAGCATGACGGCGTTCTACAGTCGAGACATGTTTCGAGTCATCGAAATAGGAAATCCATTCACGGCGTTTGACCTCAGGCTGGGCTTCTAGATCATCATTTAATCTCTTTCGTTCCTCGGGTTAGACAATTCTACAGACTCAACTATGAAAATGTGCACTTTGTTTCCATTCAAGGGTATTGTCCTGTCGTACTCTCTGAAAGGCGTCTTAGACATGGGGAGCTCTTCAACAGTCTATTGTCGTGGAGCAGTCCTAGTTACCTTTGGCATCTCCAGCAACCATTATTATCAATACTTCGGATTGTGAAACTAGAATTATAGATCTTCCCAACGGGCTGCCTCACCACTTTAGTTATCACCCACTCAACTTCCACATTGCACAGAGCCTCATTTCACTCTATGTGACATTCGGTGTCTGCTACAAGCAGCAAGTAATTACATGTACATACATATGCCCTCAGGTCAGGCTTGGGACTAAGCAGCCAAGGCATATCATGTGACCCTTGCCAAATGATTCAGTTTACGGAGTACTCCATACTAATTAATAGCAGTATTACTTTAGGACAAGTTACTAGACGGACATTCCTCCTGGCAACGTGCACCAGTTTTTCGCGCAGTCCGGACGATGAGTCTTCGATGACCGGATGAATAGTTCTCGCGACTTGGTGTTTCGAGATGACCCTCTCAACTGGCAAGCACTGGGAACGCCATTCCCTCCGTGACGATGTCCTCCCTCGATAGCAACTCCCCGCGCATCGTACCAGCTCATGTTTCCTACCTTGCCTTATACAATCCCTCGCTCGGCACTACCGACGACACCGTCCGCGATCAAATCGTCTTTTACTATTCCGCCAAGTCGGAGGTCGAGCGCGAGCGACGCAGGAAGGAGAGAGTCTCGACGAGCAAGCAACAAGATACGCAGGGAAAGAGCCAATTGCAACCAAATACCACTCCTAACGATGAGGAGGCGGTGGAGGAGTATGAGCGGTTACGGCAAGTTGGGCTTGCGCAGGGTATGGTAGATTTTGTGAAGTAGGTAGGCAGCTTATCTCATTTACCTGTTGTCCCCATAACTCTTCGGTTTCCGAGAGCTTCATCGCGATCAACGTATGAGATAAGTGCCCTGACTCGCAATGCCGGTCCTAGAACCTTCTCAAATGGAGTGCCTCTCGAGTCGATCGAAACGGAAAAGTCTCGAGTTGTACTGAAAGAAGTCGAACCCCAATGGTGGCTACTCGCCGGCATCAATCTCACCCAGTTGCCTGATACCAGTGCTAGCAGCCCTCCAGCTACCAGAAAAGCTGCAACTATTGGCAAAGACACCCGAGCGACCGGAACCACATCGGCAGCGGACATTGAGTACTCCTCGCGAGAGGTGGCGCCAGCTCAGTTACTCCTTGCCCAGCTGACGCAAGGGTATCGTGGTTTCTTGCTTCACCATGATTCCTGTTTAGCGGAAATGTGGAAGAGCCATGATGGCAATAGAGATCTCTTCTGCAGCATATTGAACCGGTATTGGACCTGGTTCGTTCGGAACTGGGATGTCCTTCTACACGGAAATCCTGCAGTGGACTTGTACGATGCAGTCAAGCTTGCCGGAGGCGGCGAGCTTGGTATTGGCGTTGGTGAGGAAGATTGGGGGAGTGGTGAGCGAGAGGTTCTGGAAGGATTTGCAGGTAGGACTGAAGGTCTGCTCGATCTCATCGTGGGAAGATACGGCGATGGGCCTCTTCCTCCAATTGATGAGAAACACCGAAAGGACGGAGAGGCACCTCAAATCTCTACACATTTAGAACCGGAGCCCTGGCTGGGCAACGGTGATAATGCAAGGGCACAGGACGGGATAATTTTCTCCGGCATCGGTGCAGTTTCGAAACGCGCGCTCATCACAATCTCCCAGTGGATGGAGGCCATCTATACCCATGGGGAGGCAGCTTATGGGATAGGCGAAAATCCAGTGTCCCGACCAAGACCTCGCAGAAACAGACGGAACGTTGCTGGTAAGCAGAGATCTGACAGCACTGCGCCATTATCATCGGATCGTGCTCTGGGGCAGCGGCACGAAGAGGTGCATCCAAGAGTCAGGTCGCCTAAAGCACGAGCGCCCGACCTACGACGCAAGGCCATGGAGAACAATGCCACACCACCAGGCATTCCAGCTCCAATTGTGAGTGCGGTCGAGCAATCCCTGGAGGCTGCAACGACCAAAGTAAGCTCCGATGGCGCAGGTAAGAATGACAACAGCGAGGTTCTAGACCTGACAGAAGAGAATCAGGATGACCAGAGAGTATCTTCGCTGTTCGCCAAAGAAAAGATGATGAAGTATATCAGCCTTGGATACGGATCCAGTTGGACCTTGAATCCCAAGGGGTTCGCCACAGACAAGGCATCAATGCGCTCGAACGCAACAGATTCTCAACAATCGGAGGATAAGCCCAATTCTGAGGATGCATCAGCTCCACAACCCCTACAGGAGCTCGATCCTACACCGGAAGCAAGCGACGAAGAAGAACCCCTTTTCGTTCAGCGGCTTGAACAATCTATCGGGAAGTTTCTAATCGGCTTGTCGGGAGATTTGGAAAATACCGAGTTTGAGACTGAACCGGACGAGGGAACAGTAGATCCCCACTCGGAACTCACTGAGCATGGGTCACGGTCATCCCCACCAGCGAGTACCTCTAGCCGTATCTTCCTTCGCACGTTGGTAACGGAAATGTCTCCATCGCGCTTCTCCCACCTGTCAGCCACATCGACCATGGACGATTCAACATCGCAAGCTGACAAGTCCCACGTCGACATGAACGCTGATTCTACCCAGGTCAAAACCAGTGCCGCAGCATCCGTGGACGGATCTAAACCGATTGTCACTCACGAGAAGGTCCGGGTTGCTGTGTACGTTCATCAACCGTTTGTCTTCGTGTTCTTGTTCCAATTGCACACACCAAACCTCAGCATGCCAGCCTTTTATCGTTCTATCCATCACACTCTTGGGCCCCTACAGAAGAGTCTTTTGAGGAGTACGGATCCGGAGAGATGGAGAGAACGGGTGAAGGAGGCACTCGAGGCTGGATCTGTTCCTTTGCTTGAGGGTGAAGACATTGCTAGAAGCACGGCCAGCAACAAAGACTCTTTGGAGATTTTTGACCTTGTCTACGATCCCGCGAAGATGACAATCCGGACCTCCATCCCTAACATACCTCTCCCTGGCAGTCTGGCAGCCGAAGGGCTTCATCGGACGTCACAGCAAACGCAGCCTGTCACGGTTTCTGGCTCTTGGTACACGCTTGGAATCCCCATCGGGATCCCATCTACTGCCGTAGCAACGAAACCATCGAGCTCTAGAACGCTCGTGAAGAGCACCTGGACCAGGGTAGAGGCATTGAATGTGCATACCCACATCCTCAATATTTGGGCTGGGACCCGGCACAAAGAAGCCGGTATGAGGATAGGCCGATCCGGGGCTGAAGAGCTCGAGAGAACCGTCAAGACGGCACGAGGTTGGTGGGTGGTATGGATGAAAATGTTTACCTCTTCAAACAGTGACCACGCAGGGGTCCAGAGCGAACCCGACCAGGTATCTGCAAAAGAAGCGATATTGGTGAGAAGATCAGCACAGGACCGCGCCGCAGGCGGCAGAGATGCATCTGGTGCACGCTTGGATCCCCGGAGTTTCAGTTCCACGGGGAAATGGCTTCTCCGCGACCAGCCGCGTAGTCGAGAAGTCAGTGGCTCTGGCCATGGTGCCGGGCCCAGCCCGGCAAAGGGGGTAAATGAAGGAGTTGGCGTGGATGCGAGGAAATGGGTGGAGACCCTGGTGAAGTTGAGTATGTGACGCCACGTACTGTAACTGTCGTATACACGAAGGATCCTCAGGTGACAGACAAGCATTCCCAAATGTATTTGCTCCTTGCCACTGACTGCGTTCTTGTTACATCCCACGCCCTGGTGCCTGCAAAGAGGGAGGTTCGTCACGTTTGGGTGCGTGCCGATGCAGGAGGTGTAATAGAATACCGAATGTGACGACGGCAGCGCGACTAAGAATAGCCTCAGGAGCCCTGTGGCTAGTCAATCAGAGCTCATTCAACCAGCGATACCTACTTTAGGAAGGACCTACAAGTGTGGCTAATGGCTCCTAAGTCCTGGTCCTCTGTATGCATCCAGTCGAACTGTCCAGTCTGGGCGGAGTTGTTTCTCCACGAGTTACAGTAGCGTCGGGGCTAGACAGAAGCGATGGTCGATCACCGCAGCAAAGCGAGACGTCGCTCCCAATCGTTGATGGTACAGTGTCATTCCTTTGCCAGCTGGCTTTCCAGACACGGCCGTCAGCATCAATTGCGCATATTGAGGACGCCCATTACTCATCGAAGCGCAGGCAGGCCGGGCAAGGACCGGAGGTCCATGCAGAGGTAAGGCAGCACGTAACTGAGAGGAGGACAAACAAGGCAATACTGCTGTGATGGTGATGGTGATGGTGACAGTCGACGTGTGTTGGCTACTAGGTAGTCAGAGTGGACTGGATACAAACAGCCGGTGTGATTCTGCTACCAGCGTCTCTCCCTCGGCAGAGACATCTACTTACTTGCAGCGTCTGTCTCCCAACTTTATCTTCACGGCCATCCTCCTTCGCCCAGTGCCAACGTACCATCTACAGCCTGTGTATGCTACGCCGACTCCTTTTCTCTCGGGTCCCTTCAAGATCTGCCCCCCCCCCCCGGGGACATTGATATTCGGATTGAGAGTTTGATCGATCGATTCCTGCCTGTATCCAGCAAAGACGTCCACTCAACCTATTCTTCGTTAGCCTTTCCTTCTTTTCACGTCTTCTATCTTTCCATGCACCAGCCTCAGGCTCAGTCGCGGCCGGTTCGGCCACTTGCTCCGGCTGCAACCCCTGCAGTTTCTAACCAGGCCTCTGCCACTTCTAACCCCTCCCGCAATCTCGCTGGGACCAGCAGCGCACAACCAGTCTCTGCCACCACTTCAAATGCCACCATCCGAAAGAACGCGTCCATTGCCTGCCACGCCTGCAAGATCTCGAAGAGGAAGGTACGCATGAGAGCTGGGACTTCAGTCTCTATGTGCACAAGCCCTCCAACAACGACACGTCCTGACCAGATCTCCAGTGCGATCGAAACCAGCCCTGTGGGAATTGCTCTGCGAACAACCGATCATGCATCTACGATGCCTTGCAGGACGGTCGGCGGAAAGAAGTACGCAAGCGGAGGCTGGAGGAGCTTGAAGCCCGAAGTCAGGCCTTGGACAAACTGCTGGTTACATTGAAGCATTCGTCCAGATCGGAATCTCGTCAACTACTTGACCTGATCAGACGGGATGCGCCCCTGGAAGAGATCCTCCAGTTCCTGGATGATCACCCGGGACAGGCATCTAATGAGGCTCGCGAAGCCCTTTCCGCAAGTCCGCCTCCAGAAGAGGGCGCCGGTATCCGCCGGATGCTGGCAATCAGCGAACTTACTGATATACCACCATACACGGCCCCCGCTGCACCATGGACAAAGATCACTGAGGACGACTCGTTCGTGTCTCACCTTATATCGTGCTACTTCACCTGGTTCCACTTCTATTACCATAATTTCGACGAAAATCTGTTTCTTGAAGCCATGAAAGCTGGAGACCTGGGATCACCCTTTTGCTCCCCTTTCTTGGTCAATGTGGTCTTGGCCATAGGATGTGTGAGTTGACACGAACTAGCGCCGGTCGGTCTCTAGGACTGATTTCCTTATTCAGCTGTTTTCCGTCCATCCTGCCGCCTTTGCTACCCCGGGAGATCCAAAGACACTTGGACTACAGTTTTACACCGAAGCTCATCGACTTTGGGCTCTCGAAGGTGCCAGACCAACTTTGACCAACATACAAGGGTTCACCATCCTCACTCTACTGCAAGTCAATGCAACTCTGTTGTTATGCATCGAGTCATCCTAACATATGATCCAACAGCACAGCCTTTATTGGTAAAGACAGAGCAAGCGCGGCATCGTTGAAGCAACTTGAAGTCATGGCCCCGCAACTTATGAAACACTACGGCAACCCAAGGAATGCCGAGCTCATCTCCCAAGAATTCAAAAAGTCTCTGAGTATCGTAGACTGGGCTACACACATCTATACAACGTAAGTACCTAGGCACATCCGCGAATGTGTCCGTCGTTCTGACAGCCCACAGCGGGTTTGGTACTGGATTACTGACCGCTCCTTCGCTGCCGAAGCCGACCTTAGAGGCCCCTTACACGTCCGAAAAATGGAACAGTCACTTGACTCCCTGGACGGGATATCCTCTGCATGGTGAGCGTATCCAGCTCCCTCTTCACAAGCTGTACCATTACATGTGTGAGCTATATTTGTTTGCCAGTGACATCCAGACCCTGCTGTTCGCGGATTTTCCGAGCATGGGTGTTGTTGAAAGATTCGAGGCTTCGCAGAGGATCGAAGCGCAAATGCAGCAGTGGTATAGCTCTTTGCCTTCACAATTCCGAGTGGGACAGCCAGACCTGGTTGTCGTTCCCCAGACGGTAGACTTGGCGTATTTCCCACCCTCCCTCACCCTGCTCCGCGCTGCCAAATTAGGTACCTAACCTGCAGGCCAGGTTTACCATGTATCATTTCAGTCTGTTCATGTGGAACTGGACCATCCCACCACCTTCGGCGGCACGACAGCATGCAACTGCTTCCGATGTCGAGGCCGAAGTGACGTCGGAGGGTAAGGAACCGACGGCTCAACAGATGGACGAGATAAGAAGAAAGTGCAAGGACATGTGCTTCGAACTCACCGCCAACACCACCCAGCTTTACCAGACGTGGTACGACAAGTTTCCTCAAACCTACTTCAGCATGCTCATGCCTCAGACTGGGAGCGTGGCGGCCAGTTTTCTTCTGTCGGGCAACCTGAAGTCGGCACATGAGGAGGACATGCTTCTTCAGATCATGCGAGTCCTCGTCCGAAGTTCCCCACGATGGCAGATGGTCAAAGGCATCACGCAGATGCTGCTGAAGACGGCCGAAGAGAAATCCAAGGCGGCGGACAAGGAAGAGGGCGGCGTCAGCAAGGCGCTGGTGGAGGAGATGAAGGAAATCGTCAAGGATCTCGGGTGGGAAGATACGGACCATCTCAACTTCAGTTCCCAGTACCCCAACTACGCCATCGTCAGAGAAGACCCTAGTGCCAACGTAGAGATGAGCCAGCTCCTGGAGAAATGGGCCGAACTGGCAATTGATGAGAAGGAAGTAGAAGCCACGTCCGAACAGGGTGATATGTCGGAACAGGGTGATATTGTCGCTGAAGATCGCAGCCAGGGCGACGAAGGCCAGCCTGGGGAGAGAGATGTCCAACGACCGGAGACAACACAGGCGAAAGGGAAAGAGAAGGCGAGGTATTGGAACTAAGTTATGTAGTTCGTACTGTAGGTACTGTAATAGGTATATGTATGGAGTATACTCCGTATACGTAGGTACTTACAAGAGAACAGGGGGTCAGGCTTCACATGTGATCTTACATACATAGGCTAAGCCTAAGGTCCTCCAGGAAATAAAGTACAAGTCATGTATTGAAATTAGTTATTTGATGTCGCAATCGACCATAGGATGTGGAAAACAGGGCTTCCCGTTCGCTCAGCCATACTTAAGTCACATGCCGGCCAGTCAGTACTGAAGTGGGTGACCATTTGGGAATCCTGGCTGTTGATTGTTTTTGCATTTTTTGAAATTTGTGTATTTGGGCCTATATCGAAAAGCCCATAATACTAAAACGGGTGGTTGTTTGGCCTTGTTTTTCTACCATACTAGGAGCGAAGAGAGATTTATAGAGACCTTAGTGACGAAACGAAAGAACGAAAGAATGGATGGATGGGTAAAGAAAACCCCCACTCCCCTTTTGGCTTGAGTCTTACTGTATGGTTACAACTTTGATTTGAAGAGTGGACTGGATGGGAGCTTTGGTTGCGAGGTATATCATGTGCTTGATTAAGGACTTGACTGAAGTATGCTTAACAAGGACTTGACTGAAGCACGCCTAACAAGGACTCGACTGAAGCACATCTAACAAGAATTTGACTGAAGTACGCTTAACTAAGACTTAACTGGAGTATGCTTAACTAAGTGAGGACTCGATTGAAGCACGCCTAACAAGGACTTAACTGAAGCACATCTATTCAGCAGTCCTTAGTACTACGCAGTACTACATCTAGGTCTGAAGACGCTTTACGCATGTCATAGTAGAAAGTAGGTCGTAAGGCTCCCGCTGAGACCCTAGCTGGCCAGAAGAGAGCCTAATCCCTAAGACATCGTCGATCGGCGTGCGGTGCGGACACAAATTTCCCACAGGTGCGTTATGTTGAACGGTATAGAAGATTTTTGATTATGGTACATACACGACCACACTCAGACATTGGTTCTTATGCGCAAGTAGCCTCTGTCCTGTCGCAACCTCGAGCAGCACGCCGTTTTCTTTTTCTTTTTCATGTGGCCGCTATCGCTGCAACCTGGTTCCCAGCTCGGCCGATTCGTTCAGCTGAACGGAGACAGGCTAGGACAGGACATGAGCGGCCAGCAGCATCTTTTGTTCGAGGACAATAGCGGGCCAACGTTAATCCGCCTGACCGTCCTTCTTCCTCCACCCTGAACGCGACTCTGTTGTAACTGTTGGCGCATACTGATACTCTCTGCCTCTCTTTAAATCATCAACCGTTCGACCTTGTCCTTGAGCGCGCGAATCTGGGGAGTCAAGTCGCTTCCCTCGTTGGTCGTGATGCTGGCCGCAATGACACTACGGCTGACGCCGCAGGCTCGGCCCAGTGCGACTCGACTCGGCACGTAGACGTAGGGAACATTTTTGTCTTCCGCGAGCAACGGCAGGTGGAGAAGGATCGCCAACGGGGTGGTATCTGTGATGGAAGAGCACAACGTCAGCCAGGCCCGGGTCAAGATTTCAGATATGAGATGCGATCCAAGTTTATGGGATCATGGCTGTTGCTGTGCTGTGCGGCTCATCAAGTCTAGAAGTGGCCCGCCAACACCACACACATGGATTTGTATCACATACCTGCAGCAAGCACGATGATTTCTGCAGTGCCCCGATTCAGCGTCTTTGTAGCCTCGTTCGCTCCTTTCTTCAACTGGCGGTCTGAGAGCAAGTCAGCTTAAGTTTGTCGCAGGCAGAAATCCTGCAGAGCTGGGAAGTATCTTACAGTGCGACGCTTGTTGGACAAGGTCGTAGATCGACTGGGACAGTGCCTCGTCGGCAAGAGGCCAAGCTAGAAGCGCAGAGTCAGTAAGCCAAATACTTCGGATCGAGGCGAAAGCAGTCTCAGCGCGGTTCTTGAAAGAAACGGCCTATGAAAGGAGGATAGGGTATGGTGTGGAGAGAGAGACGTACCGGCTGAAGGATTGTCGGCCATTGTTGCGATTTGGCGATTCTGGCGAAGAGAAATGCAAATGGCGAAAAGTGATTGTTGCGATACGAAGAGATCACTGCCACGACCGGGGCTCACTCTTCGTGCTGGGTGAGTCGCTGCTTTTGACTTGGTTGTGAGGTCGTGAGAGGAGTATCGAGATCGAGAATTTTGAAGAAAAACTACGGGCAAAGTTCTTAGTCCCTCTGAGGTGACCCGTTCAGGTAAGGTCGGCTGGCGTTCTACACCGCCTACTAGATACGGCCTAGCGTCTATGGCGCCCCAGCTACCGGATATAGACGGATATAGTCGTCTGCATCACTCGCCGCTTTACCAGCGCCATCCACCATCCGTTGTATGAATCAAATGCCAGGATACAATACCCAAGGAGAATGCAACTAAGGCACCACATCTTCACGATCCAGGGACCCCATGTCCAGATATATTCAGAAATTATGATGCAGTCAGAACATATTTTGATGCCTGACAGTACCCTTAGGTGGGTTCAGAATCTTCCAGACCTTCTGATACGACGCAAAGACAGCCTTCCTCATCACCCTCATCATAGACAATCAGGGCATCGTTGGACGAGATCTCATCCACTTCCGGAGTAATCTCTTTCACCTCTCCATCAGTTCCAAAGAGCGCCCCTGCCGTGTGATTGGTGCTCTCCACCGTCTTGTCCCTGCTGCATGTAATCTTCTTCAGGCGGTATGCGAAGCCAATGTGCGAAGAATTTTGGAACGTCGCTTCGTTCGAAGTCGTGGAGCCGTCTTCCCCTTTCGGACCAATTGCAACGGGCACACCAGCAGGCGTGCCGTCGACGCCGAAGAAGGCTTTCCAGCCACGACCGCGCGTCTTTGACGTCGTGACACCCGCCCCCTTTACTGTCTTGACGCCAGTTACCATGTACACGGGCTGCTCGTAATCCATCTGTTCGAGGAAAGCGGCGACCTCGGACTGGGCCACCGCTGCATCGAGGAATTTGCGGCTCGGCTCGAACCATTCCGTGTGCATGTGCTGGAAGCTGTACGTCTCGACGTGCTTGCGGTCATATTTGAGACTGGCTTCGGCACCGAGCCCGAAGACCGATAGAAATTTGGCCAAGAGCCCGAATTCCCCCTTGCGACCCTCGCTGATGGTCGCCGAAAAGTCGAATTTGTCGGTGGGGAAGATCTTGGTGTCGATGGTTGAGCGCTCGGGAGTGAACAGAGTCGGCTGAGGCTGGTAAGCGTCGTCGATGACCGCCCCCAACGGTATCGAGTCCGCGGGGAAGTCCCAACCTGGAACCAGGAAATATGTTTTCACTTTGTTTGCCATGAACACTCGTTTCACATGAGCCTGTCGTCTCGCACAGGTTGTGGCCGCCGTGGACAGTAGGTTGGAAGTACTGTAACTTGAAGTGTGGAGGATCGCAGCCCATTGCTAGTAGTATACCCTAGCTGACAACGCATCGAGCCTCGGCATGCATTCGTCATTCTTCAGTGTCAAGCAATAGGCCCAGGGCACATGAGGCCATCTGAGAAGTGCACGGGGTGACTTGTGAGCGTAAATGATTGGAAGTTGTCGTCCACAATCTCCAAGATAGACCAGATCATGGAGATTGACCAGATCATGGAGATTGACCAGATCATGGAGATTGACCAGATCATGGAGATTGACCAGATCATGGAGATTGACCATATCATATCCATCGATCAGAGAGCGACCCTTTTATATAATTTATAATGTATCAAGTGTGCCGGTTATTTGGTGTTCAGAAACTGCATAGCAAGTATGTAGTGTAATATTCTTACGATACGTACTTCGGATATGCTCAACGCAGCTTGTCCAGGAGAACTTGAGCAACCCCGGCCGCCCTGGTACCATTGAACAGTATCCAGGGCGCGATGTAATTGAACCCTTTTCGTTTCTCGGTGAGCTCCAGAAGTACTGCTACCATCGATTGCTTGTCGCGGAGCTTGGAAAGAAGGAAGTCCAAGTCCTTGTCGGTATCCTTTGGCAACTCCCTTAGATAATGCGTCACGGATGCTGCAACGCCAGCCGCAATAGGAGTTGCAACAGAGGTTCCAGACATCTGCTTGGTTCTCTTTCCGTTTGCACTCAGTGCCCTCGGCCATGACGAAATCACGCCCTCTCCGAGGGTGCTGAAATTCACGGTATCGGCATACGGTCCTGGTGTGAAGTCCGATATGTTGCCTTTTCCATCGGCCGCGCCTATAAGATGACTTCATTTCGATTGGCAGGGTACGCAAGGCGCCTGTTTCCTCCTCCATTGCTTGCTGCTGCGAACAAAACGATGCCTGCAGTGTATGCTTCGTGAATAGCTGCTTGGACATTGGTTAAACTGGGCACAAAGTCGGGAAAGCCGAAGGACATGGATATGATGTCCACGCCTTCGCGTATCGCCCATCGAATAGCCTTATTAGTTAGCCCCCGCAGTATATGCCTGGAACTAACGTACCTCTGTGATGTTGTCAGGATGGCCTAAATTGCCTCCAGTGGTGACACGCGCTACATAGACGTCGGCAGTCTTCGTCACTCTGAGTAAGAGGGTCGTGCAGTAGGTTCCGTGACCGTGGCTGTCTTTCGCATCTTCCAACAGATCATTATCCTCACCGGGAATGAAGCTTTTGTACAGGATACGATCCTTCGCAACGCGGACTGCACCGTCACTAGGATCTAGGCCGGTATCAAGGATCGCGACTTTCACAGGACTCTTTCCAGAAGCAGATCGCTTAGGAAGCAGAGGAAAGACTTTTGTACGGAGTTCCTCAAACCACTCCTTGGCTCGATCGGGACTACCAAAGTCAGCCACTTAAACTTACTGTCCAGTATCATAATAGAGCGACTGACGCTTCTTTTCGTGCATCTTTGTCATCAAACAGGCTAAACTCATTCGCTGTTATCTCTGAAGAGGATGGGACGTCATGAAGCAAGCTCTCAGAGTTAGGGATAGAATGCTGAACATCTTCAAGCGCAAACTGTAGAGGGCGGATGATTTCCCTGTGCACTGCTTGACGGAATGTCTCGGACTCGAGTGAGGTCTTGCCGTCACCAAGGGTCCTCGTTAAGCAGGCGCGGACGGCTTCGAGATAGTAAGGTCCCTCTCGGTAGAAGGGCCTATCTTCAGGGTCAACTTTATTATCAACTGCATTCCCCAGTATGGTATTGATCACCGCGGTTTCCGTGGCAAACACAGTAAACTCGGTGTCGTCGTTCAGATCCAGTCTCGAGATCTGCTCCGATTTGGACCGACAGATCTCATCCCATGATTCTTCAAACGAGAGCTCGATCAAGAAAATGCCCAGCGCAAATATGGTTGGCTCACAGAAACCGTCGAACCAAGAGCGTGTCTGCGTTGTCTGTTGGGCATCGCGCAAAACAAAGATTTCGTCAGGATATTCGGTGTTGTCACCCGCAATCAGGTGAATGTCATTGCTCGTCCATCTTCTCTTCAGCCAGGACGTCTGGTACAGATAAAGAAGACATCCAGCAGTCTTCGATGCAAGACGAAGTTTGTTCACAACCGAGAGTTTTCGACGTTGGGATCGTGGACGATACAGCAGCTGGCGTAAGGAGACAGGCGACACCCAAGAAGCATACCTCGAAATCTCCTGATGGAGACGAATGTCGATGATGCCAGTCTTCCTATTGCCTAACACACCAATCAATTCGTCGACGGTATGGGCAGTTGCGAGCTGGAGTCTCGACAATCTAAGGCAGAGGTCGCCTGGTTCCACTACGGTCGCTTCCGCAGGCCTTTTCCACAAGAGTGTGGCGAATCGCACAGCTTTCTTCTTGGGTTGAATCTTGTCGTCGTATGCGTTGGGGCTGGAGAACCCGGCTGGTTCACTGGAATCTTCATCTGAGTCACCATCGATCTCAGCCGGCCGACTCACGCTTGCATCGAGCTCAGCCCAGCTCCAGGCGCGAGCGCTAAAGAGTCCGTTGGAGGTGCTGAGAGCATTGTTCAGTACCAGTCTCAGCTTGATGGCGTCCCAAATATTCTCGGATTTGGCTATCGTCGTGGCTTCATCGACGAGATTGTCCAGTCTGAGCATAATTCTGTGAGAAGCCTTACAGTTGCAGGAGAATCCAGATCTCGTATCAAGAGCACGAGAGATAATAGAAGCACATTTTCTGACCTTGTCTAGCGTTTTGAGCGGAGAAGTGGCGAGACCACGCTTAGACACAACCACAGCCCGCATAGCCAATATTTCAAGTCGATTGTTGAGCTCTTTAATGGCTTCAAGCTGCTGAGCAAGTCGGGCATCTGTCACGCCTTTCAAAAAGATCAAATAGCGATACTTGAAAGCATCATCAGAGTCTCCGTTGGGATCGGCAAGCGCCTCGGTCCAAAGTCGAGTTTGATGTTGATTTTCGACATGGGAAGTTTTTCGGTACCCAAGGCGCCTTGCATATGCGTTATTATGAATGCTGATCTCGAAAATAGCCATACAGGGAGAAAACAAGTCGGCCCAACATTTCAGGTTTGCCGCACAGTGTATAAGAGATTACCATACAGAGGATCAAGTAGTTGCTGAACAGCATTCCACCTTATGCATTTGAATATTCCCGCAAGAGGATCTGTCTGGTGGGAGGAAAGTGTAAAAAGAGACACGGGGGGACGAATTCCAACTCTTCGTATTCCAAGGTTGGGATTTCAGGATGCAACTTCATCGGCAAACTTACAGTATCAATGTCATCGATCATCAGGATTATGGCCAATTCCACAATGGAATCCTTCATCTTGTTGACCACACTCGAAAAAGGCCAAAATGACTGGCCAAGGTTTTCCTCCATTGTCGAATGTATCTTGATGCTGTTATGGTCCCACGCATTATCGACCATACTACCGGTCCGATATCGTAGGACAAAGCTGATTGTATTGGTGTATAATGTTTCTTCGGTTTTATTTTGAGAAGTAGATCCTCCACACGGCCACGGGCTCTTGTGTTGATTTTCCCTCTATCAGCCGCGTCAAGATAATCCCGAATGACGGCTAAAACGAACTTGATAGAGTCTAGGACCAGCAGGGGATCGCACGTGGCCCGGCCATTGCGAGAAGGAAAAGATATAGGAGCGTGGCACCGGGGTCGGGGACGAGATCATCGGTCGCAATAGTAAGACTGGTTTCTGATCGTTTCCGTCGAAGAGACGAAGATGATTTTTGCCTCGCGAGTAGAGGATGCATCTACGAGGCTGCGCAAGATCTGGTTGCTGTTAGCACTAGCACGTCGATGAGAACTTGAAGAAGAGATTCACCCCATCAAGTCCTGTCAGCCCGGGCGACTGGCCTCAGCCTCAGACTCAATTCATGGAGTGGATGGTGGCCTGACATTGACGTCGACGTTGACGTTGACTTGATGTCGACGTCGATGTTGGGGCGGTGTTGAGTGCAGTGCGCAGAGTGCAGTGTCCATTATTGGACCACTGCCAGTGGGCATCTGGAGCAGGAGCCTCAGGCGCGTGCCGAACCTTTTATGAATAATTACGGGGTGCCTACCGCCCACTAGGTGCCTATTAGGTGCCTATATCCAAGTACGGAGTACGTACTACTAGGTGCCTACCAACCTGTCTAACTTGGAATAGTTTAGACTTAAGCCTCTAAGCCCCGGGCACCTTAGCACCCCTTGGCCTTAGCCGTCACATCAGCTTCAGCCGTCACCCTCAGCCTACGCCCCTCAGCCCGAGCCCCTCAGCCCTCCTACTGCCAGGCTGCTGCTATCTTTCGAGTCTCTGTAGACCAATTCCCCTCGTATGATCATGAATTCCAATTCGATATGACGACCGAAGCATGGACACTATATCATCCAAAGTTGGCGAGTGCCTGGCTTTGTATCGCCGTCTCCTCGCTCTTCCAGCAGAATCCAACCGACCCGGAACCCCTTCGAAAGCGTCGAGACTGATCGCCACCCGTGAGCAATTCATTCTCTGGTATTCAAACATTGGCGCCCATCAAAAGGGCCGTGGATCGTTGGATTACCGTCTTCGAGAAGCCTCTCACCTCCGTGATCTGGTCATAGAGATCTTGGACCGACTCAGTCGTATCCTGGCAGAAGGTTAGTCTTTCCGTCCTGTCTCCTGTCTACTGCCTATTAAGCAGGATGAGGATGAGGGAGTGTCTGACCGAGTTGGCCCAGGCACCCACCTGGCAGATGACGATGAAGCCTCAGCCTCGGCCTCCGATGGATCGATAGATGAGGAATTACGGTCACGCTTTCCCGAAGACAAATTTGAAAGTCTCGAGATTAGCGCCCGGGTCGCCATAAGTACCTTACTCCGCCTGAGCATCAGTCTGCGGAATCCAGCCCCATTTGACCGTTATGTGAGAGCAAAGGCGGTCGATGTTTCAGAGTTTACACATTTCGATTGGCTCTATCTCGAGGACTTGTTCCCGCAGCTTGAAGAATTCTTGAAGAGACGTATGCTTGAAGCTATATTGCAGCGCCAAGGTTTCTCAAATATTGCCAGAACCATCACTCCAAGATGGCACGCGAGCCAGATGACATGGAGCCAGGGAACGAAGCTCGCTTTGAAAGTGTCTCAGTGTCCGGAGAAACGACAGCCTCGTCCCTGCCCGCAGAAATCCGTCTTGAATTGAGTCAATCCGAAGCCAGAAACGTCGCGTCATTCTCTGAATCGTCTTCTATGACGTCCTATGCTTCCTCGAGTATGGATGGCTCGAGGCCCAGGGTGCCATCACCGCCTGAAGGCGCCGTGCTTGGTGGGGACCCTTTCGAATGCCCTTACTGCTTTCAAATAGTTGCGGAGCCTGATAGATACCATTGGAAGTGAGTATCACACTCATGATGATATTTTGCCACTAACCACTCTCTCGATTATCCAAGGCGACATATATATCGAGATCTGCAACCTTATGTCTGCACTTTCCAAGATTGTGAGAAGCAAGACCAACTGTTTGCAAGTCGCCATGAATGGTTTGAACATGAGCTCCACATGCATCGACGAGAGTGGACGTGCCCGGGGCACTGCGACCTCAGCTTCAGCTCCAGGGTAGAGTTCGAATCTCATCTCGCCGTAAATCTTCCCAAGCTGGGCAAGAGTGGTGCACTGCTTAAACTGGTCCAAACATGTGAACACCCAATTCCGACACAGGCATCGGCGCCATGTCCGTTCTGCCATGAATCTATACGAGGAAGGACGAGAATCGAGACACATATCGGACGGCATCTGGCTGACTTGTCTTTGAGAGCTTTGCCTTTGACGGCTCAATACTCAGACTCCTCGGACTCCTCGGACTCGAACGATGATGGCAAGCCTGACATGCCAGATGATGCTAGCTTGCGCGACGATCTGATTGAAGCGGAGGAGATTCCGTATATTGAGTGGTTCATCAGACAAGGCGACAGGCCTTTTTATAGTCCGCCCTCTGACCAGTTTGGACTTTCCACCTTGAAGAAAGTCTTTACAAGACAGCCTGACTATGATGCTACCTTGCGCGACGCTTTGATTGAAGCGGAGCGGGAAATGCGGCGGAAAGGGGCGCGGAAGGTAATATTATACTTTGAAAACGAAGAGTCTGCTGTGAGGACGCCCTCTGATCGGTCTGGACTTTCCACCTTGAAGAAAGTCTTTACAAGAAAACCAAAAGACCCTGCCAGGGAACAATTACGTCGTGATTTGATAGCTGGAAACCTTCCGACGCCGATGAGGCCGACGCCGGTCGGTGTAGGGTTACCAAGGTCAGCTACTTTCAAAAGGCAAGAGAGCAATGTTGAGGACTCTATTGAGCCGCTCCGTGCAGGGTTACCAAGGAAAGGTTCTTTTACAAGGCAAGAGAGAAATGATGAGGACTCAGGAGGAGCTCGTGCCAAAAGGCGCATGAGTATGTGAATGAAGCCTTAGAGCCCCTGGAACGGAGAGGTGTGTCTTGAAACTCTCAGCGTTCTGTTAGTTTCGAGCAGGCTCGTAGCATGTCATGCCCATCACAATAGTTGGAGGATCTATAAGACATGCGCCCAGCTCGGACCAAATGTCTTTCTTGGATGATCCTCTAGGAGACGATGTACCATGCACTGTAGCCTGATCGGGGCTGAGCCAGGCTCGGCTGACTTTGGCTACCATATTCGGATTCACCCGGCCAGGAAAGAGAGGAGACTCGGCCTGAAACGGCTGTTTGAGGCCGGTCGGTCGGTCGGTCAGTGTTGGTCGGTCAGTGTTGGTCGGTCAGTGTTGGTCGGTCAGTGTTGGTCGGTCAGTGTTGGTCGGTCAGTGTCGGGGGTGAGTGTCGGGGGTGAGTGTCGGGGTGAGTGATGTATCTATATAGTACTTCTACTCTACGCGGTGTGGATGGGAATTCAAAAGCTCGACGTTCATTTCGAAGCACCTGATGATCTATGTATGACTGACAGTGCCAAATATTACCCGGATCGCTTCGCTGTCTGCTATAGAACATGAACACAAGATTGAACGCCGTCTGTCACCAGGCAGGCCAACAAAGCAAAGGAAATCCATCTTGTCCTTCCTTCTGCGTGTCTCTAAACAAATCAAAAGTCCCACCACCACATGTAGACAGTCTTTACAGGCATGCCTTGCCAGTGTCTCTTTCTCGCTGTCGCTCTCGTTCCTTTCCACCCAATCCAGTTCAATCCAATCAATCCAATCCAATACCCAACGTAATGATTGAGATAATGGATCTTCGCGTTGGCACTGAACTGGCATTACTATTCAGTTCGACAGCACTGGCGTTTTGCCGACCCATTCCGAATCCGGAGACAACTCTTGCAACACCCATTCGGCAATACTCTTCCTGGACAGGAACATGCCGTCAGTGCCGGAGCCGGTGTAGGTGGCGGAGACGGGCTTTGCGGGCCCATTTCCCAGGAAAGGCACACGGAAAAGAGTCCACTTCAAACTGGACGAGTCCCACGATGCCACCAAAGAGCCCAAGCCGTTGAACTCGCGATAAGCATCGCCGCCGATGACCTTGATCAAGGCCACTGATGCACTCCATTTCCAGCCGCCCTTGTCCTCGGGTGCCGGGTACGAGCACGTGCCCAGCACCAACGCCCTCTCGTAGTGGTTGGCGGTCAGCACCGGGTATAGTTTCGTCAAGGCGTCGGTGACAGGCTGGATACAGATATATATTTAGTTTCAGATTCATATACAGATTCAGAGTCAAGAGTCATATTTGCTCATTCAGATTCAGATTCAGATTTGCTCATTCATCCTACCTCTGAACCAGACACTGGGAATGGGGAGATCTGAACCAGACATGGAATGGGAAGATGAATGCATATGTAAGATATTGACTTACCGTGCCTTTGGATCCATACGTCGGTCCGGCGAACGACACAAAGACCGTGGGACCCGAGGTCACGGCTTTCTCCAGGGCCGATGCATCTTCCAGCGAGCTCTGGATCACCGTGACCTTGGAATTCTCCTTGATGTCGTCGGGGATCTTGGCCGGATTTCGCACGTAGAGCGTCAGGCTGTGACCTTGCTCCAGGGCTAGTCGGCTGAAGTCCAATCCAGTTTGGCCTAATTAAATGAGAAGCGGTGAGCGGGTACTTCAACTTGGAGCGGTGGTGGGGAGTGGACGCATCGATAAAACAATCAATATCAATACATACCCGTCGCGCCGAGGACAAAAATGTGCTTGGACATGGTGATGGGATGGTCCTTATCTTTCCTACTACTATGTATGTAGTATGTAGTATGTAGTATCCGGTTGATATCAGGGCTGGGGTGAGAAACAATGTACGCAGGACGGAGGACGGAGGAGTTGTTGATGGCTGAAAGGACGACTGTCGACTGGCGACTGTTGCGTGTGCTGCATATATATATGTTGATATTGATCTGATAGTCTTGCTACAGTAGTAGTTCTCAAGTTGGCGGGGCTAGGGATACACACAGATACACACAGATAGGAACGAACGAATGGCGTCATTCACCAAACCACAGTATTGAATATTTCCGGCTCGGAACCAGCCACCCTCCGATTTTCCATTTTCGATTTTCCTCCCATGTTTGATGTTTGGGGGTGGAAATTGCGCCAAGGGGGTGGACAAAACACAAAGACAAAACATACTTAATAGAAGTAATACTTCGTATGTACTCAGTATGTACTCTCCTGCAAGTGTGCGACATATGTACTCCGTACCAATACCTCCGTACCCCGTCGCCTGGCGGCATGGAGAAGAGGAGTGCAATGCAGGAAGGAATCAGGGTTCCTGATCAGGGAGGTAATGTCATACTTACATACCTAGGTATCTTGCTAGGTACTAGGTACCAGGCATGGTAGGCTGCATACTCCGTGCATATAGTACAATCTCTAACGAGATGGAGGCGTCGACACCCGATTGACGCTCGAAGCTGGAGGTGTTGGGTGTTGGGTGTTGATGCGAAGAGTTCCTCGTGCCTGCTCTCCCTTCCCCTCCTTGTTGGCGAAGGAGAAAGAGCCTGCTTGCCACGTTCAGAAGCCAAAGTCGGTGAAGACTAGACTATGACTTTTCTACTGGCCGTCGATCGCCGAAATTTCGGTCCCGGCCTCGAAACCGGCCGGCAGGGCCTGCGACAGGGCCGGAAAAGTTGCCGGCCGATTTGATCTGCAGTCATTCGCGGTAAGGGTTTCGGCGTTATCCTTATATCCAACACTCTTCCCTACATATACAAAACTTCAGATGTGAAAAGGCTTCTTGTGGCAGTCAGTCTATCGAGAATATCATCAAAGCTGCCGCGCCAATTCTTTGCTCATCCAGCCAGATTTGGGGCCAAATCTGTTCCAGCCAGTAGACCGGTTTGATTATTGACCAGCCGGGGTTGAGTGGGCGGAACCCCCAAATCCATGGCAGAGCCGCTCACCCAGAAGACCCTCGCGGAAGGCGCGCCACAAAATGACCAAGGATCTGATCACGATCCAAATCAGGTGTCAGCGACCGGGCAAGGACAAGCCCAGCAAGAGACGGCCACGCACAATGACCAGCCCTACACCGTGTTCAGAGAGAGGGAGAAGATCGCGATCATCCTCACAGCCTCGTTTCTCGCTCTCGCTTCTCCACTGTCCTCGGCGGCTTATTTCCCCGCCATCAACACACTTTCAGCCGACCTCCACGTCTCGGTGTCGGTCATGAACCTTACGGTCACGGCATATCAGGTGTCTCTCTCTATGTTGTCTCCATGCAAATCAGGTCTGCGGTGCTGACTAGGATCCCGCCAGATCTTCCAAGGGCTGGCGCCGTCGTTCATAGGGACATTCTCCGACACCAAGGGAAGAAGGCCTGCATATCTCGCCTGCTTCATCATCTACCTTGCCGCGAACTGTGGATTGGCAACTCAGAAAAGCTATGCCGCATTATTCGTCCTGCGATGTCTGCAGGCGTCGGGCAGTAGCGGGACGATTGCGCTTGCCAGTGCGGCAGTGGCCGACGTCAGCACAAGAGCAGAGAGAGGGAAGTATCTCGGCTATGCGAGCATGGGGGTCACGTTGGGCCCGGCGCTGGGACCGGTCATTGGAGGAGCCATCGACCAAGCACTGGGATGGCGCTGGATCTTTTGGTTCCTTGCCATCTATGGCGGGTTTCTGCTCCTCGTGGTCATTCTGCTGTTCCCCGAGACATGTCGTTCTGTGGTGGGCAATGCCTCGGTACCGCCTCAGCGGTGGAACCGAACGGTGTACCAGATGTATCGTGTTGCACGGGACAAGAACGGCAGCCACGCAGGAGAAGAAAGAGAAAGATGGAACGGCCACGAAATCAATCGCGGTTCCATCATGCCGCCCCGCTGGCGGCCTCGGCCGTGGAACGTGTTTCGAATCGCACTGCAGAAGGAAGCCAGCATCATCCTCGTGTATGGCGGCCTCATATACGCCGGATACATGATGGTTCTCAGCACGCTGACCTCGGAGCTCCACAAGCGATACGGTCTCGACAGCTTGCACATCGGACTGTGCTACCTCCCAATCGGCGTCGGCAGCCTGACCTCCCGGTGGACCGTCGGCACTCTCCTCGATCGCAACTTCAAGAGACATGCGCGTCAGCAGGGTATGGCCATCGTCGCCAACCGACAGCAGAACATCGACAACTTCAACGTCGAGCGGGCCCGCCTGCAAATCACACTCCCCTTTCTCATGGGCAGCGCGTTGTTCTTGATCGCATACGGCTGGGTCATGAACTTCAAAACCTCCATCGCCGCGCCCGAGGTGTTATTGTTCTTCGTGGGCCACTTCACCACTGGCACCAACACCTCGCTGAACACGCTGATTGTCGACACGAACCGCGAGAGCCCTGCCACCGCCACCGCGTCAAGTAATCTGTTTCGCTGTCTGCTGGGGGCGGGCTCGGTGGCTGTAGGCACTCCGCTGATCCAGCGCATTGGTATCGGATGGACAGGCACCTTCGTTGCCGGCGTGTATTTGATCGGCTCCCCAGCATTACTCCTGCTCTACATGTATGGCATGGGCTGGAGGAAAGAACTCAAGGACCGTGAAAGACGGAAGGAAGAGGCCAAAGTGAAATGTTAGTTCTAGTGCCACAACCACTAGGGATTTAGTCACAACCCACTGGGGATTTAATCACAAGGGCTCCTAGGCTTTTGCACTCAATACTCTCTCTACACCCTGGAGCCCTCTTGGGCTCCAGTACCACGGCAAGATCCTTCGACCTCGCCCACTAATCTGCCTTGCATGGGACCGGGCAGGTGTATGCATGTGTATGTGTATGTGTACTACGTAGTACCGAGTACGTAGTACGGCGTAATGTCCAACTACCTAGTAATTGTGCGAAGTTGGGTGTCTTACACTACCTAGTTCGACCGGGCCTGAACCGGGCCGGTCTTACTCCACGGAGCCGCGCACTCCGTCACCTAGCGCGCGCAGTGGGCCCGCCAGCCTGTGCCCGTCTCCGAATCGGACAGGCTCAAGCATCCATCGGATTCCACCAGCGCCAGTGGAATTTGTGATAAGCTCAATATTAAATGGCGGGCAAAGCTTGTGTCATCTTCCGTCTTTCGTCTTCCTGTTCCCTGACCTAGACCTACGATTTCTTATTCCAAGGTTCCCCTTCCAGCGTGTACCTTCTCGACGGTAACGGTATTTGTGGGCAGTGCCGGTTTTAAGGGCCGTGAAACAACCACCAGTCACCAGTACCAGTCACCACTCATCACTTTACTACTCACCACTCGCCAGAGACATCGTCAAGCAATCATCATGGCCACCAAGACAGAAAAAGAATGTTGGTTTCGAACCGATCTGCCTCCGCCGGTGACGGGCTCATACGAACCGACCGGAACATGGGAAGAGACGGGGTCGTTGCGCAGTTGTGAGTGCTCCCATGCCGTCCCGCATGCATGATGGTGATTCTAGTCTTTTACCGCACATCCCTTTTTCCTTGCCGACTACACTTTTCCTTTTCCTTTCGATCGTCCTGCCTCCTGCCCAGAAACGAATGTCGGGCGCCATTGTCTGTTTCTCCTCGACGAATGCGAATGCGAATGCGAATTCCAATACGATTACCATCTCAGCCTTGCAGATCAAACTAACCATTGACACGTGGCAATGCAGACATCACCGGACCCCGAGACGCCAAGAAAGCCGTCATCGTGGTCTACGACATTTTCGGGCCGTCATCCCAGATTTTCCAAGGGGCAGACCGCATCAGCCAGCACTTCGCCGGCTCTCTGGTGATTGTGCCGGACTTTTTCAAGGGCCAAGCTTTACGGCCCGACCAAATGTCCCAGGTGCGCGACTTCATCGCCGGGCCGGGAGATTTCAAACTCAACGCCGAGGTCCTTGGCAAGGACGTCGTCCCGGCCGTGCGCAAGCTGTTCCCGCAGATCGACGAGAAGGGCCTGGGTGCGTTGGGCTTGTGCTGGGGAGCCAAGATCGTCGTGCTGGCCGCCAACGCTGACGCTCCCGAGTTCGGCCCGTTTGGAGCCACCGCCCAAGCCCACCCGGCAGGGCTGGACGTCGAGGACGCGAAAAAGCTCAAGGCGCCGCATCTGTGTCTGGCCAGCAAGGGTGAGGACAAGGACGTGGTCGCGGCTTATGCGAAGGTCCTCGCCGCCAATCCGGCCAGCCTGGTCCAGACCTATGCGAATATGCATCATGGCTGGATGGGCGCCAGGGGCAATCTCGAGGATGAAGAGAACCGTGTCGAGTACGAGAAGGGCTATCGACAGGTCGCGGAATTCTTTTCAAAACACCTGTGAAGTGAACTGTGAACTGTGGACCGTCGACCTCGACCTACATGTGCAGAAGTTGGACAGCACTGGGAGGGAAGCTGTTCGACGCAGCCGAGTTACACTGCAGAACAGGACTGCCATGGGCTACACTGGACTGGGAAAGAAGCTCTTCGACGCACCCTTATAATGGTCGTTAGGCTGACTAGGCCCGGTTGTTCCAGCAAGGGGTATGGGACTGTTTGTTAGACTATATGCCAAAAGCGCTGTTCGTAGCCCACAGCTGATTCATACATCCCCAAGGGGCTAAGGAGGCCCCTAAGCCTGAGGCTGGGGTGTAGGCTAGGGGGTATCCTAAGGCTAGGGGTAAGGCATGAATACATGAACATGAATGCGATCTGTACGAAGTATTCGATGGGCTACAACTACAACTACAATACGACCTTTTTGCTTGCAGACCATACTGCATAGTCAGAGTAGATCAGATCAGATCTCTCCGATACTCTCAGCGACTCTGATTCTGCTTGGTGCTCAGTGTCTATCACGCTTTCATTTTCGACGCCCAAGTTGTTGCCTCAGGGGTCGGTGATGGTGAATAGGTATTAGAATAGACTATTGTGAATGACCTAAAACTAGGATTAGGACCATGACAAGGACCAGGACAAGGATTAGGATTAGCAAACTCGAAATTCCTACTTTCCTTTCGTTTTATGGATATCATGGATGAGTGGTGCTTATATACTCCGTACATATATACTTTTGGCATCTTTGCTTTTGTCCTAGATCCTACTAGTAGTCTGCGCCGCCTCTTTTGACTCGGCGTGCTCAACTTCCAAGGGGCGGCCCAGGCATGGACCTGCGGCGTTTGCGTTTTCAAAACCTTTCAATATTGACATATGCTGTGCAACCAAATTCGTCAAACTCTTCCCTTCTTACCGTACCGGCTGGTTGCCTTGTAAATGTGGCATGCTCGCTTGCGCCAACCAAATACCAAGTGTAGTTATAGTCGACATTGTAAACTGATGAAGTAGTTTCGATCATCGACATTGTAAACTGATGAAGCAGTTCCGAATCAATCTCCCAAGTGGTTCAGGTCTTGTGCTGTATGTGTATGTGCAGTCCACGGGATGCTTGGTGTTACATGCTCTCTCCTCGGCAGACAGTCAGTCCTACAGGAGTTAGGCTCGTTATAACTTGGCTCTGAGTCTCCATGTCCTGTGAAGCCGGTAGGTTCAGGTTCAACCTCTTTTGACCGTGGCCGTTGTCTCCAACTCTTGATTCACTTCTTGGGTGAGCAGGCACCTGGTTTATTTCCTACTCTCCCGCCATTTGTCGAATGCTTGTTCCCACGTAGGCTCGACATCTTGACATCGCTCCGCCACGACACCCCACGTCCTGTTCCTCACGATAGATTCAACGGCATTCTCATTTCTCAGCAGCGCCGCGAGCTGTTGTGTCCTGGGTTCTTTTGGGAAGAAACGCGCCGAATACGGATCCAACCGTTCATCGATGATCCTGTCCGCATCTTTCCTGTTCATGGCTTCCCGCTCAATCACGTCCGGGTCGTCCGGATCCGGTGATGTCGCGACAGAAGTGCAGTACGAAATAACTTCAGACCGTGAGCTCCACGACGGGAAGAGGACGGATTCGAGAAATGCTCGAGTCGTCTGATGTGGGATGGGTTGCCTGGTCAGAAGCGACGAGGGTAGGGTCGGGTTGCGGATCGACGTGGATGAAGGGTTGAAGGGGGACGTCGATGCCGGCGTCAGTAAGGCGTTCAGGTTCGTCGAAATGCTGTCGTCGATACTGGCGCGTGAGAGGCGCAGGAAGTCACGCAGGACCCGTGTGTTGAAGCAGAACTGCGGGTTTAGCTGTGTGGGCCGAGATGTGGGTTGGGACATGATCAGTCGAGAACCGGCCGCAGAAGACGGGGCGGAAGAGGGGGGCAGTTGGCCTGGTGAGGTAGGGGGTCGTACGGCCGGCGAGGAGGGGGAAGAGGAGGTCGAAGCGGATGGATTTGCCCAGAACCACGCCAGCTTGGTGGTTGTCGATGTCGGTGTTGATGTCGATGTCGAGCTCGAGTCGAGAAGACCGGTGTGAGGCGGCTTTGGGGAGGGAATGGAGAGGGAGTGCCTGAAGAATGAAGTGCTGTCGACACAGAACTCAGATGATCTGTGGTGAAGATCTAGGGGTACAGACTAATTAATAATAACGGTATCTTTCTTTACCTTGCAGCACACATACAGTGTAGGTGTAGGTAGTTAACAGTCGGCATGGATTAGAGGCACAATGATGGTGGAGCATTGAGCCTGAGCCCGGGACAGATGCCATACTTGGTGAAACTCGCACTGGGCGCTGGGCGAGGCTGCGCTTTACGTCATCAACCCTGCGTCTGCCTGAATTACTCTGGCCCGTATACCGTACAGTACAACCACTTTACACGTCGATACGCGTTGCTGACTCCCACGGTCCGTCTGCCATATTATCTACCTTGTAGCATTCTTTTGTCGTCTGGATCTCTAGACTTCTAACTGGTGCCACGTTCCTGTCCCTGACCCCGATCTCTCGTCCACTTCTCACTTCAGAAGTGGCAGCCCTTCCGCCGTCGCTGACAGCAGCTGCACTCAAGCCTGACACCGGGAGAAAGATTAAGATCACTCTGACGGGCACTGTCCGACGTTTCAGGTTCTACGACAGCTTCGCTCCCGTCAGCACCCACCTCAACGAAAACGCCAACATGCCTGAGATCGCCGAAGTCGCGCGGACAGTGCACTACATTCGCAAACTTCTCGTCGGCAAAACACTGGGCAAAGTCGTGGCTACGGATGACAACATTGTCTATGGTAAAGCAGGCACCTCGGCAGACGAGTTCCAAAAGCATATGACTGGTAAGAAAGTGGTCGATGCAGGCCAACAAGGAAAATACTTCTGGATCATAATGTCCAGCCCACCTCACCCAGTCATGCACTTCGGGATGTCCGGATGGTTGAAGTTCAAGTCTGAACACACATACTACTACCGACCCAAAGAAGGCGAAGAGAACGAACCCTGGCCGCCAAAGTTCGTCAAATTCATGCTTGAGACGAAGCCGGAGAATGGGGAAGAAGTTGTTGAAGCTGCGTTTGTGGATATGAGACGGTTGGGAAGAGTCAGACTGGTGGACTGCCCGGCCGCAGAGATCCGAAACGTCTCGCCCTTGAAAGAAAACGGGCCAGATCCAGTCGTCGACAAAGACATTGTCACCGTCGAGTGGTTGAAGAAAAAGTGCAGGGCGAAAAAAGTCCCCATCAAGGCCATGCTGCTGGATCAGGCCAACATCAGTGGGATCGGAAATTGGGTCGGCGACGAGGTCATGTACAATGCAAAGATCCACCCTGGACAGTACGCCAATACATTGACGGACGAACAAATCACCCAGCTGCACAAATCCATTCACTATATCTGCAGCACCGCGGTTGAACTGTTGGGCGATTCCGAAAAGTTCCCCGACGACTGGCTGTTCAGGCACCGGTGGGGCAAGGGAAAGAAGAACAACTCCAACACGATGCCCAACGGCGAGAAGATCGAGTTTCTTACCATCGGTGGACGCACCAGTGCTGTTGTGCCCTCGATCCAGAAGAAAACCGGGCCTGTGGTGAAAGAAATGAGCGAGGCGGAGGTGATTGATGATGCTGGCGAACAGCCAAAGAAATCGAAGGGCAAGAAACGGAAAGCCGCCGCTGCGGAAATCGAGAGTGAGGAGGAAGTGATGCCAAAGAAGACTACCGCCAGAGGCAGGAAGTCACTTGGGGAGGACGGGCCGAAGGAAGAGGTCAAGACAGAACCAGATGTGGACACGAAACCCATTAGACCCAGCAAACCTACAAAAGTAGGCAAGAAACAGCAAGAGAAGTCACCTGGCACAGAGAAGAAAGCCACCGCCACCGGTCGCAAAAAGGCAACATCACCTGCTCCAGTGACAAATGGTACAGGGAAAAGGCGATCAGATCGCTTCGGAAAATCTTGATTCTTGACAGCTGTGTCAGAGATTATTGTGTTGGTCCTTTCACGAAGGGCCTTGTAATACTAGTCGTTAATGCCCTGCCTCTTCTGGGCCTGGCATGCTTGATCATCATGATTATATACACGGACAAGAATTTTTCATTCTTGAGATTGACAGTCTCATCCCACATTGGTGTGGGAGATATTCGAGAAGAACGCCAGACTCCACGATCCGCCCAGGACACATGCTCCAGAGGCCCAACGCAAACGCAACCAGCCCATGACCACCCATGAAAACGACAAATTTGTGCTTGAGGCGGTCGCCGCTCACAAGTCACCCCAAGACAATCGCCCGCCCCTGGCCGGCGAGGCTGCCATTCCCACTCATTGCAACCCGGGTGTATGCAAAGTACACCGGCGCACGGTCACGTTGAGGAGTTGGGTCAAAACGACGGTTGAACGCCGTCAACCCTCGAAACTCTTGACTCGGCGGACGCCTTGCTCCGCTCAGGACTCAGGACGCCACTACTCCCCTGACCGTCTTCAACAACCCGCTTTTCTTCGTCCGTGACGGTGTCCACCCCGACCTCGGCTCTGTCCAATGCCCTTCTGAACGACGGGATCAGATTGGTTGCCAAAGGATACGTGAAGACCAAGAAGAAGCATGCTGCAGTCATCGACCAAGCCGTGGAAATGCGGACAGCTTCGACAAACTTTGCCATCAACGGAGGTTGCAAGGCACCGCCGGAGATGCTGACAATCATGAGTGTCTCGCATGTGGGCGTCCACTCGTCAAATGAAGCGGTCGCGCTCTCGAAAATCATCGGGAAAGAAGGCGCCTCGAAGAACATGACCATGACAGCCACCGAGATTGCTGCGGAGCCGGTAATGGATGTGCCTGCGGCAGTCGTCGCCACAGCGCCGGCGATGAAGCAAGCCAGGACGTACCGGGGCTTGAAGATCTTGGGGGCGGTCACCAGACCAGCAGCGACGAACCGGCCAACCACAAAAGCAATCTGGGCAAATGACATGCACACGGCCGCCCACTTGTCGCTGGCGCACGCGTTGACCTTCATATGCTCAATGAAAAACTGTGCAAAGGTCACTTGGCAACCGAGATTGACAAAATTGGCGCAAACACCCCACCAGATCCGGGCATAGCGCCGCGACAGCAACGGATGCTTCCACAGCCTCCAGCCGACAGTGACAGGTGCTTCAGGGACTTCCACTTCCGGCACCCAGTTGGTGCGGAAGAAGATCCATGCCACAACCACCATCAGGCCGAGAATGCACCCGCCTAGGGCCCTGTAGAAGGTGATGACGCTGCCCAAATTGGCGCAAGAGGCTGATGCATTCTCGGTCGGCATCAGACATTTGCCTGGGCGAGACGGGTCGGAGACAGGGCGCAAGGTCGAGGTGTCTGGGCTGAAGACGAATGCGTTGGCCAGGAATGGTGCAATCACGGTGCCAATGCCCGCCCACGCCTGGGCGACCAGGATGCGTAGGGTGGCTTGTGTGCGAGGGCCACAGTTCACCGCGTATGGATTGGCGGAGCGCTCCAAGGTTGAGACACCTAGGCCGATGACAAACATGGCGGCGACCATGCCACCTAAGCTACAGCTCTGTGCGCCTATGGACATGAAGAAGTCGCCGAGTGCCAGACCAAACAGCCCAGTGACCATGGCCACCCGATAGCCGCAGTTGCGGACCAGGGGGCCACCAATGAAGAGAGCGCCAGGAATGTATGCGGCGTAGTAGCCAGCAGCGAGAATGGCGGCCTTGTCACGGCCGATGCCCATGGCCACCTTGACGTGGTAGTTCATGATGTCGAGGAGCCCGTAAGCAAGCCCCCACATACAGAACAGCGCGAGAGAAGCGATGGCGATGGGGACGATGGTGTCCCGTTTGGCAATCTCGCGCCTGGGTTGCTTGTATTGAACGTCAAGACGCTTGACGCGTTCAACAAGAGTGCTGAACATCTTGCTGATTTGGATGAAGTCGAGGAAACCCCCAAAGAAGGTAGGAAGGAAGAATGAAGAATGAAGAATGAAGAAGGAGGGATGAAGAAGGAGCATTGAAGAAGGAAGAATGAAGAATGAAGGAAGGTATAAGGAAGGAACGAGCTTTCGCGGAGAAGGGAAAGATGTTCTGTTCTGGAGAGGAAAGGAGATGAAGATATCGAGGCAGGACTTATTTTTATATATATACTTGGGTGATTTGATCCTCTTTTCGAGATCTGCAGGACCTGGGGAATCCCCGCCATTGAAGAAACCGTGGAGACCACTGAAATCCAGGGTGACAGGACAGAATTGCCTCAAGGACTTACCGGATGGGAGCCATGCAGCGTGTAGGCTGGGCAAATCTTTGTCGATATGACAGTGAGCCAGTCAGCGGCGATGTAGGAGGGATTGTAGGTGATGGCCAAGCGCCCCCGGCCCCCCTTGCATCCAGGCCAGCCTTAGTGGTAGAGAGATACCTTACAAGGCGCAAGAAGAGGAAGAAGAAGCTTCTGAACCATTCGGGGCGTGGTAGACGGGACTTGTCACGGCAAATCGGTACCCCGCGGGGACCGTCTGGGGAGCTGTAGGGGTCCTGCGAGAGCGGTCTTCTCTTGGTTCGTGAAGGCATGACGAAAATGACGGCGTTCAAGTTGAATTTGGTCAAGAATCAAGACGACGCTGGTAGAGAAGTTGGACTTGAACTGCCAGATCATCATACAATCCCACCAAACGCAGGTCTTGGCATGGGAAAGGCTCGGCGAGGCTGGGACACTGCGCCATTTGACCACCAAACATGTCCCTTCTCTAGGTTCATTCGGGCACCATCTGATTCGCACAGTCTAACAGTCTACTGTGTCTCGTGCTACAAATAGATTCCCTCAGTTTGTCTTATGATTAGACTTTGTTCCAGATTTACGCCCTCAACAATTCTTCCAGGCAAAGGCAAAACATCCTGTGTCCAGACGGTGACGGTGGCAAGCCCTTCAGCAAGAACACTTCGCATTATGCCATCCGCAAAAGAGTCGGCTCCTAAGATGAGAGTATTGATGCTCCATGGATACACGCAGAATGGCACTCTCTTTCACGCAAAAACACGCGCCCTAGAAAAGCTCCTGCTGAAGACGTTTCCGGGAATCTCCCTAAGCTACCCCACAGGACCTCTACAGCTGAAGCCAAGTGACATTCCAGGCTTCAACCCCAGTACCAGCGAGGATGCCGACAGTATTGAAGCCTATGGATGGTGGCGTCGGGCAGACACCTCCGATCCTCCGGAGTATGCCGGACTTGACCAAGGCCTGGACACGGTGGCCAACCTTATTGAGACAGAAGGTCCATTTGATGGGGTCATCGGTTTCTCTCAAGGCGCAGCTCTAGCGGCAATGGTCGCATCATTACTCGAAGGAGATTCACGAAAGCAGGCATTCAAAAAGGCTCAGGCGAGGTCACCTCTGGCGATCCCCTATCCCGCGGCCTTCGAGAGATTGGACCACCCCCCTCTGAAGTTTTGTATAGCGTATTGTGGATTCATTGCGCCCGGGGAGAGATACCGAGGCTTTTACGAAGATCCGCACATTCAGACCCCGGCTTGTCACTTCATCGGCAGTCTCGACAGCGTGGTGGAGGAAGCGAGAACACAGTCCTTGGTGAATGCCACTGGCGGCCCTGAAAAGACACAGGTTGTGACGCATCCTGGCGGGCATTTTGTGCCGAGCGGGAAACAGTATCTTGAGATTGTCGCAGCCTTCATCAAGCAGAATATGGCGTCACCACAGGACAAGGGGGAAGAGGAAGAGAGGGTAGAAGACATGGATGTCCCGTTTTGACGCCGATTAGCACATTTCGCACATTTCGCAGTCCATTACGATATAGTATCCGATACCACATAGAACACTTTAGACTTATAGACGCACATGCATGTAATTTCACGACCCTAATGACCCTAATGAGCGTTCAAGGCAGAGACGAAGTGAGAGGCGAGGAAAGGACAAATCTGAGGGTCACGTGATGATGTGTTCGAGAAAGGACTAGCGCCGTTGCTGCCAAGATTGTCCAAAGTGAAAGTCGTTCGCACACTTCTGAAAGAGCCAAATCCACCGCCACATTGAACAGAACCAGCGTTGCAATCGATCATCGCATCTTCTCGCACCTCGTCAACATCACAGAAGGTCTCAATTCAAGACACAGCCCTCAAATAGATTCCAAAACTCAGTCAAAATGGTATGCACACCAGCCTGCAATACAGCTCAAGCGGCGAGCTCAAAATTCTTCCCCCCTCGAATCGCCACGGCACACGACCGGTGCAAACAATCATCAACCGCACTGCTGTTGCTTTCATCTTAAAACTCCAGCTAATGGATTTCGTTTCAGGTTCTCGCCGTCGATCTTCTCAACCCTACGCCTCAGGCTGAGGCCCGCAAGCACAAGCTGAAGGTACGAATATCATCAGCCTCCCGCGCATGCGGAAAGAATATAGCTAATGTGCGCAACAGACTCTCGTCCCAGCTCCCCGATCCTTCTTCATGGACGTCAAGTGCCCCGGCTGCTTCACCATCACAACCGTTTTCTCCCACGCCCAAACAGTCGTCATCTGCGCCGGCTGCTCAACTGTGCTTTGCCAACCCACCGGTGGCAAAGCCAGACTCACAGAGGGCTGCTCTTTCCGAAGAAAGTAGACGATTACGCGGCAACGGAATGAAAACTTGATGGCATCACTTTGCTAGATAGAAGATGGATTCCCAGGACTAGCACCAGCCCACGACGAATGGAGTTCCGGATATCTTGCAAAAAGACTTCCTCGAAAGCATGGCGGGAAATTCTTGATTATTGTCCTTTACAACAAGCGTGAACTGTGGTTCCGAATAGAGTTGGAACCCAACTTATTGCGCAAACAAAAGTCTTTTTTGCTTGGAATGACAGGCCGAGGCGACAAGATGCTGCATGAACATACACTCTGTTGTAATGTGAGGAGGGCAGGTCTTGCTGTTGAGGAGGCCTATGACCTTGCACTAGGCTCATTCGTGGTGATGGGTGAATAGTCATGTACTCGTAGTACACAGGCAAGCAATGAAATCTTCGAAAAGCAAATCATGTCCTCTGATCGCTTCTGCGATGGCCGCCGGCCTTTGTTGTGGTCGCCTCTCTCTCCCATACTACCCAAATTTACCTATGGATCTTGTATCATGTGTCCTATCCTTATCAAGCCACTCCCCATCAATCCCTGGTCGCTTCTTCTTTCCAACCTTCCGGTGCTGCTTAGATAGGTTGTCGTAGCGGTCAAGCACCTCAAAAGGGACACCTCAAAAGGAAAACCGGTCAGCGGAAACCCTTCGGTGTGCCATCGTTGATCATGGGAGAGCTTGGTGGCGTGAAGTCGTGCAAACCCGTTCGGAGGGTGCATAGCCTGTATGCAGAGCTGCTGTACTCACGAACGAGCGCTTCGGTTTGCTGAAAGTTTGTACTGTGTTTCGCCAAACGAATGCTCGGCGTCGATATTAGATTGCTTCACCCGCGTTCGATTTCTGCCATGATCTTGTTGACCAGCTTCTTTTGTTCCTTCTCTCCCAGGTCTGTCTCGTCCATTTGTCGGAGACACCATCCTACTGCACAGATCCCCTTGACCCCGGCTTCTGGACAATCCACCCAGACCTTGCCATTTCTGCCAACCGCGATCTCAAACCCACCCTGCAGCCGGGCGCCAAGATCATCCATTGCTAGAACGTTCTGCTTTTTGAGTAGCCGGTTCGCCAGGCCCGGGCTCACATCAAACACCATGCCACCGGTCAATGGGCCCAGACCGTCGGGCTCCGCCTTGCCTGTCGATGGGTTGACGCAACTCAACTCGATGTCCATGTTCTTCTGCGCCGACACCACTTTCGCGTACACGAGATCATTGGCCTTGAGCTGCGGCCGCGTCTTCTTCGTAGCACCCTCGAAAGCCAGCTGTGGTAGAATTGCCTGAGGTGAGTGCGCATTAATGAATAAGTGGAAATAGTCTGTCGACGATGCTCGGAATTGTGCAATCACCAGATCGCCCGGTTTTGGAATGTACCGCGCATTGGGTGTCGAGATTTGCGCGCTCTTCTTCCGCCAGTCCACGTCTAATAGTCCGCCAATAGTGGCCATGAACGAGCCGGTGTCTGGGTCTGGTCGAAGGCCATGTCCAATTCTGCGCTTTTGAGATGTTGGAATCTGGCCAGCGGGGATATACTCTCCAGGCAGTACTATTTGAGGTGTTGCCATGGCGGTATCTCGGGGCCTCTGTCTTGATGCAGGCAGTGACAAGACATACATCTGGTCGAATAAAACAACTCGGCTTTTTCCTGCATGGGGCACCAGGGCGAGGCTGTTGCGTGAAAAGATTGAATGCTCCTCCGTTACTAGTATTGCCCTGCCGCCCTGCCAAGGCTGCTGCGAAGCAAGAAGCCAGCCGACCGCAGCGCTCTGGTCAGGCCGTCGCAACAAATTGCATGTATTCTGTAGAGTAAAGGTGACAAGCCCCCGTGTCCTCAAGCCTTGTCTTCCGTCTACGAATCTATTATTTCTCCATATTAGGTCACTATTAGCCCAGAGTCCTCTTGAGCAGTGTGTGGCTACAAACATAGGAGCAAGTTGCCCAGGGATGGTCAGCCTCGTCGGGGCTTGGCATCATTATGTAATCATTCCTGGTCTCTCGCTTGACCTTCCTTTCTACCATGACCCCTTCTGCGAGGCTCAAAAAAAGTTGGATGCTTTTCTTCGAGTCTTCCATGCCGTTCATCGTGCGAATAGTACTGCACACCAAGGGTCTCAGACACCCGCATCTGTTTCTTCCATAGTGCATTCACTCTACCAACTCTCTCTTTCTCTCTCTCGCTCTCGAACTGCTCCAACATCATGAGTGACGAATCCAACGGGGTGCCGGCCACCGGCACACCTGAACACTACGCCATTGGTATTGCCTTCGGAAACTCTTACAGTTCGATAGCACACATTTCCGGAGAAGGCAAGGTTGAGGTCATTGCCAACGAAGAAGGCGATCGTCAAATCCCTTCCGTCTTGTCCTATATCGAGGGAGAAGAGCACCATGGGACACAAGCAAAAGCGCAGTTGGTCCGCAACAGCAAGAACACCGTCGCATCCTTCAGAGACTACGTTGGGAAGGATTACAAGTCAATAGACCCGACACCCTGCCATGCCTCAGCACATCCTATCGAGTCCGACGGTCAGATTCACTTCTCCATAAAAGATACAGAAAGCGAAACGGAAAACAAAGTCTCGGTCTTGGAGATTACCGCCCGACACTTGCGACGACTGAAGAACTCGGCCTCCGACTTTGTTGGCAAACCTGTGACGGCGGCTGTTGTGGCCGTGCCCACCGACGTCAGCGATGAACAAAAAGCGGCTTTGTCCAAAGCTGCGGAGAGTATCCAGCTTGAAATCTTACAATTCATACCCGAGCCCATTGCTGCCCTCCTTGCATACGACTCGCGGTCATCGAACCCTACCGCGGACAAGAATGTGCTAGTTGCAGACTTCGGTGGAAACCGGTCCGACGTGGCGGTGATTGCTTCAAGAGGAGGAATGTACAGCATTTTGGCCACGGCCCACGACTACGAACTAGGTGGGGCGCAGCTTGACCAGATCCTGGTCGACCACTTTGCCAAAGAATTCGAGAAAAAACACAAGTCCGACCCACGCAAAAACGAGCGGAGTCTGGCCAAGTTGAGGCTCGAGGCTGAAGCAGTCAAGAAGGCGCTCAGCCTAAGTGCCAGCGCCACTTTCAGTGTGGAAAGTCTTGCGGACGGAGTGGACTTCCGATCGACGATCAACAGGACTCGATATGATATTCTTGCCCTGAAAACCTTCGCCCGGTTCACCCGGCTTGTCGAGGAAGTGATCAAAAAGGCGGGCCTCGATGTTCTGGACATCGATGAAGTGATTCTCTCGGGCGGTACCTCGCATACACCCAAGATTGCCAAAAACATCGAGGCCATCTTCCCGGAGTCGACTCAAGTGCTGGCCCCTGCGACCACCACGACGGCTTTGCACCCGTCCGAGCTCTCGGCAAGGGGTGCGGCCCTTCAAGCGTCTCTAATCCAAGAATTCGAGAAGTCGGACATTGACCAATCCACGCACGAGATGCTGACCGTGACGCCACACCTTGCTGCCGCGATCGGCTACCAAGTGAGCGGTCAATCTGCAGACGCGTTCACGGTGATCGTTCCGGCCGAGACTGCTGTGCCTGCTCGGAGAACCCAAGTGATTGGAGGGCTGCAAGGGGATGTGTTGGTCCGGATAGCCGAAGGAGAACGCGAGATCAAGGTGACCCAAGCGGCGCCGAAAGCCAAGCCTGAGACCAACGGAAGCAAGGAAGGAGATGACGATGATGACGACGATTCGGATATCGACGAGGACGACGAGCCCGAAGAGATCCGCGAGAAGGTGTGGAAACCCAAGCAAGCCCTGGCCGAGTTTGTCTTCAGAGGCCTGCCCAAGGGCTCCAAGGTCGAAGTCACGGTCAATATCGACGCTGAGCAGGTCGTGTCGATTACCGCCCGGCCGGTCGGAGGCAAAGGAGGGCTGCGAGGCGAAATCAAGGCTGCCGAGTCCGCGCAGAATGGCAGTGCATGATTGTGATTGCGATTGCGATTGCGATTGCGGTCCCTTTATGTACTGTATACAAGATTACGTATTAGTATGGCATGAGTGGCATTTTGCGGCGTATGGCCATTTTGCTTGTCCGTTTGCTGTTGCTATTGCTTTTACTATTGCCTTTGCTTTAAATTGCGATTGCTTTTACTATTGCTGTTGCTGTTGCTATTGCTTTTACCATTGCTATTGCTATTGCTTTTGTGTTTGCTATTACTATTGTCATTGCTATTGCCTTTTCTCTTTCTCTTTCTCTTTCTCTTTACACTTCTTCCCTTCCAAATACATACGGATTTGTTTGTTTGTTGTTGCTGCCTGCTCACTTGCTTTCTCGCTTGCCATTTCCATTGCCATTTCCATTTCCACCTTCAACCCAAGCATGGACCCGAAGTCAGCTCTGAAGAAGTAGAAGTTTGCTCATTGCTCAGTGGTGAAATCAGACCATCAAGCGTACAGTACACCGCAGTCCAACCCCTAGATGCGAGTGATTCCACGACGTAGTTATTACGTACTACTACTGCACCGAAATGGGTTTCTGGGGCGTTTTACCGGGTAGTGTTAGCACACCACCGTGCTTTCACTTTCACTTTCACTCTCACCTTCATCGACCCCTCTCTCACTCTCACTCTCCCTCATCGACCTCCTTGCTCCTCCTCGTCACGTCCAGGTCCAGGTCCAGGTCCGGCCACGGTTCCTTCTTCCCGACTCTTCCTCTCGGCAAACAGAGCGAGCAGACCCAAGTCGTACGTGGCCTTGAGAGAGCCGGCGGCGACGAAGGCGACCCAGAAAAGATGGTTGGTGCCCAGAATGCCGGTGATGACGGGGCCCAGACTCTGGGCGCACGTCTTGGCTACGTTGATGGTGCCCATGACAGCGGTGCGCTCGTGCGGCAGCACAATGGCGGCCAGGAAGGCGGAGCGGGGAGCGACGTCCATGACTTGGGTACAGGAGCGTCCGATCAGGAAGACAAGAGCGCCGCCGAGGGTTGAGGGGATGGGGATCAAGGCGAGGCAGATTGCTGAGGGGAGGTGGGTGAAAACCATGGTCTGTCATAAAAGTGAGTTAGTTAGCCTGTTCTCTTGACCATATTAAAATTTTTCTCTTCTCTTCACCACAGTCATATTTCTCTTCTCTTCACGTTCTGTCCCTTCCTTCGCACGCTCTCTTTTCTTCATCATGTGCTGGCTTGGCTACAAACCCTCAAAGGGTGAGAGCTGACTGCCATGAGCTGGGCTGGACGGACGCCAATTTGAGGGGCGGAACCGCAAGAAATCCCACTCTAGGCCTACCAAGGCTTCTTATTTTGAACGTACCTTGACATTTCCGATTCGTTTGGCAATCGACGACGCCACCAGCATGGAAAGAGCCGAGATGACGCCGGTCACGGAGAAGATGGAGCCCAGCTTGCCTTCGGGCAGGTCGAATTTGCGCTTGAAGAAGTACGTGACCCAGGATCTGCCGATGGGTGATGGATTGGATTAGCGAGTCTAGTCTTTTCTTTCCAACAACAGTACGGAGTACGTAACTGTCTTGTCGGCGGACGGCAGATAGGATAGATGGGATGGCAAGCACACTTACACTGGAGCCAGTCCTGAGGCGAAATTGTCAAAGGCGAACAAAATACACAACTGCACCAGGATGACCTTGCTCTCCTTGCTGATGTTCGGCAGTAATGACCAGCGCTTCTTGGTCTCGCCCTTGCTGGCGGGTGCGTTTTTGTTGGTGTTGGCATTGGCGTCGGCGTTGGCGTTGCCTCCCAGTAGCGGCGCGGTCTCGGTCTCGGTCGCGTTGGCTGACTTGGGCTGGCTGGTGACCTCGCATTCCTTACTCAGGAGCAGAGCCAGGCCCAGCTTGACGATGCCGACACTGGCGTAGATGAAGAAAACCAGTCGGTAGGCCCGGACGGACGTCCAGTGCTTGTCGTGTCTGAGAAACGTGATGATCCAGCCGCAGCAGACGAAGCCGAGCGCCGTGCCTGCGGTGCCGATCAGCGAGTACCAGGCGTAGATGTCGCTGCGGTGCTGGCTGGCGGTGAGATGGGCCAGGGTTGATTCTTCAATGGCCCTGAACGGTCCGATCTCATTGCCACTACAGTCAGGAAGAGGTTTGTCAGTCAGCTAGTCATTCAATCACTGGAGTCTCTGGCCTCTTTGCTCTTGCTGGGCAGAAAGGAGGAGTAGTGGTAGCAGTAGTAGCGGTAGGAGGAATAGTAGCAGTAGTAGTAGTGGGCGTAGTAGTGATAGGAATAGTAGTAGTAACAGTACGCACCTTGGACTGATAACCCCCAAAATAGCCGCCGCCAGCAACACCCAGTAATTGCCGGACAGGCCGAAGACGATGCCGCTCGCAGTCATCAGCGCGGCGCCGAAGACCAGGATCCATTTGCGGCCCAGCCCATCGGCGATCAGGGTCAGCAGGAAGCTGATCAGCACGTCGCCCGCCAGCGTCAGCGTCATGAACAGGCCGATGCGCGCGTCCGACACGCCCAGGTCCGAGAGGTACGAGGCCAGAATCAACGTCGACCCGCCATACGCAAACAGCCGCACGAAGCGCTGTAGGATCAAGATCTTCGAGTCGGCCGGGGCGTGGTAGAGCGCGACCAGGCCGAGTTCGCTGAGCACCGCTTGGACGGCGCGAAGGAGCTTGGAGGCGAGGCTGATGCCGTGGCCGTCGTTGCTCTCTGTCGGGAGTGTGGCCGGTTCGGCGTCGTCGGGTGGCGAGTTGGAGTTGCTCATGGTGGTGGCGGCGTGATCCTTGCTGTCGCTGGGCTGTGGCTCTATTCTCTTCGGTCCAGGTTCAGGTTCAGGTTCAGGTTCAGGTTCAGGTTGATGAGGGAGAGGAGAGGGAGACAGAAGAAAGAGATTCTCGGCAGGGCAGATTGGATACTGGATCCATACATGTCCATAATACAAGGTACATAGTAGACACCAAAGACTGGCGATGCCTCCCTTATGGCCGGCGCTCGGTCGTAAGAAAAGACAGCAGTCTGCAGCCGCGTACTTCGTATTCCCTCCCCACTGTAAGTAAGTAGCTAGAATTTACTAGATTTACTGGAACAGGACCAGCACCAGCACCAGCACCACGTTATTGTCCAGGCAGTAACCCCTACAGGAATTCTCATTCTCATACAATTTTACTTCTCACCTTCTTTGCTGCGCCTGCGCCTGCGCTCCCAAGTTCCTCGCATCAAGGCCGGACCAGGACGATTACGATTACGGTCACGGCCGGTGCAGGATGAAGCAGGACGAAGAGCCTTCCACAGGAACTTGAAGAAAGACTAAAACATGATCCAGTGGAACAGAAGACATAAGATGGTTCATAAAGAGTCAATTGATCGACTGCACTGCCCCTGTGGCATGGCAGCGTCGTGCTCTTCAACTGACAATCAACCCCGAACGCCGTACGCCGTGCTTTTGATGACCTGTTGGACTTAGGTCAATGAAGAGAAAACAAGAAATGCAATGCAAGCAAAAGCAAGACCGTGTGTGCCGATTCCCTCTCCCTCTCCCACTCCCAAGCAATGCAATATAATGTGAGGCCCTGCTCTGCGATGGCTGGAAATGACAGGCCATGTCACTCCCCCTTCCTCCTTTCCTCCTTTCCTCCGCCCGCGCCCCTCCCGCGTATTCCCTCCTGGTCCTCCACTGTCTCACTGTCAGAGTCACAGTTCAATCACCTCGCTTGGTTCCGCTCGCTGCTTCACCTTCGCTTCTTCCTCCGCCTGTTTTTGCAGGAGATCGGCCAGTCCATTGACGCAGTCATGGCCCACCTTTTGGATCTTGCATTTCAGATCGCGACAGCCGTATTTGGTCCTCGGACCCGGCACCAACAAGTCGTCGGAATTGTCTCGAAACTCTGTGGCGTACTCCCACTTGTCCTTCAGGAATGCCGTGTGGTGCACGTAGTCGCCGTCCCGCCCGTGTGAGGACCGGGATTGCAGTTTGGTGTCGGTGATGCGGGCGCGTTGGCTTGGTGGCGGGGCCGACCTTGAGCCTGATGCTGGTGCTGGAGCCGGTGCCGGTGCCGTGGAGGCCGCTTGTTGTGGCTGTGGGTTTGACAGACTGGTGCCATCCTTGTTGATGCCCGAGTTGTAAACGTCGAACACCGACCAGTCCGTGTCATCCTCTTCCTCCTCCTCATCCGAGGAATCGCCCGAGGCATCGCCTCCGTTCCCCCGCTTTCTCTTTCCCGTCAGGGGTGACATCTCTCGTTGCTTGCCGTTGGTTCCCGGCAGCTCCGCTTGGTCCCCTTCCTCCTCTGGTTCCCCTTCACCTTCCTCCAGATCGAGTTTCAATGCCTCGGTAGGTGCTTGCTCTGCTCCCAGGTCCACGTCTTCAAACCCGCCCTCCTCTTCCGAGTCCACATCCGTTTCTTGTCTTGGGTCGGTGGTCTCTTCTTCTACCTCGGCTAATCCAGCGGGACTCACGGAGCCTGAGTTGCTCCAGGATATGGATTGCTGCGAGCTCAAGGACCAGGCGGGGCTGGGGCTCTTACTCCCCCCTGGGGGAGGACCAAACCGGGGGCTTTCGGCGCCGTAGACGGGGCTTGGTGGAACAAAGCCGGGGCTTGAAGGAGGACTCGAGAGTCCGGTGAACTCGGAATCGGCGTGGTCGGCGGCGCGGTCGGGGACGGGGACGGGGTCGGGCTCTGACACGCGCATCGCACGCACGGCTTCGACCATCTCATCATCTGCCCATGTTGAAGATGGGGATTGTGAGCGGGGGCTGTCTGTATCGCCAGGTTCGTCAGCACTGACTGACATCTGAGTAGGACTGGGGGGGACGTACGACCGCGACTTCAACTTCCACCGGTCTGCACTCGACTGAGGTGCCGGTGTGGGCCCCTGGTTCCGGCCATCGGCCTCGTCCTGGGCGACAGGGCTGGGAGCATCGCTCACGCCAGATCCACTGCCACCGGTGCCACTGCCTGCAGCCTCATTCTCGTCCAGGAGAGTCAACCCCGGGATACGAGGCCGAGACTCCACCAGATCGACGCCCTGTGCCTGTAGGGGCTGCTGGACATCGTCCATCTGCCGTTCTGGCGAGCCCCGCGCCCCGACACCCTCTGCCTCCACGTCCACGTCCACGTCCATCTGCTGAGCCGGGACAAGTTCTTCGTACGAGTCGCCTGCCGCCGTCTGCAACTCCATCTGCAACTCGGGAGGGAGGGAGAAGTCCATGTCGGCTCCGAGCAACTCCTCGAACCCACCGGGGAAGCAGGAGTAGTCGATCGGCTCGGGGAGGCCGGGGAGGTCGACCTGACCGAGCAGCCCAAACTCCGAGAGGTCGTCGAAGTTGTCCTGGCACTGGGCAGCTTGTGCCCCCAAGTCGCCCTCGCCCTCGCCCTCTTGCCCTTGAGGAGCTGGTTGAGTGGCAGGCGTCATTGCCTCTGGAGCCGGCCTGGTAGCCATTTCCAGGGCCGCCTGCAAGTCACTCAACTTGCGTTCCAGCTCCTCGTTCCAGGCCTTGGTTTGCTGTAGCTCGTTCGTAAGACTGCCGTATGCAGCCAGCCTCTCGTCCAAGCAGGCTTGTCTGGCCTGGGAGCCCTCCTCCGCCGCCTGCCTCAAAGTCCGCTCCTGTTGAAGGGCGGCTTCGGCTTTGGCAGCACCAGCTTCGGCCTGGGCCGCGCGAGTTCCAGCCAGGCGAAGACTTGCTGTCGACACCGTCGAGGCTTTGGCGACTCGGAGTTCTTCTTGGGCCTGCCGAGCTTGGGCTTCGGCCTTCTCTCTCCGTTCACGGGAGAAACTGCAAAGATCGGCATATTCTTGGTGCTCCTTCTGACCAATCTGCTTCTCGCGTTCCACCTCCTGTTGCAATCTCTTCACTTGACTGACTGATCTGAGCAGTTCTTCGTAGTAGCCACGATCAAGTTGGATCATGTCTAGGGGAGAGTCGTCATCGTCGGAGTAAGGGACTTAAAAATGATTGGGCTGTACAGGCGTGGACGGAGGGAGGCCGTGGAGGTTGTCTTCGTTGAGCTTCTGGCCGGCCCCGGTGTGTTCTCTGAGTCTCTTGAGCAGTGGCGAGGATGCGACAGCTGCTTGGACGCTGCTAATGTGATGCATGGTGTTGGTCTTGATGCTGGCAATCAACGGCTCGACAGCTTGCTCCTGGATAGGAGAAAACACCGCAGTCTTGAGATAGAGCCAGATCTTCTGGCACGCCGGAATGACGGCAAAGATGACCAGGCAGTACAAGAGCCGAAGAACATGGTACATGAGCCGGCATAGCCGCTCGAATAGCACCCGTGAGACGACGACCAGTGCCTTGACGAGACGCTCGAATACCACTTGGCTGTACACGTAGATTTGGTCGAGAACCGCGTTGCAGGCAGCTGTGAGGGCATCTTGGAGGTTTTGCAGGTATGGGTCGATCTTGCGATGACGCCGCAAGAGCCATGCATATGTCTCTTCATATATACGATCGAAGAATCCTGGGCCGATTCGAGGCCTGTAAGAGACCTCGAGTTGTCGAAGTTTGCGATGATACTCTTCCGTGGCTTGGCGCACACCGTCGTTGTGCCAGTAGTGCCGTCTCGCCCGACTGACGTCGTAGAGCTTGGTCAGGATGAACATCAGAGGTACCCAGGAAAAGACGAAGAAAGCAATCAGGAGATGATAGCGTTGCCACGGGCTGCGAGTGGGCACTATGTCGTAACTGTTGTAACTGTCGTGACCGTGGATGTTTTGGCCTGACACGATTGCCGTGTAGGCTGCTGAAGGTAGAGGAGTACGCACGTAAACGCTGGTGGCGCTCGTCACAGTACTCCATGGTTCCGCCGTAACGGTGTGGGTGTTGAGAAGGGTTTTGGTGACATATCTGGTCACTTGAGGAGGAGGAAGGGGTGGTGTTCCGAGGGTGAGGATGTTTTTGAAGAAGGGAGGGGTTTTGAGATTGAGAATGACAAGGTAATCGCTCGTCTTCTGCTGCACATACAGCATCATAGCTGAAAGCACGGAGATGAAGCCTGCAAAGCCTGCCATGATTGCTGTGGTGGAAGTGTGCTTAGAAGATGGTGGTAAGTCGATCTGATCAAGAGTTTGGAAAGAGTGAAAAGGGAAAATTTGTACATGCGCAGGCGCAAGTGAATTGTTTATTGACCCTCAACGCGTTGGGTAGTGAATGCCTCCGGTCTCGTGATTATTCAACACTGGGTCCCATGTGTTGAGTCCTCTAACTGTGCTGCAACGCTCGACTGTGTTGTGTTGCCTCGTAGCACCATCTCATCACGAAGAGCCGGTTCGATCGGTCCGAATGATTCCGCGACTCCCTCGTCAGCGAACAACAATACTATCCCATATATGTATATTGGGGTCAGGCAGTAAGCGCAGGTGGCAGATGTCTGAAGGGTTAAAGGGGGATTTATGACCAGGGGTGCTATGTTTGGCATCTGCTATTTTTCATCATTGGAGGCCTTCTTTGTCGTTATGATGGTTTCTGGCTTGTCCCCAGGCTGCTTTGTTTCGGGCATTGTTTGTGCCAAAAGGGATGCACTTACCAGCATCCTGAACAATGGGAAGAGCCTTTCTTCATTGTGAGTTTGCAAGGCAGTGTCCTTAGTTTGACAGCCACCCCTAACAACATCAAACCACGAGATTGATACGTTGCCAGTCATGATGAGCACGGGGGGAATCAGGATGGACAGCGGACAACTGCTGCCACAGCAGGCGCGAACTGAGCACTGAGTACTGTTTGCTTGCTGCGGAGGTTGTTCGTTCTCTCCTGGGCCTGTCGCCGCAATTGTGGCATGGTTGAAACCAAGTCCCACAGCATCCTCATCACTCATCACTCATCAAACCTTCGAAGACATGATATCGTCGAGTCATTGGCGGCGATATTGGGAGCTGTTCTTTCAACTCCAAGCTACCGTCATCGGGCATGATGCTGGAGCCTCGGCCAGATCCTCTTCTTTCAAAGGGCTCTAAGACGCGGCGGACTGGCTTCGGCCTGAGACCGCCATACCGCATCTTAGCGGGATTTAGATGGAACCACAAGAGGTCGTCATCGTCGCCATCGCCAGTCAATATCAAATGATGCACCCTACGGAGTACCAGCCCAGTCAGTCACACATGGCATCTGTCGGGCATCTCAGACCTCAGACTTGGTTGGAATAAGATTTGTCGCTGCCACGTGACCTCACTGACCTCACGTGACCGCGGGCAGTTGTTGCTGTTTGCTGCCTGTCCGCCTTTGTCTTCTCTCTTTGTCTGATATTGCTTCACTGCAACTCCTGGCGACAGTACTACATTGCATTGTTTGCAAATTGTGCCCTCTCGCGATTGGCTTGACCGGTCCTTGTGGTGTTCTCGTTGAGACCCGGTGCCCTGTGCCGCGGCAGCCAATCAGAAAAGGTCAAGCTTGATACCAGCGACCAGCAACCAGCCTCGTCTCTTTCCTATCATACTCGGCTCTACTAGGTCTCCGTCCTCAAATTGAAGCCCACGAACATCTTGTTCCAGCTGATGCACTAGTCACCTAGAGAAGATATCCTGTTCAACGGCGCAGGCAATGGAATCCAGCTTGTCCGATCTTCCAGACCACATCTCCCACTACCTAACCAGCATCAACACCACCACGACCAGCCCGGGGGATGACCTGGACCTCTTTTTCCACTGCTGGTCGCGTCCACACTGCCCAGCTTGCCTGTCACCGTCAAATCCGTACCCGTGCTCATGGTGCGCCACGTCCCAAACCTGTGTGCCCAACACCATCTATTCCTACCCGTTCGGGATCTTGTCGCCGATTAAGTCCGCCAGCATATGTCCCTTGGGATGGCGGGAGAGGTGGGAGATGCGGGCTCGCCCCTTCAGCTGCCGATGCTCGAGCATGACCTTCGTCAGTGTTGTGGTTGCCGTCTTGGCGACGTTGCTGGGCCTGTGGTTGATATGGCTGAGCATCCGGGTTGGCCTATGGGCGGGCAGGACGTGGAAGGGCCGAGAAGAGGGATGGTGGAGACTACGAAAATGGAACTGGATGCGGAGAAAACGCCCTTCTGCCGAGTACCAGGCAGAGGTGGAGAGTCAGGCGGCGGAGGAAACGACCCCCCTACTCGCCGAATGAACGTGTGTGGTCGAGTCGATGCTACCATGATCGGCCCCAGAAACAGCCTCTGAGTCCTAGGCACTCTCTACCCCCGTTGACACCATATTAACTTGGAGCGTCTTCCTCTTGTGCAGACGCTTCGCCCTTACAGACTTTACTAATGCGATATTCGACGCTCAGCGCACCGTCCTTGATGACGAATCTCCCTGCGCCGACAAACAAGGCCTGTTCTAGTGACTTATATCGCATCGAGCCCGTTTCGAAGGATACCTGGATGACTGTACGCAAGGATTAGCATCCAGAAGTGCCAGAGCAGCCTGTGCCCGGGAACCAGGACCAGAGGTTGCGTCTGGCAAAATTCGGGCCTACCAGTCCTGGGGGTTGTTCTAGAGTTACGAGGAGGGCGACAGCCAGTCAAGATATCTTACATACACGAATTACCGAAGTCGGTGGACCTCGCGTTTGCACTGCGGCCGAGGATGCGGCGCACTTCGGTCGTAATGTCCACAATGCCGGTATAATGGACATGGATGGACTGGAACATGATGTCAGTGGCCGGCGACCACAGTTCATTGATTGAGTCCAGAGACCTCTATGGAGGATTGGCATCACATACCTCTCCATGTAGGTCACTATGTGTATGCGTGGAACCCCGTCAGCCATAATCGGACCAGCCCCGAGACATGAGGACGGCGCAAGTGACGAATCAAAGGACAAGAAAGACCTTCCTAAGAGAAGAAGGACAAGAAAGAAATTCCCAAGAGAAGAAGGACAAGAAAGACCTTCCCAAGAGAAGAAGGGCAAGAAAGAAATTCCCAAGAGAAGAAGGACAAGCAAGACCTTCCCAGGAGAAGAAGACCATGTGAAAATTCCCAAGAGAAGAAGACCCTATAGCTAGGTCCAAGACTTACACAAAAACAAGATCACTCTTCAGCCGCATCCTACCCCCATCCGGATCGTTATGGACATAATCCGTCCCTTGGCCCTGAAGCCTGGCAACCAGACGAACAGGAAAGTCAGGCTCGGAAGCCAGCGTGCCCGTCGTCAGCGGCACCACGGTCAGCGGGTTGCCGCGCGACAGGGAGCCGATGGCTATGGCTGGGCCGATGCCGATCTGGAGATGCAGCGCGGGCTGGAGGAACGGGTGGTCGGAGAGGCTGGAGGGGGTGGTGGTTGATGCTGGATTGGAGGGGGTGGTGGTTGATGCTGAATTAGAGGCCGATGCAGCCACAGGATCGGATTCCATTACCGATGTCGATGTTGATGTAGTGACTGAATAAGTGACTGACTGATTGACTAACTGACTGAGTAATTGATTGATTGACTGATTGATTCAGGTGCCGCTGCAGTGTCTGATGCTGATGCTGATGCTGATGCTGATGCTGATGCTGATGCTGATGCTGATGCTGATGCTGATGCTGATGCTGATGCTGATGCTGATGCTGATGCTGAAGTTGGTCTAGTATTTCTGGTTGTGCACGCAGTCGCCGTGTTCGTTGCTTAGCGAGGCAGGGTTGGCCGTGACCGAAGAAGTACAGTACAGTACACACTGCAGTACGGAGTACAGGAGTAGCCGACACCCCTGCAGGCCTTGGTCTTGACCTTGACCTTGATCTTGACCTGGGTCACTGGTCCCCGAATAGACTCAGCCGGCGCGACGAGACCAGCAGAAGCAGAAGCGGAAGCAGAAGCAGAAGCGGAGGTGGAGTAGTGTAGAGTACCTAGAGGGTTATGGACAGATCCGGACACGGACACGGGACACCTAGGAGATGGAGAGTGCAGACCCAGAGCCCAGAGCCCAGAACCCAGAACCCAGAGCCCAGAACCCAGAACCCAGACCGATACGGATGGGAATGGAGATGGAAATGGAAATGGGAAATACGAGACTCGACGTCGAGCCCTACCTTAGGTGCTCGGGTATACAGTGTACTCCGTACTCCGTACTGCACGAATAATGTCATCTACTACTCGTACCAGGATAGCTGGTGACAGGACCGGACCGGACCGGATTGGGATTGGTTACCTTATGCAACTCACTCTTCCCCAGACGACGCTGAGTCATGGTTGGTACATATAGGTACCTAGGTACACCACCTAGTAGTAGGTGTAAGTACCTATTAACATTAACTATATCCCAGATACAGATACAGCACTGTAAGATTAGGTGTCCTGCTTGCTTTCTATCACGGTCAGTCGCTAGGGCTTAGGTTAGGAGGCCGCTTCCAGTCAGGGCCCCTAAGCCTTAGGCCCTTGTACCATTGACATTGTCTGTCCAGGGCCATTGCTGCAATTGCTGCACTCTTACAGAGGGATAAACCCGGTCACCCTATCACCTAGGTGCCTATATATCTATCCAAACCACAGGTGTCGGTCGACAAGATGCCATGTCTGAGGTATCTCTGTCCCCGATTCCACCATAAGAGCCTGTTCGGTACTCAAAACCACAAAGTATCTATGCACAACACGGCCAGAAGGTATTATTTTCATATCCATCACTCATATGTATCGTCAAGCCGTTCAAGATGCCAGATCCGCGGCCAGTGGTGTGTTTGATGCTCTTTGCCCTCTATCACCCAAAATCCTGGTCAATCTCGCCGTCCGGTTTCGTATATACAAACGCTCTCTTGACAAATACCTTCCAAAGGTGATTCTTTGCCGTCTTCGTCTTTTTCTTCTCTTCTTCCCCAATGCCCCCGATTTCTGGCTGCTCACTTAACTCTGGTCCAGAGTCTTGTCCATCCGACCGAGGCAGCTGGTTTCTTCCGATCCTCTCCGCGAGATCCAGCCATGACCGCACAGTCAAGTCCGGCATCCCGTACTTGCTGTCATTATTGGTGGTGTAGAGCTTCTGATAGCTGAAATGTTTGTAGGGCTCTTTGAGAGTCTGATCCTGTTGTATTTTCCCATGGATCGCGGTCAAATTGGCAAAGTACTGAGTGAAGGAGATCAGAGATAGCGACTGCGGGGAATAGCCTGGTCCCGGTGGTGCAGTTTTAGATGGAGGCTGAGGGATGGGGAATTTTGGTTTCTTCTTTCCGTGCTTCTTCTTCTTGCCCTTCCTTTTCTTTTTCTTTTTCAGTTCATGTACCCCATCTTCTGCTTCGTTAATGAAATCCAGGTAGGCCTCGCTCGCATTTAAGAGAGCGTCTTCGAGATCGCCGGTGTGTCCTAAATCGGACTCTTTCGCAGGAGTTCCTATTGCTCTCGGGGCCGGATGATGATCATCCATTCCCGTAACGTTGTATTCCACAATCCGAAGTGTCGGGTAGAAGTTGGGAACAACACTAGGTGAATCCAGACTCACACTAAACCTCTCCCCCCATGGACCGCCAATTTCTTTCAGGAATTCTTCAACTCGCTTCCTCTTTTTCTTCTTCTTCTTTTCGATCTCAACGAGGTCCGACAGTACCTCGTGATCTTCCGGCGTCAAATAAGAATGCCCTGGAGGAGGCCGCGGTAGATTCGACCATTTAGACCGCAATTCATTCAAATATTGTGTCTTCGCAGCGATAGTAAAAGTGTCATTGTGTGATTCCGGTTCCGGCAGGAATCCTTTCGATCGGCCAACTTCATCATCGACGCCATCAATGGCGAACTTGTAAATCAAGTCCTTCACATCTTGGAACATAAAATGGTCTATGTTCATATGGCCAAACAGGGACGAGATAATCACGTCTCGATACTGGCGCATCCACAACGTGTATTTCTGGTAACAACTTTCGTCCCAGTTTTGTTTGCTTTCTGTTCTCGCAGGTGGGACATGGCCTATCAGGATAGCTTTCATTCCTCGTTCCCGCAGGAAGTGCAACTGGACTCGCAGCCATTCCATATGCTCGTATCCCGGGTCGTTTTTCGAGTCACACCCGTCGACTGCCGAGTTCGAATCGAAAAAGTACAAGGTGTTGAGGCTGAAGACTGCCAATTTGTCTGGTATGACTTCTGTGAAAAACCATCCTCCTCTTGCAAACGAGTGGCGTTGAGCCTGAGGGACAAATCTCTCCCAAATCTCACTATACGACCGAGTCCACTTATTCGGCCCAGGGGAAAAGATGTTGTGAGGTAGGATATCGTTGTTTCCGAAAGTAGGCACGATTGGGACGACGAAATCGTTGGTGGGATCGGGGTCATCGACGTTGTCGGTCTTGCCAAACACCTCCACGAACTTGTCCACAATAAACTCATTGAGATGAATGACGGATTTATCGGTTCGAGGAAAATGGTCGTCATTATCATGTCGGGCAGAGTCTCCTGTCCACACGACAAAATCAACCTGATCCTTCAGATGCTCTTTGATCCACCGGAATGTGGCGTTGACCAGTGAGAACGGTGTGTCGCAACTTGTGACTTCTGCACCATAGTATCCGGCCTGTCCTTTGCCCCGGTGGCAAGCCTCGTCAGGGTCGGAACCGGCTAGGTAGAAGGGGTCGGGATGGATGTCTAGGGCCGAATGGTCAGCAAGAACATACGGAGACTGCAGAGGTAGGTCGTTGCGCTGTACCTGTGATATGTAGAAACCTCCCCTGGAGAGGTCTTGGAGAAGGCTGTGATTTCGACTGCTTTGCGAGGACTTGTTGAAGTGGTTCAATATGCGAGGGAGTTTCCGCTGGCGCAGCTGCTGCCAAAGCCGTGAAAAGCAGGACGCCGCGAGTAAAGCGAACCATGACTAGCAGGAGAGCAACGCCCACATTGACCGACCCTACCGCCACAACCAACACGCCAGCCTATACCTTGCAAACAGGCCGAGACATAGGGAAGAGGCGGGTGAAAAATGTCGCGGTCAACTGTTGAAGGTCCTCAGTCGATTATTCGCGTCGGGAGCCTGAGGTCCAAGGACAGGATGATGTCATCGGCAGGCTGCGCGGCCGGGGCTTGACATTGCCTGCGCCCGACTCCGCAGCTTCGTATCCTGTCGTCGCAACAGCAGGAGGGAACAGACGATCCTGTCACGGTGCAGAGTACAAGTCGCTGATGATGATCCTCGGCCTTCAAATGTGAACGGACCGCCTCGGGACTTGACGTCTCTTCGGTGTGGCCGGCGAGTCGTGTGTTTGCCCTACAGGATAATATTAATATTGCGACAGCGGCCTCGGAAGCAAGTAGACAGGCGAAACAAGAGGTGATCAAAATGTCGAGACCTAGAATCCGCGGCTACTCCCTCACTGCGAATAGCCCTTGTTATATGGCGACCTGGTTGCTACTCTTCTCGCCCTAATGGAGACCTAGCTTTGCCATACTGTGTTGAGGCCAATAAGCAGTGCCGGGGCAGACACGTGCGGCTGAAAGGTCTCAGTTGACAGCAGCGTGTAAACCGTAAACCCCAATATCCTGGGGCTGACAGCCATATCCCCGTGCCCGAAAGTGACATTATGGAGGGTTAGTGATAGATTGGCCTAATGCTAACGAGATCGACATGGTTTGCTTGCGTGGCATCTGCCTTGTGCGCATCGTGTCTCGTCTCGCGGCTCGTGTACATATCCCTTGCAAGCGCTAACTAAAGTGATGTGCGCGATCATTCTCGATTCCGCCCGCCACCAAAGAACTCATAGCTTCGGCGAGGGAGAGATCCTTGGGGTGGGGTAATCAAACGCCGTTGTTGACTGTCCTGGGTCACCGCAGGAGGGCTGGGCAGCTGGGTAAATGATGTGGCACCGTAAGGGTACTGTGTGAAATGGTTGCCCACCAGGTCCCCATATCCGATGCTGTTGTTGGACGGCGTACTGGATGCGCTCGTATACTGTATGGGGTTTGCATCCATTTGTCTGCTTTTAAGCCGTGAGAAGAGAACAGCTGACTCTTGTTCGAATTTTTCTCTCATCTCCGGCATCGACCAGCGATGGCGAGCAAAGTCTAGAATCTCGATGATCCTGCGCAGGCAAATAGTGGCGCGTTGACTGTTGTCCAAAGGTATGTTTCTCGAAAGCGGCGAATCGCCTCGGATGGCACGCGAGGTCGTACCTACCAAGCGGTCAAAATCAGACCACATCACTTCCACAAATTTCTGGCCGACATATTTTGCCCGGCAGATGTCGGCATAAGTCAAGTATGCATGCCAGCTAACGTCTTGAGTAATGGACTGTAAGAGCTCTGCATATTGAGCCGAGTACTCAAACACAAGCTCCTTGTTGAGATCCGTCATACTGGCCGCAGGTACTTTTGGGTTTGGCGACACCACCAGAATTTGGGAGTACAGTCTCTCAAGGTTAAAGAGCATGAGATGGCGTTGGGACAGAGTCGTCGGTATTGTCGAATACCAGGCGTGGATATCATTCGACACTGAGCTGGAATACGTCGCTGCGGTCGCTAGCGGCCATTGAGAGCGAGAAGACCACCTCGTTGTTTGGTAGAAAGCTGACTGGACTCGACGGACATCGAACAGATACAATGACGGTTTTGTGGAACGTAGGAACAGCTGTGAAGAAGATGGGTCGGATGATGATTCCGGTAGAGGAACATCCGGAGCTGAGTCGTCGGTAAAGGAGAATGCTCGGTCTAGCGACATGCTCACCAGACGGTCCAGGGCGTAGGTGCAATGGAATACTCTGCGTCGAAGATCCAATGCGTCCTTGCTGATCTTGGTCTCGGGAGGGAGTTCACAGTGCAGTCCCAGATCGACCATGAGGCGCGATGCCATGCCCACCAGATACCAGCTGTCAAAATGGGCTGGATCGACCAATGCATATTGCACCAACAAGAGAAGAGCCTGAAGGCCCGAGAGGGAACCAGGATGAAGGACGTAGTTTGCCAGACCCCTAGCCGCTGCCACATGCTGCAGCGCTGTCTTGTCGTTTTCGTCGCCCTTTTGTTGAGAGCTTGAGGCGTACGCAATGGCCAGGATCAGACGCACATTCCACACATCCAACGGGCTCACCGAAGATGGAACAGTAGCGGACTCGTGATAAATCCGAGAAAGACTGCTCATCAACTCGGTTTCCGAAAAGAAGGGGAACAAGACGTATACGTTCTCAAGATATTGATTGATCATTGGGGTAACGGCATAACGTGGTGGAAGTGCCCGGTTTTCGAGCGGAGGGAGCTCATTCCTTGTCGCAGCGGACAGCAGGAGTTTGGCAAAGGACATGGTGGCAGTGAAGCCGTGGAAGTCGCGCGAGGTGGCATTGACGGTCAAAAACCCAAAGTCGCTGACCAGCTCATCAACATCAGTGGCCTCCTTTCTCCGGGTCCCGCTGGGTTTTCGCGTTTGAGGATGCCCTGATCGCAGAGCTGAGCCGGAGATGGCATTGTGGCTAGCATATTGCGCTTTGGCGTTGTCTACTCTCTTCTGCAGTCTCTGGGCAGTGGCCTCTAGAGCAGCAACATAGCTTCTTTCTTTCCCTCGGGCGAACTCATCGTTGGCGCTGGTGCAGCTGTTTGATTTTCCCGACCGTTCACAAGCAGAACAAGCAGGCAACTTGCCGTCGCATTTAATCTTCGCCGACCGACATCGTGAGCACGCTGCGACAGGTCTAGATACCCGTAACGAAGGGTTCAGAAGAGCCTCGACAGACTCGGTCTTAGCCATATTCTGTGCCGCGCGGGGTTCGAAGATGAATATCAGACGATGGTCCCAGTTGGGATGGTGTCCGTTTCATTCGGATGCCGGATTCTTGTGTCCTTTCCTCGATTGTCAGACAGGACAGGGGTTTCGCAGGGGAGCATCAAGAGGGTAATGAGAAGTTCTCTCATTGCTGTTGTTCTACTAGTCACTAGGTGTAACAGTCTATGTAACAAGGCGGCAGATAGTGCACGGGAGCACAATCGGACATGTTCTTGGAGCACCAATGGAAGAAAGTGGTGCCGCTGCGACAATCACGCCCTAGTGATTAGGTGCCTTAGGCAGTATTAGTTGTACCCGCCGACCCCTAAAAGTCCCCTCCGAATCCTCCCTAATCCCTGAACCACCCCGGGAGGACGGCGGAAGGGTTGCTCGCCCCGGGGCTTGGGGCTTTCAATTGAACCTAATCACCTATCTAGGTACAAGGGCTGCATGAGTCCACACGCTCTCGAACCTCGCCATTGATGAATGGAGCTTGCCGAACTCCCGCTTGGTTCTTCAGCGCGGCACTGGAGGCACGGCACCCGAAAACTGTCAAAGTCCAGGCCCTCTGCCAGTAACAGGCGTCTGCTTCGAACCCCGCCATATTAATGCACGTCGTCCTGATACTGTACATATTGTCCAGCGGCTACCGCCGCGTCCACTCTACATATTATTACTCGGTAGGTATGCATCTAGATTCTACTGGGCTGCCCAACTAAGGTAGCCATCCCGGGGTGATTTGCAGCCGCCGCAATTGAAGTGTATGGACCACCTCCTCTAAACCTGCAGATTGCTTGCTGTATCCGTACGGCGTACACCGAACACCGTCCAGATTCTCCGGCAGCTTTGTCTATTCGCCGTTCAAGTGGCTGACGGGCTCTTCTAGGCTGCACGACTGTTATTTTACTCCTACCGTACACGACGACACGACGTTACAATGAACACCTGCCCCAGACAGCCCCAATGCTTCGCCCATCTTCGGGTTCGTTAGGCCGGGTGCGAACTATGAGGAGAAGGCGTTAGATCTTTGCAGCACGCGCAGAAGTCTTCAGAGAAAAACATATCGGCCCTTCTTGATGGCTGAGGGCCAAGATGCGGCCATGGCCGAGTCGCCCGGGCAGGCGCGGTCGCACGAAAAAGTCCATCACACTGTTACCGCCTGCGTGCGGTGTAGGCAGGTACGCTGGCACATCGAACCCCTCTCAGACTATTATTGATGAACTGGTCATAGAGGAAGACGAGGTGTGACCCGACCCTTCCCCGTTGCCAACCGTGTGAGCGAAGCAATGCCCACTGCGAGTATTACGATTCCGCAAAGAACAGAACCATTCCGAGGGCGTACATTACCTCCTTGCAGGAGACCGTCCGCAAACTCAACGAAGAACTCAAGGCGCTGGAGCAAGAGGAGGACTATGATCTTGACCACGAGTCTATGGCGCGCGCGGCCGGCCTGGTCAAATTCAGTGAGACCGACGACGGCCGCTTCCTGGGCCCTTCAAGTGGGATTGCCGTCACGCGCTTCGTGATGGAATTCGCAAAACAAAGTTCCGCGAAAAGAACCATCCAGGATGTCGTGCCACATCATGCCGCACAAGAGATCAAGCAGAAGTTTGATGCCGAGAGCAGCAAACCAACGTCCAAGGTCTATCCTCTGATCAGCTCAGTCGCCGCTCCCGACCTACCGAATCGGGAACTCATGGATAACTTGGTCCAGATATACATGGTCAAAGCCCAGTATATGCTGCCATTACTCCACGAGCCCTCCTTTCGTCAAGAACTGCACGCTGTTTACGATGGTTCTACCGACCCGACCCTCAATTTTCAAGTCCGTATGGTGATTGCAATTAGCATGCAGAAACTTGATACACAATACGCTGGCCTTGCTGACAGCTACTATTTGGCTGCTCTGCCATTTCTGACGGGGGCGGTACAAAAGATGGACTTGTCTACGTTGCAATGTTTCGCCCTGATCGCTCAGTACTCGCTACTTACGCCAACGAGGACAGCAGCATACTGGGTCGTGGGCATGGCTGCCAAATTATGTCTGGAACTCGGACTGTGCGAGGAAGAGACTATTCATAGACCGTCTTCCGGGGCTCGCCCGAACGCCCTCGAGGTTGATATGCGGCGCCGATTGTTTTGGATCATCACATCAATGGAATACGGCCTCTCTCACAGCCTGGGGAGACCGAGTGCTTTTGGGGTCACGATCGACAACATCAACGTGAACTTCTTTGAGCTTTGCGACGACAAATTCATCACTGCAGACGGCCTACTCCAAGGGCATCATCCAATCATGAAAAAATGTATTTCGGTCCATTTCCTCAAAATGCGACTTCTCCAGGCCGAGATTAGGCGGACTTTATACCTCAGAAAGCGAGAATCTCCCGCTTCGGACACTGACCCTTGGTTCAGCATGATGCTGAAAAAGATTGATGATTGGGTTCGGGAGTGTCCAAAGAATGATGAAGGTTCAGGACTTAGTGAGAGTTGGTATGTTCATACGCGCAGATACCCAAACACCAGTGATCAGGTCAGAACGCGTGGCCTTACAGCTACTGACATAGTGTTTCGCTCTCTAGGTTCATTGGGAGGAAAAACACGATGATAGTATTCATGTATCGCCCGTCACCTCAAATCCCGAATCCATCATTCGATGCCGCGCAGCGGTGCTATGCCGCAGCGGTGTTTAACATTCAACTCCAGAAACGCCAGGTGGAAGCACGACTCATTGACATCACCTGGATCTTCACACAGGCCATATTCATGGCCCTCAACACCGTCCTCTGGTGTCTGTCGTATCCTGGTATTCGCCAGCAGCATCCATTGGAGGAAGTCCAGGTACAAATCAAGGACGCCTTGCAAGCGATTGATCTTTGCGCAGATCGTTGGCCTGGCGTCAGGTCCGCTCAACAACTTTACGAGAACCTTGTGCTCGGATGTTTGAAGGCATACGAAGTGGACAAAGCTGCCGATTCCCCGCAATCTGATTATGTCTCGTCCACCGCACAGGACGTCAGTTCATCAGCGTCACAAGTTGCCAACAGCCCGGCAAGTACAGCAAACACCTCGCTCTACAGTACACAGTCACCTCACTCCACCCACAGCACCCACACGGCCACTCATAGCTTCAAGAATGCGGCAGCCAGTTACATGAACCATTCGAAGCAACCATTTCCCCATCCGGACGTGAGAACCGTGTCTACCCAGCCACAAGCAACCAACGATCAGTATATGACGACCCCAGCCCTGCAAACTGACATGCAGACTCTCCACTACAGCCTGCCGGGATTCGACCCACACAGTACGGACGGCTACCTCCCTGCGACCACGAAAGGTTCGAGCTGTTGGACTGGTGGTCCGATGATACCAGGGGTCATTCCAGGTATAACCGGCTCACCAGACATCAACTATGACGACCTGCCATACTTGGCATCATTCGGGCAAGAGTATTCGCGCTACATGCAGCAGTCTTACCCTCCGACCTATCAAGTGCCAACCCTGAGTCAACAACAGCAGGTGGAACTCATGGAATCTTTAGAGCACAGTCAGTTTCCCGATGTGTCCAGCCTTGTCAGCGATGCCACGACTTTCTATTCCGCCCAACTGCCCTGATCGCCGGCGAGATGGAGAAAATGCTGTTGGCTTCACTGAAGATCACAGGGACGGTCATTATGCCTTGGCCGCGTAATTTCACATGCGAGTGGCCGTGATTCTAGGCGTTCCCGGAGCAGCATCTTAGCATTGGTCGACGATGACAGACGAGTCGGTTGGTGCTGCCTCATTAAGGCAAGCCGCTGGCCATCCGGCTGATAGCAGGGTACATCTGGATGCAGATGGTAGATGTCCCGCACCCGGCCGAATATGCTACCCTTTCCCAAAGTCTCGAGGACGATTGCCCTGAGGATAAACGGACGCTAGACGATGTATCTGTCGCACAGGGACAACCCGCTCCCAATGTATCATTGCGTCGTACGCATTGCAACCCGTTGGTTACGGATCACAAACACGAGGGATGTGACTCAGCACTAGGGCTAAGGCTGCTTAGCCACATTTGCCTTGCCACCGGTTTGGCGGCGCAAGCTGTGGCCTAAGAAGCCTAAGGAGCCTCATTGATTGCCTTGCCCCGGGCTCGCCGAGAGATAGCAAAGAGACGGCATAGGGAAACCTGCGTGATTCACTTCGGGTCTGCGCGCACGGTATGCATATACTACTCGATGCACGTTGTGCTCTACCCGCAGCACCACAACGGGTCCGAACACGGTCTGTCAGGCGCAGAAGAATATTGGAGGGACAGCTGGCGTCAGTGCTGGGCGTCAGTGCTGGGCGCGACAGCTGGGCGCGCTCACAAGCAGCCTCTTTGAAGAGCCATCTCGACCGCGCCCGGTTCCTCGCCCAGACACCCGCTTCATTTTTGTCGGCTGATTACATTCTCGCGCAAAAGATGAGGCTGTGTCTGGCCGCCGGATCAAACAGTCGCCACGAGTTGCCATTCGTTCCACTAACAGAGCCTCATGTTCGTCACTCTCACAATAGCCACGACTTGAAGCCGAGGCATAAGCATCTGCGGGAAGAACGCAGGCAGCCTAGCATTGCATGATAGACACAAAAATATCCCACAAGACTGGTTCGTCCTGCATATTCCTGCGCCGAATCGACCGCAAGACTCGGATGACATCTGGATTGGGAAGAAGATCCACGAATCCTGACCGACACTCCGGGTCAGGCAGACAGCAAAATTCGACTCAACACCATTCATATATTACTTCTTCTCCTCCAGTTTTCATCTGCTAGACGGAACCTATTATTGCAACAATTTTTGTTCATTCCTGCCGGCCAGCTTAATTCAACTCGAGTTGTCACCCAAGTCCTCGTTACTTTGTTTCGCAACCACTCGCTTAAAGCCGTTCTGTTCAAGCACCATCGTTGAAAGCTTCGTCCATCTCGCCCAGTCCGGTTGTGCGAAGGCCGCGGGGCGGCCTACACCATGGAACCAACTGTATCAGAGTTTTCGTTACACATGGATTCGAAAGACAATCGTCGCCCGTATCTGATGCCTGCAATGGTGACCAACTCGCCGTCGGCTCAGAAAAATGGATATGGTGGTCCAAACACGGTCTCGAGCCCAGTACCCAGTTCACATAGTCAGATGCCTCGACAACAGTTACGACGTTTCGACGCAGCTCAGCTCGCGTCCCCAGATGAAAGATGTGCCGGCAACAAACGAACAAACCAGTCCAGCCAGCAAGCCTGTGAGATCAACGTGCTTTGGTGGCCGATATTGAAGCACGCCGACTTTAATGGTCACCGGGATGCGGTCTGCAGGTACCTTCAGCTAACTCCCGAACTATGGTGTGCGCTGTACAGGCCTCGCCAGCCGTCAACCGCTCAAGATCACTTAAGACAGTATCTTTCGCGGCTCTACGGTACTCTTCCAGCTGGTCTCTGGGAATGTCTCGTGAAGCTCAGGAACCACAATCGGTTTGAGCAGTGGCAGGACCATTTCGTCGAGACAATGACAGCAAGTTCAAGTGTCAAGTCGCATTGTCCATCCCCTTCTGGCACGTCGGCATCCGGGTATGATGCAGGTACCCTAGGAGGTGCCAGCGGAGGGCCGGCCCTGCAGCTTGGTTTGACCAGTCCACTTGCTATGTCCCCATTTCTCAGTCCTGGACTTGCCAACGGGATTCAAACACCATCCGCAACGCCGGGTTCCGTGGTTGATCGCTGTAGCCGAGAAGACTCCCGCACTTCAGACCATCCCACGAATGCCAATGCGAAGGGGAGGGCCCCGGCAGGGTATCACTATGTCTGTCCGTACACGAATTGCTGTCACAGACCATTCATTAACACGGGCAATTATATCAACCACATGGACCGTTGTCATGCCGAGTATTTCAAACACGATCCCAAGGACTCACTGCAGCCCGATTCCTCGCTTCAGCGGGCTACCGGAGACGATTGGATATCTTCCACGGCGACAGAACCCATCAGCTCACCTCTGTATACGAGCAACCGGTTCGAGGACCTTGGAAAGGCGGCCGATCTCTTATCACCAGCGAGTTGTATAGTCTCTTTGTCAGGATCTGGGTACAGCGGGCAAAGATATTCCTCAGAGCAGTTGGACCAAATAAACCCTCATCCGGCTTCTACCAGTGCCGGACCGACCTCCAGCTCGACCATGGAGGCATGCAACCTGATGGACAGTGCCCCAGAACCCTCCCCATGCTGGAGTGAAATGAACCGCGACGACGTGCCCGAGTATGCGCCGACCTTTGACGGCGGACTGTCCTTTGGTATGTTCAAAGCCTCTCTTATGCGCTCGTATCCCGAAAATGGGCGAGGCAGTACTGCGGTGTGCGACAGACCTGGCAGGGGGACCGTTGGTCGACGTGAAGGACGTAGGTAACGTGGGTAATGGATGGACCAAACAAGCTGCCTCATCTTCCTTGTCTGAGCGAAGCTCTCGTCATACTTGGCCGCTATGAAAATGTGTGGAGCTGGCCGACGCAGCTCTACGACAAAACGCAGCTTGGGTGATCTGGTTTAACCTAGTACTTGGGCAGCGAGGCTGGAGAGACTCGTGGGTGGTTTGGGGCGGCGGGCGGCGAGCGGCCAGCTATCGTATTTTGGTATAGCTTGGTCCGGAGAACAGAAAGACTGACCCTGGGCTCGCCTGAAGTCAAAGGTATGGAAAATTTGCTCCTGGTAAGGACATGTCAGTTTGTTCTTATCCCGCCTCAGCCGGGCACTGGAGTTGATTTGTGAACGCAACAACTATGGACGAACTCCTCACTTTGATGGCGGTATGGCGGGCTCCATATCCACATCAACTCTATGAGAGAGGGGGGGCTGTGTTGTTCCACGGGTTGTAGAGCGCAGGCAGACAGAACATTTAGGGACGGTACTCCCCACGATCAAGGTCATGAGCAGTAATCTGGGTTGCAGTGCCCACCGCAGCAGGACCCGGTCGGTAGTGTGGCCTCATTTGACAATATAAGAGTTTAGAAGGACATGAAACACACCTGTTAGGACGGGCCCTTGAGATACCAGGGTCTTGTGACCAAGCGTGACATGTCTAGAAGAATTGCGTACAACGTACTGCACATGGGAATGATGCCCATTCGCGTAGCTGTCAGAGGCGCCAGTAGCACGACCTGGCTGAGCTGCATGCCGTGTTCCCACCATGCCGTGGTGGCATGACAGGGTGTTTGTTGGGGATCACATTCAGAGTCTCCCGTATCCGGACTGAGTCCTCCAGTAGCCTCGAGTGTTCAGACGGGGCCGGGGGACGGTGTGTCGTACCTGCTGCATGCCGACGAGAAGGGTGCAGAGGAATGATCGCTGACAGGCGAGGAGCGAACTGACAGCTCTAGCCTCTTCCCATGCATGTCCAAGGTGCCACCACCACGCTCATGAGCAGCTCAGATGGATTGGTGAGGGACAGGCGCGAGGGGTGGCGGAGGGAGGTCGGTCAGTGGATGAATGTTCTGTGGCATGCTTGCATGCGGCTCTTGTTCTCTGTTTTCTCTGGCTCTTTTTTCCCACTACCACTGACCGCCTGTTGAGGTGTTTTCATGTTCATGCGCAGTTGCAGTTCCGACCGTAGGATTGAATCGGCAAGAGACGGGATCTGCACGAGGCTTGTTGGAGGGCTCAGTAGTGACTTGTGCCAGTGCCCAGTGAGTGGTGAGTGCCCAACGGCCTGGGACCCTGGACCTTGCAAAGATTGTACGTACATATGTACGGATACCTCATAGGCACATAGCCTGAGGGCTCTGGCACGATTCGTCGCATCACTTATCACAGACTCGCCGAGGGATGGCCACGGTCCGCGACAACTGGACGAGTTGAGGTGCCCGCTGTGCCCCCAGCGGCCCTAAGCCCTTAGCCTCCTTAGCCTGCACCACAGCCACGATGGGTGAGGCTTCTTAGGCGTCCTAAGCCTAGCCTAGCGCCTAGCCAGCGGGGGACTCCCAGGCTCCCAGGCTCCCTAAACCCGCTATCCTTAGGTGGCGCGTTGTGGCTCAGGGCTTAGCCTATCGCAGCCAGCTAACCGCACCCCAGATTCCAGCGCGATGCCGATTTCAAACATTTCGATTCTCGACGAGTTACTCAATCTTTCGCTCCGTACATTCAGGTTGTCTGCTGTTGTCTTTGCGTCAGGGCGATGGCTTCTGCCACCTCAGCAAGCCGGGTCATAAGCCTGATGAGCATGTCTATGTCTTGACACTCCCATCATGACATCCTATCGGTTTGTTTTATATGTGCCAGGCCCTTCCTGTCTGATACTCACCTGCTCACGTCTTCCTACAGATGACGCCGGCACCCCATCCCTCCCTGCGCTCTGCCCTGTTGTTACCGACTTGAACCCAACTCGTTGCCATTGATAGCCGGCACACCGAGCACCGCGCAGCCTTTGTATTACTTCTCCCCACTCCCAGTCTTCGTCTTTCTCGTCTTTCTCGTCTTTCTCGTCTTACTGCCCTGTCCTCGCCTCTACACCTAAAGGGAGAAAGAAGGAAGGACGAGCACGCCCTGTCGGAACTCGAGCGACCCCGACCTCGACCTGACCTTCGCTTTTTCATTTCCAGACATCTATCGCGGCGCGGCTTCAGTCTTCCAGCATCCAGTTTCTTATCCTACTGTCCCCTTGTTCGCCATGTATTCGTACAACACAATTCATGCCGGGGCTACTCGGGCCCCCGTCGTTATCCATCCCCAACCTCAGGGGACACTTCGAATGGCCACTGTCCATCCAACGACTGATCCAGATGTTCAAAGAAACCTCGATTGCCTGATAAGCCACCAGCACTTTGCTCACTATTTTGACATCATCCACCGCTACCTATCGATCACCGACGAGAATTGGCAACGTATCGTGGACATACGCAACTTGAAAAATGGTGATGTTAATGTGTGGATTGAACACCACCGAACCATCCTTGATAATCCTCCGCCGGACATATTCAACTTGATTGCCGACATGAGACTCAACAAGAGCTGGGAAACATCAAGGCCAGCGGTCCTCTCCCAGGTCCACAGCGCCGGCCAGACACAGACCCTTCCCTTCCCTCGCCCGCCGTGGTCCCGGAGAGTGACCCCCTCATTACACTTGACGCCTCACACCCCGTCCACACGCTCCCGATCACGGGACAGCAACCTCCCAATAGGCTCATCCGGTCCTTCCATGGAGCGTACAGGGTCCGGTTATCGACGCCCGAATCGTCGTACCGAGCCTGACGATGATGAAGAGAGCTGTGCCCCGGCTGAGACTCACGTGTCGACCGCAAACGCTGGCCGCATCGCGCCCGAAGGTTCTCGTTATCATTGTTCTTCAAGAAACTGCACAAGAAACTACGCCCGTCAAGGAGACCTGGAGAATCATTTACGCCAGCGTCATGCCGAGTTGAATACGGAGTTTCCATTGCGCAACCCTCATGACTACCTTCGACCTACTTCACAGGACGGTCAGCAAGGCGTGACCGTACCCGAAAACTCCACTTCACCCAATCTTTCACATCCATTCCTTGAAGCCACCAACCCACGATCTCCAGCCCCGACCTCTTTACAGCCTGGGCACGAAGCCTCTGACACCATCAATGCGGATACAGTCCTCTCCGACGTTCTGGGCGCCGTCGGAGAGGACATTTCGTTCAACGAGCAATACTATCTGGGTGCTCCCTTTCCACCCACAGCCCACCAAGCCCACTCCAGTCCAGCTTATGGAGTGCAACACAACTTTGTCAATGGTGACGGGCAAAATATTAGGATTTATCCAAGTACAGACTATTTCAGCTACCAGACCGACGATTATATGCAAGAAGGCTAAGGGGATCCTAGACAGACCGACAGGCATTGGACTACTCTCCAGATCAGGAACTCCACCTGTGGATCAGCCTCGCTCGACTCCTCACGTTCGCAGCCTTGGTGTGGAACACGTCACCGTGTCCAGGACCACACCCCTTTACCGTTACACTACATGTGATTCTGTTTCTCTTTCCTTGAATATATTGATACCCTGTTAGGGATGGTTGGCAGCTATGCCCACAAAAGGATTGGACATGCGACGGTGATGGCGAAAAATGGATTTCTCATTTTCTATTGCAGGATGTGTATTGTTGCTTAGGGCACGCTGAATGAGAGTGCATGATGAAGGGTTTGGCGACGGCGGTGACTGATGTCGCATGATGCAGATGACAGAATGCTATACCACTTGGTTACACTTTCCCGTCCCTCTCCGGTTATGCCAAAGATTGTAGGGTGTACGGCCAGCACTTGATCGATGATTTGGCACGGCGCCCGTAGAATCAAGCACTACTACTACCACAATCACCATTACCACCACTGGGTCCATGCCACGAACTGTCTAATCGTCACAGGCGGACAGCACCCTTGAGCTGTCGACAAAACCCCAGGCCTGCTCACTCTATTTTACACTCCTCTCCCGAGTTTGCCGTGGAACTACCTCGGTTGGTCGGTGAGGGGGATTCTCATTCTCGACCTCCTCCATTTCTAGACCGGCCACCGGCTGTCAGTCTCAGTAAGTAATCAAGCAACCCACTGGCCGACCGACCGGTGACAGAGTTGGAGTGATTTATCAATGGGGAGGCACCTTTTTCTTTTTTCTTTTATCTGGCGGCTGGTTTCTTGCGTGCCTTTCTCCATCTGGCCCTGCGAACGTGAAGCTACATAGAAGGAATTAATTGGATTGAAAACTGTCCCCTCCTGGCCCTCCGACCCCCGACCCTGACCCCTACCAGTGCCCAAGACCGAGATCTCCTCTGAGCGCCACAGTGCTCTGGACGAGTACAGATTGTGAAAACCAAACCAAAACAAACGAAACACTCTTTGACTACCAGCCAGCATGTCGTCGTCGTCACCACAAACCCAAGCCTATGTGCTCGGCGTCGGCCTGACCGAATTCATCAAGCCGCGCCGTCTGCGGCCGTACCCAGAACTCGGATTCGAAGCGGGCACCAAGGCGCTGCTGGACGCACACATCACATACGACGACGTGCAGACCGGGGTGGCATGCTACTGCTACGGCGACACGTGCAGCGGCCAGCGCGTCTTCTACCAGTTCGGCATGACCAACATCCCCATCTACAACACGACGAACGCGTGCGCGACGGGCAGCACGGGTCTGCAGCTGGCCCGGACGCTGGTGCGCGGCGGCATCGTCGACGTCGTGCTGGTCATCGGCTTCGAGACCATGATGCCCGGCAGTCTCAAGAGCATGTGGCCCGACAGGCCTAGTCCTATGGGGTTGGCGAGCCATATGATGAACGAGACGAGGGGCAGGTTCGACAGCCCTCGCAACGCTCAGTTGTTCGCCAACGCCGGCAGGGAGTACATGGAAAAGTAAGTGGGTTTTTTTGGCCGTCTGCTGTCTGCTATCTACCCGTCTGCCGTCTGTTCTGCTGGCCGCTTTCTTGTTGTCTAGACCTTGGTCAATCCCCAGTTTATCTTTAGGAGAGGAGCCCTCTGCAGTGAAGTGAATGAGTGCCCTTGCTCGCCAGAAAACCGACAAAAACTTTTTCCAGGAACCCCTTGAAGGGGGTCCTGGGAAGTGAAACCTAGATTCCTAGGTTTTTTACGGTCTCAGCAACCTCGAGGCGGTTGACAGCAGAAGATAATAAAGGCAGGTCAGGTATTGCTGACAAGAAAGGTCGGGCCGGTACAGTATCGTGTGAGGATTGAACTCGGTCGTTCTCGCCCAGTGAATTAGGGAGTCTAGCATTGTGTTGTGGTGTAATAGAGGCGTTGCCGTCAAACAGGTCCGCCGCTACTACTGAGCCAAGGGCCCTTCACTTCACTACTAGACTCCCCTTTTCACATGGGGGTCTTTGCGTTGAGGAATAATGTCGGACTTTCAAAATATATGCATTATTTTTGGGAGGGCCCCAGCTGTGTGAGTCTTGTCAGCCGGGGCCTAGTTTCGGTTGAGGGCTTCAAACAGCGGATGTGGCATGGTCCATACTGTATGGTGGCGGACTGGCCGCTGGTTGGGGGGGTCGAGTCTCCCCGCGAGGCTGACACCCCTTTTCTTTTTTTTCCTGTCTTCTTTTTCTTTAGCCTTTGCCTCTGTCTTCGCCTCTGTCTTTACCTTAGCCTTTGCCTCTGCCTCTGGTTATCATCGACCCAGCCAGCCCCAGTCGTTGAAGAGACAGTCTACACAGCTTGGGCGTCAATTCCAGAGACTATAGACTAACCAGACCCGTCGGACTGTACAGGTACGGGGCGACGGCCAGCGACTTTGCAGAGATCGCACGGGTGTCGCACGAGCACTCGTCGCGCAACCCATACGCACAATTCAAGCAAGTGTATTCGACGGCGGAGATCGCGCAGTCGCCAATGATCCACTTCCCCTTGACCAAACTGCAATGCAGCCCGACGTCAGACGGGGCCGGGGCAGCGGTGATCGTGTCGCAGCGGTATCTGGACTCGCGGCCGGAGCTGCGGTCGCACGCGATCCTGATGGCCGGGCAGGCGCTGATGACGGACTCGCCGGCGCTTTACGACGGCCGCAGCGCCATGAACCTAGTGGGATTCGACATGACGCGACGGGCGGCGCGGGCGGCGCTGGCGGAAGCCGGGGTGACATTGGACGGGGACCAAGACCCGGCATCGATCCGCGCCCACGTCCAGGTCTGCGAGCTGCACGACTGCTTCTCGGCCAACGAGCTGATCACGCTGGACGGGCTGGGGCTCTGCGCGCCGGGCACGGCGCACCTGATGGTGCGCAACGGCGACATCACCTACGGCGGCCGCGGGCCCGTCATCAACCCGTCCGGCGGCCTCATTTCAAAGGGCCACCCGCTCGGCGCCACCGGCCTGGCCCAGTGCGCCGAGCTGGTGTGGCAGCTGCGCGGCTGGGCCAACAACGGCCGTCTCGTGCCCGGGGTCCGCGTCGCCCTCCAGCATAACTTGGGCCTGGGCGGCGCCGTCGTCGTCACCGTCTACCGTCGCGCCGATGGCCGCAAGAACACTGACTTGCCTGCCCCGTCTGACGGCGACATCGCCCGCGCGTCCGGCCTGGGCTATAACCCGGCTGTCGAGGCCAGGCCCGTCACGCGGGACTTGGCGGACAAGGCCAGGAGCTTCGCTGCTCGTTGTGATTATGCCCTGGGCCAAACTGCCGAGAAGTTGTTGCCTGCGACAGCGACCGCGGCACTCCCCCGGCTGTAGCTGCTGTGTCATCATCAGCGCCTCTCACACCCCTCCCCAGCGCAGTCACTTGTGTTTCTAGAGGGCCGGGCCGTGCGTCGGTCAGCTGCAGCTGCTGCATGTCTGTGTCGATAGAGGGCCGAGACTGTGCATGTCAAGTCTGTGTCTACTCCGTATAAGAGGGCCGAGCCGTGCGTCAGTCTCCTGCGAAGTTAGACCCCATGGCAGTAGTTCAACTGGGTTGGCTTGCTATAGCTCTATAGCTCCGTCGTGCAGACAATGGCCACTCGCTGCTCAAGGTTGCATTTCATTTTCACAAAGTAAAAGTAAAAGTGGTAGTGTCATGGTGTCGTGTGGAGGCCGAAGCCCTACGCCCTACAGTTATAGTACCTTCCAATCTTGAGTAAGCCCGGACCCGTACGGGTACAGTATCTTTCTAATCGTCACGCATTGAATGAGGGAATATGTGCTCTCAAAGCTTGTCAAGGCCTTACTTGATACTGAAGCTACGTAGGCAGGTTTAGGGATCCTATGAGCAAGGTGCCACGCTGGATGGGATGCTCGCTATCCCTGAATTCGAAATACTGTACTAATCTAATTCCATCAGCGGCTGAGTGAGAGCTGAGAGCTGAATAGGTCCCAATCCCTCCCCTTGTCCCCCTCCAGTGCCAATCCCTCCCCGTGTCCCCTCCAGTGGGTTCAAACGACTGTCACTGTCCCTTAGTCCTTCCGATTCCTATGTCAATGTTAAGGATCGGTCTCTCTTGACAGCCAGGAAGGTCAGGCTCCAAAGCTGTCGCACGTCGCTCTCCGTGCCCGCACTGACTCCCGGCGGCGGAGGCAGCGCGCCCAGGGGCGTGGTCACAAAGCCCGTCGAGTTGCTGTACGTCCAACTCCACACTTCGCCCTGAAGCTGGGCCGAGTTGGCTTCGATGCTGTCCCAGAGGCTGTTGTACGCGCGAAGGACGTTGTTGTACACAGACGGGATGTCGCACCAAGCTGGAGCGGGGGAGGGTGACTGGCTGCTTACGTTCCTGTTGCAGCGGCCGAGTTGGCGCTCGAGACCCTTGGCCATCATGGCGAGCTGGAACGACCAGACCACGGTGCCGTGGTATGCGGAGTTGGTGAAGTTGGAAATGAGCACCTCCGACCCCGACAGCGCCGGGTTGGCCACCACCATGCTCTGTGGGGTCAAAAGCCCCGCAGGGAACGGCCGCATTATGCTGTTCGCTGTCGCGTTGATGAAGCGTGTCTCTTGGGCCGCTGCTTCGTCCGTCGAGGCCGTGACGTTGACGAAGAACAACCGGAACCCTGTGTCGCTGTGCAGTACGTTCACCGAAGACAGATTGTTGTAGCCCTGCAGAGCGATCGAATAGGTCGTGACATTGCCAGAGGATGGGAGGGAAGACTCGTTTGCTGGGCCATGATAGTATGTCGCCGTCTTGACAAAGTCTTGCAGGCGGGACCGGGCTGTCGAGGCCGTGATGTTGGTCTCGAAGAACCGCAGTGTGTTTTCTTCCCAGATTTGTGCCCGCGCATCGGCCAAGGTTGCCCAAGAAGTGGTGTTCATGCGAGTTTTATTGGGATAAACGCCTGGAGTACGAGCCAACTGGGCGATGGCGCGGAGAGCGGCCGGGACGAGTGCCGTATTGACATCGAAGGGGACACGACCTCCTCCGAGGCCGTAGGTGGAGTCTCGCCACTGTCCGACGATCTGGTCGGGCTTCAGATGGATCAGGTTCGCGGCCGTCTGGTTCAGGGTAAACGGCGCCGTTATGTTCAAGATCTTTTCCGCATTGATGATGGTGAGGTTTGCATAGGTCAGGTTACGGTTTTGTGGGTCGACCGATCCAGCCCTCTGACTCAACAGCGGCCCGATTCGGTCGGGGCTACTGTTGAAGTATTGTGCCATCAGGACGGGTAGATAGTAGTCGGTGTCGATCATGGGATACGTGAAGCCTGGTGCCGTGCTCGTCATGTTGTTTTGCAGGTTTAGGTAGGTAGCATAGTCTCCAATAGTCTCTTCGTGACATACAGACCCGTCGGTGCGGTTGATGCGCTCCAAAACTGCTCCGATAACAGCTTCTGTGGCGGATCCATTGCCTTGACTTAAGACGGGCTCGAGAAGCAGGGCACTGATCATGCTGTCGCGGCCGAAATATGTCAGGAATCGCCATGCTCCGGCAAGGAGCTTTTCAGAGTAAGACAGGAATGACAGAGACGTGACTTGACCGAACTGTTGCTGGGTCAGGTTCCGGGACGCGCTATTCAGCACTTGGCTTGGAGGCAGTTGGGTCAATTGGGGGTAGTTGAAGCTGGCGGAGAAGGCGTAGAATCCTGCACCGAAGCTGATAGACTTGTTCCGTGCATCGATGGTAATATTCGACTCGGGGTTCTGATACGGAACTATGGTAAAGCTCGTCGTGGTGACATTATCAAGCCACAGTCGGGAAAGAGTTGCCCCCGTCCCGTTCGTCTGCGTGACATTGATCGCATCTTGTATGACGGGCTGGAGCAGACTTGGTCCTTCTGTAAAGTCCCGAATGGTCCTGACACTGCCTAGGATTGGGATGGTCAGAGTAGCTGAGCTGTTAAAAGAGATGACTCCTTGGACCCCGACGAAGGGATATTTGGAGCCTCGAGATGGCCTGTATACAGACCCCAACGGGCTCCCTAGAGTGGAGTTGACCAGTGCAATCGCAAGTGAGCCATTCGGGCCATTCTGAGGCTGGAAGAACGTGCAGATGCCACTGTTTCCGGCTGGCCAGGCAATGACCAGCCTAGGGCCGATGATGGATAGGTTGGAGTCTGGCAAGGGGCTGGTAACCACGGCCTGGGTATCACTGTTGCAATCTGAATAGAAATAGTTCTCATACGGAGGGTCACTGAGATGCTGGGTCACGGCCTGGCATGAGGTGGTATTCTGCCCCAAGGCCGAGTTCAGCCATAATGCAGAGACCGCGACGAGGAATGCTAGCATGATGAAGGAGGATCTTGGCTCAATACTATTGATTTCACCCAGGTATCGTGGACGGCAGACATTTATTTAGGAAAGACAGGGACTCACTGAGCGGCGGTACCGGGGACGGGGACATTTTAAAGGCGAGGGAGTCACAGCATGAGAGCTCCGAATGTTACAGTCAGGTCAGGAAAAGAGCCTCCAGATTCGATTCCTGTGATTGATCGACAGTGACATCAATGGTCAAGGACGGTAGCGAGTGCGGGGAGAAGGGTACAGAAAACAATACTATGACGAGAAGCGCATGACGAACCGAGAATGGCGTCTACCCACACGGTGGTAGTGGTGATGATGATGGTGGTGGCTAGTAAAGTAATAGTCACCTAATAGTCAGTAGTCAGAGAGATTCAATGCGGGGAGGCGGCGAGGGTGATCATCACGGATCCTCTTTGTTCCGCAGCCCGGCGTCGCATTAAAGTTGGATGCACGTGACCCTGGGCCTTGGCAGGTTTGCCGGGCTTGGCGAGTTTTCCGGCTTCCGCACTGCCACGAGCCAACCGCGATCGGGGATCTCGCTTCACTTCAGCATTACATGGCGTCTTGGATTTTGGTGAGTAGCCATCATACTTGTGATTCTGCGAAGGACTCGCGAAAGGCACCGCGTGGCCCTTTCCGTTGCTATGAATTAGTGGTAGGTAGGTAGGTAGGCAGTAGTAATCGCTATCAGTCAGTGCCAAGAATCGGTTGATATCGATACTGCTACTAGGTGTCTACTATCTGAGATCTGAGGCACCCCTACTCCATATTACGGACTGAGATACCTGGTAATACAAGACCGTTCATTATTGCTCGACACCCACCTCCAGTAGAGAGGCCCACGATCATTCCAGTTTCACAGTGGTCGGACAGGACAGGTGTTTTGGGGCACGCGAGGATGTCCGGTCTGCCACACATATCGAATTGGGTGGATGGCACGCACGCCCTGCCGGCGGCGGAGCGAGTGGAGGTGATCAATCCTGCGACCGAGGCGGTCATCGGCACGGTGGACGCGACGAGCCGGGCGACGGTGGACGCCATCATCCAGGAGTCGCTGGCGTCGTTCCGGCGCGGGCGGTGGTCACGGGCGGAAGCGTCGGAGCGGTACGCGGTGCTGAGCAAGGCGGCGGCGCTGCTGCGGGCACGCATCCCGGAATTCGTCGAGCTGGAAACCGAGCAGACGGGCCGGCCGGTGCGCGAGATGCGTGCGCAGCTCGCGCGCATCCCGGAGTGGCTGGAGTACTTTGGGTCGCTGGCGCGGGTGCACGCCGGCCAGGTGACGCCGTTCAAGGGCCCCGTGGTCAACACGCTGACGCGGCAGCCGTTGGGCGTGGTGGCGCAGATCACACCGTGGAACCATCCGCTGCTGATCGCCACCAAGAAGATCGCGGCCGCCCTGGCCGCCGGCAACGTGGTCGTGGTCAAGCCGTCTGAGCTGGCGCCCCTGTCGGTGCTCCGCCTCGGCTCCCTATTCCAGGAGGCCGGCCTGCCCGACGGCACGCTGCAGATCGTCTGCGGCTACGGGCGCGACACCGGCAGGTTCCTCTGCGAGCACCCGGCCTTGGCCAAGATCGACTTGACCGGCGGCCTGGCCACCTACCGGGCCATCGCCCCGGCCGCCGCCCTGAACATGATTCCCATCACCGCCGAGCTCGGCGGCAAGGCTCCCGTGTGCCTGTTCCCGAGCCTGGACGTCGACCACGCCGTCAAGGCCGCTCTGTTCGCGAGCTTCATCGCGAGCGGCCAGACCTGCGTCACCGGCAGTCGGCTACTCGTCCACCAGGACATCTACGACCCGTTCGTCGCTCGCTTGGAATCGAGAGTCCGAGCCCTGCGGGTGGGCGACCCCACCGACGTCCACACCCAGATTGGCTCCGTCATCTCCCGCGCCTCGGTCGACAGGTGCGCCGCCTTTGTCGACCGGGCCGTCAAGGAGGGCGGCCGGCTCATCTGTGGCGGGAAGCCGACCGACGTCGACGGCAAGGGCTTCTTCTTCCAGCCCACCGTCATCGAGACGCACCCGGGCTCGGACTTGTCATGCAACGAGGTCTTTGGGCCTGTCATCGCCCTCCTCAAATGCTCTTCCGAGGAGCATATCGTCCAAGTCGCCAACGACAGTGCTTTTGCCCTGGGCGCTTCCGTCTGGACCAACGACTTTTCCCAGGCACATCGAGTGGCGGACAAGATTGAGGCTGGCATCGTGTGGATCAACGGCCATCATCTCAACGACCCGTCATCCCCTTGGGGCGGGTTCAAGGAGAGCGGCATGGGCAAGGAGAACGGCCTGGAGGCGTTCGAGAGCTACACTAAGGTCAAGAGCACCGTCATCAACTACGGCATTCCTCCCACTTGGTTCGACGATGAGATCGAAAACGCCCGCTACGGCTGACAAGATGTGGAAGCGCTGTGTCCCCGTCCTTATCAATAGATTCGACGACATATGGACACATGATGGCCCACCACTCCATGATCATAGCAATCTTCTTCGACCGAGTCGCAAGTCTCGAGTCTCTTCCACCCCCTGTCCCTGATCCAGCAGCCCATGATTGCGTGATGCCTGCCCGTACCCGTGCTCATGGCGATAGATTCAGACGATCCGTGTGCCAATCAAGTTATTTTCCACCAGAACCCAATCGAGCAGAGTCTCCTTACACACTTCAGACATCGTAGAGTAGAGAGTATTGTCTGGATACGCCTGCTGGGCAATCCTGTCCCGTCACATCGTGGAGGTCCAGGTGATCAATAATACCAACAATAAGATCTGGGCGCTCAATACAACCAAGTGAGTAGATCCCAAGCCGCGTGCAACGGTTCGCATGTGTATCCTTCTTTGGTCTGGCAATTACCTTTGGCTCATCATCTTTACCAGCCGGTCCTTCCATGATTTCAGCATCTTCAGTGACTCTGCTCTGTGCTGCATGTATGTCCAGCATGCCAATGTCACGATGGTCAGTGGCACGGCGAAGGCCCAGTAGATCCAGAACTGATCCGAAACCACCCAGACCAACTTGCCGGTGTTGTTGTCCTCTGCCTGCGAGAAAAAGCTCATACTGAAGAGAGTCGAGACAAAGGTGGCTGGCAGCACGGCAAGAGTGACCACGGCCACGGCCTTCATGGAAGATCCATCCCGCTGGACGATGACATTGAAGCCCTGGCCTTGTTAGCCTACACGTCTTCTCTCGGCCCGTGCCCAATCCTATCTTCTCACTCACCAGGTTGATTTCGTTTAGTAACCTTGCCTTCAAAGACTCTGCCCGAAGCCCAAAGTTTCGCAGCAACCTGAGCCAGAACGCCAATTCGTTGTGAGGACATTTCTTCTTGGTTACGCCGGCGTCGGCGGCGTCGCCAGTGGGACATGTGCAAGAAATGCCAGAGTTGGACCTGTAGTCCCCAACGAGTTCGGCGATGGTGTCCACAGCAGCCGCGAGGATTTCGCACGTATGGATGATGTGGCGCGCCAGGTCGTGGAGCGGAGTCAGGTCGCGGTCCAGAAAACCAGTGATAGTCCGTTCCTAGTGTTCCAACACCACACTTCGATTAGAGGGGACGGTCAGCACGATCCCTGCTCTTTCGTGACTCACCTTTTCTATCTGCCTGATATGATCTCGAAGGGTCCAAACCGATGTATCATACAGCCTGACAATCTCGCCCACAATGGAGCTTTGGAGGAAGGCCAACGCCTCCGTCGGCAGATCACTCCCAGTGGTGTTCATCACGTCAATGAGATTGGTTTCGAAGATGGGCGGCGTGTCGAAGCAAAAGACTACAGCTGTCCCGGTGGACAGCGAATAGATGTAGAAGCTCATTTCGTACCACTCGTAGGAAGGAAACGGCTGGGTTGTTTTGCCATCCAGTTGTTTGATCAGGAAATGAAACCACGAGGCTGGCCGGGGACATTGGCGTCAGTGGGCTGTCTCACTGGCGAGGAGATCTCGGGGCTTTTACTGTCAACCATGGCCACGCCGTCCCTGTGATGGTGACGGGCGCCGCCTGCATAGCCATTGGCAGCACGGCAGGCTTTATCCCACAAGATCGAAGGATATCCCCAAGCCGTACTCATGCAATCCTTGATGTCTGCCGACACCACCGCCTTCTCGTCATAAAGCCTCCAATTCGCGAAGCTAGACAGTATCAGCTGTGCCTTGGGTGCCGCCGTGGTCCTTTCATGTCAGCGTACACAATCTGTACTCCCGGCTGGAGGGGCGCCTAGGGGAACATGTTAGCAAGAATGCAGAACACTTCAGTGAACGAGGCACTTTCCCGCAGAAATTCGTCTGCCGGGACAGTGGTCTTGTCGAATTTTCCATGTACATGTTCTGCCCACCTGATGTCAGTGGACGTGGGCTTGAACTCGTCAATTCAGACGTCGACAGACCTTGTCTATAGACGTCGAAGGGCGTCATTCTTTGCATTGGTGGCGGGTACGGCATTCGAGCACAAGATGAGCAAGCTTGCAAGACCAACTGCAGGCTTGAGGGTATAGCAAAGGAGTAGGCATCGTCGAGGTCGAGCGAGAAGAAGTCGCATCAGGCTGAGACATCTTCTCGTCCGGGCGGCTGCAGGTTGCCTTGTGGTGTACTGTACGGAGTAGAGTAAGTGGCTTGCCGAGCAGGCGACTTAGGAAGTCTCAGGCGTCGCTGGGGGCGGAAGAAGATGGTAGGTTTAGGGCATGACTTTAGCGCTGCATCTGATCATCAATCGTCGAACCCCCAGCCCAACTGCATCATCAAGTCTCTCATCTCTGCACGGTCTGGTCGAGGAGCCAGCAAAGAAGTGTTCGGTATGAGACCTAATACGAACGTCGCCCATCATCCCCAAAGTATCCGTATATCGAGCCTCCCGCATCTCCCCATCAGCGGCTCGGGCCTTACCTCTCACCTCTTCTACCAATCCCGGAGGTCTCCTTATTCCCCTGCTGTCAGTTGTCGACAGCGCCTGAAGATTGAAGATACCTATGATCACCACGGGCAATGGAAACTGTAACTGACAGATTGACTGCATCTGTCTCATGTCCTCGCGCTTCAAATCCAGCCGCGGTCCCCGATCATCGATCATCCACCGCGGGCCCCTCTGCAAACGATCAGGACTTCCCTCTTTCTACCCCACCGCATCCCCTGTGAAGTGGACAAGAGGAGGAACACTTCAGAAGATGGAGCGGCAGGTCTTGATCCATAAGGCATCTCCATGAGGCAGCTCGATTAAAAGAAGAAGCTCGTTAGATTATTACCAGGACGAGGACTTCAGTTCTTAGATATCATAACCGATCTTTTGATGCTGATGACGCCTTGCAGAACGAAGCCGAACAACCCTGTGCCGGTACCATCCTTGTTTTGCGCCCTCGTCCAGGCCAGCCTCAAGGTAACATAACATGCCAATCCCTACGAGCACAAAGTCCTCTTCAAGAACGCAACTTCCCTCGGGTGCAAGATCTCCCTCGCCGAGCCCATCAACTCATAATGATCGGCGTCGACCATGACAAACTCCTTCGGTTCGCTGAGCTTGCGATACTGGTTCATCACCATATCTGGAGGACAACTGGTGTCTCTTGTCGCAACTCCAAAGAACACTGGAGTCGGGCACAAGCTTTTCAAATGACCCATTGGGAGTGAGAAGGTTGAGATATCCTCGAGACTACAAACGTTGCGCATTGCCTGTGTCAGCCAACCCCGACCAAGGGAACAAGGCGTAAAAAGCAGAAGAGAAGAAAAGAGACGGCAGCTCTCTCCACGTGCCAGCCTGCCTTATCAATTCATTGGGCAAAACTCACCTTCGCAACGTAAGTTCATTCCTCCACGTCGACCCGTTCGACACCCAGGGCAAGAAGAACGAAATTGATTCGGGACTGGGCAGCGCCGACTGGCCGCCCGGCTCCTTGGTCACCACGGGGACAGTGAGAGGAGGCTTGCCCTCTGCTCTGGCCAACCGATCCAGCTCGAATAAGGGCTGCATGGCGGTATTCAGCACATGGGGCGGCGCCAGTCTCCTGCAGATCTCTGCGCCGTCCAAGCCCGGTCCAAGAGCGACGACCGCCTTGACCCGCCGGTCAATGGCAGCGACGTAGACCGACACCGCGGCCGCCAGCGAGTACCCCCAGAGCGCGATCTTTGACCTGTCGACCTCCTCTCTCGTTTGGACATACGTCACGGCGTCACGCATATCATTCGCCTGTAGCCAGGTGGTGATTTCTTGTCTGGGCGCATAGGCCGCCGTGTCTGAAGCGCCGAAGCCTCTGTGGTCGTACACCAAACATGATAGTGGCAGGTCGGCCACGAACTTGGAGGCCACGTCGTCCAAGCCCATCTCCTTGATGCACGAGAGGCCGTGGGTGAGGATCACGCAGGGAAGCTTTGCTCCCGCTGCGATCGTCGGCGGCGTGAAGAACCAGCCGCGCAGGGTCACGCCGTCCGAGGTCTGGAATGAGATGTCGGTTCGGGGCATCGTTGCTAGCAGTCCCTGGAGTTTGGGACGTTGACTGGGCGCCGGCACTCTTGAGAAAGTTGGAAATGTCTCAGGTTCGCGTCAAGACTGAGAGCAAGCTTCACGGAGGTGTCGTTATTCGGATTGAGATTGAGAGATCACGACACTCTCCTTCTTGAGGCCAACAGCCGCGAGAGCATAGCTCTTATATATGATGTGTGATTACTCTCGTTGACTATTTAATCTTACATCTCACATCTTACTTCTGCATCTTACATAAAGCTCCAGATTGCACTGCACTACCGAGCTGACCGTTACATTTCATTTCATCCTACACCATGGTCCTTCTCTTCTGAAGAGTCGTCAACCTGCTACGTTCTTGTCTCAGAGACGGCCATCTGACCGACCACCCACATCAGGGAGCCCTGGAATATCATCAACATTGGAGGTGTCTTGGCCTAACCGCTTTGTCCTTACTGCTTACTGGTTTACGGTACTAAACAATAAGACAAGGCGGATGGAGTTCGAGAGTCAGCACGCCCAGGGCTTGGACGCTGACACACGTAGAAAGCAAGAAACATATTCGTTTGTCTGTTATTGCCTATCCACACGCAAGCCCTTGAAGCGCTGTTCGCTCCGTCTCAATCTGCCAGTAGATGTTCCCAACACAAACCCGAAGACCCCGCCATTCCTAGATGCGCATGCGCTTCTTGCAATCTGGCAGGATCAAGCCATCAGCCTCTCCGAATGTTTTGTTCTTTTTCTCTTCAACAGGAAAGGGCTCACTCGCAAGACTGGATGAAGACACGGTCGGGGGACATTATCCATCGCGTATTAAGCTAGTCTAAGTAACTGAAAAGAAAAACGCCACGGCCCGATGCTCTATATGAAGAGCATAGCCGCAATCAGAGCTCCGAGACCTGTCAATGGTGTGCTTACGCCGAAAGTGATACCAGAAGCATCGTTTTTGGCAGAGCTAGTAGCCGAAGCGGTTGCAGAGGAACCGCCTCCAGTGGCAGATGGGTTGGTCTCTGGGTTGGCCTTTCCGGTGACGCAGGTGTTGACACCCTTGATAACTCCATTATCGTGGGCCTGGTCGAATTCGTCACAGATGCTGGTATTGGTAGATTTGGTTTGGACGTTGGATCCACCTCGCACATCGGTCAGGGAAGGCAGTGTGACACTATTCAGACGTCAGAAAACGCAGCGCAAGTAGCGATGAAAAAACAAGAGACTTACTTGTCGAAGGTACCGGCGAAATCAAGAGCACCGACAATGGTCTTCAATTTGGGGAAGCCTTTGATAGCCTTGAGGCGGGTGTTGTTGGCGATCAAGAAGCCCCCTCCAATCTGAGTGAGGGAAGGGAACGAGAGGTTGCTCAACTCAGGGCTGTCAACGAAAGCCAGAGTACCGCCAGTCGCAGTCAGGTTGGGGGCGGAGAAGGTCTGGAACGAGTCGGAGTAGAAGCCCATGGAGCCGGCAACGTTGGCAAGAGACGGCATGTCAACCTTGCTTACGTTTCGGAAGGTCAAGTTCGCGGCATCTTGAAGATTAGGGAAGCTGATCGCCAGGTCGCGACCGTTGGCCGAGAATGAGAGCGCAGTGGTAACGTTTGCCAGATCGTTGACGTTGACAGTTGTGAGGTAGGGGTTGTTGTTAATATCCATGCTTCCAACAGCGGTCAATTCAATGCCGTTTATGTTGTTCAACTGGGTGTTGGAAATATAGATCTGGTTGGACTTGGAGAGACCCTGATCGAAGTTCAGGCTCTGCAGAGCAGGGAGGCCAACCCAGTTGATCTTGTTGACAGCGGTGAGAGAGTTGAATTGAAGGGTTGATAGAATGGTCAAACCGGTCAAACTGAAGGTGCCACCGATGGAGTTGATTTGGTCAGATGTGATGGCCGTCAATTGGGTAACATTGTTGCCCGTCAAGTCACCGGTGATTTGTTGAACACCGTTGATTGAAAGTTGGCCAGAGGCGCTGGAGTCGATGATAACATCCCCATCGTATGTCTTGCAACCGGCGATCTGTTCGGCATCGGCACTGCTGGCGATTGTGATAGAAGGACCATCGCAAATATCGGTTGCAGCTAGTCCACTGTTAGCTCTAGCCCTTCGACGTTATTATTGTGGTATGTATCTTCAGGTCCATCTCTTCCAGTGTGTTACAGTCTCAACTGGATCGAGAGGGGACACGTACCGAGGACGGAGCTCGCCAGAGCGAGAGTGGGTAGTATGAATTTTGTGAAGGCCATTGTGAGACTAAGAGTCAGCGAAAGAGCTGAAATCAAGGTCAGTAATGGGTCAAGAAGGTCTGGACTGCGCGATGTGAGGAAAGGGTAACGTGGTTAGAGGTGAATGTGAGGTGAAGCCCCCTGGTGACGCGGCCACAAGGCGAGGAGGTGAACGGGTAGGAAGGTGACTTTGGGAAGTGCTGCTCACCTGCAATGCGATATTAAAGAAGATAGAAGGCGACAGCAGAGATCGAGCTGGCCAGAAGCAACTCGTAAGAACTTTTGCTGAGTGCGAATTAAGTTGTTGGGTTCTCGATGAACACGCAACGTCAAGGGATAAAAAGCTTCAGCGAGGGAGAAGCTGGTGTTGTGATTGCTTGGATTGTTGTTAACACAGCGAAGCCGGCGGCAGGGACGACCCTCTCTTCTTATTGAAGAGGACCAGGTGTCGACGTGTGGCTGGTTCGGGATGAAGTGAAGAAGGGAACAAACAGCAGCAACGACGGACTGTGCGTGAATGTGAGTGTGCTAAAGTAAACTTGGTGATGAAGATGGGGGATGGCAGGGAAAAAAGGAATGGGACTGGGAACTGGGAGAGGAGAAATGAGTGGACAAGGGCCTGTGGTGGTCCGAGTGGTCAAGGAGGCCACTGCACAGTGCGACTGCATATCCGTACGAGTACCGGCGTACATACCTGACCATACACGGGCAGCTCAAGTGAAGCCGCAGACGCGCCAGCTGAGAACCAGCCAACCGTGGGCCTCGCTGGGCCTCTGAATGGCAGATTCTAACTGCTTCAGTTGGGTGTCCGGCGACGGCTTCCTCCCGCAGCCAAGGGAGGCCTGCACAGCTCGTCGCCGCCAGTGTTGTTGGTGGAGCGGGATTGACACTCTAGCCACACTAAAACATAAAGGAGATGGCTGTACGGGGTATGGTATTGTCATCCGCCGCTGCCAGAGGTCTGAGCACCCGTACTTGATACTAACAGATGTTAGACATGTCATGATGCTCGCTGAGCATAGCCACTCCCCAGCATCAACACAACCACCCAAAGCAAACCACGGCTCCCCTTCACTTCATCCAGTGTCCACTGTCCACACCTCAATACTCCACCTACGAGCCAGCCCCCCACAGCCTAAGCTTTGCTTCAAGCCACCGTCAACGCAGGCCAGCCTATTCCATCCTCGCAAGAGAGTCCACGAGGGCGGAAGCTATGAAGCCAGCATGCGTCCTCATCTGAGACATTTGACGCGCAAGAACTCGCCACCTGCAACAAGCATCTGCTCAACAATCCCTTATATCTCTACCGGGTCGAAGATAAGAGATGCCGTGTAGACACTCTACTAGCCACTACCCTATCTCGCTTGTTCGATTCATCAAAAAACCAGTGATGGATGGTTGTATGCAGGAGTTCCGAGGAATCCCAGTACACACAGTACGGGGTAGTGACACGCCGTCAGCCACGCATGGCCGAAACGATGTTGACAGTTGGCTCCCGTGTTATCGAGGAAAAATAATGGGAGGCAGGGACATGTTTCTCGAGACATCTCGCGAAGTTATTATTTCACACAGATTCCGATGCCAAAGTTGTCACAAGAGGAGGACTGACTCCGAACGGAGTGGCACATCATGCAAGCTACTCTAGGCTATCCGCTTTCAAACTTCAAACTTCAAGTTTCAATGCGTCGGCCCCGGTCAGATCGACGCGATGATCAAGATGGCGTGAAACTGACAATAATTTCATCTTCCGACGGCCTGGACTGTATGTTGATCTGTCGCTGGAATTATCATCAACATCATCAAAATTGTGGTATATTAGAGAGTCCTCTCTCTGAGTACGCGCGATGGACCATGCATATCCGTCGGACTTGTTCCACCATCGCTTCTTAGCGCATTTGTTGTTACAACACCAGTACCGTACGTATTCTTTACAAGCCAGGCACACAGAATCCCTGCTCCGAAGATAGTGCTATCCCCTTTGGGATGTCCACTCTCGATATGCAAATGCGCAATTTCCATGAGATCCGCCCACAACACATGAGGTGGACGACCATAATAATAAAGATATTAGATGTGACTTAATCATCTCGCAGCATCTAACAGTAGTCGAGACATGCTGCTCCAGGCGAATTTGTGTCGGGACAGCGCGGATACCCTCGAACGCCCGACGGTTTGCAAAATGTACTCAAGTGGGGAGACAATTCGCCGCCACAAGGTCTGTCTCTGCCCGCCGAGGCCGCGCAACCTCCAGAACCCAAATGGTCGGAATCAGCATCATGTAACTGCGGGAATACGCCATGATTGCACAACATGACACGTTTGTTCTGCATGAATTGTTCACCCCCAAGATGTTGTCCTAACCTCCCAACCTGGATTTTACAAAATCCTCGGGTCTTTTCCCAATTGAAGGTTCCGTGGTCCAGCGAGAGACGCGCCGAAGGTGCCCCTCCAATCTGGTCACGAATTCACGTGATGCGGCTTACCTCAGCCAGTACGCCTTGGCCAATCCAGGCAGCAATGCCAGAAAGATGAGGCTGGGTGCCTACATATGTAGGTTGGTTGCAAGAGACACCAGATGACGACGTACTAATGGTAACAACCCGTCCCATTGAGTGTTGAAGGATTTTACTATCCGTACCTGTCAACTCTATTGGGTTCTGTTCAGATGATTTGACTTGTTTGCATATGTCTCCAACACCCTGATTTGGATGATCCAACCTCTCAGAAAAACACCCCACCTCAACGGAGTTGAATGCTGGCTCGTCCTTTCGTGACCATGTCTCTACGCAGGTCTAATAGGGTTGCATCTATTGTCGTTCCTGCTGCTGCAGCCCTACCAGCTGTGTCGATCAACGGGTCGAAGAAGCGTCCCGCAAACGGCCAGGCAGAGGTAACGAATGCCAAAAAGTCAAAGCTGGAAAGGCAACAGAGCCTCACGAATGGAGATAATGACGAGCCAGAGTTCAAAGTGCCAGTGACGCCACGGAAGAATTCTCGAAGCAATGGCACAAAGCTGTCCCAAAAACCACCGTTGACCCCAACGCCAAGTTTGGTCAATGTTATTCGGGCTCCTTATAGCACAGGCGATATCAATGGTTCCTCGCCGCCGCCGGATCGCCCTGTTGAACCACATGTAACGAATGCCACCTTGGTCACGCCGGGGGGTACTCAAAAGGTCGCATACCCTAATGGTCTTCCGGAGTCTTCACCATCAAAAACAGGACTACCTCGCCCGACAGCTACTACCAACACAATCCTAGAGCAAGCATGCAACCACCTCATCAGCGTCGATCCGCGCCTCAAGGTGTTGATAGAGACGCACCCCTGCCACATATTCTCTGCTCGAGGTCTTGCGGAACAAATCGATCCCTTCCGGTCCTTGACGAGTGGGATCATAGGTCAGCAGGTATCCGGTGCGGCTGCTAAGTCGATCAAGAATAAATTCGTCGCTTTGTTCAACGAGGAAGGCTCAGACGGGGCGCACTTTCCAACACCGGCTCAGGTCGCTGCTACTGACATCGCGCGACTGCGACTTGCAGGTCTTTCTCAGCGAAAGGCAGAATATATCCAGGGTTTGGCAGAGAAGTTTGCTACGGGTGAACTGACGACTGACATGCTTATGAGAGCTACGGATGAGGAAGTCATGGAGAAGTTGATCGCCGTTCGCGGGCTGGGAAAGTGGAGCGTCGAGATGTTCGCCTGCTTTGGTCTGAAGCGATTGGACATTCTCTCCACGGGCGACCTGGGTGTGCAGCGCGGCATGGCGTCTTTCTATGGCAAAGACGTCAAGAAACTCAAAGCCAAGGGAGGTGGGAAGTGGAAATACATGTCGGAGCAGGACATGCTGGACAAGTCTGCGCCGTTCGCTCCATATCGAAGCTTGTTCATGTGGTACATGTGGAGGGTGGAAGATGTCGACGTCGATGTCATGCAGAGCGCCGTGTAATATTTGAACTCTTAGAGCCTGTGGTATATGTACAGTGCCTTGCAAGGCCATGACTTGTCGGACGGGAGCTACCCGCGTGTTCGGGTTTGCTACCGAGTCCTGCCCTAGCTTTTGCTTTCTACTTCTTCCTCTGAACAATAATGGACTCCAAATCGGCGCGCTCCTTCAGCTCCGCTTCGATTTCCTCGATGATTGGGCTCAAGTATTTGACATCCTAGATGGAAATCAGCGACCAGACGTGTCTCTAAGAGAAAGGGGTCTCACCTCCTCCGGTTTTGTCTGTTCGGCAGCAGGTAATAGTTGATGGGCCAAGGAGCACTATCGCCGGTTATTAGCATTCGGGTGTCAGGATTGTAACGGTGTTTCCATACTTGGAAAGCTCTTCTCAGGCGAAAGACTCGGTCGTATGATTCTTTGGGGGACAATCTCTTCAGCGCAAGCTGCACGGTATCATTTTCTTCGGGGATCAAGTCGTCGGCTCTCAGACCTACACCACAGTCAGTGTTGTTTCGAGCAGAGAGGATGTCGTGATGTCAAACCCAGTCTTCTGTAGCCGGCCGCATCGGCATACCAGTTGGCGAAGGGGACTATCCACCTCTTCAGCCATGGCCGTTTCAAGATGTAAGGTGCGAGCGAAGGAGCAGACATGGTGGCTCAGGTGCGCGGCGGGAAATCAGAGGCTGAGGAAGAGGAAGAGCAAGTAGGTCGATTGAGCGCACCCTCGAAGCTTTGTCGTCGAACGCAGCAGTGAGAGAATGCGAGCAATATGACTGGTGCTTGGCGTGGATGTAGCGAGAAGCAGCACTAAAGCTCAGCGTTCCCAACCAGGAAGCTTGACCGACATGCTCTCACCCACTTTCATCATCCCCAGCATGAAGGTCGACTCCTCACCACCTACATGTACAGTTCCTAATCGCTCTTCACAGCAGCGACGGTTCTGGGCGGACTCTTGTCCCTGTCGACCTCCCCTTATCTTTACTTCGTGGTCTCTGCTCATGGCCTTTGTTAACCGCTGACAAGGCCCTGCGTCGGCTTCGGCCAGACCCCGCGGTTTTGCACGACACCTAACGACGTTGCAACGGAGACCACTATCGTCCGACTCCCTGCCCTTTTGTATCACTTCATTGCGCCAACTCCCACTTCCTAAGCCTCTGTCCGTCATGAGCACGTTATTGGGGCGACTTGAACACTTATAAAGAGGACTCCAAAGGATGTCCTACGAGCGAAGCCCTGAACAAACACCCTCTATCGTATCTTCCCAATATGCTACGCCGACCAATAATTCATCCTCCTCCAGCAACTACGATACGATGTCTCCCACTCGCCCGAGAGACTCCCTCATTTCCCGATTACAGATACAGTCGACACAAATTCCGAAGGCGTGGATCAGCCCCATATGTGGTGCCGGTGCCGGTTTTGCAAGCGGCATCATAACATGTCCTCTCGATGTGATAAAGACTAAACTGCAAGCCCAAGGCGGCTTCGTATCCAAAAAATCAATGTCGCATACGAATCATCTCTACAAGGGCATTGTGGGCACTACTCGTGTGATCTGGCGGGAAGAAGGAATACGCGGGATGTACAGGGGTCTGGGCCCCATGTTGCTTGGCTATCTACCCACCTGGGCGGTGTACCTGACCGTCTATGAGAAGACACGCGAGTTTTATTACGATCGGTGTGGCAGTTGGTGGGTGGCTCGGTGCTACTCGTCGCTCACCGCTGGCGCATGTTCGACGATTCTGACGAATCCAATTTGGGTCATCAAAACCCGATTGATGTCACAGAGCACCAAAGCTGCTAGCGACGGCATGCGCGCTCCATGGCACTACACGTCGACCTTAGATGCGGCGAGGAAGATGTATCAGACCGAAGGAATCTTATCCTTCTACTCCGGACTCACACCCGCCCTTCTTGGCTTGACCCATGTTGCCGTTCAATTTCCACTGTACGAATATTTTAAGATGAAGTTCACCGGCTTTGGCATGGGCGAACATCCAGCTGAAGACAGCGGTGCAAACTGGATTGGGATCTCAGCAGCCACGTTCCTGAGCAAAATCTGCGCCAGCACTGCAACATATCCACACGAAGTCCTACGGACTCGCCTTCAGACCCAGCAACGAACGTCCGGTATTTCAACGTCGGACGGGATGGCCGTCAAAGCAAGATATAGCGGCATCCTCCACATGTGCAAAGTCATCCTCCAAGAGGAAGGCTGGCGGGCATTCTATGCAGGCATCGGCACAAATCTGATCCGCGCCGTCCCGGCCGCCATGACTACCATGCTAACCTACGAATGGTTACAAAAATTCATCCACCGAGCCCAAATCAAAGGCGAAGAATTGAAGTGACCGACCGAAGCTTATCCGACATGACTGCAAAATCCCTCTTCCCTGCCCTTGACAATTCGACTTTGCAAGGTGTGGGGGTTTATTTGGGCCGGGTCCTGATGTTTCGTTCGGATCTCGTCTCATGACTGTCAAATTACTTAGCAGTGCGCGCTGGTCGAGTAAGTCGCGGCGGATCTCAGAGCCGGTTCTTCTTTTTGACAACTGCTTCTTATTGTCGGCGTTTTGCTTCAGCGGAAGGGTGGAAAGGAGTAAGCAACTCTTTGGACTAGGCATTCCGTTGACGCGGATGTGCCTTGAGCATTCCATTTTGGGCTGCTACCCGGACCAGACCTACTCCAGGCCGCATAGAGCATGGGACCGGCGGTATTCGACATAGCTGCGGGCAACATGTCTCCCTCGATGGCAGAGACCGACCTAGATGCGATCTTACTCCCTACGTTTCGTCTCAAATCGATAGCGTGAAAAGAGAACAGGGCTGGAGCTGCTATAAAGCCTAGAGAAAGCGCACAAGTCACAGGATAAGAGCGGTCGAATGTGTCATGACAAGGGAGATACCCTTGAAGGAAGAGAACGAGAGGGAGAGGGAGCAAGCCACAAGGAGATGTAGACGCAATGAAATGACATTAGATCCATCGTTAAATGATATCTACCTACTCGTAGTACCTACTTATTGCAAGTTATAGACTTTGCCTAGTTCTTTGTCATTATTGAATGGCGAGTATTTTGTCTGCTAGGCATACGTTTCTAAGAATATCCGTAAGGTACATTAACCGGGATCAAAGCTCGTCGGCTCTAAATCATTTCTTTTTCCACGCCTTGCGGGCGAAACGAGACGAACGAGTCCCAAGAGACAGCTGCAGGTTCACATTTGATGTATGTCTGTCTACGCAGTATCCGTATACCGATGAAAATAGAGAAGCATTCATCCGAGTTCAAGAAAAGAAATGTGAAGTACATGTCATGTATATATATTTACACATGTCACACGTGGGGTTCGCACCTAGATACCTTTTATAGAATCAATAATAAATCGTGTTACTGTATATCTGTATCTGTACCTGTACATGTACATGCACATGTACCTGGAATTACTACTAATTACTACTATCCGTACAGATCTTGAAGATTGCAGACCTACGACGATCTACGACGGCAATGATAGCGACTGCAACTGCAATATTGGATATTGAGTATTATGTCTTTTCGTTCGCGTCGAAGGTCGGTCGTGAGTGCATGTGTGCTGCTTGGGAAACGGGAAATGGGAAATGGGAAAAAAAGGAAATGGAATCTCAAATAAGGGACCGAGTATATCAACACACTTAACATTCATAGGCACAGAGTACGAGCTCGATACCTCACTCCCTCCTTGACAAAGCTGGACGAGGTTCTCCAAGTCTTCGGAAAGTAAGAACTCATTATACAGTCGCCGTCCCGTCCGTCTCATGTCAGAGATGCAAAAAAAAGGCAGATTCAACCCCGTAAGAGTGCATGCCTCCCATCCAAACCAGTTCAACTCCATTTGAAGCGGATACATCGAGGCTTCAGGACTACTGTGCTGCTCGTCGTCTCTAGACGAGGTGGTGTAGTTCTTGCTACACTTCACAAGCCTCAAAGAGAGCCTCTGATCCCATACAGAAACCAGAAACCAAAACACATGATATGATCATTTGCATGCTGTACAGTCGCGGTAGACCACAGGCAACATTCCACTGGCTGCGGCAGCCGACACCCATGAACAAGGCCAAAGCCAACTGTCCGTGTTGGGTTGACATCTGCTTTAACCACTGCACATCACGCAGGCATCCCCGTTTTCAATTGAACCTGGGCGCACGCGTCAGTAAGAAATGGCCAGGTCTGGGGACGGGATAACTTACAAGCCAAAACCTTCTGGGAATAGATATCCACCTCACGTTCTGCCGAGTCGCTCTGTGCATCTTCTTCTTGCACACGCTTGACCTGCTCTCGGTTCTCGAGGCTCTCCTCCACAATCGGTGTGCCGATGGGGTCCGTCGGCAGGACTTTGGGGCTGGGCTCTTCACTGCTAGATCCCTCACTCAATCGCGTCTTGGCTAGCTTGTTGACAAGTTCCAGGTTTTTATCTTCGCTGGGAGGAGGGGTGGATGTGGGTGTGGGAATGCCGTTCAGAGAAGTAGTCGAACTGCTCCCAACAAAGTTGGGTGTCTTAGTGGCGTACATTGGACGAGGAACCGAGGTGTAGCTCTGCCCAAAGCCCAGCGAGGTACGTTTCTTAGGCAGGCTTCGTTCACGTGCCACATTGGTGTCGGTGACCTTGAGCTGTTCTTGGTCGACAGTGAATTGGATGGGAGCGCTGGCTGCCATGGTCCGTAGGTAGTACATTCCAGTCTTCAAACCCATCTTCCAGCCTGCGAAGTGCATCGATGTAAGCTTGCCCATTGTTGGCTCCTTGAGATGGATGTTCAGGGATTGAGACTGATCAATGAAGGCACCGCGATCGGCGGCCATCTGCAGGATAGTACGTTGGCTGATTTCCCAGACGGTCTTGTAAAGAGCTTTGATGTCGGCGGGAATGTTGGGGATGTTCTGAATCGAACCACCATCTGCAATGATGCGGTTCTTCATGTTGTCGGACCAGAGCCCGAGGTCCACCAGATCCTTCAGAAGCCATGGGTTGACGACTTGGAATTCGCCAGCCAACACACGACGGGAGTAAATGTTGGATGTGTAAGGCTCGAAACATTCATTGTTGCCCAGAATCTGCGAAGTGGATGCAGTAGGCATGGGCGCAACAAGGAGAGAGTTGCGGACCCCATACTTGGCGATCTCGGCCTTCAACGAGTCCCAATCCCAAAGGTCCGTTGGGGTGACGTTCCACATGTCATACTGGAGGATGCCTTGCGAGACAGGACTGCCTTCATAGGTTTCATAGGTACCTTGCTCCCGGGCTAGTTCACATGATGCTGTGAGGGCGGCATGGTAAATAGTTTCGAAGATCTGAATGTTGAGTTGACGAGCCTCTGGAGAGTCAAATGGAAGACGCAGAGCGAGGAAAGCATCTGCAAGGCCTTGGACACCGAGGCCAATTGGTCGGTGGCGGAAGTTGCTCTTTTTCGCCTCCGGAACAGGGTAGTAATTGATGTCGATGATCTTGTTCAGGTTGCGAGTGACAACTTGGACGACCTCATGGAGGCGGCCGAAATCATACTCTCCACGAGCTTGATCGACGAAAGTAGGGAGGGCCAGAGAGGCAAGATTGCAGACAGCAACCTCATCTGGCGCACAATATTCGACAATCTCGGTGCAGAGATTGGAGTTCCGGATCGTACCCAGGTTCTTCTGGTTGCTCTTGTTGTTGCAGGCATCCTTATATAGCATAAAAGGAGTTCCGGTCTCGGTCTGAGCTTCGAGGATAGCATACCAGAGTTTCTGGGCTTTGATGGTTTGGCGACCACGCCCCTCCCTCTCATATTTTTCAAAGAGAGCCACGAACTCATCGCCGTAAACGTCAGCAAGGCCGGGTGCCTCGTGGGGACAGAACAGAGTCCAGTCCTGGTTCTTTTCGACGCGTTGCATGAAAAGATCAGGAGTCCACAGAGCATAGAAGAGGTCACGTGCACGAACTTCTTCCTTGCCATGATTTTTTCTCAGGTTCAACCACTCGAACACATCAGCGTGCCATGGCTCTAGATAGATTGCAAAGGCGCCAGGGCGCTTGTTGCCACCTTGGTCCACATAACGGGCAGTGTTGTTGAAGACTCGGAGCATGGGAATGAGCCCATTGGAAGTGCCGTTGGTCCCAGCGATGTATGAGCCGGTGGCACGGATACAATGAGCGTTGAGGCCAATGCCGCCGGCAGTCTTCGAGATGAGCGCACAAGTCTTCAGAGTGTCGTAAATACCATCAATACTGTCCTCTTTCATGTCAATCAAGAAGCATGACGAGAGTTGGGGTTGAGGCGTGCCTGCGTTGAAGAGTGTTGGAGAGGCGTGAGTGAAGCACTTCTGGGACATGAGATTGTATGTCTCGATGGCCTTTTCAACATCGTCTCCATGTATGCCAACAGCAACACGCATGAGCAGGTGCTGTGGTCGTTCGGCAACTTGATTGCCAATCTTCAGTAGATATGATCTCTCCAGTGTCTTGAAGCCAAAATATTGGTAGTTAAAGTCTCGATCGTACACGATAGCCGAGTTCAACTCATCAGCATGTCTCATGACACACTCATAGGTCTCGTCCGAGATCATCGGGGAGGGCTTGTTGTTCTTCGGGTTGATATAGTGGTAGAGATCCGAGATCACCGAGGAAAATTGTTTCTTGGTCTGCTTGTGGAGGTTTGAAACAGCAATACGGGCTGCTAGGATGGCATAGTCGGGATGTGTGACCGTCATGTAAGCAGCAGTCTCTGCAGCCTGGGATGGGGTTAGTGCTCTAAACATTGATTTACCAGCAGTGACACAACTGACCAGATTGTCGAGCTCAAACGTAGTCACGCCCTGGTAGACGCCCGAAATCACTTTCTGTGTGATAGCTGCTGCATCGACGTGCTCAGGATCGAGGCCATAGCACAGTCTGGACACGCGGGCCGTGATCTTGTCGAACTGCACGCGTTCTTTGCGTCCATCTGAAAAAGTCTGTCAGCACCATGGACATGCTGGGAGCGAGCTCTTAGAGCGAGCCCAGAGCTTATTGATGCTCTGCTAGGAGGAGACGGGAACGTACCTCGCTTGAAGACGAACATCCTGCCGGGTTCGCGTCTGTTGCTGAGTGGTGCTCAGTGTGAGGAAAAACTGGTGGCTAACAGATAGGACTGAAGGCGGCAGGCAACAAGACCGCTGAGCCTGCTCTTGATGTATTAACCAGGACTCCTAAGTACCACAGAGATACAGGTAGCAGCAGAGGAGCGTTGTGAAGTCGAGGAACAAAGTGCAGAGAGGGAGGAACCAAAACAACAATTAGATATATACGCCCTACGCGCCTTAGAACGCGTTCGTTCTCGCGTGCGTGTCGACACGGGTTGCAGGGGCTCCAGGCTCCAAATCCCATTTAACTGGCGTCTGCCTGCGCCAACTTGCCCCGCTTCACTTTACTCTGCAGTTGCTGTAGCAGCTTTGTAACTTTTTGCTTTTGCCACCGCAGTCCACCACTCTCCCTGCTCTGCTCCCTGATCCCTGCTCCCTTTCAGATGCCTGACTGCCAGCCTCTCCAGCCTTCCTCTCAAGCACTCCAGACCGTGATCTGCAGGCGCAGACAGCCCGCGCAATACTACTGATACCATCTCCTGCAATGTCGTCTCGCCCCTAGCACGACATGGCCTCGATCGATCGACATTGACAAATGCCGCGTCAAAAGTGGGACACTGTTAGTGTGAGGGTGCTGGCTCGAGGCCACAGACCAGGCTGACAAACTCAGGATCAGGATCAGGACCAGGATCTTGATTAATATTCCCACGCAAAACACTCTTGGGTTTCTATACATATTGTGCCGTGTAACTCTCACTAGACACCGTCGCTCAATATACATGTTTGTGACCGACCAACTCCGATCTGCGTCTTGATCAAATCCCCACCAACGACCGTAAGATCCAGCCACATCTGTTTCAACACATTTGCAAGAATTGTCGGCCAGCCTCAGCCTCGGCCTCATTCAAGAGCGGGATCAATACAAACGCCACTCGTTGCAGTGGTTATTCAAACTGCCCTTTCTTTCCCTCTCCCGTTTGTGGTCTCATCATCTGGATCGTAGTTCTCGTCCCGTTCCCTAACGCTGCTCATCCTTTTGATGTGGTCCCTTTCCTTGTCCTCATCGTGGTCCGCTTCGCTTCTGTTGCTGCTCAGCAGACTCAACGCATCGGCATTGACCACTCGCAGCTTTTCTTTGGGGACCGTGAACATGACCTGGACAACTCGTTTCTGCACCGCGGTCTCCACGTCCCAGTCATCATCCTCATCCTCAAATTCGCCGTCGTGGTCATCCAATGTTACTCCAGGAACCGGCTTCCTGCGGACTGTGGAGGATGGTCCAGCTTCACTGGGACCTAGACCGTCGTTATCCCAGTCCTTGGCTCCTCGCTTGCCTCGCCAGAATGATGCCCCTGCACTCAAGGCTCTATTTAGACCAGCGTCTGTCATTTCTGGCTGTGCAGAGTGCTTCGTAGGGCTCGATTGGGTGCTTCGGGGTTCCAGTGTAGCAACACGGTTCTGGACATCGACACTGCCCGTGCCTGTGAAGACCCGCCTCATGCTGCCCAGCAGATTCAATGCCCTCCGCCCAGAGCCAGTAAGGCTACCCGCTCTGGCATATTTATCCTTGCTCGGGCTCTCGGCGAGCGTTCTGTAATCACGCCCTCCATGCAATTGACGCTGATTACTTCGATTCAAGAGAGCTTGATCCTCTCCTACCAGCGCACGACGCCAGCTACTCGGAGCGGATGAGAGAGTGGCGGCATGGTCCTTGGAGGTCAAATATCTGGTAGAATTGATATTGAGGGACACGCTGCGGTTTGAAGGCGCCCTGGCAAGGCCGGAACTGGGATCGTGCGGCAGTTGGCCTTGTCCGGGGGTTCCGAATCGAGTCATAGCAGCTGCAGCGCCCGAGAAGAGCGCATATCCTGCGCTGGCACTTCTTTGAGACAGGTTGCGCGACAGTGTACCAACCGCCGATTTCTGAATGGACGAGCTGGTCGTCATGCTATTCTCCGAAAGATTGCTGCCCGTTCGGTCCGACTTTTCTGGCGAGGCACGCCCTGCACCTCCTCCAGCAGGACGAAATTGTGAGAGGTTGGAATATGTTCGGCTATACGCTTGGCTGGTGCTTCTTGACAAAGTCATGGTCTCGGCAGCTGATTGCCAGTCCTCGACCCAGCCGTCGACCTCTTTCTTCCGCTGTACTGCAGCTTCGTTCTGTAAAGAAGTCTCTGCCATGGCTACAGGGTCGCCAAACGGGTCGCTCGCCATTGAGCTCCCATCACTCCCAGCCTTTGGAGTCTTTATCCTCTTCCATGACCCAACCTGGCTGCCCTCCTCCTCTTCATCAATGCGAAAGACAGCTCCTGGCATTGCTCCAGGAGGATGTTGGTTGAATGGCCCGACTCCCGTGGGGGCTTTCGAGATTATATTCTTTCTTAGGCCCCTTGTGGGACTGGGGACTTCCATTTGAACGCCGGTGCGCTCGGCATATCGAGAATCGTTGCTCTCTCCTCTGCCCGCACCCACAGCCAAACGTACTCTTCCATTGTTGTCTGTTAGAGCTACCGGTGCCCAGGGAAAAGGATCTCCAGAGCTCTCGAGCTGACGTTCCTGAATGCCACCCCAGCTGGCACTTCTCATTCCGTCACCTTTCTCTCGAATGTCTCCAGGCGGTGTAGGTGAGCGGTACCGTTCGGCGCCCAGTGCAAGTTCTCTGATCTCCTTTTCTCGGAGGGCACGCCTCGCTCTGAGCTTCCGTGAATACAGGAGCCACACAATTGCCACACCAGCAGCAGCTGCCAGGCCGAGACCGAGACCGGCTCCCAAACCTGCCCTTTCGGAGGGCTTCAGTCCCGTAGTCGATGACTGTGAATTTCCCGATGCAGAAGGTGAGCCTGACGGGTAGGGATTTGTGTAGGTGTTGGTCCATTCCAGACTTGTTGTATTTAAGAACAAGAGCCTGTCAGACAACTGACGTTTTGCTTTTGAGCCGGATGTGCTGATGGAGTATCCACCAGTCACCATCATGACGCCTCCAGGAAGCATCGCCGCGCCATGGCCATATATGCCAGAGCCAGAGCTTGACGGAAAGGGATCAGAGGTTGAGCTGGGAGTCGACCATGCCCAATCCCCTTGGCCGCCGTACCCCTGGCCTACTTCCAAGATGACAAGTTGAGGCTGTGCTGGCGTGCTGATGTCCCCCACCCATCCGCCGAACACCACGATCTGGGACCCATCCTCGGTCAAGATGGCGGTGTGTCCAGAACGTGGTTCGATGGTTGTCACGTCTCTCGTCCTGAATTTGCGGGTCCCAGAGTCAACCATCTTAGACACTCCAACAAAAGCCCAAGACTCTTGCGGCAGAGCAAAGATGGCCAACTGTGACATGTTGATAAAAGCGGCCTGAGTATGGCCACCAAGCAGGACGAAATTCTGTTGCTGTGATACGTTGGCCCCCGACGTATTAGAGAAGGTCGGTGTTAGGGGCGTGATGGTCAATCCTGCTTCTGCAATCGGGGGAGCTCTTGATCCAGTCATTGATATTTGATAAGGCGAGCTTCCATTCGAAGATGAAGCCGGTTCAAAGGTCAGCATTGTGTTCGAGTAGACTGCATGAGAAACCCAGTTGGCCGCATCGACGGATGTTCCATTGGGGCACATCCCGCCAAAGATATACAGTGATAAATCTTCAACCGTGGCGCTTGGGGAGAACTCAAACCCAGCAGAAAGGTAGTTGCAGCCTAGGGAGCCGTCACCTGCGGCTAATGGTAGGCTGGTCCAGGTCCCGTTCTTCTCATCTTTGTTTGGTATGAACTTCCACAATTCGAGATCTTTGGCGGGATTTTCGCAGTCGCCTGCCAATACAGTGATGCCTTCATCATCGGGTACTGTTATGAATGCCTTGGAGTCGGCGTCGGACAAAAATGGAAGCGCATTAGATATCGGACTTTTCGAGGACGTGGAGGTCAGATTCTCTGAGGTGTCGAGCGCATATAGTGAAAACTGGGAGGAAGAAGGCTGCGGCGCGAAGAGGTAGGCCACCGAACCATCTTTGGCCGGGACAATGCGCGTCGGATTGTATGGCAGCTGCGCGGCCACGGGTGTAACGAAGGCCGCGAGACCAGTGGGAAGGAGGAGAAATCGTCGTAACATGTTCTCGTCAGGTGCGGGTTCAGGTCATTGTTGACAATCAACCCATCTGCGGCCTTCCGCGGCCGAGATTGACCTTTTCAAGTTTGTCGCCAACCCAGGGAACGGCAGCTGGTTTCAGGGTCGAGGGAGGAATTCGAGAGGATCTAACTATTAGAGGATCAGGGAGGCTGGCCATGCAGTCGCAGGAGGTGCTGTATGGTACTGGTATCGCGGGGCAGAGCTGGTAAGCGTGTAAACACACGCAGGGCATCTGCCAGCCTCCTAGGCCAGACTCGGCTCAAGGGTCTCTCGACTGCAGACGGTCAAACCAGTGGCGCCCAATCGACGTTCTGGTGCCAATGCAAGGAAGCTTGCGCCATTTTCGGGTTGGCTTTAGGTTGGCTAGGGTTTCCAGTGCAAGGGCTTAGGGGCAGCGAAGAAGAACTGAAGTCGCGATTGTTTGGGTGGCTGGTTACCATAACAACCGCACATTAAGATATCCAGATAAGCGAAGGCTGAGGAGGCGCTGGCCCTTCACACTTCACACAGTTCAGGAGACTCTGTATGTGTACCCAGCATTTCTACTTCGGATTTTAGGCGAGACTGGTTCATCTCCAAGCCACATCTTGTCATCTACTCTGTACGATCACGAGAACCAGTACTCCGTACTCCGTAACCTTTTCCCACTTAGGCAAATGGATTTGGCATATACTACCCAGAGGGTTCCCTACCCTGGCGTCCGCCTTCCCCCATGAGCGCATCACCTTTTTTCTGTTCGCAGGCTCTACCCCAGTCGGCGTATCAAGCCTTCGGCTTGCCATCCACCATTCACCTAGACCTCCTATTTCGCAAGGCCAACTCTTTTCTGCTTTTCTGCTGCGTAGTGCTCCCTTCAAGGTGTGTGGGCACGTGTCTTGGAGCAGCCCGTCCCGAAACGACCCTGGTCGATGTGATGAGATTGGCGTAAAGAAGCCAAGATGCATAGCTGGAAAGCCGCTGCACGCCACGCGTCAGTAGCGAGAAGCGCTATTTTATTTTTGAGCCCGAGTCATCTATTAACCCCAACGTGATGAGGAAGATTGGCCAGGCAAATCGTGTCTTCAAAAGGATCCTTCTGCCGGCGCGCATGGGAGGGATTGTCCGCTAGCCAGAAGACACAAATAGCGCCCACTTCAGTAGCATCAGTGGCAAGTTGTCGACTGGTCCGCACGAGCTGGACTTGGGTACATGATCGTCATCTCAAGCCATTCAAATGTTCGGCGACATTTTCCGGATTTGCTGAAGTCCCACTTTCTTTTACAGGCAACGTCGTTTTCAGTGGCGGCAGGAGACTTCTCGCACTCTCTCGCGCATTCTGGGCCATGAGCGCGTCGATGAGTACTAGTGCCGCCATGGCTTCCACAATCGGCACGGCTCTAGGGACCACACATGGGTCATGTCTGCCTTTTGCCTCCAACACGCCGTCTTCAGCATCGTAGGTCGCCGTCTGTTGTGCCTGACCGATGGTGGCCGGGGGTTTGAATGCGACCCGGAAGTAAATGTCCTGACCGTTGGATATTCCCCCCTGGATGCCTCCTGAATTGTTGGTTTTAGTAGTCAACTTTCGCCTCTCATTCGTCTCGCCGACTGGTGCAGCAATGAATGGATCATTGTGTACCGATCCTGGCACCTCACAACCACCAAATCCAGAACCGATTTCGAATCCCTTCGTCGCCGGTATGCTCAGCATGGCATGGGCCAACTCTGCTTCGAGTTTGTCAAAGCAGGGCTCACCCAGCCCGATCGGGCAGTTTCGGATCACACAGGTCACTGTGCCTCCAATGCTGTCCTGCGCATCTCGGAACTTCTCTATCACCTTGGTCATACGCGCTGTGGCAGCGGCGTCCGGACACCTGACTGGGACAAAAGAATCGACCTCCTGTCGGGTGACCTTTGAGATCAACGAGAGAAATGCCGGGTTTGTTGCGGGAGATGGATACTTGGCTGTCGGGGGAAAGAGATACTCTGAGCCGACCGAAGAAACAAAGGCAACAATCTCGACGTTATGGGCTAATGAAAGGTACTTTTCTGCAACGGTGCCCGCTATCACCCGTCCTGGAGACTGGGTCAGAAACACAGTCTCGGTTGTTGGAGGATTGAACACATACCAATGGTCTCGCGAGCACTACTCCTACCTCCACCGCTGCTGGCTTTAACGCCATATTTCTCCAGGTAAGTAAAGTCAGCATGGCTAGGTCGTGGATAGAGGTCCATGGTTTTTCCACCATAATCTTTGGGTCTTTGGTCTTCATTGCGCACTATAACGCCAATAGGAGTGCCGAGAGTAACACCGAATTCCGTGCCCGACTGGATTTCTACTCGGTCTTTCTCGTTTCTTGGAGTGGTTAGAGCAGATTGGCCCGGTCTGCGGCGAGTCATCTGAGGTTGTATATCATCCTCCGTCAAACGCATGCCAGGAGGGCAGCCATCGATGATGCAACCGACCGATCGACAGTGAGATTCACCATAGGTGGTTACTCGGTAGTATTTGCCCCAAGTCGACATGTTGGCTTCGTGTAAACTTCGTATTTAACGGGCGTTTTAGTATTGTTTGTAGTCAATGCTGGAATGTGTAGTCAATGCTGGAATGTGTAGTCAATGCTGGAATGTAGTCCAGCACAGATGAGTCGGAAAACGGGTAGAAGACCCTGTTAAACAGAGGCAACAACGTCCAGAAAATAAAGACCTGTAAGCAAGAACTTGAGTTGAAGCGAGAATCTCTCTCACACACAGCACCGGCCTGAATATATCACACGTTGTCGATGCACGTTCAACCAACAGTCATACTCGCTCGAAGCTGTGAAATATTTTGCGAGTGTAATTCTAGATGCATCCGATCCCGGAAGGTGTAGCGAGCACATCATAAGGTACCCGAGGACATAAGTACGTCATCACGTGCTAGCATTCTAATCCTTGACATCTTCCTATACAATTCACGCTCCAGTTGCTAGTGTTCGAGTCTTGCTTATTCCGTCAAGTCACAACATCAGCGGTGCAATAAAAATAAACTAATCGTTGAGCAGCGTTGTATTGCGGGATGAGTTAAAAAGCACCCAGTTAAGTAGTCATCCACATCATTTCATGTTCGATCAGCGGAGAGTAGATGCTCCCACTCATTTCATTTCATCCCATTGCATTGACCTGAAGTCCAATGTACTTTTTGAAACCGCAAATGAGCAACCATAGATCCGGCAGGCTGGGTATCGGCCATGAGGGCCTAGTAATCGTCACCACGGCTGACAACCTCCTTGACCGTGGGGCGTAGGAGGATAGTGTGCTCAAACTGCGCCGTGTAGCTGCCCTTGACGTCGACCAGGGGTGGATATGCCTCGACAATGCCTGAGCTGACGAGGTTATTAAGGCCGAGTAGGTACTTGTCCTGACCGAGGCGGTCGAGGTAGCGTCGACAGAATGGTAAAGTACCGAAGTTCTTCTTGATGACATTTAGCAGCGAGCGGGCTGACTGCACACGCAGAGGGACGTTGGGAGCGTCGGCATGTAACGCGTAGTGCGAAACCTCGAGGTCGTCGACGACATAGCCGCGCCCCGTCGACCCGAAAGTCTCTATCGCAAAGATCTCGCCCTCCTCCATCTTGGTCTGGTCGCCGCCTTTAACGATCGGCACTGATTTGCCGCCGTGGATGCTGTGCTGCACGATATCGTGGCCATTGAGGTTCCGAATCGGCTTGACCTGGTACGTCTTGCCGTCGAGCTCGACTTCATAAGACTCCATGGTTTCTTGGATCGCTGCTCCAATATCGCCGACTCGGACATCGATCCCAGCCTCGCGAATACCTGTGTTGGTGGCGTCCTTGACCGCCGCAAGGAGATTATCATATTTGGGGTCAAACGCCACAGTGAAGGCCGAGTCCACGATTCTCCCGTTGATATGGACGCCAAAATCGACTTTCATGACATCTTGCTCGCCCAACACCCACTTGTTGCCCGCGTTGGGGGAATAATGGGCCGCGATATGATTGATGCTCAATCCCGTTGGAAACCCCACCCCACCTTTGATATTGTCGCCCTCCTCGAGTCCCCAATGGCCCGTAAGAGCGCGCGTACCGTCCTCAATACCCTCTGCAATCTCGGTCAGGCTCATACCTGGTTTAATTTTTGTCTGGGCCCACTGCCGCACTTGCCGGTGCACTTCGGCGGCCTGGCGGTACTCCTGGAGAAAATCGTTATTCATACGGTCAAGGTGTCGCTTCTCTTCATTTGTGGTGCGGTATGCATTGTCGTTCTTGTATTCCACCTCTTCCCCCACCGGATAAGTGCCACTGGAGAACAGCTGGCTGACCGCTACTCGTGGCGGGTCGGATTGGACTTTTGCGCCACCAGCCTTCTTCTTCTTGGGCTTCTTCTTCTTCTTCTTTTTTGACGCCCCGCTGGCAGAGTTCCCGTTTGCACCGCCGGTGGCAGTAGTATCATCGCCTTTGTCATCCTCTGAGTCGTCCTGATCTGATAAGTGCCCATTCGCACCATCTGTGCCATTGACCTGTGGGTTGGGCTTGATGGCGCTGCCGTTCACAGTGAGCTTGGACAGTTCATCCGCCGCCTTGGCCGCCATTGTGACGTGGAACACGGACTACTTGCTCAAAAGCCAGGCAGGAGATGCGGAACGGGAAAAGGCGAGGCAGGATTGAAGTATAAGCAACAAGAACCTTGTCGGAATGTTTTTCTTCCCGTAGTGTTAGTACGTAGCACGCAAAAGACGCAAGCGGGGCGGGAGAAGAATTGGAGGCAACTTTCCCGGCGCCTGTGAGCAAGCCTCGCCGGTGAAGACGTCACGTACGAGTACTGCTGCAGCTTTCTCCTTTATCCCTACCTACCTAGGAGCAATTCCCCGTCCTCACTCGACAATTCAATGCGCTGCCCACTTTGCGCATAAACGAAGGGGTAACAAGGCACTCACAAGCATGAGGCATGAACCTGCGCCCGGGTACATTTCCGTCGCTCCGCCTCACGAATCCCTGCTCGGCCAGATGTCTCGTCGATCGAGCACGTGGACGCCGCTTCTCCCAGACTTCTTCGACTGCGAGTCACGGTAACGCTCCGACTCACTACGAAGTGCTGGGGATCGGACAGCATGCTACCCAAGCGGAACTGAAGAAGCAGTTCTACGACCTTTCCAAAGAAACACACCCAGACCTCAACCGCAGCAACCCTGAAGCCGGCAAACGTTTTGCGCAGATCAGCGAATCGTACAGCGTTCTCGCCGACCCAGAGAAGAGGAAGAGATATGATAGGGATGTGATGCGGACGCACGCACACCGCCACCCCCACGGGTCGCATTCGAGCCATCATCACAGAGCAACTCACGCAGGTCACCGCCCGCCGAGCGGGTTAAGTAGACGGCGGAGCGCTTTCAAAGGACCGCCACCGTCGTTTTATGCTCATGGAAAGCCCTCGGCCAACACAACAAACCAAGCACGAGCGAATCAAGCCGGTACTTTTAATGCTAGCGCATACACGGAGGAGGGAAAATGGGACCCGGACTTCGATGCTCGCAGCACATACAAAACCCAGACACTCGAAGATTATAGGCGGGCTAATAGACGAGCGGCTGAGATGGCGGCTGCGCAGGCAGAGGTCGAGGCGGACAATTTCTGGGGCAGATTTCTTACCGTAGCCAGTGTCATCGTGCTTAGTGTTACAGTGGGCACTGTCGTGGTAGGTATGGCCAACACTCCGCGAGGCGGACTCACGAGAGGAGATGGCAGTCGGAGAGACGGCCCTCGGAACGAATGGACAAAAGGATAGAAAGTCGCCGTGAATTTGGCTTTGGATGTATCTGTAGATCTAATAGCCGCATTTGCGTCTTCTAGCGAGTTGCAAAGTGATTGGATCAATGCATGAATTTGATGAGATCTCATTGATCGAGGACAACCATCATGGACTATTGACACTACCCTCTCTATGCCGCTTTGTACAATCTGGGCCGTGAATTTGTCCTTGAATACATGTGAATAGGAACTAAGCTTAACCCTCAAATGTGAAGGAAGCACCGACTTTGTGGGCAGCTTGATTCAGGTTTTGAGTGTCAAACGAGGCTCCCAAACCGAGGGTGACACCGGTTCCGAGTTTAACGTTGTAAGCCAGAGCGGCAATACCACGGTCGTTGATCTTGGCCTGGGTTCGTTAGCATTGCATCTCGCCGAGCCGAGAGAAAAGAAGACTACCTTTGCGAAAGAGCTGGGGTCGAGCTTGTATTTCGAGGCAACTTCCAAACCAACGTTGCTTCCGGCCGTTGCGTCCCAAGTCGCCTTTGCGCCAGCCTCGACTTCAGCATTGACCTTGTGGTAGTAGCTCGCGGAGAAAACGGTCAGGTTGTTGGTGGCAGTGACGGCGGCAGCATATGAACCTTGGCTGTATCCCGCTGCAAGGGCATATCTTGTGATGGCGGCCTTGCCGACATCATATCCACCTTCTGCGCCAATGAGGAAACCTTCGTGACCAAGAGTTACGTCGAAGGAGGCTTTAGGTCCCTTCAAGAGGTCGGTGAACAATCGGGTGTGGATGTTGGGTTGCTTGTAGAAGAGGTTGAGCTTTCCACCGTAGGCGCTCTGCGCAGGTAGATAGTTGGTCAGGACCTCGGCCTTCAACCCCTTGGTTAGGTTATCCTCAAGCTCAAGTTTTGTGTCCAGGCTGTTCGAGGTCGTCCAAGTCTGGGTGAGGGTGAGACCTGAAGAGCTTCAAGTCAGCAAACGGTCTGGACGGTTGACGGGGCAGGCCCGAGAAACCATCGCCCCTTCATGCCGTCCGGGGTCGGCAGGAGGGTGGAATTACCAGTTGCCTTGTCCGAGTATTTCCCTTCGATCTTTGCTCTGCCGTTAATATACGATATTCTGAAGTTTCGCTTAATTATCATGGTGCTCACCGAGCCAGAAATTGGACCATCGTGGGCGGATTTCCCCTTGACTTGGAAGCTGAGGCGCCGTTAGATCGATTTCGTACAGAAGCATAGGAGGGTCCTACACAACGCCATTTGGCGCTTTGGACTTGACCTCGAGGTTCGCAGCGGTGGTGTGATAGAAGTCCTTGTTGAGGAGCTAGAGATGTCAAGGTTAGAGCGATGCATACAGGCGGTCCGTTGTTCTCTTACATCGTTCGCTGGCTTAGCGATGTCGCTGAAGGGGACCGGGATACCAGACATGATGGCGGTTGAGGTAGTTAGAGGGTTGGCTGAGATAGATCAGGCAGAACGACAAACCAGGGGAATTGGGGTTGAATAGACACTGTGGTAACAAGTTGCAACAACGGGGGGAGCTTGAGAAAATGGGTCGGAGCTGTTTTGCACCGCAGTTGCCATTGGCCAATCACCGCCTCGATCGGAGAGTGTGAGTCGGCCGCCTTCCCCCCATAGGCCGCCGCTTTGAACAGAACACCACGATAAAGTACGTTTGACTGGCCCGTAAACAGCCCGAGGAGCAGCTCATGAAGGGGAATATATTTGGCTACGAGGATATATACGGGTCATGACCTGTCAATATATTGCACAGACTCTGCTTTTCTTAGCTGAAATGTCGAATATGAGAGAGAGACAGCCTTCCCAAAAGAAAAGATGATGGTCATCGTCGCATCAGACCTAGGAATAGCTCCGCCGTGAATACATCTCATTATTTTTTAGCATCCTCATATCTCGCGACATGGCTGGCAATGGCTCGGCCGCTGGGATCTGTTTGTTTCGACCACTTCGGCGTCCATCGCATGACTGTAGACGCACAGTATGCGGGGAAATGCTGGTCGAACATCAACCGATACCAATATGCTTCCTTGGTGGTTGGAATATCATCACCCCATTCCGGTTTAGGGTTTGCCAGCATTTCATCTGTTACGTTGAGCTCAGCGTGGTCCTTGAGAGCGTCGATCCAGCCATATCCAACACCATCGCTGAATTGCTCCTTTTGGCGCCACAAGATATGATCGGGCAGATACGGGGCCACGTCTGGCTCGTCGCTGGTGTCGAATGCTTTGCGAATAATGTACTTTTCGATTCTGTCTTTCGTGATCATCTTCTCGGCGGGGTCAATGTTCATTGCAACCTCGAGGAATTGCTTGTCCAAGAAAGGCACACGAGCTTCAAGACCCCATGCGGAGGTGGATTTATTGGCACGCAGGCAGTCAGCCAGATGAAGGTTTTTGACTCTCCTAACAGTCTCTTTGTGAAATTCTTCCTTGTTTGGAGCGTTGTGGAAGTAAAGGTAGCCGCCAAAGATCTCATCGCTTCCCTCACCGCTCAGAACCATTTTGACACCCATGGCCTTGATTTTTCGGCTGAGAAGGTACATGGGTGTCGAGGCACGGATGGTCGTAACGTCGTATGATTCGAGGTGATAGATGACATCGGACAGCGCGTCTAGACCCTCCTGAATGGTAAATGTGAAGTCGTGATGCTTGGTACCCAGGAAGTTGGCCACTTCAAGCGCGGCTTTGGTGTCTGGAGCGTCTGGCAGGCCAATCGAGAACGAATGCAGCTGAGGAAGGAAGGTGACGGTTGACAGCTCGTCATCATCATCGATGCCGACCAGCTTGGTTCCTGTCTTAGGCCCGTCACCATTGACGGCACCATTGCTCTGGGCATTGATGATTGCGCGTTGACGGAGAGACTCTCTTTGCGCTATCGAAGCCGTCAGGCTTGAATCCAGGCCTCCAGAGAGCAGAACACCATATGGCACTTCAGCCATGAGACGCTTGAGCACAGACTTCTCCAGCGTTTTCCTGAGCAGCTTGTAATCCAAGGGTGTGTCTGGGATTCTGTTCTCGTCCCACCACGAGGGTTGGAAGTATCGCGTGAGCTTGTCGGTCTTGGAGTCGTAGACATGGCCTGGTGGGAATGCATCGATCTGGTCACATACTGGAGCCAGAGCCTTTAGTTCGGAGGCGAAGAAGACAGCTCCCGGGGTCTGGCTTGATCGACCAATGTAGAACGAGGTAATGCCGATGGGATCCCGCGCAGCAATTGTTCGGTCTTGTTTCTTGTCGTAGAGGACGAAGGAAAACATGCCGTCGAGCTTGTTCGGAGCCTCAATGTCATATTCCTGGTAGAGAGGAATTATCACTTCGCAATCACTGTGGGTCTTGAAGTTGTAGGGCGTCTTGAGATGCTTGCGCAAGATGCGGTGGTTGTAGATCTCGCCATTGACAGCAAGGGCAATTGTCCCCTCATCGTTGACCAAAGGTTGTGCGCCCGTGTCCACACCGACAATGCTAAGACGTTCGTGGCATAGGATAGTGTTGTTGCCCGTCCAGTTCCCAGACCAGTCAGGGCCACGATGCCGGAGGCATTTGACGCACTGCAGCGCAGTGGTCTTGAAGGTGGCTATTGACGGATGGCTGCGACCAAGTTAGCATGAGAGACGGTAGATGCGAATCAACGTCCACGACTCACTTGTGACACGCAAAGATACCACACATGACTGCCCGCGGGATTGCTTCTCACGCTGCGTTGGTGTTGGTTGAAGGGGGACGGGTGTATGCAAGGTCTGAGAATGTGTGGCGGCGAGGGCGTGGGAGAGGAAATAAAAAGTCCACGCAGAGCCAAAATTTTGGAGCGGGATGTGAGTCAAGGCTCAACGGGCGGGCGAGCTCCTCCCACGCCGCCGCCGGGTGCTCAATGCTTTTCCATCCTTCGAGTCATCGGCGGGACCCAGCTAACACGAGGCTTCCAGAGCCAGATAGTGGCTCTATGGAGTACCTACTACCCAGTACCCAGTACTCTGTACGGATACTCCGTACCTGGGAAGGTGGTTCCGGCCTTCAGCCCGCGCGCGCTCGCTCCCTGGCCCTGGTACGGAGTACTCTACTCCGTAGATAATAATCATGATAACGAACGGACTACTGCTAGTGGAGCTGCACTCCGACGCTGCCCCTCTTCACCTCACGCTTTTACGAGTGTAAAACCGAAAATCGCGCTCACGACAGCAGGATAACAGTAAAAAGACTCAGAAGCACACGTTGATGTGGCTCGCCGCCCACACAGGGACGCCCATGACCAGCACGCGCGACTCTTGTTGCGAGGTTTATTACACAATCGTCAAGCTGAGTGGTGGGTAGGTCTTCCTGCTCCGGAATCTTGGGCAGCAAATGCAATCTTTTGGCCTTAGCCCCAACGTCGACTTCTCCTGGTCTACCTGTCGTCAGGGCCAGAGTCTCCCGGCCATGAGCCTTGGTTGACTGGAACTTCCGCCATCCAAAGGTGCCCAAAGGGCGAAAGCGTGGGGGCTTGTGATAGGCACTTTGCATAAGGATGAATGCGGGGGATTCGGGTATCTCATTTGCTGGCGCTCAGCGCACATCGTGGATCCCAAGTATTCGCAGCTTCAATAGCCCTGGACCCAGTACGCCTCTAGAGACCCTTGCCCGCTTGTCCCGCCGAAAAAACGCCTGCGCTCGTAAATTCACATGCACGCCGTTGTTGGGCCGCTGCCAGGTCTATGACTCCTCTCTGACTTTAGGAGGCAAACTGCAGATGTTCACGGTGCCGGGTTCTCCTTGACTATGCTCTTTATCTTTCTTTCGTATGCCGCTCGATCCTTCTTGTACAGATTGTACGCATCTGCTTGAGCAGGAGATTCAGGGTTCGGGTCGTTGAGCAGATCCTGGATTCCCAGGAGAATCTGCTTGATGGTGATGGCTGGCTTCCAGCCCTCTTCTTCATTTAGAATTGAGAGGCACACCGTGCCGGAGGGATATACGTTGGGATGGAAGAGCGGGGGGACAAATTTGCCTAAATCGTCAGCGCAGATTCAATGTGGATGCGTATTGATGTTCCCTCACATTTCGGTGGCTTCGTAGGATACTCATCAGGGAATGTGAGTGTTAACTTGAATAATCCGCCTTGCCAGATGGTGTTGTCTCTTCCTGGTATTCCCACTTCCCAGTTCTTAAGGTCTACAACTCCATTTGCGCCCCGTACTGGTTTCGCAAAGAAGCCGAAAGGATGGTCGCGACGCCACTGTTTCCTGTGAATGAGATCAGTGACCGGGAACAGAGGACAGAGGACAAGAAAGGAACTCTTCATACCGTTCTTCTTGGAGCCGGTTAACACAAAGCGACATGGTGAAAGAGATTAACGAGGAGAGGGGGATCAGGCCGATCAGCCTGGAATATGGGATGCGCGGTTGTTGTCAGGTCAGGCTAGGCTGAGGTGCAAACTTCTGCTCAAGATTCTAGTGACTTCAAGAAGTCTGAGAGGAGGAAGTCTGAGAGGAGGAAGTCTGAGAGGAGGCTACTACCGGGTTGAGGCCGGCAAGCAAGGCTGCGGCACTGGCAGTGACTTTCGGCTCAGGCTTGGCAAATCACCAAATCACGTGCTACGAATGTGGCCGAGGCTGTGAGACTCATCCAACAGCCAGGCATCAAGATCTTTCTGAAAAATTGTCTAATGGGTATCATTGGTCTCCAGTAATCACGCCAGGATGAACAGGTTGCGGCCCTGGACTAACCGGCCTTGTCAAGAAGCCTGCATCCTGACAAGCTTTTCCATCTCCTCAGTCCATCTTTGGGCGAAGGCTGCCTCGGTGAACCGTCTTGCGCTTTTCCGCCCTCTCAATCGCATGGCGAGCCGTTCCTGTGGCTCTAGGGAGGCGACGCGCTGAAAGGCAGCGGCAAATTCCTCCTCGGATTCGGCATGGAAGCCAGTAGGCTGACCTTCGTATGGAATGACGATGTCTAGTTTCGGGCCGCCACTGTTGTGTACGACCGGGATGAGTCCCGCTGCCAACCCCTCCACATTGCCAATTCCAAAGTGCTCCGAGTACATGCCGTTCGTCGTGATACTCGACTTCCGGAGATAGTCTAGAATGACTGAGAAAGGGGCGTCGCAGATGAAGGTGGTGGTATCCTTGACCTTCAGTTCACGAGCCTCCAGGCGCAGATTGTAAATGTGCTTCTCATCCGGAGTATTGCTTCTGACCGAACCAATCAGGACAAGCCTCGGTTTGTTCTTTGCCGCATGATAGTATTGGGCAAATGCCCGGAGGATGAGGGAATGGTTCTTTTCAGGCCGGAACTGTGCAATATAGAGAACAATGTCTTCCCGTTGTTTCTCACTCTCCTCAGTGACCTGGATTTTAGACTCAAGCTCTTCCACAGGACAAGGGGGATATACCACGGCGGCAAAGGTAGAAGGAGGAGACACATTCCTGGGTTTCCAAAGCTGCCGAATATGTCCTTGGGTCCACGTTGAATTGCACATAACCACATCGATTTGACTTCCCACCCAGCCATAAAGCCATGCAAAGGCGGTCCAGTAGTACCTCTTTGCCTTTCCCTTCCAGCCTGTGCCTGCGCCAGAATGAATACCACGCTGACCGGTTGTGTCGTCGAGACTTTCGAGCATATCGGTCGAAATGGTTGGATAGTGCACATACGCTGCGGTAGGTACTCTTGGAAACAGAGACTTGCAGAACGCCACAGCAAACGCATAGCCCATGGTGTCGATGAAAATGTCGGGCACCATGAGCTGAAAGGCATCGTAAGCCAGGATCAGAGAACCCAGAGACTGTCCCAGCAACGTAAAGTGCGGATAGGTACTGGCGAGAACGAAGTGGCGTCTAGATAGATATAAAAAGACCAAAGAATGTTCTTGAAGGGCAATCCCAAAGCGATCCTTCACCGTAGCTACCACGACGCCCCGGTCAATATCGTGGTCGCCGGTATAGACAGCACAGATAGCACGAGGCCAGCGCTTCTGAGTCGCCGCGATTGCGGCCCACAGCACTCTTTCACCACCCCCTCCAGCATTGCTGCGTAGGAGTCAGAGACGGAGAACCATGTGATAAAGCGTGCAAACTCACCAGAATGGGTGGAAGAAGCCGACCACCCCGGTCCAGTCATCCTGCAGAGACTCCCCGTTTTCAGCAGTGCCCACGTTCTCGATGCTCTCCCATCCCTCTTCGACTTCTTGGGGAACCTGTTGCCTCTCCTGTACCGCAGCTCTGTCTCGCTGGATCTTTGCAATGATTGCCGCCTTCCTCTCCCTGGTTTTCCCTTGCAGAAACCAGCCTAACGCGCGCAGGGCCAATCGAGTAAGCAACAGGAAAATGACGGGCAAAAGCGGCGCCGCGGCAAGCAATGCCACTACAGTGGAGGCAGCCATTGCTGAAGCAGAATCCGAAGCTCAACGATGCACATGCTTCCAACGGCGGAGGGAAGGAGTGGAAAAGATAAAAGATGGCAGTATGGCGCCCATATACGGAGAACCGTATTCCTGTTTGTGGTGCCAGGTGCCTGCCGACAATGACGCGCGTGCCTCTGGTGTCTCTTCGATTGGGCGAGTCGGCGCGAGGCAACACCGTTCTTTTTTTCGTGGCTGTGGCCTTCTCCGCAACCGCTGACAATACTAGGGAAAGCGACTTGTACGTCCTGCTAACAGTGCTAATGCTCAGCATCCAGATCCTACAATTCTTTGGTCAAGCCGCTACAGCAAATGTTGCTGCGCCAGTCCGGACGATGTACCATACGAACTGCCTCTCTCTGCCTTGACGCGCAGTCCAGCACAAGGACTGCTCTCCCTCGACATGCCTTCGCACGAACCTTCCATTCCTCGAGACCGAACTACGTGATAGCAGAGGCATTGCAGCTTTCGCACAGTGTGTTCCAAGAGATCCATACTCTGAGCGGCCTCCCTTGGTGTCTTTCGATTCCCCTGACCGCATCGCTTTTCCGACTTGCTTGGATTCCAGTCCAGATAATATCTACTATCAGCCTGAAACGGAGACAGATTGAGGGACCTCTACTGAAAGGATGGCGCAAGGCATACCAAGACATTGCCGTCGTCAAGTACAGGGACCAGACGCAGCAGAGTGCAGAAAAGGCCGAAGCGTGGGTGAGCAAACAGTTGCAAGCCCGACGGAGGGCTATACGAAAGCACAGCAACTATCTAAGCCCCCTTTCGATCTTTGGGCTCCAGCTATCCTTCTTCCCAGTCTGGATTCTGAACGCAGATGTCATCAGGCGGATGGCAGGCGATAATAGAACATTGCTCTCTCTGTTGATCAGTACAGACCACAACAAAGTGGATACAACTTTAGTCCCGGCAGAACCAGGATTGCAGGCTGAAAACCTCTGGTGGATTCCAGACCTGGTCTCTCCCGATCATCTCTGGATCCTGCCGCTGACGTTTGGGGCTCTCTCAGTGGCGAGTGCATGGACGGCTGCGGGCAAAGGGATGGCGAAACAGCAGATCAAGATATCAACCATGGAACCCGGCGTGGCAAGACAAAGAGAGATTTTCTTCTTGTCGGTGTCTCAATTTGTCGTTGCAGCATCATTTCTCTTCCCGGTTTTCATCATTCGATCCGAGACAGCTACTGCTGTTGTTCTGTATCTGATTGGAAGTGTGGGAACACAGCTGATTCAACGACCCGTGGTCAGCTACCTTCTCGGCGACCCAAAGAAGTCTGCCATTGAGCCTCTGGAACGCAAAGCGCCCAAACTCAAAGGATTGAGGGAAGCGCGTTGAACTCATAGCATGGCTCATCATGCTCTCCTCCGGAAGATGCCCCATGGCGGAGGACCGATAACATCCTGTGGGTGCAAGTAGTGGAATGGCCTGATCCAGTCGGCGGGACCTGGACATCCCATGATGCGCACGTCGGCCTTGCGATTGCGACCTAGCCGGTCAAGGTTGTTGCAATACTCGCAGTGTAGCAACTGTTCAGGATACGCAGCATCGGCTTCCCCTCCTCTCCGTTTCGGTGACATCGACCTACCACTCACATCGTACTTTAACTCGCTGTCACGAAGTACTTGCACCCTCACAGCAGCGCCCTACTATATCCTGGTGGCCTGTCTGTTTGCCGGGGTCATCGAAGTGTGGTGTCGAGGCGGCCTTCCAGGATTGGACTCCAGTCGCCGGGCTCTAGCAATCCTACGAGGTGGCCAGAATGAGCGTTGGGTTCGAGGGCCTGCTGCAGGATACCATCATACCACTAGATCTTTCTCACGGCCTTGCCCATTTCGGTGGTCCACATATCGTATCTATGCTTGACTACGACGGACCGAGATAATCTATCTAATACATGCCTCTTGCCCCCAGGAGCCGGGCTTCCTGTAGTGATGACCCCCAGCGCTCTTGCATACAGTCAATAAAGAGATAACGGCTTCACTGAACCCAATATCATTCCCTTGAAGTCACAACTTGGCCTTCAAGGTCTGGTCTGCCGCCACGTTTGCGTTTTGCGCGGTTGCTTCACTGTTAATGACAACGGCGCCGGTGTTCTCTCCCTCGCCGAAAAATATCACCTCAACTGTAAGGTCATCTCTGTAGCGTCTGCTGTATGGACTCGGCAACGTGAGTAGCGCACACAGCATATCCCTATCCTTCCCACCAAGGGCGTTGCGGACTAGGTGCGTCGCGGCGTTCTTATCCTCGACGACGAATCGGTCGATCTTTTCCGCCTGGACATCCCACTGCTGTTGTCGAATCGGCTTTCCCCCGTCTTTATCGTTGTTGATGCGCCCGGTCTTGTCCATATTTCCACCTTTCTCCACAGGGAGCGCGGTTGGTGTGGAGGACTTGAACCAGGATGTGAGCCATGCGGTACTCGAATTTGAGGAACTAGTGGCATGTTTATTCTGCTGTTCAATCCATTGGCCGACAAGTCCGACAGCTTCTTCGTTCGTGAGCATCTCCCACAACCCATCGGAAGCCAGGATCAAGAAGTCGCCCTTGGAGGGCTCGATCGATGTGCTCGTCACAACGGGTTCGGCGGTAACGTAGGGCGGGGTCTTGAGCAACGGATGTGGTGTGCGTCCGAAGAAATGTTTCTTTATCCGGTCTTGCGTGTCACGGGACCATTTGTAAAAGGCGTCGCCAAATGCGCGCGTCGGTTCTAGATTGCCCAACACACGGCCACCACGGATAGCATACTCTTCTCCTGGGTGCTCTGCTCGGACGCGGGCCGCTTCATTCGGGTTTGAGCCGGTCTGGTCTTCCGACAATGGCGTGGCAAACCACTTCCCGGTCTGCATGTTCCTTCGTCCTAGCACTGCTCTACTGTCGCCCGTGCAAGCCACACTTATGGTCTTGCTTTGCGAGTCGTAGAAGGAAAGCAACGCGCATGAGCCTGAAAGCGCCGGAGCGAGTAGTTCTGCAGCAAGCCGTTTGCTGGGATTTTTGCTCAGCTTGCTTACGCTGTCCAGACAAATCTCGTTGTCCAACTTGACAAAGGCTGACTTAAGGGCCTGGCTGATCGCTGCAGGGGACGGGAATGGTGACTTCGCGTCTGATAAAGCTGCCTTGTAGGTGCCGTTGAGTTCTCGCGCAACAAAGGAGATCAGAACTTGACGCAGTTTGGCGGAAGTTGTCCATCCCGAATGTCCATCAAAGATCCCCCAGAACATCCAATCCGAAGATGGGGCCCCGTCTGTTGCAGCAACGGTGTTGGGAACCTCAACGATCTTTTCGGCATGATCATCCTCAATCGGATCGTTGCTGGGTAACTGGACAACATCATACCTGACCACGCCACGCCCTCGCCCGACGAGAAACGACTGTTCGTTCTTGCGTAGTCTCTCTGTGGCTTGTTCTGGTGTCACCATCTCAAGAACCTTTCTGCCGTAATCATCGGTATCCTTAGCCAGCGGACCTTCCCCAACAATCGACCCAGTGAAAAACTGGTCGTTATCAACCACCAATGCTTTCCGGTTCGATTCTTGCCCTGCCACAACCGGTGCGGGACTCGTAGGATCTGAAACGGGATGAGCGAAGTCTGGGGTTGTACTCAGACTTCTTGTCGGCTGTGCTGAGATGGGTGCAGCTGGATTTCGCAGAAGCTGCTGTGGACCATCACCCCTATACGCGTACCATGCCCCAATGGCGCCTAACGTTCCCACGAATGCGAGCGGCAGCTTTGGTAGACGCATAGAAGCCTGCAACGGCTGCCGCGACGTGCTGTACCTTCGAGTAACAAGGGAGGCTTGTGCAGTTATGACATGGTTCGGGGCGGCCAAGGACGACTTCGAAGAGAGCAGCTTCCGAAAGGCAGATTGTCGAGCCGTACGAAGGGCGAAAACAGCAGCTCGGCGCATCGAGACGGTCAGGAGAAGGGGACGAGGCCAAAGGCAGGCATGTAGAGTTGAATGGAGAAGAGGACCTTGGGAGGAGAGGACCACAGGACCACGGAGGAGACAAGTCTAGGTACAGAGTAATAGCGCAGCCGCCTGGGTTTTGTCCAGGCGGAGCCAATCGGAGTGGTCTATCCGCTCCCGCGATCCAACTGCGTCACCAGGCGGGCGTCGTGACTTATCACGAATTAAATCTAATTAATTATTAGGCACCTATTAACTCAGTACTCTGGATTTATCGTCCTACATATCGGGGTCATCCAAGTTATTCACCACAACCCTGCATCCGGGATCACTGTCAGCTTCTTCAACCCTCTTCAGTCCCTCACAATGGCTCCGAGAGCGCTACGCAAACTCCAACGTGAGCAGGAACTGCAGAGGCAGATCGCCGCAGCCAAGAATGCATACCAGGAGGCTGAGGAGTCACAAGAGGAAGAGGAGGAGCAGGAGACTCCGGAGGCAGCCTCCATACCAGTCCGGCCCGCAAATGCTTTTGACATGTTAGAGGGAATTGAAGATGCGGACGAGTCAGACCTGAATGAAGAAGACTTGTCCACATCAGCAGCCCTGTCTCGACCTGACAATGCTTCGCCGCCCACCACAGCGACCGCTGCAAAGCCCAAAGCCAAGAAGAAAAAGAAAGCAAAAGGTAAAAAGAAGGACAAGAACAAGGCTCCAGACTCGACTCAAATGAAGGACGAATCCGGGGACGAAATCGATCGCGCTTTGAAAGAATTGGCCGTTAAAGATGCCCAGGGACAATCCATCCCTGACAACGGCCAACATACGCCAGATTGGGAATCGACAGCCACGAAACTACTCACCATCGATAGAAACAATTTGAATCCTACGAACGAGATGAAGAGTCTATTCGGCAACATCGCTTTAGAGGGCCAGGAGTCACGGTCTACGCCCCGCGGTCAGCGGCGGCGTGAACAGAATCTACAAGGTGGAGTGGATCTGGCCACAGCTCTGACCGGAAGATATTGCGCTGCAAGCAAAGGCAAGGAGCTTGGATCTCTTGCGTCGAGACGGAATGTTTTCGTACAGGGGCGGGAAGAGTGGCCACTGGCGACCAGTGGGGGACTGAGCATGGAACACGTTCCTGACACGACGTCCTTCGAGAAACGATACAACATCATTCACAACAGCGTGTACCGAGAGACGCAGGTGCACTTCCTGATGGCAGTGGAATCAATGGACCCTCAGAGAATGGTGGGCCTGCTATCTATGTACCCCTACCACATCGCGACCCTCCTCCAAGTCTCCGAGATTGCAAAACACCAGGGTGACCATGCGGTTTCCGCAGACCTGATCGAGCGTGCTTTGTACTCGTTTGGCAAGTCAGTGCACAGCTCTTTCCCGACATCCATGAGGGGTGGCGTTGCCAGACTTCCATTTGAGAAGCCTTCAAACCGCGAACTTTATCTCGCAATATGGCGGTACATCAAGAACCTTGAGATGAGAGGTACATGGCGAACAGCATTTGAATGGTCCAAGCTCCTCCTTCAGCTCAACACGAGGACAGATCCATATGGGGTGACGTTGATGATTGACCAACTCGCGCTTAGGGGCCGCCAACATGCGCAGCTGATTCAGCTCTGCTCGGAAGACGGATATGGACCGTCATGGGATTTCTTGCCCAATATTCAGATATCCCTGGCGATAGCATATCACAGAGTTGGCAGGCCGCGGGATGCAAGGAGACAGCTTGCAGTTGCTACGCACAAATACCCCTACATCGTGTCGGCCCTGGCCTCAGCGCTCGACATTTCTCCACTTCCAAAATCCCTGTGGGCAAAACTTCCTTCGACTGACGCCGAGAAGCTCTACACGCAACTCTACGTCACTAGGGCCAAAGACCTTTGGAACACTCCGGAGACAACCAGTCTCCTTGTCGAGGTAGCAGAAACGCTATCCCACTACAGCGACGCGATCGCGTCCGCTGAACCCGCTCCCAAACTAGAAATATCTCTCGAAGAAGCCCGACACATCATGCTTCTTGAGATTCCGTCTCTGATCGCCCTTCTCCCACGTCGCTTCACCGCAATGCCCACGTCCTCGTTCGACGTCCTTCCTCCTCCAGACACACTGACCGACTTCATCATCCGGGCTCCTTCGGGCGCTGGACGTGGCCATGGCCCTATGCAAACTATCTTCAACGCAGCGGGCGCCACTGCAGGCGCCACAGGGGGCCTGTTGCAGCGTATCATGAACTGGTTCCAGACGCCTGCGGGCCCCAACGATACGGAGGGCGAATCTGAAGGTCAAGCCGCTCTTCGTAACCTACAGGAACAGCTTGGCGGGAACGTGCCGCCCGAAATGATCGAGCAACTACTCCAGATCCATCTAGATGAGGCCACCGACCAGGAGCAGGGGGTCAACCCTGCCGGGCTGGGGATGGCAGGCGGTTGGGATCATTACGAAGAAGCGAACAACAACAACGAGACGGAGGATGAGGAGGAGGAGGGTGATGATGAGGAAGCGGAGTACAGCGACTTGCCAGAGCTTGAGTCGCTCCCTAGTTATGGATCTTTGCACCTGCGGGAGATTATGCGGAATCGACAGAATCGGCAGAATCCTTATGCAGCTACAGTTGAGGAGGACGAGCCCGAAGACGTCCAGCGCTCACGGAGCACTACGAGTGGTCGTGCGGTCCTTCGCCGCGTCGACTCGGACGAAGAAGACGAAGACGATGATGAAGTGCAGATTCCCACTTCAACTAACATACCTCGACCGGCCCGCACCACGGCGCCTTCACCGAGAGATAGGGCCGAACCTGAACTCCAAACTGATGGTTCCACAAACGCCGCAATAGACTTGACTGACCCGCAACGTCTGCAGCGCTGGCTCCTCACCACTGGACTGACAGATCTCCAGTCATCACCCGACACGTTGAGCTCGTACGTCTCGCGCCTCAGGACGCTGCGCAAGCCGCAGCAGGACTGGGTCGTGAACATGGTGCGCCAGCGTGCCGGTCCGGATCTCGAAGCTAAGGTTAGAGAAGCATTAAGCTGAGCAGTCCGTATGAGGAAGACGATGGTGGAAAAATGGATAAATGACAACGCTGGGAACGGAGTTGGATGATGACACCGTCACGAGGAGAATAAAGCTCAAAGACCTGAGATAGGCGCTGAGGGTTGCACTCGTGACCAACTCGAGAACCATGGCTCACCATAAGCATGAAACATGATGCCCTGTCCCGATTAAGACGCGCTCTACAGACCTGCATACCTTAGGTACCTAGAAGTTATATTGACACCAGTCCAGTCTGTTGGGTTGGACACTTGGGCGAACGTGGCTGTTCTTGGTGCCTCGCACGTCTCCCTGAAAATCAGGCTTGCCATCAATAGAGATCCAGAGTTGGCCAAAATCGACAAGCCTGATTCCGCCCGTCCCGTCAGCGGGAAACATTTTCTATTGTTCCGCTCGCTGGTACTCCCCCGTCTTCTCATCTTAATGCATAACCCCCCTCGAGACGGGCCTCCAAGGCCGCCTCAGCGTTTGCAATCTGGAAGCTGCAATACTACACAATCACTTTTCATTTTGCAGCACTAGAATGTAGCCCGACATGGGGAATCTGGTCTAGGAGCTAACTATCTAGAGACTTGGCGAGGCCTCGGGCCCGCACATCCATCGCCATGTGCCTAGGATCGGCCTGCCCAGCACCTTTTATTCAGCCTGACTGATAATCGCGACCATGACTTCCCAAATGTCCATCAGCTTTTCTGTCGTGTCGCCTCGCAATTAAATCTCAGACAAATCTTGGTTGACTTGTACATTTCGCCAGGCCATGCCGTTCCACATCATCTTTCGTCACCTGGTTTGGCCTTGCGTTTTAAATGCTCCTAGAGGACTGACATCTGAATCGTCTGCATAGGGATAGACGACTGTGAGAAGGAGAGCGCTCGTTGCCTCAGCAAGGACCAGCTCGGGCTGAAGTGCTCATTTGTGTCGACAACCTCAACATGCCCTTTTGATCTTGATTGGTGATGAACACTTACTGGCCCCAGGGGAACTCGAATTTACAACTCCGAGTCATCGGAGTCTTCAGCAGCAGATTGCTGACTTGGGATGGACATTTCAAGTGCAGGTGCACCTGCCTGCACTGTGGAACGAGCAGACGATCGTTCCAAATCTGCTAGAAGCAAGGTATATCCTGGGCCAGGCTGATGAAACTTGCGCTTAGGGGCTGGTCTCCCAGGAGGGGATGCATGTTGCAGACCGGCGGCAGCAAGTGGCGAGAGGTGACCAAAGGCTCGACGATCGCCAATTAGAGGACTCGTGGAAAGATGTCCTGGAGTAGGGACGGGTGGCTGAAGTGTTCCTGATGGTTTGGGAAGAGGACCACTGTTTACACCTTGAGTAGATGAAGCATGAATGCTACCACCATTTGTCGATTTTGGTTGCAAGGCTGAAGTATTCTTGCGTTCGTCTACAGTGACAGAACCCACCGACGGTGTGACACTTGGGTCCGGAGATGGAGCGATTGGAGCCCACTTCGATATAATGGCGTTCGCAGACGTGCTGGTACGTGGTTTGGAAGAGACGTTCGAAGCAGGAGGAACCGGAGCCGCAGCCTCAACCGGGGCCGGGGATGGAATCGGTATGGATGAAGAAGTGCTGCGCTCAGAGCGCAAAGCAGCAACTATCGCTTGGTCCAATGTGAGAGGTTCCATGTCCTTTTGGTTCTCGTTGTCCGTGGTTGACGGCAAGATTGGAATTTTGGCTCCACCTTGAACGATGGGTTCGCGAGGATTGAATGGATTGGCCTTCACGACTGATTGAGATATGTTGCTTGACGATGGCGGATCGGAAGCCGAGGACTGCTGAGTTTTGGATGGTGGACTGGAACTAGCAATGGCGGAGACGATATCCTTGCTCTCCAGTACATGATCTGTATTGATAGTGATGTCGGGCTTCGTGATAGCAGTGGTGAGAGATAGTTTTAGAGCCAATAGGTCTGATTCAGGGACGTATCGGATGCCGTTGATGATGACAACCTTGCCTTTCCCAGCAACGAGGACGTCGTTGTTCATATTGTCAATGATAGGCGAGTCCATAATACTGCCACCGTCCGACGCTAAACCGGCAACGTTGTTGGGACTAGAGCAGTCGGCCTGCTTTTGAGCAAGACCGTCGTCTATGTCTTGAATCCCGAGACCAATGAGGTCACATGTCACAGCATTTGAATTCTGAGCTTGCTCTTCATGGATAGACGATTGTCCCGAGAGTGGCGCGTGGCTCTTAGCCGACGCCGAGAATCCGGAGAGCGCCTCCGGACTTGGTGCTCCATCAGTATGTGTCGACATCTGGGGAGGTGCAAGAGCAGCATTGACAGGAAACGCGAATTCGCTCACAGGTATCTTCCGAATGGCATCGTTGTCCCGAGCTGCAGTGGGGAGCTGTTGAGATGTATCTTTGGTACTAGGCTGAGTTTCCTGTGCAGCAACAACGGAGGAGACGTTCGTGTTTTCTTGTTGAGCTTGCTGAGTGTTCGAGAAAGTAGCAAAATACTTGGTGGCCGATGAAACGAATGCCGACGAATCCGATGATAAGAAACCGGTGTATGCCTGACGTGAGGGTAGGCTTCCAACACGGCTTACCGGAGAAGAAGCAATCTTCGATGTGCCCTTGGGAGTTTGACCCATAGCTAACCCAGTCTGCACATTCTTGGTGCTACTGCCAGGGGACAGTTTCGTTGCAGTGCTGCTTTTGTGTTTTGATAGAGCAGGGCCGGAAGTCACTTCTTGCAGGGCTGCAGCAGTAAGGCTAGCTCCTGTACTCGTTGGGAAAGCTGGGGTACCTTCAAGTGCTGGAGGTGGCCATGGACGATCCTGTATACCTCGGAATGACATCTTTGAGGACTTCTTAGGGCTGGAACCAGATTGGAAAATACTGTTCTTCACTTGTGAGTGTCGAGTACTGGTTGGATCTGTCAGCTGGCTGCGAGTCAAGGAGGGATAAAAAGTCTTACCCAGTGGCAGGTCCGTGGCCACGACCGGCGCCCGTACGTAGTGGTCTGTCATCATATGTGTCCTTCAAGTCAAGTTGACGCCCAAGGTCTCGCTCTCGATCCAATCTTTCCTGCTGTGCTCGATATCGATGACTGTTTCCATCTGCGCCGCCAGCAAGAGCTTCCCACCCAGCAGAAGTAGCCTTCGCTTCATCCGTGTCGCCCCATGCTAGAGCTTTGTCAGTGATCCGAGAGCTTGATGTTAAGATAGACCTCTTACTGCGCCACGAGTTTGTTTTTGCTGCATGCTCGCTAGCAATCTTTGCTTCTTCTGTGCCTTGACGATCAGATTTAGGGACAATACGAACGTTTGGTACTCGTCGTGAGCCATAGTCACTGGTTGTGATGTGGTCTACAGTGGCCTGCCCGAGGTCCTCCTTGAAGACTGGTCAGTCTGAAGGGTTCAAAAAGACAAGGAGAGGAAAATTTACACCCATGATTCTCTTTTGATCCTCCTTCTTCTTGGTGTTGGGCGACATAGGTCCCGGGCCGCAATCATCATCCGAATCATCGGGATCAACCAAAGCGTGGCGGCGGCGCACCATGATGCCAGAGCAGTTCCGTTGTTCGTCGAATGAGGGAATGAAAAGTTTGGAGCAAATCTCAAGCAGCACTGTTTCAGAAGTTAGTAAATGCGTTGAGACTTGCTCCCACCGGGGAACATATACAGCGTAACGCAATGGGAGAATTGAATCTCCTCTCTGTAAAGAGCAAGGGCAGCCGAGCGGGCCTGGCACCACAGATTTGGAACTGGTTGGAAATGGTGAGGGAAGAGCCGTGGAGGAAAAGAGAAGGGAGAGGCCTCTAGGTGAGGCAAATGAGGGTGACAACTGCACAGGCAAGATGCGCACAATTTTCTGGCGATTGAAAAAGGTATTATGACCACTGGGAACAATGGAGAGACGGTGAAAACGAATTGAATGAGGGGAACAAGGGGAACAAGAGAAGAGAAAGGCACGGTGATGTGGTGGTGGAAAACTGTGGAAGGTTGTGCAGAGAGGTTGCGGTTTTGAGGCGAGGTGAAGTGAAGCAAGACAGAACATCGCGACTTGTGAGACCACACACAACACGACAAAGAAAGTACATTAGGTAGTCATCAACTGGAGGGCATCTAGGAAGAACATAAGAACTGTTTGCAGCACAAAGCAACCAAAACTCCTTTCCATCAAGGTGTATTCTTTCATCCAAAGTTGTCCTGTCCTCCGCCGTCATGCTCCTCTTTCAAACTTGAAGATGTCAATACCGAGGAGCTACCTTGGGCTTGGAGACACCTTGCTGTACCACTTTGCCCATCTACCATCGAGAGGGCGATGAATTGTCCAAGTCATGATGTTAAGATAACCCAAGTCAGCACGACTCAACAGGGCTTATACCACAAGGCCGTCAAGAGTCTTTCCCTGAGGTCTCCGTGGCACTTCTGGGTAAATGGTAGTCGTTCCACATGCGTGTACTTCTTGGGATCGGGCTAGTCAAGGGACAGCAGGAAGCCAGCATATAGCAGATTCAAGGCATAGAAAGCAGTGTCATCCTTGCCACTGCTGATATTCGAGGAGCAAGTCAGATATGGCCCCATTGCAATATCGCAGGCCTCCTTCCATATCATCCAATCCTATCATAGTGCGGCTGAATAGGATCCCTGGGGTGTGTCATCATAAGACAGTTATTGGTTGTGTGCCTGGTGTGAAGAGGAAAAGATGGAAGTTGAGACAAAGGGATGTTGGCTGAGGCTGGAAGCCGGAAGCCGGAAGCCGGAAGCCGGGGCTGATCAGACTAAAGAGACGGAGTCAACGCCTCCTGGGCCTCACCATTTTTAGATCCCTCATCGTCTTCAGCCCGATTTATTATTATTATCAGAGCATCTAATATTTAACAAGTACGGAGGGAGGATTGCTGTTGACAGACAGGAGTTGATAAGGCGACTGGCAGGGCCTCAGGGGCTACTACCCACCTGCACCTAGCTTGGTACGACGCGCCTGACCTTGAAAACGGAATACGAGATACGGATACGTGGACCAGGAATCCATCTGGCCACGTACGAGTACACAAGCTTCGGTCGTCGACCTACTTTCCGTGGTCTGAACATCCCAGTCCCGATCTCACCCAGACCGCTCAAAAGTCTCTCCGGTGTGTCGTTACCGTAGATCTTGACACTGGGTGTAGGACAACAGGCCTGGGAGCCAGAGTTCGGGACACCGTCTTCGGCCAGCGTGCTAGCAACCCACGGTACGGAGTAGGAGCATACTCCGCGCAGCGTACGCATCACGGAGCTTAGCTGACCCTAGGTACGAGTCGGTAAGTTAGGTACCTAGGCGCCCTAAGCCTGGCACCTTCAGGCTTCCCAGGCGTCCCAGGCTTCCCAGGCTTCCCAGGCTTCCCAGGCTTCCGGGGATCCAGGGTGGTCAGCCGATAGTTGCTGAGCCGGGGCCCGAATCGACGCTCTAGGCTCCACTTGGTGCTTCCCCAACCTGTGTTAGTGTGCCTAACTCGTTTCTAATTGAAGCTCTGCCTGCGGGGAGCCGGAGCCCGAGCTCGCGGGCTGAGCTCAACAGTCCGGATAGCTGCCTCCTACTGTATAACCTCACTGAGATACGCCGTTGACGGTGGAATAAAGGACTGACGACAACCCTGCCATCTGCCATCTGCCATCATCCCACCGCATTCTTATCATCCCACCCTGCCACATAGCTCCCTTCATCCTCTTCACCGACACGACTCTTTCCGACCACTGCCATTTCCATCTGCTCGCTTGCCCTCCAGCTCTTATCGCCGTCTTCGTTTCATCTCTCCTCTCTATCGATCTGCTGGGCGTATGAACCCTCCTCAGGACTACGTTGACCACAACATCCTCCACGCCATCCACTAAGTCGACACCGCTCAGGTGCTTTATCCATATTCAATTCAGTCCCCGTCTGAGGCATCATCATCGTCATGGCAGCTCCTCGGGCGTCCTCTTTCAAAGCCCTGCGCAACCTGCAACGCGCGTCTGGGTCGACTCCGGCCAAACGCAGCCTCCACATCACCGGAGTGCATGCCTCTCCACGACCCATCGACCCAACTCACAAGACAACTTATATGCCATGGAATCTGCAAGATCTTCGTCAGGAGTGCCAGAAGCGAACTCTGTCCGCTTCGGGCACGAAACACGAGTTGATTGACCGACTCGCGGGTCATGACAGTTTGCAGGCAAGAGCTTTCTCGATTGCCATAAAGCGCATTGCCCAGGAGCAGACCAAGAAGCCCATCTCAGGGTACGTATCTAGACAGCGGGGTCGTCTGTTTGACCACAGTTCTGACTGACCTGATCGTAGTCCGTCTGAAACAGCTCCTCAGCGCCATTTCAATACCTCGCGAGAGTTGAAAGCCGTCAGCGATTCCTCGACCATCGACTTTGCTTACCTTCCCCGGCTGTACGAAGAGGCGGTGGGCCCCGCACCTGCGGCCATTCGAGTTCCCATTCTGCCCGACATCACTTCTGGGAGTGCTGAAGCAGTGTTGAACAAGTACCCTGAACTAGATGCAGCAGCGGGTGGCTATCAAGAGACCCGAGGCCATGAGACTGTCCTCAAGCCGCAGATCTCACTGGTCGACGATGCGTTAGGGAATCCAGCAAGTGCCTTGAGCGATGTGCATGATGGCAATCACGAAACGGAGATGTCAGTCGAGCAGCTCACTGCACTGGCTGACACGGTGGGCAAAAGTGCCCGGCAATTCGTGGAGGTGGTTAAGGATAAAGACAACGCGACCATCCGCAACATCTGGACTGGGTTCCTTGACGACCTGTGTGGCGGGCCACAGAAAGGTGCCAAAGTGTGAACAGTGCCGTGCCGCGCGCACCGAAGCAGGATCCAGCATGGCTGGTCCTCTATACTCCGTACTCCGTACTCTTGTTGTTTCGCGGGAGGTGGAAGACAACTCTATACTAGCAGTACTTGTTTTAATTCCTGCGCACAGCGCGTCTTTCGAGCCCTGGTAGCTTTGTTTATTTGGTGGTGGAGTGGGTTTCAATTTGGTGCTGGTTATTTTGAGGGTTCGCGGTTCGCATGTGTGACTGTGGCAGGGGCTTGGGCTTCCGTGTCTCTGATCTTGACTCCACTGCGACCACACGTTAAGCCCGTTCTGATCGAGTCTTGCTCATCCCAGGTGCCATCGCTCAGCAGCCCCTTCTTGACTAACCTATGTGAGAGCGGCCAAGCTGCATTCGACGCCAATCGATCCCTAATCCCCGGCTCTTCCGCGTACCACCTCCTCGCGATGAGTCCCAAGGGAGGTCTGACTGTACTCCGTACTCCGTATAGAAGAAGGATGGGTTCATACAACAGGATGGGTACTGGGTACTGGGTACTGGGTACCGCCTGAAGGGGGTTGGGCTGTGGAAGCCACCGGCTGTCATGGTTTCGCGCACATTCTCCAGGACCAATCCAGTTGGCATGTGAGTGATCGATCGTCAGGTACGCGAACAGCGTCCAAGACTCCAAGCCCACTCTCGCTTCTCCCCTGGATGACGACCCGCCATAGAGCACAGAGCACAGATGCACTTGGCGATGGCGCCTCTTGCATTGGCACTGGGCAGGGACGCCAGAGACCTCGATGGGTTACCTATTAGCCCATGCCACCTCTGTCCCGACCCTGATCGTTCTCCATACCTAACTCTAGAACCTCTGTCTCTGACGATATCCTCATTTTCGGCATCCTTTACTGTTGCAATTGTCGTGCTCCTACAACATAGCACGTTTTCGGGATCTCTTCACTGAGTATCTCCCTCTTATTTTTGCCGTCCATCCATCTCTGCCATTTCACATCTTTGCTAGGTTTTCCTTTGGGCGGGGTTCCGAATGGAAGCATACTTGAAGGTATAATTTAATCGACGACAGGCTCCTTGGGACCAAGCAGCCGAGGACGAGAGCAAAAGGTGAGGGCTTTGACGAAGAAACAACAATGCATCGAAGATGGCTGTCATTGCCGTTGCTGTCCAGCTGTGTCTCCGCCTTCTATCCCTACCACAGCAGCGATGGCGGAGAGTCAAATAGCAAAAGATTTATTCCTCTGCACTTGGACTCTCCATCCTCTGATGACTCTGGCGTCGTTACGCTTGATATCAAGAGAATGCCCGTGAGTCGAGCTGACTCCCTCAAGCTTTGGGGTACGCTAACCCGTCGACAGGCCAAGCGAGACAATCAGTTTCCCGTGGTCGTTTCCTCCAAACCCGCCGCGCCCAATGCCATGGCCATCAACCAGGACGGTCAAGACTATACCTACTTCTCAACCATCAAATTCGGATCTAAGGGGCAAGAGATGTACATGCTACTGGACACTGGATCAGCTAACACCTGGGTCATGGGTTCAAGCTGCTCGTCGAATGCTTGTAAGATCCACAACACGTTCGGGGCGTCGGACTCGACCACCCTACACACAACCACCCAGGCGTGGAGTATGAGTTACGGTACGGGGGAGGTCCAGGGCGTGGTGGTCAACGATACCATCAGTTTCGCCAATTACACGCTTGAGATGGGATTCGGTCTCGCATCTAATGCGTCGGACGACTTCAACAATTACCCCATGGATGGCATATTAGGCCTCGGACGACCTAGTTCGGATCAACTGGGTACTCCGACAGTCATGCAAGTGCTGGACCAGCAAGGCGATCTGTCGGACAACGTGGTGGGCATCCACCTGCAACGGAATGCCGATGGAGCCAAGGACGGACAAATCACGTTTGGCGGTGTTGACTCGTCCAAGTTCAATGGCAAGATTGGATACACCAAGACCGCCAACCAGCAGAACTGGGAGATTGCAGCGGATGATGCTGGGGTTGATGGAAAAGGAGCGGGTTTCAGTGGCAAGAGCGCCATTATCGACACTGGCACGTCTTATGTCCTGATGCCTCCTTCAGACGCGGCTACCTTGCACGCGTTGATTTCCGGGAGTTCCCACAACGGCGAGGTCTACATTGTGCCCTGCTCATCCACCGCGAGTGTGTACTTCACCTTCTCAGGTGTGAAGTATGCAATCTCTCCCAAGGATTATGTGGGCAAGGAAAGCGGAAGCGGCTGCCAAAGCAACATCGTCGGCCATCAGGCATTTGGACCAGACCAATGGATCCTGGGCGATGTATTTCTCAAGAACGTCTACGCGGTTTTCGACTTCGACAACAACCGGATAGGCTTCGGGACGAAATCCAACGCAGACGACGCATCTCCTTCGTCATCGGCATCTTCAACAGCGAGCGGCACGTCCTCGCCCAGCTCAACTGCTTCCGACACTGCTTCATCGGCGTCGCACACGTCGGCTTCGAAATCGTCAAGCAAAATGGCGACCGCCACAACCGGAAGCAGTTCGACGGAGTCCACAGGCGCAGCGGCCACGACTTCCGCTGGGACAGGCGACAGTAGTCCATTTGGAGACTCGACTACGAGCACCAACGCGGCTCCTGGGACGACAGTCCACCTTCTGTCTGTGCTGCTGCTTGCTATTGTCATTGGATATATTGTGTAAATTGTGATGGGTATTTCAGCGGTGTTGCGCCTAGCATGGTTGGGTCTAGCATGGATGGGGGCGTATAGGTATAATAATGAACAAGATAGTGGTCCGGAGGGCTCGACGCCGAGGCAAGTCTTCTTTCCAGCACCGCCAGGATGCGAATATCGCCATGATGGAAGGATAAAACACTTCGAAAAAGATGTACGTCTATGAGCATTTAGGCGGGGGTGTAGTGCAAGGGTCTCCCTCGTCGTTCTCCATCTGTCTGCATCTTCAACACCCAGTATCTTCCGGAGAGATGGAGAATTTGGCAGGTCGAGGAGTATCAGTGAAAGGCAGCATTCACGCCAATGCTGACCAAAACAAGTGCAAACGGGGACCGCCGGGCAAATGATGTTCTACGAATCTCGTTGGAATAGTAATATGTACTATACTCTAAGTGGGTTATCAAGAGAATCACTCTAACCCAAGATGACTTGGGTCAGTCGATGATGCTGTCTTCATACCAAGAGTGTAGTCCAAGAGTGTAGTCTGATGGATATAAGGGAGAGAGGGTAGTGTTGTCGGATGGGCCTAAGGGACTATCCAAACCACGGAGTACAGTTTAACTCGCCGCTTTTAACCGTATCCATAGATAGGAGACTAGTTCTCACCTAGTAAACGCTCCTAAGGCTTTCTTGGATATCCAGTGTCCACCCATGCCCCAGTTCCCTATCTCACAGGAATTACCTAACCTCCGTATCAGTATCAGGAACGAAAGATGCTCCCGTTCACAAGGCCAATGCCATATCCGGCGGCCAGTACTATTGGTCAAGTCCAACCCACAGGAATCATGCAGAGGCAGATGATAAATCCACAGGCAGCCGGGTTGATAGAGCTGCACCTTTCCTTCTGGTGTGTGGCGAGCGAGACTAGACCTTTCGCTACTCTACGATCATTTGTAGCACCCAGCGACCTCGGGAGTGTCTTGACCTTGACGTGATCAACAAGATGGTCAAACGCGTTCTTATCTCGTACTGCATTGACGTTGATGCATGCGCAGGATGGTAAGTACAGAAGAAAGAAGAAACCCCCCCCTCCATCCTCCAACAGAACCCAGAACACGGAATCAAAGTCGCCCCTTTCAGGGCTCACACGTATCAGATCTCGCTAACTCTCTCGCGGGTAGGATCAACACTCAAAATGGGACGGTAGCCAATGCCAGTGATGTGTCACGAGGAATCTTCGGTGCCAATGTCGGGACCGATCGATTGTTGAAGTTTTTCGACGACAACGGCATCAAGGCAACGTGGTTCATGCCCAGCCATACGATTCTGTCGTTCCCAGAACAAATGGCCAAAGTGCGCGATGGAGGACATGAAATGTAAGTTTGACAGACGGCGCCGCACGAAGCCTCGGCCGGAAACTGCTGTTGGCCCCAGTTCCAGTTCCAGGTCTGATGAGTGATGTCAACCACAGCGGACTGCATGGCTACACGCACGAGTTTGTGTCCAAGTTGACCGAGGAGCAAGAGCGGAAGGTCATGGCCAAATCCATCGAGGTGTACAAGCAGTTCACGGGCAAGCATCCCAAGGGATGGGTGGCCCCGGCTTGGGAGGTGTCTCCGCACTCCATGCAGATCCTGGAGGACTTTGGGATCGAATATGACCATTCCCTGTGCCATCACGATTGTCAGCCTTACTGGGCCCCTGATGTCGCCAGCACTGTCGTATACACCGACTACTCTCAAGACCCGGATACGTGGATGATGCCCATGTCCAAGCACAAAGTCACCCAGGTGGTGGAGATCCCTGGCTCATGGAACATTGACGACTGGCGTACGTATCACCTTTTCACTCTGACTTCTTCGCCACGATTTCTTATCCCTTGACCCGACCGACTGACACAAATCCTTTTCCTTGACCCGGCGACTGACGCAAAGACCACCGTGACAGCACCCATGCACTATTCCATCAGGAACCCCGGAACTCACGGGTTTGTGAATCCGCGGGATATCCAGGTGCAATGGGAAGATCAGTTCACCTTCATGTATCGGGAATACGAGACCTTTAGCTTTACCATAAGCATCCATCCGCAAGTCAGTGGCAAGTCTAATATCATGCTAATGCATGAGCGCTTCCTGGACTTTCTGAAGAGCCACGACGGCGTGGAATTTGTGACTGCGGCCACCATTTGCGACGAGTGAGTTTCGCTCCTGATAATGATAATGTGGTCCTAGCCTGGTGGACTAGACTGCGACGGCGACGCTGTGTGCATTTCATTGCTGATTGCTGACCCTCTGTTTCTGTATTAGGTTCAAAGCCGGAAAGCTCGAAGGAGTGCGATCCATGTCGCTGGGCATCTGAGGTTGTGGAATACTAGTCCTGGTCCTGATATATACAGTAGTAGATGATCTTCCGAGACACTGGCCGAGTGGGTTGGAATTCGAGGAGCATTCCCCAGCCTCATCTACAACCCTCTACAGTTCCATCTATGTCCTATATACGGATAGTCATACGGTCTATGGTCCCCAGGCTGGTGTTCGAACCCCTTTGGAAGCACTTGGTCCAAGTCATTAGGGTGCCTCGTACCTCCACAACATCATGCACAACGTCTTGTGTGTACGGGTGTGGGTGAATGATGAACTGCTCGGTCGCCCTGGTCCGTCGAACGCTGCTTTTGGGTCGCTCTGGTCCGTGGACCGGTGCTTCCATGACTGCGGTCTAACGTACTGAACCAGCAAATCAAGACGCTTATCATACAGATCTAGGTGCCCGCCATGGTGGATCTCGCGCAATTCCGACGTTCCAGGGGGTGGAGCATGAGCCTTAGCCTGAGCCTTGGGCTGTGAACCCCAATTAACCTCGACCCCTCGTCAAAGTCAAAGTCTCCCTCAGTCCCAGTACTGTGTGTACATTGTACAGAGTAACTAACTGGACAGTCTAATCCGCACGCCTCGTCCAGGTCCTCGCCTAGAGACCAGAGGGCCGCCTAGATCCGTCCATGGGACGATTCTCCCGTCCAACTGGTTGCGGGCCCTCAGTGAAGGGCAATGGAATTCTTGGACACGATTTGAAGCTGATAATCTTTAGTCTTGAGCTAAAGGTTTTTGGAGGTGGTCCAAGGTACGTAGTCCAAGTGGCTCCAAAGAGAACGGCCGTCATAGTATGTTTCTGTAACATCCATCGAATCGCCTTGTTGCACCCTCGTTGATACTCGGTCACTATCGTTGGATTTCGCGTCGTCTTAATCAAGAGGATAGAGGCCAATCAGGTAGGTGATGGTGCTATCTGAGGCGAAGATCGAGACCATGCTCCTCATCGCGTCACTCGTCGTCCAAACGCGTGGCGAACAGGCCTGAGATATCAAAGGCTAAGGCTAAGGCTCAGCAACATCAACGGCTTTGGTTTGGAAACAACTGGACTAGCGGCGTCCGATATAAAGCATTGCCCGTCCTCGAGATTTGCTAGCCGCATGACTTTGTGACTTGTCTATCTGGATTTTGCATCACTTCGCATTGCTCAACACTTTCCAGAAGTCAATCACTCTATTCTCGACCAGCAACCCGAAAACAACCTGGCATTTTCTCTCTCTGGGATTCGTCCACAGACAGCATGACACCCGATTTTACTTCTGGAGCGGGAAGAGCTCCCGATTGTGGATCAGACACCGTCTGAGGTGCCTTCATATTTCGGGAGTATGAGTATCTTCATCCAAATGTCCGCTCTTACCACCAAGCCGACACACCTTGGAAACCGACCAAGCTTTCCCATTCGGTCCAGCTTGCACGGCAGCCTACAGTCAATCCCGCTCTCCTACCGTACAATGTATTCTACATCAACTTCCTTACCAACACGAGATGTGGTTGAAAGGCTTGCTCGCCAGTACTATTACAACTTCGAACTCTTGTACCCTGTCTTCGGTCTGGGAGGCATAACCAAGGTGATGGATTCGCTCTACGATAGAAGAGACACAAACGCATCGGAATATTTGCAAGCGACTGTTGCAGTGTATGTGAGCTTTGCAGAATTCTTGGTTGAGGGACGCTGCTCAAAGTCATTGTTTAGGCCCGGACCCAACCTCACTAGGTGTTAATTACATGCTCTAGTAGGGATTTAGGATACTGATTCCGTATACTCCATATACTAGACCCAAGGTTGGCGAGCATAGGGCGGCATCCTTTTGGGCCGAAACGGGGTGAGGCTGCATATCTTGGCAGCACGTGTCAGCTTGACCCGGCCCCAGCGGACGCCAAAGGTGATGTTCGTTTCATTTGGATTCAGCATCTTAACCCTTCCCCGTAGGCCGTAGGGGCGAGATGCACCAAGCACGACATGACCACAGATGACGAAGGCTCAGACGAATCAGTCAAGCAGTCTCCGAACGGCAATCTTGAAGGCCATGCTCCTCTCCTTTCCTCAGCTGAGGAATCCCCTCCCTTGAACGGAGACGACTCCCCTACCTCTGTCAATGCGGCTCGCCCTCCTCCTCAGCGACACTCCTCTTTCTACCAGCCTCGCCCCGGTGGTACTCCACGAACGACTCACCGAGTACGGTTTGATCTCGACGATCATGCCGATGGCGATCGACGAGAGGAATGGATGGACGAGGAGGATTATCTAGACTCCCCGAGCCAACAAGCACCACTGCTGACCGACATCACACCGCCGGCCGATTCGCCCTTTCGATCGGTAGCCTTTCACCCCGAGGATTACTTGCCTGATGCTAGGCCTAAGAGCGGGATGCCGAGTGCTTTCATGAACATGGCCAATTCGATCATTGGAGCGGGAATCATTGGTCAACCCTATGCGTTTCGACAGGCGGGGTTGACCATGGGACTTGTCTTGCTTGTTTCCCTCACGGTTACAGTGGATTGGACCATCCGGTTGATCGTGGTCAACAGCAAACTGTCGGGCGCCGACTCATTCCAGGCCACCGTGCAACATTGTTTTGGGAAGAGTGGGCTTGTGGCGATATCAGTCGCTCAGTGGGCGTTTGCCTTTGGTGGCATGATTGCATTCTGCATCATTGTGGGAGACACCATTCCTCATGTTCTTGAAGCACTAATTCCGGGCTTGAGTGAAGTTCCTTTTCTTTGGCTTCTCACAGACAGACGGGCAGTCATCGTGCTATTCATTCTCGGCATCAGCTGGCCTTTGAGTTTGTACAGGGACATCGCAAAGGTTGGTGTCATCCCCTTCGCCGTTGAGCTGGATCACTACTAACGTGACGGGCACAGCTGTCCAAAGCCTCGACATTGGCGTTGATCAGTATGGTCATCATCATTGTGACAGTGGTCACTCAGGGTGCAGTCGTCGATCCAGACCTGCGAGGAAGCCTGCGGGGTCTTCTATTCGTCAACGACGGATTCTTCCAGGCGGTTGGAGTCATGTCGTTTGGTATGTGTGTATCTATGATCAGTGGCCGATCCACTAACACAGGATCTCCAGCCTTTGTTTGCCACCATAATTCCTTGCTTATATATGGCTCTCTGAAAACACCTACACTGGACCGGTTCAACACAGTGACACATTACAGCACTTTCATCTCACTGGTTGCATGTCTCACCATGGCTCTTGCAGGGTTCCTCACCTTCGGAGACCGAACCAAAGGCAATGTTCTCAACAACTTTCCTTCCCAGGGTCACTTGATGGTTCAGCTTGCCCGACTGTGCTTCGGGCTGAATATGCTCACAACTTTGCCATTGGAGTGCTTCGTCTGCCGAGAAGTGATGAACAACTATTGGTTCCCAGAAGAGCCTTATCAGCCTAACCGGCATTTGATCTTCAGCAGTGCTCTCGTGGTCGCGGCCATGGCCATTAGCCTGATGACCTGTGATCTCGGGGCGGTTTTCGAATTGATAGGGGCCACCAGTGCTTGTGCCCTTGCCTACATCCTCCCTCCGCTGTGCTACATCAAACTCAGCACCCGGAGTTGGAAGACCATCCCTGCAGTGGTTTGTATTATATTTGGTTTTGCTGTCATGACGGTCAGTCTGGTGCTGGCCACGAAAAAGATGATCAAAAGTGAGTCGAAACTGCTCGTCGTAGAAGTTCCGGATATACTGACTGTGATGGTTCAGATGAGGGCGAGCCCCATCAATGCTAGAGAGTGATAAAGGACCAGGGCTAGGGCTACAATAGATGAAACAGCTTTGCTGTTGCCGGCTTACTCTAGATCCAGATGCAGTGATCACGTAATTTGGCTATTTCGATAGCAATATCCTGATATCCTGACCTTGCTCTACAATCAAAACCAAGTATCCGCACGGAGTAAGCGTAGATTGTGTTCAGACAGGAACTAGATTGGTGAGACATCAAGAAATGAAGAGAATGGAGCGCCCGCTGCCCACAGCTCGTTCCGGATCCTGGTCGAGTTGATATTATTATGTGTACACATTTACTCCATACATATAGTAATTCAAGCTCCAGTCCCAGCATCCGCCTCCTTTTCTTAGCCCAGGCCCAGGAGATGCGCCCAGATGACAAGCAACGCGCAAGTAAAGCAGGTGTGTTTGTACGTGTACTCCGTACAGCTTTGCTCCCGCTGCTGGGGCGGTCGGAGGCCAAGGCCCTCCTACTGTACTCCGTACATTATCCGACGTCCCCATTGTTGACCTGTCACCGTCACCGTATCCGTACTCTGCATGTGAGTCTCCTTCCTGTTCCTCCGGCACGGCTAAGACATACATACAGGTAGGGATAGCAAATGGTGGCCTGTCTTGCCTGCCTGTGTGTACCACGAGAACCCTTCCCTGGGCAGCGTGAGGTGGCTCCGTCCTGTATGTGTGTGTACTCCGTAGCTGAAATCTTTGGACCTGGAGGCCCTTCAGAAACCAATCGCCGTCGCCCGAAATGAGGTGCATAAGGTAGGTACGTAGGTACGTAGTACACGGATGCTGTGCTCCGTACGGAGGCAGACTACCGATTGGACAGGTCATGCGTGATTCACAATTGACTGAACTGGGGAGATCAGGGGGTCATTTCGCCACCAGCTGCGTTGCTCGAGCATAACTTATGGTAATTAGCCACGCAGTACGGAGTATCCGCGGAGTACGGAGTACCGTTCGGCTTCGATGGTGGCTGGTGGCTGGTGGCTGGGGTCTTGACCCTGACCCTGAGGCCTGGGACGATGATGGAGCAGGAGCATGAGCCGAGTCAGGGGGGAAGAAATTCTCCGGCCGCCAGTACTCCGTAGTAGTGAGAGGTGGGCTGTAAGAGAAATGAATGCTGCAGATTGTAGTAATTGCTCCGTACATAGAAGCAGTACTCCGTAGCTAAGTAGCGCTCCGTACTGTATGGACTATACTCCGTACTCTGTAAATCAAACTGGATCCAAGGAGAGTTGGCGAGTGGGTGAGGCCTTAGGACGGGTCTGGCGCAGTGCGTTCCCACCAGTCGCAGCGCAGCCTGCGCTTCTCACCCCTGGTCTTCTGCACCACCCTCGTCGGTCCTGAGACAACGGTATCTGGCTACCCTTATTTGTTCGCCTCACAGCCATCCACTCCCTCCTCCCACCTCACTCCTCCCTCCTCCCATGCTTTCTCGTCTCTGTTTCAGTTTCATGCTGGATCTCGAATCCATCTATTATCCGTCGCCGACCCTGGACATGGCTGGGTTACCGGGTTACCCTGCTCACGACCAGCGCGCCGTTGGTCCTACAATTTCCTCGCGATTCGCAATCCCACCTAACCTAACCTAACCTAACCGCCGAAGCCGGTAAATTCGATCGTGTGCACCGTACCTTTTCCTTAAGTCCTTCTCTGTTCTCCCCGTGTTCAAGTCGTTCTGTGCCCTTCAAGTTTCCAACTCACCGTCGCTCTTTTGCTCCTCTTCCAACGTCCTAGAGACGTCAGTCACTCTTTTAGACATCTCCCTGCTCGCTCCTGCTCCTTCTTGCCACGCCACGTTTGACCCTTGTTCCCTTGAAGTTTCCGCCGGGTTGATTCCGCCACGGAAAGACAGGCGACAGCTTGACAGGTCCGAGTCCCTGAAACCGAAAAAAGAAGAAACCGAAAAAATCAAGGCAGACGAGACGAAAACTAGCAAAAGGTCTGGGACGCACGAGGCAAAAATGCAGTTCAAGACCGTGGCCCTTCTCGTGGCTTCCTTGACCCTGGCGCAGGCTCGCCCCGATGGCATGCTCTATAGGCGCCAATTCGGCAATGACACTTGGTCGGACTGGTCCGAGACCACCACCTCCACCACGAGCTTGAGCGTGGAGGATACGACCACCACTAGCACGACTGTCACTGCCACGACCACGACCACGACCACCAGCCTGGTTGTGAATGATGTATCCACCACCACCACCACGTCAGTCAGCCTTCCTGTCGGGGTTGAATCCACCACCAGCTTGACGACGACTGTCACGACCTCTAGCACCGAGTGGTCTGACTGGACCTCGACTACGAGCACGTCCACCAGTAGTCCTATCGCCGGTGCTTCTACAACATCTGCGTCAAGTAATACCAGCACTACTAGTGAGACGAGTGTGGAGGCGGTGGCGACCTCGACCACAATTGCAACCTGGGATGACTGGACAAGCGCAACCACTACCTCTAGCAGTTCTTTGGTGGTTGCCGCGGAAAGCTCGGCTACCACCACCAGTGAAGCAAGCTGGTCAGACTGGGAAACGCTGACGACCACGGTCACATCAAGCGAGTCCGCTGTAGTCAGTACCACCGTGGAGGATTCGACCCTCACCTTGACCCTGGGGGTGGGAAAATCCGCGTCAGTTGTGACTACCACCATCCACCAAACCAAGACTTTCACCCTCACTAGCACGATATATGCCACCATCACCCGACCGTCGGGAGGATTTAACAACGTGGCTGCTGAGACAGCTTCACCCACCACGACGGAGACACTGGAATCTACCTTGACCGAAACCATTACCGTTGAACCGGTGCCAACAAGCGATGTTGCTGTGGGCGGAACTGGGTCGGGAGCCGCTTCTGGTGGCGCCTGCGGTGTGGCATATGTCACCGCCACGGAAGTGGTTCAGAGCACCATTACCGTCACCGCCAGCCCGAGTGAAATCAAACCCGTCAAGCCTACCGCAGTAGTTGCAGTGGTCGATGATACAACCCCGACTTCGTCGAGCTCAACCGTCCCGTCGACCTTGTCCACTGGATACGAATTTGGCAATGGTACCGGCGCAGAGACGGGGAAGCCCAAGTTTCCTAGCACTGGGTTCCTCACTGTGTCCAAATATGCCAGGCCAACTGGATGGAAAGCATGACTGGCCAACTCCAACTCGATATGGTGACGCCGATGTCCAGGGGCGGGGACGCTGGATTTAGGAGAGATGAATATTTTTCAATTCTTGTACACACCCCTTTGTTTCTTCTAACTAGCTTCCAAGTGAAGATTTTCCGGTTCGATTTTGGACAACTTGAAGCTGGTGATGGTAGATGGCTGCCGAGCAGACAGGCAAATACAGAAAACCACAGAGTACAGAGTACGATTTCTATTTCTAGAATCATGCCATCCTCGTCCTCGCCCTCGTCCTCGCCCTCGTCCTTGTCCCCGTGATCCAGATCGATCTGCGTGATGACGACTGCAGTGTGGTCGATGCTGTGTCTGTGTGGGGCTAAGGCCCACGGTTGGATTCTGTGGCTTTCAAGTTGAAGTTCGTGGCGTAGAGCTGCCATGTGGCGCAGTAGCTGCTGTAAGTTACTCTGTAAGCGGAATGCTAAGGTCGCAGCCAATAATGAGGTCAGCTTCAAGTTGAAGGTGAACGGGGCTAAGGGGCCAAGCCTGAGGCTGACGTCGGTGATCTGGATGGAAGCTATAATTTGCTCGTATGGTACTACTAATGGCCAACAGCCAGTCAAGAGCCTCAGCCTGTCAAGGTCCCTGTCGATGATGGCATTCTAGATATCCAGGACCAGGAACAGTTACAGGCACCACAGCTGAACGATTATGATTACAGTATTAGATCAGCACTACAGCAACTACTCCATGCGTCCAGCGGTCACAACTACTGGATGGTCGCTTAAGTAGCACCAGATGGATTTTAGTACAGAGTACGTAGCCTATAGACTCGTCACTTAGCACTCTAGTAGCAGGCGGCCCCGCATCGATGATGATGCTTGGTGGTCCGCCCCAGGAAGCTTGGTCGCTCATCGTCAACGTCAACCGTCAACTGGGCCCTCACGGCGACACATTATTACTACGTAGCAGGTACCGTACCTACGTAGGGGTCAAGGTCAGGGTCCGGGTCAGGGCCATGGCCAGGGTCAGGCGGGAAGCAGAAGCACTGACAGGTTCTTCCGGACTTGGACTCGGGGCCACTATCGTACTGCTGTCCTATTGCACATTGCTCTTATTGCTATGACGCATCATCCATGTCGTCAGATCTTGCCAGGCAAGGCACTGCACTGCACAATCAAATCACGAGGAAACCGACCTGCTCAGACCCTTACCCTTGGACATATAACACCCTGTCTCTTCCCTCTTCCCTCTTTCCGACCTGGTCGGTCCTAGTACTGTGTTCTACCTTGACAGCTACAACAACAACAGATATAAACTTGAAACCAACCCCGCCAGCACACTACACACTAGTTACCGCCCTTCGCAGTTCCAGTTTCATCCTCCGTGCACTTGTATCCCATACTGTACAGTGATTGAGTGGGCTACCTTCTGCAAACAACATGGCGTCCGCTGCAAAGCAAACCCTCAGCAACTTAGTTGGCTACGGCTCGAACGAGGTAAGTTGCACTGCTGTGCTCTCCCCTTCCCATTGTTTAATACTTTGATAAATTCAATTCTAACCTATCTGAACCGCAGCCAACGGCCACGGGTACCGAGTAAGTGCCATCTGATCTCAGACATCAAACCTCGACTAGGCCATGTCTCTTATTAACCTAAACTTTGTCGATAGGACTCATAATCCGAATACCTCGTCCGCCGGAACTACCCATACCTCATCTTCCACCGCCGCTACGCATGATACTACCCCAAGCAGAGCTACAAACACTACATCTGCCCCTACCGTTCATGATTTAACCACCGCGGAAGGAATTGGAGGTAGTCATTCCCATGCTGGCCATGCAGATGCCACTCGCCACCACCACGAAGGCACTCAGCATCCTGTAGGGAGTCAGCAAGGTGGAAGCACTCAAATCCATGAAGGAGTTCGTCATCAAGAAGGTACTCACCACCACGGAGGAATTCAATCCCATGGAGACACTCGTCACCATGAAGGTACTCAGCATCCCGTAGGGATTCAGCAAGTTGGAGGCACTCAATTCCATGAAGGCACTCATCATCAAGAAGGTACACCCCGCCATGAAGGAACCCAACACCCTGTAGGGAATCAGCAAGGTGGTAGCACTCAGCCCCATGAAGGTACTCAGCACCACGGAGAGACTCAGCACCACGAAGGCCATCATCTCCCGCATATCCCTCACTTGCACAAGTCCTCTTCCCACAAAGATTCGGATTCGTCGGCTGTCCCCGACCGCGATGTGCAGACCCCAAATCAAGGACCAGATCCAGCTCTGGTCGGCGAGCCCGCCACAGGTTCGAGCAAATTGACTGGCTCAGCTGAGCCTGGCTCGCACAGTGCCGTCTTTGGGTTAACTCCGGATGGCAAGAAATATGACAAAACGTCATCAAAGTCGACGCCCCTCAAACCGGCAAGCAGCAAACAACCGGCCTTGGCTGACAAGACTGAGAGCAACGACACTTCGTCGCGTGCTCCTACTGGCCAAGGGGTGCATGAACAGTTGCACAAGCCTGAAACCGGTGCTAAGGGGCTTGAAAGAACCGACCCTACTCCCACCTCCGCTGGCTCGGAGGGTAAGCCCGGCTCCGGGTTGGATCCAGTGTCCCGAGGCAGTGGATCGGTTCCAGCGAAGTAGATTGGAAAATTTGGGACCTGGGAACTGGGGAAAGAGTTCTTCGAGCACTTGTCTGCGGTCGGTTGATCATAATGTTGTGAGACGCGAGTGCTTGCAATCTGATATGCTGCAGTGGATGAGAAAAGCAGCTTCCCAAGGAAGATTCTGGAAACAAAAACATCTATGATTGAGTTGAGTTAAGATCTGTGTAGTTTTATATGAGCCGTAGCCATCTAAGACCGGTTTTATAATGGTTAGTTTGACCCCAGCACAATGCAGTGTACAGCCATAGCAAACATGTCCCTTCTACGATGCACACCTAAGATAGCTATGCATGGTTTGTACATGTCGTTACTCCCCTGTGCTCAGCCGAAGCTGTCATTTTACAAGATGTTTACCTCGTGATGGTCGTCTTCAACATGTCTTCATCTGATGTGTTTCAACATGATGCGTACATTTGTTGCAAGACAGCCTATCTAGTCTGACTGGTCGTCAGAGGGTAGGCATCCAACATAGCCGTTACTACTCCGCACAGCCCTGGTCTAATCGCGATACAGACCCCTTTGCTTGATCCATTCGGTAACCCGCTTCCCAACGAGCATTTCCACCTCATCGAACCTAGCCGCTCTCGCGGCGTCACGTACCCTGGTCGAACTCACGCCTTGAGCCTCCCCGGAGTCATCAATAACCAGCTCAACCTTCGTCGCCCACTCTCTCTTCAGGCCCTGAGCCTCCATGTCCCCACGCGCAATGCGATCGACATACGCAACTTGGCCTTCGACGGTGTCAAACTCAGAGCCTGGTTCGCCCTGCGCGTCCTTGAGATTCGGGGAAGGCGAGTCGGTCTCTACGCGCACTGTAGCGCGCAAGCGATGACGCGAGAGGAACGGGGCCAGCGCCGACAGCGGCGGCGTGTGGTTCGGGTAATACTTTGGCGTGAAGATGCGGATCAAGGTGTCGAAGCCCGTCAAGTGGATCTGCTCGACGAAACTGCCGTCTTCCTCGGGCCGGTACACGTTGCTCTGGTCGATGCAGCTTGCTTTGTCGATGAAGTACGGTTCTTTCGTAATGCCGATATCCACCACCGGGGCCCGCGTGTTGCCGGCCGCAGGATCGGTATTGGTGTTGGACGTAGAACCAGCGGCATCGCCGAAGGCTGCACGTAACTGCTCGGCCATCAGCACCATCATGACCAGCCGATCTTCGAAGTCGGCCGGCTTGGGTTTCTTGTCCGCGTTCACGGTCGCCAGGAGGAACAGGACTCTCGGGGTTGGTTCGGCAGAAACATCCGCATCCGCATCCGCACTCGCCCTCGGAGTAGAATGGGAATGAGAATTAGAAGTCGAGCTGGTTTGTAAGTGCTTCGCCGTCAGCGCCGTCTTCACCAGGCTCATATGTGCTCGCGATGGTGGGTTGAAACTGGAGTCAAGGACAAAGACTGTGCGCAACGCTTGGGAGGATGGCGGTTGTGATGGCGGGATGGTGTGCAGGATCCGGAATCTGCTGCTAGACTCTGCAAAGTCTGTCAACACCAGTGAGAATTGAGATCTCAGGGTTTGCAGCGCTTGCATGTCCAATGGCAATGGCAATGGCGCCGAGGAAGAGGACATTATCTATCACTCTTGGGTGCTGGGACTTCTTGACAGTCAGCTTCAGGCTTCAGGCTTCAGGCTTAAGGCGATATCTTATATGGGCGTGCCAGTGTCGTATATAATCAATGTCAATGGCCATGTACAAATACTAGAGGATTCGATGTAACTTTAGCTTCGTGAGATAGAAGTGCAGTAGTAGGAGTTATGACCTTGCTTGAGGAGCCGTGCCGAGATATGGCGGAAGTGGTAAGTGGTTGCATCCTCAGCCTGATCACCTGACAAGGCTGAATTCTGGGCGCCCAGGCCAAGCACCTACGAGGGAGCACTGCATCACGTGGGATAAAATCTTGGCACGCCAACCCTCCCACAACGAAATTGACGCCTACTGCTCAACTTGTGCGGATTAAACTGCGCGCCAACTTCCACTCCTCGACACCACGACCACACTTCCTCACTGCAGAGTTTCAATCAACCAGACAGTCCCTTAAGTCGTCAACATGTCGAACGCCGAGCTCGCCAGCGCTTACGCCGCTCTCATCCTTGCCGACGACGGCATTGAGATCACTGTACGAAATCCCATGCATCTGCTTTCGAGATCCGAGCGTGGATCGGATCGCCAGAGACACAAGTTCAAGGACCATTTTACTGACTGCTCGGCACTTTTCTGTTGTAGGCCGACAAGCTGAACACCATCATCAAGGCTGCTGGTGTCCCTGACGTCGAACCCATCTGGGCCACGCTCTTCGCAAAGGCCCTCGAAGGCAAGGATGTGAAGGATCTGCTTCTCAACGTCGGCTCCGGCGGTGGTGCCGCGGCCGCCGCTCCCGCTGCCGGTGGTGCTGCCGCTGGCGGTGCCGCTGACGCCGCTCCTGCTGAGGAGGAAAAGAAGGAAGAGGGTACGTCGAACAAGACAAATTTTGTCTTACCCATCGATCTGTCAGTCGGACGAAATGCTAATGACCTTCTGCAACAGAGAAGGAAGAGTCCGACGAGGATATGGGCTTCGGTCTCTTCGACTAAGCGATTGAATGCATCCTACCCCGCCATGTTTTCTCCGCCGCGGCAACTCTTTTCGAGCGAGAACATTCACACACAGAACAAGGAAACAATCTCACCTCAAAAAGCATTGCATCCTCATCCTGCTTTGCTTTGCCTTGCCTTGTTTTGATCAAAGTCCTCGTTTGTATCCTCTTTTGTGGGAGGCGACTTTGCAATCAAGGCATTTTCGACATTTGTGGATAATCAGAAACAAAGGGGAAAGAAAAATACTACTAGTACTCGAGAAGAACGGTCCGGGACGAGCTGGGCATGCGAAGACTCATGCGGACTTATCGAGCCATTCGAAACCACTTTCAAGGGTTAATCCACAATGTCAATAGCTCATGAAACCTCGCCGACGTTGTTTGTGTGCCGTGTTTTACATGGCGGATATGCATATCCGTGACGTCGACTGTATTGTGTGCGTGCCAGTGTGTGTCTGTGTCAAGATATCGTCGAGCGCTCCTCAATCCCTACAGCCAGCCCTCCCAAAGCCCCTGTGACAATGCCTTCGGGGTTTGGATCTCTCAAACAGTCATGCCTTTCCTCCTTTCATTTGTGTTGTGCCACTTAATGGTCGCCACTTCCATTGTCTTCGGTTCGCTGCAGTGGTGGACATTAGAGATGCAAGCGTGAGGGTTCAGCACCTGCAAACCCAAGACAGATCTGCCCTTTCCCTCGCCTAACAGCACGCACACCTACTCGCCTGCAGAGTCGCCGATCCTCTTCAAGTTCCTCTCTACTAGTATGCCGGTAGGATCGGTCTGATTGGACCGCTCACCTTGATCCGGTTCTCGGCACTGGGCACTGCAATGGACTTCAGCCTCGTTCACTTCCATGTTTCTCCTCGGCCACTTTTCTATTTGCTTGCATCCCACATATTTTCTTCTTCTCTTCTCGTTGTATGAAATGCGAAAGCCGAGTCTGTACATGGAGGTTTAAACACGTAGATTTGTGATCTACGTGTCCAGACAGCCTCCACAAGCCCTGTCTTTCGGTCCCTGAGCTGAGGCATAAGAAGTAACTCATCGACGCGCCTACACTGACCTATTTCAAACGGGGAAATCAAAATCGACCACTATGTGTAGCGATCCCCGGAGCCGCACATTTCGCTCGAATCTTCTATGGCGGCGACGCAGGCTACGATCCCAGAGATTTTCTGGGGCGCCACAAGGGCCGCAGAAGTGATTATGGAATTCGAGAGGCCACTTGACGGCCTGACAATGGAATTGGCTGCGGAGCTTGAATCAACGAAAGAGCCAACGAATAATTGAATCCGCGGTCAGCCACGTCCTGGGACCTGGTAACGTGTACACACGGACTATGTGTTCATCTCTTCAGGCCAAAGACCAGGGACTTCGGGCAACAAGTCGCCGATATGTTTCCTCTCAAACCCACCGCCATTGTCTCTCAGGCTATAATACACTTGATGTCTCCTGATGCTTTGATAGCATTCCTTGATCTCTTCGATGTGATCTTCAATGTGCTCGAAGTCGACGTCATTGAACAAGATGAGACACCATTCAGACGACATGTCATCAAGCCTGTGGTGTCTTTTGCGAACTAAGATTCCCGGGTCGCCAGGAAACGCCTCCGCGATGAAAGAATCCTCCAGCTCCCTTGGGAATGGCCGCTCCAATACCTCCATGAGTAAAGAGCCGCTGTCCACCATAACCGAAACCTCTTGCCGTTTGCGAGCACCTGGCGCCAGGAGATAAAACAATTTGGACAGGCATGGCGAAACAGCATCATCATCATGATCATCCTCCTCCCGCTCCTCCCGCTCCTCCCGCTCCTCCCGCTCCTCCCGCCACCAACACTTTCGAATTGATTCGACCTGTTCAGGCCCACGGGTCAGATACATGTTCCGTGAGCGCATCGCCGCAGCAACAGCGTGCTGACCGGTAAGGCAACGCAGAGCTGTAGAAGCATCTGAGGGCAGCAAGTCGGGCTGGTTCCAGCAAAAGTCTTCGAAATTTTGGCCATCTGTGACACCACTCAATTTCCGCAGCATCTGAATGCCTGTAGATGTACAGCTCACGCACTGCAGCTCGCGGACAAGTTGCCAGTCACGCCGAAAGTAACTTTGAAATTTCACACAGGCTCTCACCGGAGATTCGTTCATCAAGCTGGTACCACTGACCTCTCTCAACCATTCGGTCCTCAGGTGGCCGATCCGAGTCGACGTGGTCGGTATCGCTTGGGCACTGTCATCGGAGAAGCACTGCAATATTGCTTTTGCCACGGTCTCGATTGTTTCGCCACAATAGGCACCCGACTGAGAGTCAACCAACTGAGCCAGCACTCTCTGCATCTCTTCCAACTCTTCCGGAATGGAAAGATGGTGAAACACGAATAGACACTTGTGGGACTGCTGAACCGCCACTCCAGGGATCAGCTGAATAGAATCCGAGATCAAAGATGGATGCGACATCGTGTCATCTCCGAGGCCTGCTTCGGCATCTATGACTTCTTCTGCTGCTTCTTGCTCCTTGGAACTTCCTGCGCCATGCAGCTTCCACTCCTTCTCTTCGCCGTCGCCGTCTTCCATGACCACATCCTCGAACATAAAACCCCCAAAAACAGAGGGTGTTTCGGTCAAATCGATAACTTCTAGGCCCTGTCCCAGCTCCCGTGCGACAACTGGAGCTAACGCACCGCTCGACTCTGGAGGGGGCCGCGAAAATCTACTCGCGTAGGTGTCACAGGATCCTTGCCTCAAGTTCTGCCTCAAGTTCTGCACCCCACCGGCTAGACTGCAGAGAAGCTCGAATCGAAACACATTCCTTGCCCAATCGCAAATGAAGTCGACTATAAGCAAGAGCTGTAGGGCGTCGTCTGCAGAGGTTGATCTCCCCATCCAGAGGTCAATCACTTTCTTAACCAAGGTTAGGACCTCGATCGTTAGAATGGTGTTGCACACATTACGACTCACATAGCGCTCTTCGTGGACGACGCATGCTGCCACTCTCCACTCGTCTCCTTGGTAAGACAGAAACCACACGAGGGGTTCCAGAGAACCATCTGACTGTCGTCGGAGGTCTTCTTGAACCATCAAACAAGACCGAATCGGAAAAGCTGTCTGCATTTCAATAGACTCGAACCCTGGAGCATTAAATTCCCGTTTGGCCTCAAGAATGAGGAAAGGATAAAACAAGTTCTTGCCGGGAAAGGGGTCGTGCCGCAATCCCTGAGCAATCTCGGAGTTGGAATGGTATCGAATTGAGCCTGTCTCCGAAAGACCAATTACTCGGTCGGGTTTTCTCCTGTGGATGCCCTGCTCTTCGAGCTTGTCTCGTCGGTCATATTTGACCATAGGGTCACTCACATTGGAGAAGAGAAACTCGTTATTCCTGTCATCGCTACTTCTCGGTTAGCTGGTGCGTTGGGCAACGACGGACTGCATGGCCTTACAACAGTTGCGCGATTCGCGTTTCTGGAGGACATTGACAAAGCAATGTTTGAGCCCGTTGTTCGCGAAGTTTTGCGTTTTGGACAGCATCTCTCGGATATGCAGCAAACTCAGAGAGCCACAGATACCTGTGACAGGTTTGACTGCAGTTAACGTGGCGTCAGTTCCTTTCTTTGTTTGCCAGCATCGGCGCCGTTCGAAGAGTTATCACACCATTTGAATTGAGCGCCAAAGCTGTCGAAAATCCAATTTTCCATCCCTCTCCAAGTGCTCTCTTCCTCCCGATCTCTCCTGACCTTTCGTGCTTCCCGGCAGAGTTCGGCTGTACGTTGCTTCATCTTGTTGGCGAATGCCAAACTCCGACCTGGACCTGGGTTATATGCATCGTATTCTATCGACCGAATCTCTCGAATCTGCTGGAAGATGTGTTTATACTGCTCGGGCCACTGAGATGGCCTCAGAGGCCCTTCAAAGACGATACCGTAATTTTCGATGAGCTTACGTGTCTCAGATGCGGACAGGTTTATCTTCTTCATCATCTTCTTCTTCTTCCCTGTTGCTAGCACGCGAGGTTGTTGCTGACGAGACATCTTGGCTCTTTGACGTGGAACTGGTCACAGACGGGGGAAGACGATCTCACTGAGAGCTGATGGGTGCGGGAAGAACTATGAGCAGCAATGACAGTGAAACAGATTACGCACCGCAGGAGCTCTGAGCCACACCTTTTCTAGCCCCCGGATGTAACAGGCAACTCCGAGGGGTTCGAGGGGGCTGGCGCCTGCGACTTATGCACGGCACACGGCGCCGCGTCAAGGGCGTTACAGACTACGAATCGATGAGGTTGAGGGTCGGTGGTTCTCCATTCTACAGCCCTCCTAAATAGGAGAAGCCTGAGGCGAAGCACAAAGCTGAAGGTGTCACAATCGCGCTCATATAACCCTCTCTCCGAAACAGGGTCCATCCAAGCTACAGAGCCGTGAATGAAGAATGAACCTCGCTCGCCGTGACCACCCGGAGAGAGTCAAGCTCATTCAGACGAAGACGACGGCTCAAGAATACGACAGGCCAGCCCGCTGGCCGTACAGTTTAGTTGTATGAGAGGAATACTATGCCACCATTCCCACTTCTAGTGGACGAGAACAACGGCTTCAGCGATCAGGTCAGAGGCGTCGTCAGTGAACTGTTGCGGCTTCCGAAAGCTGTTGTAGTCGACCAACTTGCGGTCGAAGGGAAACTTCCGAAGCCCGGGGACCAAGCACAGCTGGACACACGAGGTTTTGTCCAGCTTCTCGCCCACGATCGACTTTTCCTCCTCCATGAGCTCACCGTCGAAGGCATCCCCTGGCGAGGGAAAGATGACCTCGAAAATGTCTTTACAAACGAGCGCTTTCGCTTTGATCTTCAATGCTGACACAAAGACGTCTTCCAGTCTTGGTCTCTGCCTTGTCCACATTTCCAGAATATCCACTTCCCAGAGGCCAAGGCTCTTTTGCAAGCCCAACAAGGGCTGAATCATTTCGGATGCCCGTATCGCCAAAGCCTTGGCCCGTCGTGGGATCAGTTCGTCTTGGTAATAAGGGCTTTCGATCAATGTGTGGTGGGCCGCAAAGTCCAGATTGCGTACGACTGCATCGCCATCTACCAACAGTCAGCATGCGCAGAGCCGCCAGACCGCTCGCTCACTAACCTTGGGTTCGCAGATGGGACAACATGGTCTCTCGGAGAGGAGTCGTTGTAAATACCTGCTCGTCAACAGGACTTTCAAAAACCCACTCGCATATTGCTGCAGAGAGCAATGATTGCAGGAGTGAATGGAAGGAAACAGCTCGCACGACTTTGGATGACTTCGTTGTGGCCCGCTGAGCGAGCAGTCCCAAGTCCTCACCGAGTGTATCGAATCTAACATCATTGCAGGGCCGGAGAGTCTCAGCACAGGTTAGCAGGTCATCAAGTCGATTCCTGATGTCCACCATCTCGTCCTGGAAATACTTCTCATCAAATGGAATATGCTTTTTCGACGACCGGGTCGTGAACGGACAGAGAGCTTCTTTATCCTTCAGCTGGCAGGTGAGGTCTTCGACTCTGGTGAGATAACGCTCCAGCTGGCTTCGGGCTGCTTCGTCACCCGCATTGAGCCAGATGGCACGAGTGTGCTCTGCGCCTTGTAGTCTATGTCTCAGTTCCATGTTGGCCTCCAGGGCATCCGATAACTGGCCTCGGACGTATTGCAGGTCTTTGTCCCGGTCTTCCAGAAGCTTGCGTGTTGTCTCACATTCATCACAGGCGTAGACCGAGGACTCGCGTTCCTCATGTGGGCCGAGGATCTCCATCCTTTGGTCTTCGTCGGCTGGGGAGAAGAAGATCGCAGGCTTGACATCTTGGGAGCCCACATTCGAGAACGGAGTCGCGGTGATACAAACTCTGCCTGCCAAGGGGGTTGTGGGAAAGCCTGAGTCACCTGGATCCTCACTGTCCGAGATGGAGGGTATAGTGGCGGACACCTCTCTCGTGTTCGGCTTGGACGCAGGCTGAGAGTCGAAAGTCGGCCTCTGCTGTGATGGACCGACGGACCTGGACATGACAGAGACTGGACCAGACCGTACCTCTGTTTTGACCCTCACTGCGCCCTCACCCTGCACCTTCCTGGAAGGCACAGAGACCTCTATTGTATCACTGATCGGACGCAATGAGGACCTGCCATCAAGGTGACCAACGGCCGCCCCTCTCCTGGCTCTCTTCCTTCTTCGGCGCTTTCTGCCGGGCGACGGACTGTCTAGGGCATGTTCCTCCTGTAGCTGCTGGACCCTTCTGTGTAAAGCCTTTCTCGCCTCGTGTTCGAGTTTAAGGATACTGATGGCCTTGGTCCCACGATGGTAAATAGACAGATGCGTGCTATTCTCCGTCGTGTACCTGTTGGGTCCCCAATTCCACAGGTTTTTAATCTTGTCGTCAATCTGTTTCCAGGTAAAGTCCTTCTGGCGGGTTTTGCTGAGATGCTGAATGACCGTCTGCTTGAAGGGCCTACCACTGGCAACGCAGTAGTCCAGCCAGGCGAGAGTCTCGTTGAGGTCGTCTGCCCTCAGCCGGGGCGAGACTTCTCCGCCCGGCGTCAAGGAAAGAGCTTCCCGCATGAGCGGCAGGGGCGGCGGCATTTCTCGAGGTTTCAGGAATGATCATGCGGAGTGGGAGTGCAGGACAGCGGGCGCGAGCAGTATATGCCAATATGGCCCATCTCATCCGGTGTGCTTTTCTGAGTGAGGGAGAATTGGACAGGGAGGCTGTGGTCTTCGCCTAAGCCACCGCCAGGGACGAGCGAGCCTCTCCCCTGCTCATACTGTATCCGTACGGTAGTGGTAGATTCGCTTATCATGGCTCTTGGGTTCACTACTGAAGGCAGCTATCAGTACGATATTGCGACATCACAGCTACCGGGGCACCCCCTGCAGTAGTAGCAGCGAGCCTCCTTGGCCTCCTTAGAACCTCCATAGCCCTATTTCTTGCCTAAGCGCCCTCGCTTGCAATGCCCCCCCGGCCTCGTATGAGGGTATGATTGGAACGGCTCGCCCTGAGACGTTCCGAAGCGACTAACAGGTGGAGGGAGGCTGGCGCTCAACTCGCAACTCGACCAGGAGGCGCAAGTGCGAATGAAGTGTGGAAAGAGACGAAGGCCGAGCGAGCCGGCGTCAGAAGCAGAGCCGGTGATTGGCCTCGCCCCGAGGCTGGAAACCCAAAGGCGACGTCGGTCTCTGCCACAATGTAACGGTGCTCAGGACAGACACGCCGGGTCGTCAATTCTGGATTCAGAACAGCTCGCACAGCCTCAAGTCCTAAGTTCTCAGTCCTCAGTCTGCAGCCGCAGTCCGCAGTCCGCAGTCCGCCCTGCCGATGCAAGCAGACGTGATTGGGGGCCAAATGAGGTATCACCTAGGCATTGCTGCCGGAAGCGAGCCAGGGGTGAAGTGAGCGAATATGCTGCTCTCAGGCTGAGCCGCCGGCCGGTCTACCAAAAGGTCTGTTCAAAAGGAAGACGAAGCAGTAATGAGTGTCTTGCCCTCGGACAGCACGAACACGCTCTTGCTCCGTTTTCAAGGTGGCAGCATTTTCATTTTTCGTGCCAGTTGACTGAAGATGGACAGCGACATCCTCATGTCGGATGCCGGGGTCGAGCCAGTCGCCAAAGCGCGACACTTCGTGGTCGCCGTCGACTTTGGAACCACCTTTTCGTCCGTGGCGTACGTGGGCTACACCAACCCCAACCAGCGCCGCCGCATCGAACTCCGACAGGTCGAGACGATCGATCGATATCCGGACCATCCCTACGGCAACTTCCCTTGCAATGATGTGCCCACCGAGATCTGGTACGCGCACAAGACCGAGCGGACTGGCCTGTCCACCAGAGACGACTCGGGCTACCAGAGCAGCAGCGCCGACGGCGAGGAGGACGACGATACGCCGTTCGGCGACCTTTGTGTGCCCCAAACCCCAGAACCCGAGCTTCTCAATAATGGGGAGGACCCAGTCCTCTCATCGCTCTGGGGCTACGGAGTCCAAGACCAGGTCAAGGAGGCAGACTATGAGGCAGACCATGCGAGGCGGTTGACGCGATTCAAACTCCTTCTTGACAACAGCGAGCATACCGCTAGCGTCAGAAGCGGTCTCTACGAGACATGCAAGACACTCAAAACGATGCATCTCATCAAGGACAATGTCGATGTGATCGGCGACTATCTGGCACACCTGTTCCGTCACACCAAAAAGAGACTGATCGATTCGGAGGGATACACAGCCGACTCGACGGTCGAATTTGTTCTCTGCGTCCCGGCCGTCTGGAACGGTAATGCCAATCGCCAGATGCAGCTCGCCATGGCCAGAGCAATCAGCAATTCCGGATTCGGGCAGCTACAAAACGAGAGTGTCGATAACTTGTTCATCGTCACCGAGCCTGAAGCCGCCGCCGCGTGCGTGTTGGCGAGCGAGAAGACCCGCCTCAAGGTAGCATCCCAACCGTTCCCCCAGCGTCCCGTCCCACCGGGGCATCTGTCTACACGCCACTCACTGACTGGGCTAGATCGGCGAGACCTTCATCCTACTGGACGCAGGCGGCGGCACGGTCGATGCCATCACGTACACCGTTGACAGAGACATCCCTCTCCGGTTGAAGACGGAGGAAGTGGCCCCTAAAGGTAAGTAGACTCAGTCCTTATCCCAGCACCCACCGCGAGCAGGATCTGACAGGTGAGTTGCGACAGGCGGCCTCTATGGATCGAGTTTTGTCAACGAGCGGTTCGAGAAGCTGCTCCGGGAGCGGCTGAACAGTGAATCATACCTGGAACAGAACGGTGAGACCCTGCAGAACATCATCGACAGACTGGTGGTCGATTTCGAACGCCGGGAAAAAAAGAAGCTGGACGCCATGTTCCCCAATAAAATTGTCGATTGTACTATCAAGGTGCCTGGACTCAGAGAGAGCAGGGAAAGGCGGTTTCTCAACGGCCGGATGACTCTCCGACGGTCAGTGCAGACGGCGGAATCCTTTTCACTTGAGTATTTCTAACCCAGCGACAGAAAGGAGATCAAGGACCTCTTCCGCCCTTCTTTGGAAGGGGTTGCCGAGATTATGAGAGACCAGCTGACCAAGGCGCGCAAGAAAGGGTGCCAAGTTAGTGTGAGTCGGAGTCGGAATCGAAGCCGGGCCAGCTCGCTTCACTTCTGTTCCTCTGGCTGATCGTTTGTGCAGAAAGTCATTCTCATGGGTGGATTCGGCCAGTCGGAAGCGCTGGCCTCGTACCTGAAAGGGGTATTGGCCACCGAGTACAGTGCCGAGGGCCAAAAGGTGATCCTCGACTCGTCCAAGCTCCAGTAAGTAGAGAGAGACACACACAGAGAGAGAGAGCTAGTCAATTGCACATCGGTACCACAACCCTTTCAAGGTGTCATTACTACTGACACTGCATTCGTCACAGGTCTACGGCAGTGGCATGTGGTGCCGTGCTCCGAGCACTGCGCAAGGAGGACGGACCTGCACGCGTGTTGCAATTAAGCTACGGCTTCCTGCGCAGCGAGCCTTACGGCGACCACAAGGAGCATTCTAAGCAGAAGGCCAAGCTGGACAAGATCGATGGGGTCCGATACGTCGATAACACCATCTGCTGGATCATCAACAAGGTGAGAATAGACGCAGCCATTCCCAGCACGTCCTGGATCTTGGATTCTGGATACCTCTCTGGAGCTAGAACTGGAATTGGAACTGGAACTGACCCATCTTTCGCTAGGGTGACGTGCTGGATTCGGAATATGTGGTGGAGCTGTCAGTGGTGTACACCTTTGCCGACGACGGGAGTAAATGGGCAGCCTGTGAGACACTGTACGTGTCGGACGGCCGCCACGAGTCTCACTATCGCCGAGAGCATGCCGAGAACCAAGGTGAGTATCGGTGCGATGAATACGGCCGTGGTGTAGTCCAGCGTGGTACGGTGGGTGAAATCCGAATGCTGACGGGTCGTGCTCCTACAGGTGCCCAAGTGGCCGGCTTCGTCGACATCGACCTGACGCCTCTGAAGGAATCAGGACAGATCAAGCGCCAGCCTCACCCCAAGTCCGGAATGTGCCCTTACTGGAAGATCACGGGCACGCTCCGAGTCTTTGTCAGTGGCCGGAACCTACGCTACGTGGTCATTCCTGACGGTGGCAACGGCAATACCAGTCGCGTGGGTGGCGAGTGCATCGCAGCCGCGTTTCGACCGGGGACGGAATAGAATAGGAGGAGAGGGAATCATGGATGGCACAATACGGACAGGACGGAGGTGGAATATGAGATAGACGGCACAGGCACGCCAGTACTTCAAATTGGATATGTACAGCTGTCATTGATACCGCAGTCGGTCGGTCGGTAGGGGGACTGGGACTGGGACTGTAGAGATCCTATGGCTTAGGAGTGGTGTTGCTGTTAGATAGATACCTGGTAGGTACCTAGGTACCTAATAGAATAGTACCTACTTTAAGTGTATGGACTACCAGATCCTACAGTCAGGTAGTATTGGTGGCATTTGGAGTGCCGTTCCGTCCCGTCCAAATTCCATTCACCTATTCACCGTGTGCGATGCAGTGTCTCCGTACCTTACATATCCGGCATGTACTGTTACCTGATGTAAGAGCTCGAAGGTGGCTCAGGGGCTAAGGCTGCGCGGCGCATATCGAGCCCGAGCCTGCCTGCGCCCACCTGCCTGCGCCTGCGCCCTTTCCAAACCAAGAACAAGAAAAAAAGAGAGAAAAAATGGACACGGACACGGACACGGACACATCCAATCATCAGCATAAGACACTAGAAAAACATACTGAGAATCTGGCTTGCATGTGAAAATCAAACACAATACCAGCCACAGCTATGGGAGTGCGACCATGCCGTCTCTGCTGTGGAGAAATTGAAGAGGACAATGAGGAGAAGACACTCGAACTCGAGGACAACACACCCGGTAAAAGTTTAGAGAAGATGGAATATACGATTTGTTTTTCCTAGCCAACGGTTTTATGCTAACCCTGTCCCATCTATTGCAGGGACACCTCCATTTGAAATATAAGCCAGGGCACACCGAGAGAGATGACATCCCCAGCATGCAGAGTCGACTGATCTTCAAGCCGGCATAGAATGAATGACCTGCTCCGAGATCATGTATAATTGTTGCCCATCAGAGGGGGAGGAGAGAAAAAGAGATATCTTAAGATGCAAATGTCATTTCATGCCATCATCGCTGTTCCAACGCCAACGCCAGTCCCAACAGTGGAAGTGAAATCATCAGAGAGATGCCAACGGAGCAGATACCCAGCCCAAACAAGAGATAGTAAGGAACGAAGAGCTGGCAACACGGTGGTGGATGGCATGGAAGAAAGCCAACTACGACTGCTCTTGCCACTTGATAAAGGCCTTCTCCTCCATCCACTTGGCGAACCAGACCACGCGGTTGTCGATCCGGGTGAAGTAGTCGGCGGTCCAGAGGACGACGATGGTGGTAAAGGTGATGCCGGGCACGCCGGACCAGTAGCCATCGCCAAAGTGAGCCCAGCACCACGGCTGGACGATGCGCTGGTACAGAGCCCAGTTGATGGTGTTGTGCATGGCGTAGACGCCAAAAGAGAGGTCGCCCAGGTACTGGGAGAAGCCGAGCTCGAAGGGGATCTGCAGCATGCGGCAGTTGTCCAGGCAGAAGACCAGCAGGGCCGAACCGATGCTGAGCCAGAAGTGCTCGCCCAGCTCGACCGGGTACCACCAGGGGATGACACGGCTGAGAGTGGGCCAGCCCCAGGCGAGATCATAGTGGCCGTCGGATGGCTGGCCCAGGATGAACAGGGCCACGATGGTCAGGCACACCCAGCCGATCTTGGCCGGGATGGACTGTCGGCGGGGAGCGGACTCCGGTCCATCGCCGTCCTGGTGCTGCTGGGGAAGCCGGATGCGCTGCATCCGTTCGGGATGCCGGTCGAAGGAGACGTCGGCGATCAGCATGCCGAAGATGAAGAGGGCACCATACACAACGCCCCAAAGGTAGCAGAGGATTATGACCACCATGGCGAAGGTGCGGCGGCCGCGAAGACTCAGGTAGGCCGCGGCGGCACAGAACCAGAACAGGAGCATGGATCCTTTGAACTCGACCGGGATCGTCCACATCTGGTCGAGGTAGTGCGTGCGGAAGACGCCGGGATACCACCAGCCCCTGATGTCGCCCATGGGATTGCTGGACCCGATGAAGTCCCAAAACCAGTCGTCCAGCTGCAGAAGGATGGTGGGCTTGCGGTGAGAGGGCTGGCACCATCCCAGGTACGACATGTAGGCGGTCATGAACGAGGCCACACCGCACGATGCGTACAGGCGAAACCACCGCCGGAACGACGATGAGGCCAGGGCCCGGAGCATGCCTGGTTGCTGATTGCGCATCATCTTGAGAAGGCGATAGCTGAGGACGTATCCGGAAATGGCAAAGAAAATGTCCACCATGGCCCGGCCGTTGAGGATGGCGTGGAACACGGGCTGCTCAAGCAGCCATGTCTTGTTGGCGAAGCAGTGATAGCGGAAGACGAACAGCGCGGCCCAGCCTCGCAAGGCGTCCAGGTACGCGGTGGGGTGTAGTTCCTTTTTGACGCTCATGCCGCCCGGCTGCATGAATCGGGGGAGGGCGGCGAGCATGTAGGAGAGGACCAGCCAGCCCAATGTTTTGGCGTCGGGCACGTTGTCCCACTTAGGGGCCATGCTCCAGGTCGACCACTTATCCCGACCGGATGCCATCTTCCACCGCGGCAGCTGGAACTGGGCGGGCAACTGCAACTGATACCATCTTGGTATATTCTCATCCGCCGTCTTTTCCAGGTCGACATCCGAGTACGGCATGTGTTCCACTGGTGAGCTGGGCCCGCCATCGCTAACCAGCGGTATGTATGATGCTGCCGCCATTGTGCTACCGTACAAGAAGGTAGTCACAGGGAGGATGAAGAGATGGAAAGCGTGTGAGAGAGGAGTTGGGCAATCCGTCGAAGGGGGAGATGGCGGGCTTTTTGGAGTCAAGCAGAGGCTCGACGATTGGACCCTGACCACTTCTCTTTCCCTTTAACCCCTAATCAGTAAGATGATATGGTTCCGACTGACAGGACAGGCCGATCCACCGACGTGATTGTACATTTACACGGACAGTGCACGCGGGCGAGAAATGGTCTTAGCCTCTATGTCTATGACATTAGCCAGCCTCCGCGGGCCGAAGTTTGCCACGATTGGGGTTTGTGCGTGCGATATCAGATGGCCGGAGACAGGTCGCTGTCGGCACGAGCCACGCCGGGGGTGGTGGTGGTGGTGGTGGTGGTGGTGGTGGTGGTGTTGGGCGTCAACGAAATCCCTCGCGTCTGATGTATGAGATGTGTATTGCTCTCTCGACGGCGAGCTTGAAGCCCAATACTTTCCGGATCGAAATTGCAGCCACCGGTGGGTGGACGAAGAAGACAAGTACAACACCAGCGCCAGCGCCAGCGGAAGCGCAGGAAGCAGGACATGATCATCATCACACTGGTGGAATGAATGGCCGGCCGGTGCAATGGTGCATTCCTCGACATGTGTTGATGGTCCGAGTTCTGAGGGGCGACGAGGCTGTCAAACAAAGGGACCGTTTCTGGGCTAAGCCGGTTCGGGACACTTGGCTCCCTACGAGGCTGTCAGATGCTCCCTTCAACCCTTCACACTGTCCGCCCAGCGCTCCCTACTAGTAGGTAGTCAACTGGCTCAGGAGGGCCCACCACCATCGCTGCTATTACTATTGGCGATTCTCGGCGCGTCTCAGTCTCACGTTCCGCGTCTCACCCTGGTTCGCGTTCCGACTGACAGCTGTCACCAAAGATCCTGACGTGAGGCACTCAATCCCTTTGGCACAAAAGTCCTGGAGCACAATCTTAATTGGCATTATCGTGCAAACCGCCGCGGGCCCTGAGAGATGTGAGAGATGGCCAGTGCTGCCTTCTTTGCCCCCAGCCATGGCGCATCTGAGAGGTGATTGATCGGCTGGGAATGCTGTTGCCGCTGTGCATTCTCCCGGGTGGGACCCTTGCACTCTGCCACCCGCATCCTGCTTTGCCACCGACTCCGGCCGCCTACAGAGTACTCTAGATACACACGGACACCATGCCCAGAGCCCCTGGGCCGCAACGGCCGACTCATTATTGGACAGTGGACACAGAAGGAAGTGTGGCAAAATCCCATCGTTCCCTAGAACGTGCAGGAGCTCCCGCCCATATGCACTGCCTTGCCTTTGGATCAATAATGGCAATGATTTACATAGGGGTCAACCCGCGGCGAATCAACCGAACCGTCGGTTTGTTTCTCTCACGTCGAAAAGCAATGGTAAAACTCAATAGCATAATACCCAGGGCCTGGGCCGCGGCTGAGGCACGGCTCGATTTAAATCCGTGCCCCCTGAGGGGTAGCTACCAGGGAGTATGCTCAACTTGCCAGCCCCTCCCCCTCCTGCCAGGTCTTTTTGTGAGAGGTAGCGTGTTACCCCCGTGCCGGGTTATCAACATGCTGGCATGAATGATGCTCGAACTAGTGGAAGTGGCGGTAGCTCACCAATCAGATGGACTTCTTGAAGGTCGCGAGAGGAGTGTGGTCCTGGTCGCGTTGATAAGCAGAGAAGGCAACATCATGGTCGGTGGGTGATGTTCAACGGGACACGAAAGACTTCAGTAGGCGTGTGTTCTGGGGGGCCGGGGCTGGCTACACGATAGAATTTGCTTGGGCATCGTCCGTCGTGATCGGCCGACTCGACTGCTCTGCTGCGTCTGTCGTCGAAAATGGCTGGGCAGGTCCCGACGGGGGTTGCTCACAAGGCTGGCCATCTCCGCACCAAGGTGCGATGCGATGCGATGCAGAGGTGGCATTATCAGCAATAAGGCTTCAGTTGCATTCTGGCAGGGCTGCCCCGGCTGCGTCGTACAAGATCAGCCTTATGCAAGTCACAGTCAAGCTCACTAGGTCATGCAACGATATGCCGCTGTGGCAGTCCCTAGTCTTGATTCCTCAGCCTGGGAGGGAAAGTGACCTGACTATATAGTCTTTCACGAAGAACCGAACCGGGCTGGACCGTTTGTGGGGGACCAAAAGGACACCACCAAAAGGACACCTACTCGCCAGCTCTTGTAGAATCTCGGTCTTGGCATTCCCTTCATCCCGGGCAGCGATTGGCTCTTGTTTCTCGTTCTCGTTTATCGTAGTTCGTTTCTCGTATATCGTAGCTCGTATTCGTATAGCAGATACGTGCATCTGACTTAGGGCGCAGATAGGTATAGTCGAGGAAAACCTCCGACTCTGGGACACGCAGTGGTCACTGGTCAGCATGGAGCGGTGGCAGGCCTTCCGGAAGATACGGCACTGTACGGGGATTTCTTCTTCTTAAGGTATCCTTTAAGGAATGAGAACGGAGGGAGTATGGAAGGAGTGAAAGGAAACGCAAGATATGTACTCAGTACTCCGTACTGTCGTAGTACTACTCCGTACTTACTACTCCTCCCTACTCTAGGCGCTGAACTGGCGGAATATTTCTCCGTCACCCGATAGCTTATGCTGACCACCAGGTATTGGGTACGGAGTACTGAATACTGTGCATATCCGCACTTCAGTATTTCAGTCGGCCCATCATTGCCAGGGATTACTGACTATTACTCGCAAGCAACCTCTGTTTTCCAGCCGGCACGGCACAGCCGCATCTCTCTCTCTCTCCTCTCCTCTCTCCCCTCCTTATCGAACTCTGGTTAGAAGGCTGCGAACAGAACAGAATCCTCTCTCCCCTCCTATCGAGCCCTGGTTAGAAGACTGAGAACAGAACAGAACCCTCTCTCGAACCCTGGTTAGAAGGCTGAGAACAGAACAGAATCCGCTGTGGTGGAGCATGACTTCTCGAGGCCAGACACGAGGCACGAGACACGACATCGGCAAGCCTCCAACTTAGCCTCTTTGGGGTGCTCCTTGCGAGGTACTAGGACTACACATATATGGCAGGCTAACCAATTAAGAGTAGGGCCTCAAGATTTCGATTTCCTGGTCGAATCCGGATCCGGCCCGGCCTATTGGCCTCACTCCGTCCGGTCCTGCCCCCTGTCCTCTGTCCTCTGTCCTCCCGGAAGTCTTCTAACTGGTGGGTTTCGACGACTCCCTGTCACCGGCCCCAAATCCGCCGGGGCCCTCATCCTCATGTATCCGTATTCGTATTGCTGGACCACTCTGACTGGAGAAACCTGGTCGACCCATGCACCTGGGCTAGAAGTTACAGTCAGTATCCGTACTCCGTACACTTACTTACAGTAGCATCCATTCCAACCCCGCTGGGTGGTGGCCGTATGCCTTAACCAGTCCCTGAGCTTAACGGAGAACGGAGGATGGATTGACTGGAATGATATGGAATCAAGGATACCTTGCTGGTCTGGGCCTGAACCCTCACTCTCTCGATTGAAATACAGGGCACGTCCTTATCCTGACTTCCCACTCGGAATCCAATGCTCGTTAAAATACACATACTTACACAGTCTTCTTCCCTCCCTCCTGGTTATTCCTGTCTGCGCTTTGGCTTTGTTCAGTTCTCCCTCCCTCTTGCAAGATGACGACCGCCAACCCCAACCCCAGCAACATAACATACCTCCCTACCCATCTCTGCACCGAAGTCACTCCGCAATGTCCAGTCGAGCACTCCATCTACGGCTACTACCCATCGATTGGGGGGAATGCATTCTTCGTCGGCTTTTTCTTCATGGCTGCCGCCTTCCAGTTGTACGCGGGCATTCGGTACAAGACGTGGACTTACCTGGTCGCCATGTTCCTCGGCTGCGTCGACCAGGCGCTGGGCTACATCGGCCGGGCCATCCTGCACAACAACCCGTTCGACTCGGTGGGCTTCGAGATCCAGATCTGCTGCCTGATCCTGGGGCCGGCCTTCAACTCGGCCGCCATCTACCTCGTCCTGAAACATATCACGCTGTGCTTCGGCCCCGAATACTCGCGCATCCCACCGAGATGGTACACGTACATCTTCATCACCGGCGACCTGATCTCTCTCGTGATCCAGGCCATTGGAGGCGGCATTGCTGCCACATCGCTGTCCGATGAAGCGCGACAAGCAGTGGGCGACCATTTGATGATGGCCGGCATTGCCTTTCAGGTCGTCACCTTGGCATTCTTCGCCACAGCCGCCACCTGGTACATTCGTCGCCGCAGGCAGGCCCCCGAGCCTTTGTCGTCCGAGGCGGCTGGTTTCCTACGCAGCCCCAAATTCAGGGCATTTGCCGTCGGCTTCGCCGCCGCCTTCACCGCCATTCTCATCCGATGTGTCTACCGTATTGTCGAAATGGCTGGAGGATGGGGCAACGAGATCATGCAGAATGAAGCCTCCTTTATCGCCTTGGACGGATGGTACGCTATACCTTGGCTGATGATCACTGATTTCTTTTCTTCATGCACGCCGAGATCCAGACCCTGCTCTACCTGTTCTGCTTTTGACTCTCACGATTTTCAGTCGTCCCTGTCACTGTACATGCTGATTTCCTGAGACTACGATACTTGACCCCTTTTTCACCACTCCAACCCACCATTACCACTATTCATGATTTTTCCCGCGCCGCTTCGGAACCTCGAACCAAGCTAACCAGGTTTCCTGTTCCTTTCCTCCAGCATGGTGTCCTTCGCCACACTGATACAAACAGTCCTACATCCCGGCTGGTGCTTCCCTCGGCTCTCGAGCGCTTATACTCCACCACCGAACCGGACGTCGACGTCCGGCATGAGATCCGCCCCTGGCGAAACAATCGAGATGTACAAAGAAGGGGAATCTGGATTTCCCGACGACCACGCTTGACAATAGTCAATAGTCATTTCTTTGCCGGTGGCAGCTTCGTTCTCATTCAGCCTACAGAGAAGCCGATGAAGATCAAGATGCAGGTCAATGGCAAGGGAGGAGTTCTAGTTCTTCACGACGAGAACACCTCAGGTGGTTCGTCTGATTTCCATTTCGTCTGTCTTGAATTTGTCACTATTCATCAAGGCGAGAGTGGAGATTCAGCGACGACCTCACCGGTCCCATCCCGGCGCTTTGAATTGCTATCTTGTCAATTCCATGTAGATATAGACTATCGACTATAGACACCATCTCTAGCTCTTAAGAGTAAAATCGAAAGGGAGATAATTTATAGCAGTATTTCCACGAACGTGCATCATGTATCTGGATCGATCATCTCATCGGGCCAGCAAGCATCCGCATCCCTTTTCTCCTTTACAAAGATACGGGCGAGGAACAGGAACCGAATTGGAAAGCCTAAAGCCGCTGGGGCGGGGCGGGGCGGCACGCGACGGGCCGAATCTTGCTCGATCTTATTATATCTTCTTTCTCTTATTAGAATTGACCCAGAGTTCCCGGTTTCCATGGTGTATTAACCGCGTGTCTGAGCTCTCCCAGACGAGTTGATGTTGTTGTTGTTTGTTTATGATCAGATGGCTTGGGGTAAAATCTTCCGCTCCAGAGCAAGCCGCATCCAATTCAAGTCACCACGTGTTAGTTCCCCTACCATACAGACACGCTCTTATACAACTGTATCCGAAGAGAGCCTCGCAAGGTATCGTCCAGGCGGATACCACCCTGTAAGGATCGGCGATCAGTTCAATGGTGGGAAATACGAGGTGATTAGCAAGCTTGGCTATGGGCTTTACTCGACCGTCTGGCTTGTGCGAGATGCTGGGTAAGTCCCATCCATCCCTGACAAGATCGGGATATCGTATATCTCCGAGCCCTAGGCCCTATATGTCGCCCAGCCTGACCTGACTCTCCGGGTTGTCCTCTGCTCATATCATTATCTATTACTGTAGGTTAAGTCGTCATGTTGCACTCAAAATCTTGACAGCCGATTCTCATGGTGGCGAACATGACACGTTCGAGCTCGCGATTCTGGAGCATATCAAACGTACGAATGGATCCAAGCCAGGCGCCACTCACATTCTAGGTATTATCGATCATTTTCGGCACCGAGGTCCTCATGGAGATCATCTGTGCCTCGTTTTCAAGGCCATGGGACCAGATTTGACCGCCTATCGACGACTTGTCCCGGAGCTAAGGATCCCGGTCCTTACATTGAAAGAGATGTTAAGGCAGTTGTTGCTGGCGTTGGCTTTTCTGCACCAGTCATGTGGAATCATACACACAGGTAAGTCGGAGAATGTGACATTGTCACAGGGCCCACGAGACTCATTTGGCTGATCCAGGTCCGGATTTTCAGACATAAAGCCGCAGAACATTCTCTTGGAGACGGCCAAGATCAACAACATGTTCGAACATGCTCCATCCACCGTCTTCCGCCACTCTTCTCCGGCTCTGGCTGCGCCGGACGATTTCTACATGGAGTCGGAGCAAGTCTTCTCAGCCGACGAAGACCTCTCGACGACTTCGGTGCCTCCTGGATTCGCGGTGCGTCTTGCCGATTTCGGCACTGGTAAGCTCGCTTCAACCACAACCACAAAGCACCACCCACATGACTGAGGAAGCTAACACACTGCCTTTGGATAGCGAGCTGGGTCGAAAAGCATCTTTGCGAGTGGATTCAACCTCCATCACTACGGGCTCCCGAAGTCATTATAGGTGCTGGATGGGGCCCTAGCGTAGATATCTGGAATTTGGGATGTGTCGTAAGCAATGTACCTGATCGCAATGGATCTCATAACAACCACCTGATATGATATTGAACGCTTCTAACACCGCGACCACCTGATATCTGATATTGAACGCGTCTAACATCCAACTCTGCTGCAATAGATTTGGGAACTTGCAGAAGGCAAAGTCCTGTTCGACGGCTGTCCAACTCCTTCAGCACCATACTCAGCCCACTCTCATCTCGCCCAAATGCAAGCTCTTTTCGGGCCCATGCCGAAACATCTACTGCGACGATCGACCAACGCGGCCAAGTATTTTGATTCCGACGGTAGGTATCCATATCCATATCCATTCGCCCTCGGCAAAAGTCAACCGACCATGCCAATGCCACTCCTAATCCAATGGCAGGAAATCCTTTGTCCAAGTCGCCTTTCCCCCCAAGCTCGCTAGAGGGCTTCGTCGACAATCCGGAACTCATAGCTGATGCCGACAAGGAAGATTTTGTGGACTTGATCACTTCGATGCTCAAATTGGCCCCAGAAGAGAGACTCGACGCTAAAGACCTGCTGAATTCTAAGTGGTTAAATTAATCTTCGACATGTTAAGAGGCTTCGTCAGCCGAGGGGCCTTACGGCAGTAATACTGAAAAATGCAACGTAAGCACGGGCATACTGTGTACTGTAGTTGGAGACGCTGCGAAGCTATAGGTCATCTTACGACATCATCGTGGACCAAGGCTGATCCTCATCACATCAGCGCCGCTGAGCGCCCTCAGCCGTCCGTTCTGATATCACAGCCATCCATGTCTGTCTTTCGCCCTGTACCTCGGTGATCTCGACGACTAGACATCTCCAGACATGTCCAGATATGTCAACGGCCCTCCAAATCTCCTGCCCTGACCTTTAGTGCCCCTCCTCTCGACGCCTTAGTGGCCGGAATCATGATTAATGGCGGTTTGCCGTGGTTGAAGGAGTATTCGAATCCAATACTACTGCAAGTACTGTACTTGGATAGTAGTAGTATTGGCGAAATCTCTACCTCTCAGCTCTACTGGATCGGATTTGAATAGAGATATTCGATTCAATTCGATTCGATAATACTTACTCTGCGATCTACCGCCTCCTAGACTAAGTATAAGTATTCGATTTCTGATCATGTGAATGTGAATTGGAATCCTGTGCTGTATCTGTATCTGGAGTTAGTAGTTAGTAGTATCTCTAGATATTCTAGGTAGTATTAGGAAGCCTGGTCTTAGGGAGCCTGGTTTTAGAAAGCTTTATTGTAAGCTGCACTCTATTTTGACACCCACCCTAAGCCCGTTCCGCTCTGCTATGCCATCGCATGCTATTTGCATGCCATCTGTCGGCGGACTAGAACCAATTGCGCTGTTGCTAGGAAAAATATAATCGTACAAAGCTCGATCCCCTGATGCAGCATGCTTGCTTGCTCGGCATCCATCTCAGAACCCATTGGAATACCCTGCATCGGACCGAATGTGGTTTTCTCACGCTTGCTCGCCGTCATGCCATGTCCTTCAAGTTCGCATCTGAAGAGAGTAGTCGCTACTACCACTGGTTTGGTGCAGGTTGTTGTTCCTGTCTCCTGTCCATCTGGTCTGGGACGCACGGCAGGACAGTAGATACCACAACCTCCCATCAGTGGCCTGCAAACTACTTCTTGTTCTTGTTCTTTCTCTTCTTGTTTTTCTTGCTCTGCTTGTTTCCCGTAGCACCGGCAGCGTCTGCGTCTGCATCATCGTGATCGTGGTCTTCGGCCTCGTTGTCTCCTGTTTGTTCAGGCTTGGTGCTGGCTTCTGTTGGCTCGACCTTGGTGTTGGCTGCTGCAGGTTCGACCTTGGTGCTGACTTCTGCCCCGCCTTCGGCGTGCTTGTGCTTGTTGTCTTCGCCTCCTGTCTTGTCCTTGCGCAGTGCCTCGCCCTGCATGCGTTCCAGCTCGCCCAACCAGCCCGGCTCAGTTCCAATAGGAAAACTGGTCGTCTTTAGAGTGGTGCGATCGACATGGTGAAGGGATGGACGCCGACGCCGCTCCCGCTCCGCACGCTCCGGCTTCTTTGCATCCTTGTAGGTTTCGGATTTTGTAATGTCCTCCAAGGCACGGGTGAAAGCTTCGCGACGAGCTTCGATGCTTGGGTGATCGATCTCCAGCAATTTCTGGATATGATGGCGCAGACGAGATCGGGCCGCTTCGGCCTTGAGGTGGACGCCTTTGACCTTGCCTGCGTCGATCCGTGCTAGAGGAAAACGCGCCGGATTAGTTTCACTCTCCATATCAACAGGATGGCGAGCGCATGTAGATTTCAGCTGAAAGTGAAGTGAATCTGAAACTTGAGATTGGGCAAAATCAAAACATGGACAAAGGAACAGAGGAACGTACGGATCTCAACGCCAGCGGCCTTTGCGGTCGTCGCAGAGGCAGTTGCAGTTGCAGACGCAAACGCAACGCGTTCTCTGCCTTTGCCTTTACCCTTGTCGGTAGCAGGCTCGTCGGTAGCAGCCTGGGAGGCTGCGAAGCCATCGGCTTCGGTGAAGTCTGGGGCGCTTGTCGGCATCACCTTTGGCTTGCTACTGCCTTGTAAGTCGGGCAGTTCGATGGGCGGGCCGTCATCCTCCTCCTCGATGTCACCATCGCTTGCTGGTTTGGGGGCCAAGGGGATCTTGAACATGGCCTCAAAATCGGCTCTGTTGGTAGGGTCGCCCCCCATGGCACGAACCGTGGCAGCGATGACTTCCCATTCCTTCTCGGTCAACGGGGACGCGCCGGGAACGACGAGATTGTTGATGGTCTCCATCTTGGGGTATCTCACCTGGCGCAGTACAAGCCAGAGATCCTTGTCGGGTCGTTGGAGGGTGTAAAGACAGCGCGAGGTTGCGGTGATGCGGATGAGTGCAAGAGCGAAAATTGGTAGAAAAGCCCCGTCCTGGCGGTGTTGTTCTGAGGTTTCCAAGGTCGACCTCTCGACCAATTCCAGAAGTGCGTCAACAACCAAGCTAATCACGTCGTATTCTGTGAGTTGGGCAGGCGCCGTGACCACCAGGTCTTCAGCCGGAATCCCACTCTTCACTGCGCCGTTTGTGAAGAGACCAATAACCTCACCCTCGGCGAGTTGGTCGGCGATCAGGCTCAGGAGGTCGGTGTCAACCCCCCACGAAATGCTCCTGGAGTCGTAGTTGACGTAGGAATAGGCACAGGTAAAAGCCTCAATCAATTCTTCACGAAAACTAGCCTTGTTCGCCAGATAGATCCCTAACAGCTCTTGACCAAGGTTAGAGATCTAGAAGACTTGTGTTAGTTGGAGATCGGTCACAATGAATCTGGCGCCCTTACATATTCAAAGGTCTGCTGGGCAGCCTTCTGCTCGCCTGCCCCCAGTACTCCTGCCAAGGGATGGATACTCTCAGCAGGTAATGTCGGCACGGCGACAGTTGTAGAGGGGGGGTGCGCCGGCGAGGTTGGCCTAGGCACCTGGGCAAAGAAGTTGCGAGTTATCTGCGCATTAAGCGCTCTCTTCTTATGACTATTACGACCCATGTTGTCGTTGTCAGTGTCGTCTGTAGTGACAGAAAAGGTAGGTTGATGAACAAGACAGGGATCGCGACTGAGAAGTTTCGCGAAACAAAAAAATCAAAATAATATTCGCAGTTATAGTCGCGTGCGAAGACATTTTCTGCCGTACCTGTCTGAAAAGGGATAATCAACACACCGGGTGCCTTCACTAAGAAGAAGTGAAGTCAAGGGAAGTTAATGAGGCTGGTGTTATAGTAATGGTGGGTGTCACGTGTATGTCAGCCTCGTGCTGATAGAGATAGACAGTAATAGAGCTCGCTGAAGCGGGCGTGTGACAGATGACTTCTTAATACTTTGATGAGAGCACGGAGGACGCTATGCCATGGGCAATAGATAGTGAGCAGTTTGCTTGTTGGGAGGACGCTATCTGTTTGCGTTAGATTGCTAGGTTAGATGCGTAGAAGGACAAAGAGTTCGGCGTGTATAGCAATCAGAGAGAAATTGTTCATCATTCTGATTCATCCCAAGACAAAGTGGTATCTGAGAAACAGTCGTCATCCAAATCCGGTTCATGAGTCGTAATCATGATCGCCAACAAAGGATCTATCCACAGTCAACGACGCGTTGGACGCCTGAAGAATGGAAAATATAGGGGTGGCAGCATCGGGGGGTCATAGTTCAAACCAAATCGCCTCATTATCATCAGCAACTCAGTCAACTCCCCATATACATCTGATGCCCCGGGTTTGGAAAGTCCATGCCACTGCCACTGACATAGCCATCACTGATATCTTCATAATAATCATCTCCACCACTCGAGCCGTCGAAACTAGCAGTGCCCATGCCGCCAACATCACTGAGATCACCTTGATCTTCAGCGGTGGAGATCCGAGACCAGTCGATATTTTGAAGCGCAGGATATTGTTGCAGCAGCGCCGCAGGCAGGGCAAATCCTCCAGTTCCAGTGTTGGGATCCATGCCAATCATCATTGGTGGAGGGACAGGTTGCAGCGTGCTTTGGCTAAACTGCGCCTGTTGCTGCTGCTGTTGTTGCTCCAATAATGCCCTGTTCTGCCGCTCTGCTTTTTCTTCCTCCAGTAGTGGTTTGATGCATATTCTACCGGCCTCGGACCGGAAATGACGGCCCAGAGCATCGGCTCGAGCAAATCTCCTCCCACAGCCCCAAGATTGGCCAGGTGCGGTGTGAAGTTCCCCTTTACAGACAAACTTTTTCTCGCCGCTGTGAAGGCCTTCGTGACGTTTGCGATCGTGCTGCCGGGCAAAGGCCTTCCCGCAGACAGTACATACAAAAGGTCGCTCATCCGTATGCGTCCTCAGATGAGACCGCAAATTATATGCCCGAGTAAAGCGCTTGGGGCAGAGATTGCATTGAAAGGTAGCTGGATGTTTCTGAACTCTCGTGCTTGTACCGGCGGGTGAAGCAGTTGGTCTGGAGGGGTCTGCCAAATCCAGAATATAATCCCGGTTTTGACCTACAGAGGACGTAGAAGCCCGGCGATTCTTATCGATGCGACCTGAAGCCACGCCGGGACCCGGAGACGACTCACGGGACAGTGATCGGCTACCACGCTCGGGTGATCTTGAGTGAACGGCAAGGCTGTTGGTGGCGGTGAGTCCGGGCGAACCAGAACGTGACAGGGGCCGAGTAAAAGTGACATCGGATTTGCTTCGGTTGCGTCCTCCTATATCGCATGTTAGCTTCGGCCGTAAAGGGCTAATTATAAATTACAATGGACGTACTGTTTGTGGAGGGAGGGCTAAGAGCACCTTCGGTCCCTTCGGCCTGCAGTCCGAAACTTTGCTGCCTTGAGACCGGCGCCGGTTCGATGTTGATTGTCGGAGGCTCGAACTGGTCGGCCCGGCCAATATCCGACACCACTGAGGTATTCCGCATGTGATTGCTCGGAAGAACAGGAGGATATGCGGTTGCCTGGGTCGTGTATACCTCTGGAGCAGACATTCGCAGTGGCTGGTTCAAACTGAGATCCTGATTCAATCCCAGGCCCTGGATATTTGCATCCATATGGGGCATAAGCCTTGGAGAACGATAGGAGGCTTGTTCGGCTAGACTGAAACTCTCCATTCCAAAGGCGTTGCTGGTGTCGGGCTGCGCAGGAAGGAATGGTGAATGATTGAGTTCGATTGGATCATGTAGTTCTGCATGAGCCATGTATGGAGAATGGGTGGCCGAGGAGATCTCGGAATGATCTGATGGCGCCCGCCTGTGTTGCTGGAAATTGGCTCCGGCAAAGTTCTCTCCATAGGCGCTCGAAGGGTCCAAAGAGGCATGCCTGGAGTGCTGGGGCGTAAAGAACGGCTGCCCGTTTGTCGAAGCCGGTGACGCCGGCTGCGAAGAGAGGTTCTCTGGAGGATATAAGCTGGGGGACTGGTGATCTTGTGGAGAAGGTGCTTTGTTCAAGTCGGCAGGATTTATGTTGCTGTTGTTGCTGTTGTTCTGGGTACTCATGTCATATGTGTTGTTTAGTGAATATGTCTGCCCGAAATCATTCGGCATGTTCTCGCCCTGGTACAAGAAGAAGTTGTTGGAATAGGACGAGTCCAAGTTCTGGTCTCCGAACTGATTCTCCGGAAAGATGTCCTGGGAGAACTGATTCTCGGAATAGAATCGTGGGTCCGTAGGGCCCGATTGCAAGCCGGCTTGTTGTTGTGGATCGAGAAACGGGTTATTGAAAACCTGCGATGTGAACTTGCCCGTGGTGAGAGCTTGCTGGATCGATGGATCCACGCCGGACACAGAAGCCGGATAATGGTTCGGGGATGGTTGAGGGCTTATGTGCTCTGCATTGCCTCTTGAAGGCGATCTGCCCCGTGTATTGTCCATCTCTTGACACCGCGCGCTTCGGAACAGGCCAAAAGGAGAATGCGCCCTACTCGGACGGAGGAGGATGCCTCGAGCGTCAGCCTCCTGCAGGAGGTTCGGTATCGGTGAGATGTATATGGGCCGAGGGCGACGCGATTGGCAGTCGGAGACGGTGTATTGGAAGTGTACCTTGCCAGTCAGCCTGTGGCGCAGTATGTTAGCACAAGAGGTGTCGTGTGAGAGGGCGTTAGAGCTGTACCGTTGGCAGCACTGCAGTGAGGCTGTGCCAGGGCGGGACGGCTATAAGAGGTCGCACAGAGCCCCAGAGGAAACTTGGAGTCAGGAACGGCCTTTTGAGAGCAGCGCGACTCCCATTGAGAGTGTAACGAGAGAGACAGAGCAGGTGCTGACGAGATAACGTGGAGAGTGATGCGCTGCAGTGGTCGGCGGAGAGATGAGATGGGAGTCGGGGGCGCCAATTGCAGCTGATAAGATCAGCGGAGTGTCGAGGAGAGCCGCACGGTAGGAGTAAAGGGCGAAAAGGTGAGAATGTAAGCCCACGACAAGAGTTCCAATTGATGTTTGATGTTCGATGGTGATGGGATGCCGCTGTCAATTTTAGCGATGCGAGAAGAGCGTGAGACGGAACCAGATGCAGCTTGGAGCAGAGGAAGCCTGCGCCTTAGCCTGCGGTGCCTTGACGGGAACTTGGGCGCGCTAACATAATCTGTTGCTTCTGCCTTGCAGCTCCTAATTAGGTGCCAGTCAGAGTGATATACGGAGTACGGAGTACGGAGTACGTCGTGATGAATGGAGTACTGAGGTACCTCAGAGACTCGCTGTTGTCCCGTCACCCTTTCTCTCTCTTCTCTTCCAGGCACTGGCACTACACCATGCACTGTACGGAAACACCGTACACCAGACACCAGACACCAGGTCGTGTCTCGCAACTCTTCCCAAATCCGCCCGCCCACTCATACATGCCATATGCCCAAATCCACAACCTCGGGTGCCTTTTAGCCTCTTCCACGATTCCACAGGGCTCCTTAGGCCACAATCACCCACCTCTTCTTGCCTGGCATCGGAGCCAAATGCAGTCCGGTGTGCCTGGAGATCAATGACTTCATCCTCTTCAGGACATTGGTACCTACCACCATACCTAGTACCTAGTAAGCTTGCAAGTGGCTCCTTTTCCACTGTGGATTGGGCGGCGAGGGGGCTGTGCAAGGCAACACACACTACTACACTACCAGTGCACACGCAAAATCCACGAGCCAACTCGAAAGGCCACGCGATGCAGATGTCCAGACTGTTATGTACCTATCTACGTGCCAGCGGCCTCGAGATAGGACTGACGGTGCTTGTGGAGTTTCAATTGCGGCTCGCCTGATTGACGTCTTTTTATTTTGTGCTGCGCTTTTCTTTCTATGTTACAACCCGCCATCTGGGGTTGAAGACGGCCTGCATAATCCATGGCCCATCTCCAGTCCACTCGGAGCCTCGTCCGCACCTTCACGGACCTCCTTTTAGGCCTCGTGCTTGTAGACCTTGTATTTTGCTCTCATGTGCACAGTCTCCAGTCTCATTAAACGCCTTGCTCCCCAGCGGTACATGCTGTCCTCGTCAAACACCCCGCTACCCTTGTAGATAAAGAGAATAACGGAACACAAATTTCTGTCTGCGCAAAAGTTGATTCGTGATTCGTCAAGAATGTCCGCCTCGATACACTGGCCGGGTCGATTTGTCTTCTGCGCCCGTCGCAGTGAAGAATGAGATCGGGTGGGAGCATTACGTGTCGGGCAAGAAGAAAGCACTCTCGTGCAGAGTCCGACCTGGGAGAAAGTGGAATAAGGGTCTGGAAATTTGGGGACCAACCGACCCTTGCAACAACCATCTCTCGTCTCGGGAGAGTGGAAAGACGGAAAGGGCCAAACATGAATAACAAAGTACACTTGTTCAGGAGTTCAGCCTGTCGAAAAGGGTCAGTAACTGCGGTTAAAAGTTAAAATCAATTGTGATGGCACATACCACAACAGAACGCCTTCATGATTTTTTGAACGAATGTAGGTTGCTGCTCATGTTGCTGAGATGGCCGGCCTTGGTTGTGCTGCAGGGCTCCGGCAGCAGGACTTGTTCTTGGTTGCTGGCCCACCAGATTGGCATTGCTGTTTTGGAACTGTGCTTGAGTGCTTGCTGGGGGGGTATTGATGTCCAGCTGCCCGGCCAACCCACTACTTCTCTTCGGAAGATTGCCCCCGGCGACGCCGCTTGAACGGTCGCGAGTGTTCTTCCCCAGGGCTGCCACTCCGGGCTTCGCTGGTGACCCTGGGGGCGGGGGCTGCGCCGCGTTTAAACGGTCCGCCGATATTGCTCCTCGATCGCGAGATGGTCGCTGCCCCTCTTGCCCTCGAACGGCCGACATTCCGTGAAGAGCTCGAGCCGACGCATCAGCTGGGGGATTGACGTTGTGTAATGCATGAGCAGATGGATGGGCCTTCATGGCCTCCCAGCCACGGCCACCGTTCAACTTCATCCAATCGTATTCCCCATCTTCCACTTCGCCTGTGTTCTTGAGTGCCTGCGTGAACAAATCTCGGCAAAAGTCATAGTCTGGAGTATCCTCAAATCCCAGGTTCCGGACGTAGCTGAGATACTTGTTGAATTCCTCTGCGGCCAGGTTAGTATTCTAGCCTTCCTTAAGCTTTGCACACCGGTGGCCGCTTACCAGGGAAGCCTTCGCACAAATCTTTGATGGCTGTTGTTTGCTTCTTCTCTCCAATCTTTTCATACTTTTGCTTGTTTGTTGCCGCCTTCAGCCCTTGCCATGGCAAGCCACCTCTCAAAAAGTACATAAAAACATGTCCCAAAGCCTCCAGGTCATCTCGTCGAGATTGTTCGCGGCCCAAATGTGTGTTGATACTCATGTAGCGAGCGGTTCCGGATAAGGACTTTCGCTCGCGGTAAGGAATGTGTTGCTTCGTCTTTGGATCTCGGTACTGTTTTGCCATGCCAAAATCAACGACATGGATGACATTTGCGGCTTTGGTGCCGGGTCGGCCGATTAGGAAGTTGTCCGGCTTGATGTCGCGGTAAATCAAGTTCTTCTCGTGTATTGTCTGTACTCTGGAAAGCTGCAGCATTGTTAGCAGGTCCCTGTGACCCATGAAGAAGCCTGATTACCATTTGTTTGGCAACCATGACCACAGTTTTGATGGAGAATCGTCGACCGCAGTGATCGAAAAGATCCTCCAAGCTCGGACCGAGCAGATCGATCACGAGGATGTTGTGTAGACCTTCCTGGCCGAAATAATACACATTGGGGATGCCGGCTAAGACACCATCAGTTTCGTGACCAACTCTAGACACTCCGTAATGATGACTTACGGCAACCGGACAGGATTTTGTACGTCCTATACTCATCTCGAAGTTGTGGAGCGTCACTCTTTCTTGGTTCCTATTCCGTCGAATAAGTTCGTTTGTAGACAAAAAGCGCCGCGGGATGCTCACAAATTTGATAGCAACCTGCTGGTTGTTTAGAAGGTTCACGCCTTCGAAAATGACGCCGAAAGATCCCTCTCCTATTTTCTTCCCCACGCGATAATGAACGCCGACGACATTGGAGGATGAGGAAGCCATGTTTTCGGGGAAACGACAGCTTGGTCAAACGGCAGTATGTGGTAGAAGAGCGAGGCCGTTAGCAAGAAGGCTGCTATGAGGATCCTGAGGACTCGTTCGATCTGGGGCTGGGGGTGGTGAGGCGCTTCACCTCCGCAACCGCGCGGCGACTGCAGACGTCAGCGGCTGTGAATAAAGGCATATAGCAGGTCGGCCCGACTTATCACGTACGCTGGAGTAGGAAGCAGACACTGATGGAGATCATGCGTGGATTGGGGTTGTTTGCGGCTGTTGACAAGAACACACCAGTTTGTTGTGAGTCCAAAGGCGAAGACGGATTGGAGCTCCTGCCAAGAATGAGGCTACAAGCGCAACTGGCCTGCAGCAGGAGGACAGGGCAGGCTCTGGGTCCGCAGGCACGCAATGCCTGCCGATAAGCAAGTACCAGTTAGACAACTCAACGCTGTAGAACTGCAGGGAAAAGGGAAAAGAGAGAGACCAGCAGACAACGGCTTCCTGTGCGACGAATTGGTAGACTACTATTATTTAGATCAGACTGTTCCCAGGCACCGACTCGGCACACCTAGGATTGATACTAGTAGACGGTGAGGCAGCATTCGGCACTATGGGTACTAGGTAGTAGTCGTAGGTAGTTTCCGGCGAAAAGTCCTCCATGCCTGCATGCTAGTGATAGCGCCAGATGGAGGTAAGGGGCTCAGGCGCAGGCGCAGGCGCAGGCAGCGGGCAGCGGGCAGCGGGCACCCGAAGGCAACGGAAGACGCAGCGGCACTCGACCAAGTGGGAAGGGAATCCTGGTTCAACGGCTTGCTGGATGACCTTCGCTGCTCTCGCTGTCGGTCTACCCTGGTCATTTGGCACGCCACAAGTACAGTACCATACGCTACGGTGAAAGACTTCCTACCACTGCTGTAATTGATCACTGCCTATCAAAGTCTGGCTGTCTGGCTATATCGTCCTCTGTCATTTCCCTAGATTTGAGCGGAGACCAGTCAGTTCAAGAAAAGCCCAGCAACCGCACCAATCTCATCAGCACAGTCCTATGGCGGAGACGATAATAATACTACAACAGAGATGATTGCTGGCGTGGGTTTACATGGGTGGTTGTCGTACATCCCTTTCCTCCTCGGGGACCCCTGCAGTGGAACACGTCAAACGGTCAAAGCCTCATGATCCATTGATTGTGTCTAGCAGGGGTCAGAGTCCAGGTGCCTTAGGCGTCAACAGTTCCTGGACTCCTCTTTGGAGCGACAACGACCTTCCGCATCTCGGGCTCTTCCCTCATTTTGCCGTTTCTCCGATATCATCCCGCTTTCCGGGTTTGCTTTCGATATGTTGGGTTGACCTACAAAGTTTGGCAAACAAACAGAGTTGGGAAAGTGTCCATTTGGGCACAGACTATCATTTGCGTGTTCTAGCTGTTAGCTCCCCAAGCTCTAGCGACTCTGTTTTTCCTTCGTACAACAACATCCATGGCGAGTCTTCATCCCTGATACGCCATGCACTGTGCAGTGTATCTACTCCCGTACACAGCAATGACAGTCTTGCTGGAAACATCCTCCAGGCGGTGAATCTGGCGCATTGCTGTCTCCTTCGTAGCTCGAACGCCGAGGTGAACTGTCCCACTTGCCCCTTAACCTAAGCTGTCCCTTTTCTTCATTCACACCAGACATTGCCATTGGAGCACGATTGAATTTGAATTGGCAAGCCACGCCCATCAAGCACTCGGCTCTTCTCGTCAATTTTGTCCGCCTCATTGCGGTTGGCGACCTGCCTTTCATAGACCAGAACTGGAACGACGGCCTTGGACATGTGATTGCAGCTTGCCGTCATTTCCGCGAGCTCGAGTCACGGTCCGGAGCGGTGAAGGTGTCGCTGGTTGAAACGGGACGCTCAGATCTCGTGGAATTGGCGCTGCCAGATCAGGTTCACTTGGTCTCTTGAAAAGTCCACCAAAGTGAAGACTCCTGCTCTTCTTTACCGTCTTGTCTTTGCCTGTACTATCATTCCGATTGATCTCTCGTTGGTCCAAAGGTGAAGGAGTAGATGGGGCGGTCGCGTTTGGACTGTCACTTCCTGCCCCTTTCGATTTTGTCATTGTCAGAATTCTCCCCGATTTGGACCTAGAGAACATTCCCATTCCACTCTTGCTTTTTTTCAATACCCCACGCTGCTGCCTGCCGGTCGGGGTGTTTCTCGTGGGAGTGGGCGTGGGTGTGGAAATCGATACCGCATCGACAACTCTCGATCCCTGAGGCTCTGATCTGTACGTTGCTTTTGAAGCAGGCGTGTCTCTGGCATACTGACTAAGATCACCGAGAGAGGGAGAGTAGATTGGAGCATCCTCAAGAGAGAGGGAGTCGTCGTCATCATCCTCACTCTCTCTCCTCGGTATCTCAATTCGTGGGGTGGGTGAGGCCGATTGATGGTCGTTGATGCGTTGATTTGCTCGCAGTGAATGCGAAGGGGTGGTGGCCATGCCAAAGGGAGGGTGCATTCGCAAAGGATTACCGTGAATCAGATGTCCATCGGGTGCCTCGGGCAGCACGTATGGGTTTTTCTCGCTTGCAAAAACAAGGCCAGTCGATGGAGCGCTCTGAGAAGCATGATGGTCTGGTGCAGTTTGGTCAGGTGGCGCGGGCGCGGGCGCGGGTGCCCTGTCGGAGGGAGGCGCCGGGGGCGACGACGAGGGGAGACTTGCTGACGGGGACCGCATTGCAGACGAGGCGCCTGAGACTTGTCGTTTTTCTTCACGTTCACCCCCGTCTTTGTCTTTGTCCTTCTTTGCGCTGAAGAAGGATGATCTGGATCTGAGAAAGGGGACGTTGTAGGGGAGGGACGAGGAAAAGTCCAGTTTGTCAACCGCGCTCGCAAAAGACCTGGTCAACGATCCAAACGCTGAGTCATTGTCACTCTGCTCCGCGCTCTCTGCCATAAGAGGGTCTGTCAAACCGCTGAGAAGAGGCGCGTCTTGGTGTATGCCGGGTGCTTTACTGCCGTTCACCGGTTTACGGCGAATGTGGCCATTTCCTGTGAGTCCTTTGATCTTCCCCTTGTACAGATTCAAAGCTTCTGTTCGACGACGTGCAACACTGTTCTCCACTGCCAGGATACTTCCCTCGTCAGCACCTTCACTTCTTCCCAACCGCAAGGCTTTCTCCGAATGCCTACGCAGCGGCGGCCCCTTGAGTTTACTCCTGACAGCATCTCCCAGCCTCAGCATTCGTCCTCTCTTGCCCACTGAACTTGGCAGTATACCAGCGTCACCAGCAGAAGTTGAGCTCGTCAGTTGTCCTTGGCTTTGCTGTACATGAGGACTTCCACGCCCTTCTTCAGTCTCTGTTGACCTAGCCACCCGGCCAACCTGCGAGTTCCATGTGGGCTGAGAGACGGCAAGACCTGATTTCTCTTGACAGTATACACCTTCGACACGAGCCACTTCGGCATTAGTGGTACTGGTCAGTATTGGGGCCGATATCACGCTTCGAGCAACAGTGGATGAACTAGTATCTTTGGGCAGGTGGACAGAGTGACTGCGGGGGTGTTGAGATTGAGAGGACGACCGTGTAAAGGGAAGCCAGGAAAGTCGACGGCCTCGCTGGGCCCGCCGACAAGAGCCGCCTTGTTTGTGGACGGTGATCTCTCCGCTTCCTGGAGCCTTGCTACCTGCATCATGATTGTGTCTTCTGTCTGGAGATGTGTCTCCGGGAGCTTCTGCAATGCCATCAATTGTCGGATCAGGGTCAGGTGAAGCCGGAGGCTGATTGAGAGGATCGCAGCGGCAAGACATCCTAGACTCTGATCGGTCTTGCAATTCATCCTTGGAAGGAATCCGAGCAGCTGGCAAGTTGTTAGCAGGGGCGAGACAGATTGGGCTCTGACTGACCTTGCCGTGAACCAGCACGACTGATGGATCTAATTGTGTCTAGGGAGAAGATGGAGAATGAACCCCTGCTTCGGGAGCGTTCATGAGAAGCCATGGTCTTCATGATTGAGGGAGACCCGAGGTACACTTTACGGCACTTCACTTCTGGAGACGGATGTTCATTACGCGAAGGAGATGAGACGACGGAGGCAGGGCGGCCAGGAGAGGAGTTTGCAAGGAGACGGCGCCAGACACAGGAAGACCTGTTGACGCAGGCGGGAGGAAGACTGAGCGGCGAGTGCAGTCAACTGCGACGCAAGATCAAAGGCGGCAGGAACATTGGAAAAGAGCGACACCCACAAGCACCACCGTCGCGATTCAAGCAACAGAATATCATCAATTATCTCGTTTACGCCCCTTTCAGCCTCTGCAGTGCTCGATATCCATCTCCCCCAGACCGAAAACTTCGCGCTCTCTTCAAACCGCCGTTTATCCCACTGCCTGGCACATCTTCCTGAGGCGCGCATCAATTCAGCAAAGCTCAGACGCGTTACTTTGGTTCTAACCAGGCACAACAAGCCGATATACGACGTCTCGACATGTTGTCTACCGTGAAGGTTGCCCAGCAGAGGTCTTATCTGACAAAAGGAGGTTCGAGGCCTACCAGGTCGGGGAGTTGCCGACCTTGCTCTCTTAACCGCGGCAAGGCGGCCATCACCTCCATTCCATCTGGACTATGCCCACTTGGGAAACGGGAATGCACCTCCGTCCTCCTTCACCTCGCTCTTACAGGGTAAATTCGGCCACGGTCGTCCCCCGCACTGTCAGCATAAATCGACTGATATCGAGACACAGCTTGCTGAAATCCGTATTCTTGCCAAGTTCTGCTATCCAGCCCCTCTCTCGAGCGAAGGGCATCAAGCTACAATCGAACCTCCCCTCGTTCGAAACGATGCCGTATACCTTGAAGGGCCGGAATGTCTTGGTGACGGGTGGATCAAGGTGGGCGTTGACAACTCTATGACTACTTGCAGCCGCTGACGAATGAATAGGGGGCTTGGAGCTCTAATCTGCGAGAAGTTCGCAGCAGAAGGGTCAAACATCGTCGTCAATTATGTGAGCAGCAAAGATAGGGCAGACCAGGTGGCCGAAAATTGTAAAAAGGAGCTTGGAGTCAAGGCAGTGGTCATTCAAGCAGTAAGCCATTCAATATCATCTCCATCTCGGGGTGTTATTCTGGGCCGGCACTGATACAAATGCCTAGGACATTGGAGTCGTTGGAGACACCACTCGCCTAGTCAAGGAAACTGTGCAGCAGCTGGGGGGGCTTGATATCATCATCAACAATGCCGGTTGGACCAGATTCGCCAACTTCGGCGACATCAATGACCTAACTCATGATGAATGGAACAAGGTATGAAGTGAGGATAGTGTATGATCCGTGCTCACCGCAATAGTGCTGGTCCACCAATGTCATGTCCCAGTTGGTGTTGATGCAGGAAGCTGCTCCCATTTTCAATGCCAATCCAGACGGGGGTGTTTTCATCATATCTTCGTCAGTCGCGGTAGGTCGACATCCCATTCGACTGAGACGCAGGCTCATATCTCAAGGCGAAAGCTTGCAGTGGAAGCAGCATGGGCTACTCAGTCACCAAAGCTGCAGGTCTCCATCTCATGAAATGCCTCGCCTCCACTCAAGGCCCAAAAATTAGAATCAACGCTGTATTGCCGGGTCTTCTTTTGACAGAGTGGGTGAGTACAGACCGACTCAAGATCGCATATTGACCGGGTTCGGCGCCAATTCTGACACTCACAGGGCATGAGATATAGCGAAGAGCGGATACAGGCCACGAAAAACATGGCCGCTTTGAAGAAAGAGGTTTGTGCTACTTTCCGCTCTCATCTGCTTCAGACTAACCACAAATAGACGTCATTGGAGGATTGTGCAGACGCATATATTTCGACAGCAAAGAACACGTCCATGACCGGCCAACAGATTGTTGTTGGTATGTGTGACTCTCCGTCTCGAAGATGAAATGCTAACATGACAAGACGCCGGTCTCGTGATTTCATAGACTTGGCCGTTGGATCTGGGGCTGCGCTAGCCTGTACTCAGGCTTTATGGTCGCCTGAAACTGTTGGTATAGATAGTGGTTCGGAGAACCGGTACAACTTGTATCTCTCGACTGTGACTGGCTCCGTGAAGAACCCGGCACGAGCAGCAGCAGCAGCTCCGTAACCCGTCTTCATTGAAGAAACTGTGATTGTTGGGAGCACCACACGGCGATCCAGCTTCTTCTCCGTTGAGAGGGCATTGACCACCAGAGGCCTGGAGCTTTGATCCACAGTCTCATGTATGTCAATGATTGCATATGGAAGACCATTAGGAATAGACTCAATTTCCGCCTTCATCACTTCCGGGATATCTTCCACGCGAGAAGCTCTCATATCTGGTCCGAACTTGATTCTGGACAAGCGGCCGGGCTCTGACGGACGCTTTGCCAGAGCATACAATGGTTTGAATGCCCTTCCGCGTCTAAGGATTTCTGTTGCGGTGAGCGCGTTGAAATCGATGGCGCACATGTGCGGCGTGATCTTGGGAGCATACGAAACATGCATTGGGGGTTCACTGTGCGCCTGAACAGAGGTGTAAGGAGGAATGTAGAGTCGATTACGGAGAGCTTCGACCAGCATTTTCGCTCCGACTGGCGCGAGTAGATGCGTCAGTTCTGTGACATTGATGGTGTCTGGATTGGGGATGCTCAAGCCCGGCGAGGGGGTTTGATCTAGCACGACCCCTTCGTCGAATTTTCTAGGATGTAGAGTCTGCAGCGACACTCCAGTCGTTCTGCGGCCATGAACGATGGTCCATTGGATAGGGGCAGCTCCACGCAGGTCGGGAAGCATTGAAGGGTGGACATTGAGACCTGAATACTTTGCGTTGTTCAGGATTCTCGGCGGGATCAACAGTCCAAATGAGACAGCTATCACCAAGTTGATGGATGGCACGCCACCTGTGAGGTACTTGGGAGGGTTCCATCCTGTAAATGTATCGATCTGATGCAGTGGCAGAGCTAAGTCCAGCGCGACGGGTTTGATAGCCGGCGGCTTGACGATTTTCAGGCCGCGGCCAGTCCGCTTATCTGTCTTGGTCACGACATCGATGGAGAGTATGTTGCTCTCCGATGACTGTGAGTACGCGTGCAGGGCCCTTAAAGAAGCGGTGCTGAAAGCATCGGAACCGCAGAAGAGGATACGTAGCGGATCGCCAGGATCCTTTTTGGCTGAAAAGTCATGCCGTGGTTGGGAACTGTAGGCCCTCGCTGGGCCTCGATATTGTCCTGCACGAGTGCACGCAGATGCCCAAGCCGGAAGAGATCTCATGGGCCTGAACATGCGCACTGTTGAAGATGAGGGTCAGGAGATCGGTTCGATGGTAAACAGGAGTGTGAATGCCAGATATCACAGTAATTATTAGGTTGCTTTTGGAGATGAGACAAACTGCCTGATTTGGCAAGGGGGGTTTTCAAGATACATCAACCAAAGTGCTGTATTGCATCATCGCAACACGCCGAAGTAGAGCAGCCGCCGCAAGCCTCGGTCTGCGGGGATGGAGAAGACTAACTACTACTCCAGACTAAACTGGCAACTCTGATGATCGAGACCAAGAAACAAGGCCGTCGCACACCCTGTCGAGAATCTTGTCGTGAATCTTGTATCCTGCTTCCGTTCTGGCCTCGCCTACTCTGTAAGCATCACACCATATAGCGGTGTTGTTCTACTCCTCAGCAAACAAACCGCGACTTTGCATCATATCGACTTTCTATTGCCTTGGGACAGCATCGGCGAGGCCACTCCACGACCTGACGCAAAATGGCTCAGCCTCCACAGCCGCCATCGGCCCACGATGCACCAGCGTCATCTCCTCCGACGATAGGGACAGATCGGTCCAGCCAGCCACAGGCCCCAGTCACCGTTGAAGATGCCGACTCGGACCCAGACTTCGACGACCTCGACGGTATAGCGTCTCTGCTCTGAAAAACAAATGTGTGAATTGAAAAGAATCCCAGACTAAGAGATTGACATAGATGTTCTTGACCAATTTTCTGCTGCGGCAGCATCGCAAGCGAAACCGCAATCGCAACCCGCCCCGTCTTCCTCTGGACCTGGCAGACCAGCAGCAAGTGCAGCGGGCGCTCCATCCACTGCAGAGTCCGCCCTGCCACCAGATATCCCCATCCCACAGGGACACCACGCATCCGAGAGTGAAGAAGAGTTCATGGCGCGGCTGACGGCTGAGATGTCGAACGTCATGTCAAAGATGTCGCTCGATCCGGCGGCATCGGCCAGTACATCAGACGATATTGCAAAGATGGGTCGGGAACTGGAGGAATTTACGTACAAGATGGAAGCAGAGGGCGTCCAACCCGAAGATCTGCTGAAAGCGATCCTGGGCGAGGAGACAGGCACACAAGTAGCTGAGGTGGCCGAGGCGGAGCGCGACCGGCGCGAGAGCGAGTCGAAGTCAAAATCGCGCAGTCCCGAGAAGTTAAAATCCAACCCTGGTACCACGGTCGGCAAGGAGGCGGCGGCGTCGACATCATCATCATCATCATCATCGCAGCAGAAATCCAAGACGAGCTCGTCGTTTGAAGATACCATTCGTAAGACGATGGCACGGATGGAATCGTCGTCGGCCGCCGCGACGAGCGCGACCGCCCAGGCATCCTCCGCCAAGTCTGAGGAAGACATTCTCGCGGAGATGTTGCGGGCGTTGGAGTCCGAGGGCGCCGGCGTTGGCGACGGGTCAGACGGTGACCTGTCTAAGATGTTTCTGGGTATGATGGAGCAGCTGACCAACAAGGACATGCTGTACGAGCCGATGAAGGAGCTGAGCACCAAGTATCCGGAGTGGCTGGAGCAGAACCGACCGAAAATCGACGAGAGCGAGTTCGGACGCTTCTCGCGCCAGCGCGTCATTGTCGACGAAATCGTGGCCAAGTTTGAGGAGCCCAGTTACAGCGACGACAGCGCGCAGTGCAGAGAGTTTGTATGGGAGAAGATGCAGGCGATGCAGAGCGAGGGAGCGCCGCCCGAGGATTTGATTGCCAACCCGTTCCCGGGCATGGGTATGCCGGGGCTGGGGTTGGGCGACGACACCGAGAAGCTTGAAGACGGGTGTCCAACACAATAAGATCTAAGATGTGCTCGCACCGATGACAAGAGGGTGTCCATCGCACCGCACACCACCGCTGTCCCTGTCTGTGATGGATTCCATGAAACGTCCATACCTATGCCGGCGCCTGATGGCCCGATAGGAACGAAAGGGGGGAGAAGAAAAGACAGGCTCTGGCTCTGTTTGGTTCTTGACGGCAACTCCGAACCGAGTGTACTGCAGTGGTCTCATGTATAGTCTTCTCTATACCTAGCCACCCATACTCTAGCCACATGGCCAAAATCCAACATGTCAGATCATCCTCGCGCCATGAACAAAAAGTCAGAGGCCAAAGTCCAATATCCAATATCCAATATCCGGTGTCTAGATGTTCTCTCTGACCAGTATCGGGTTCGGACGCGCGTTCGGACTCAGGTTTGCGTTGCGTTCGCGTTCGCTTACTAGGGTGGCTGACTCTACTTTCCTTCGTATTATATTTCCGCCCATGTCTGCCGCAGCACGTAGAACAGTCCACAGTCTACAGCCTACAAAACCTGAGGTCTGGCCATCAAAGATTGTTCTTGTGAAGGACGTGACGGTAAACCAGATTTCTGCCTTTGGGCCCGGAGATTGTACTCTAGCCCGGATGGCATACTCGAAAAGAACGTGGACGAACAAGGACATCATTGGTAGTAACAACAACGCTGTTGCCATTCTAGACTTTAGAACTCGGCTCGCTAAGTCTCGCACACCCACGGGTCAAAGAGAGAGAAAGATCCCCACAGCCACCGCATGGCAGTAAGGAACACCTGTGGCAATGAAGAGGGCCTTGCTGCCTCTGACACGCCCACCAACATGGATGTGCAGCACACACACTCTCTCTCTCCTATCTCACTCCCAGTCCATCCATACGCAAACCGAACCCAGAAAAAAACCTGCCATCTGTGCTCGAATCATAAACCCTTATGTTTGAGCTCAAGACAAATCCATGCTTGACTCGTTCCGTTCCCGAGTTTCTTGTGGGCGTTGGCCATGGTCGATCAGCTGTCTCTCAGGTGGTGGCATCTTTTGGGTCGATGTCTCATTCCAGCCCTTCGCGATCATCTCTCTGAACAACTGATCATATTCTTTCTCATCATCATCAATCAAGTAGTCGTCGTTACCACAAGCCGCCGAAGGCACCGATTCTTGGTCTTGCATGGCATGAGCATAATACTCGGCAAGCGCATCATGCACATCATGATCCTCAGTTGGTGACATCTCCGCTTCCGCTTGATGATGCTCTGTCTGATCAGCCTCCAGCACCGGTTCTCCTCCTTCATGCATATCAGCGTCGGCACCAGGCTCAATATCGTCCTCTTCACCAGACAGAACACTAGCCTGCTCCAACATGGCCCGTCGATTCATTTCGTCTTCCCACAATTTCCGTTCCCTGACGAAATCCATCCGGAGAACTTGATCGCCGTATAACTCGCTGCGTGAGTCGTCTCGTCGGCGTCTGATGCGGTCGAGAAACTGTGTCTTTTTCTTTTCCCTGCCTTGAGCGGCATGGCGGGCCAATGTGGCTGCAGGACTGGCGTTCCGGGAACGGTGTTCCCACCCAGACGATGTCTGCCGAGAAGAAATGGCGGTTGAGGAGGAATATGCAGATCCGCCATTCATAAATGGTTGAGTAGACATCAAATTCGAGTTCGAAGTAGAGCCTGAGCCTGAATTAGGCGGCGTGATCAAAGCCGCATCGGCGTCCCTTCCCTCTCCGTTGTTCATCTTCCCCTCCGGGGTCTTCGTCTTCTGTAAGTGAATGCCAAATACAGCGCTCTCATCGTGACTTTCCGGCTCGTTCTCGTCGTTGTATCCGGTCGCTCGATCGAGCGTGAATGTCCTGATAGGCGAAGAGCTCAGCAAGGAAGACGCATCGGACCCGATACTGGCATTCGGCATAAAGTTCAGGTTCGCATTCCGGGATGTCCGCAGCGGCGACGGTGTCTGAGGCGCGTGGATATGGGCAGGGCTGTGGAAGAATCGAGGACGATTCGTAGCGAAGAAACTGCTCGGCTGTGGTGGGGAGATCGAGAACATGGCTCCTGCTCAGGCTCACGTGCCGCCTGTTTGAAGACTCCGAACCAAAAGAGAATATCCGATACTCAATCCGAATTGCAGAGGTTGATCGAAAAATGGAATCCCTCGGTTTCCTCGCGTCGTAGTCTGAAGCAGTTAGTTGAGAGATGGGTCGAGGCGAGACTTGTAGCCCTGCTAAGTCACAACGCGCCGCGGTGTAGGGCAGTGCCAGTGAGCGCGACCCGTGGCAGGCCCTTAGGCTGCGGACGCGTCAAGCGCAGGGATAAGGAGGCTAGTCCACTTTGGCTCTAATTACTACTGTCCTCAGCCAAGTGCGAGTTTGCTGGGTTTGCATGTCTACAACATAGCTAGTCGAACTTGAAGAGTCGCTCCCAATGCAGAGGACTCCATGTTAGACCTTCTGGAACCAGGATTCCGTAGGGCCCATTGATCGTCTTCTCTTGAAAGTACACAGATCTCGAGTAGCCAAGTGGTCGGCCCAACACATGGTGGAACATCAAAGTCAAGTCATTTGTATTCTACCTTAGCCAATTCCCCGTATGTACAATCAAACAAGATGGAACTCCTGATCGACGAGTGCGTATAGCACAGATTAGGTCGACTGCGTCAGAAGAAAAAAAAGGACGTCTGAGACTCCCACGCCGTTATTTCCAATCCATATTTGGATAGGCCCTTGCCGACAGATTTTAAGGAAACACCCTCTAAGGTTTCCCTCCACGCTAAGTACAAACAATGTTCGTGATGTTCGTGATGTTGCTGTCACTGAGGCGCCATTTCAGAAGTTGGAAGCTGTATTCACCGTCCCAGGATTGTGATATTGATCCAGAGTTGAGCGGAAAGGTGTGGAATCGGATCCCGCAGTTGCACTGAGCTTGTCCTGATTGAGGTTGGGGTCGTACAGGTCATCGTCATGGAGGTTCTTCTTCTTGCCCCAGATTCGCCAGGCGGTATAGGCCAGACCAGCAAGAAGCAAGGCACCGCCAACACCGCCAACCACGCCACCAATTGTCTTCTTGGCTGTGTCACTGAGCCCAGAACTACCATGAGTTCCGCTGCCGTTGGTCAACGAGGCAGGGTCAACACTCGTAGTGATGGGAACCAAGCCGCTGCTCGTGCTTGTAATGTGTACGGTGCTTCCCGCATGGACGCTTGTGATTGTAGTGATTATCTCTTCAGTCGCACTAGTTGTGATCAATGTTCGTGAAGGGGTGGTTGTGCTGGTGGTGGGACTGGACACCGAGGCCTCGGTAGTGGCAGCAGAACTGTCGGAACTAGGAGTAAAGGTAGACGTGGTCACGACAATCGTGGTTGAAGGAGACACGGTTGGGCTTTGAGTGATGGTAGAAGACTCTGTCACGACTGTTGGAGAGGATGTTGGCGATATGGTAGGGGAGGTCGTCGAGTCATCATCACTAGAAGAAGATGTTGGTGCAGATGATGATGTTTCACTGGCCGTGGTGTCGGTGCCGCCGGTGGATAGCTGAACGCTTTGGCGTTTGAAAAGGGCTATTGCATCGTCGAGGGCGTCGGCGGATACGGCGGAAGCAAAGAACAGGCTGAACAGAAAGATTAAGAGTTTATGCATCGTGCCAACCGAACGACAAGTCGAGGAGGGAGAGGCAGCGATGAAGACAGTGTCGAGGAGGACACGGCGTCGGAAACGTTGATCTGTTTGAAATATGTGCCTGCGAATACAGGCAGGAGATATGCCCTGTAGCGTAGCAAGCGTCCTAGTGTTGTGAAAAGGGGTGAGGCGTCAATTAAGGGCCGATGATTCCGGCAACGATCGAGATGAAGGCGTACGTTGGTGAAGGTGGGTTGAAAGAAAGAGGACAAAGAGAGAATGGCGCGTAGTAGTAGTAGTAAGTCAGAGAAGAAAAGGTGTCTGCTGGTTGATGGTTGTTGGGTGTACGGGTACAAAAAGAGGGTACCACGGTATTACGGAGGAGAGTGAATAATAATACTCCAAGGACCCTTGTCGTGAGAAGTGGGAAGTGGTGTGCTTGTGAGTAAGGGACCCGTACTCCAAACATGCACCTAGGTGGGCAAGTAAAACATGGGTCCCTAAGCTAGGCCTCAGGGCCCCTAGTGGGAATTTTTGGGGCAGCAGCCAGGCAGATAATTAGTGGAAAATCTGGAAAATCTCGCGCGCAGTACGGAGCAGAAGTCTCCTGTGTTCCACAGCAACCTGCAGCCACCAGCACCGCAGCCCGGGGCTCCTAAGGCTTAGGAGGCTTGGGACACCCCCCTAGGTGGCCCCCGGCACCTATTATTCCAGGGCCTAGGAGGCCCAGAGCCTAAGGACATGGGACAGGACTAGATCACGTGCAGACCAGTATGCTCGTCAGGGTTGCAAATCGCAGATCGCAAATCGCAAAATGTCTCACCACTGCCACCAGCGTGCCGGCCAAACTCAGGTTGCACGAGCAACATCTACCATCAAGTCTATCAACTTCTATTGGCGCATCTTCTTCGCTTCTCTTCGCACCAACACCCATTCAGCTGCACTGTATGCATTAGAGCATCTTACTCATGCGACAGTGACGTACCGCCCTGCAGTGCAACCCTCGCATCCTTCTACGAGTCTTGATTCTTCGAGCGTCGTATCTCGTCGGCATATGTGATACAATTATGACATCTTGGGCCTTCACGTACAGAAAGAGAAATCGCATGGGTAATGACTGTTGCGACGAAACAATTATCATCTTGGTCCGCCCACGCCTTAATTGCAATCACAGCCCAGAAACTCCAAAGGAACCAAATATCTTGGTGAGGATGATTAATCGTATGTATACCTACTTGTCCATACCAGTCCACAATGTTTGATTCCACTCCACACCTATTGTGTTGGCATGTTCCACATGTTCCTTCCAAAATGCCCGCAAATATGGAAAGCTCAGGGTCGACGTCTGAACGAACAGCTTCATGTGCCAAACTGCCTCTCTTCGATCAGAACACAGCTTCATCAGACCGTGATTTCTCCCGTTCTCGGTACATGTGGAACTGGGCAAAAATCATAACATCTTCCGCCATAGTGCCCAAGCTGCCGATAAGCCAAGGGAGGTTCTTTTGGACATAGGCACGGTCGGTAGAGTGGAAGAGGATCCCTGCACCGTAGGTGGCATTACCCATGAGGGAGAGGACAAAAAACAATAGCGAAAGACCTGCAGTGGTCACGTCAGTATACAAAAAATCCAGAACCTCGATGGAGACACCTCTTCATACCTTCACAGCTTTTCTCTCTGGCATTCTTGACAATTTGAGGGATCCTGGCGCCCAAATACGCCACGGCACTAAGATACCCCAGAATCTGCGCCCCAGGAGCTATTTCTTCTTGGTTGCTATCTCTGGACGTGGGTGACGGCTTCCACGCTCCTGATTCATATGCAAGAGCCCAGCCCGCTGCGCCCACAACGACAATGGCCAGCACGCTCATCACGTTTTTGAACCAAAGCCGGGTACCAGACTCGTCACTTTCCTCCAGTATCTTTGCAAGCTGATCGGTTTGTGCCAGGCTGCTTCTCCTCCGTCGCACACTGTGACTACTATGTCGTCTCGTATTCGCAGAGCCGGGGATCGTGATGCTGTTGGTTCGAGTACGCTTCAGGAGGGGCTCCTCTTCGTCGTTGTGGTCATCGTCGCCGGGGTGGTGCGCTCCTCCACTGGACGACGAGGCTTGTCCATCTAGCAACGCTCTTCCTTCCCGCCTCTTGTTCACAATGCCGTAGTAGAGGCATTGAGCGATAAGGACGCCATCGGCGATGCAGAAGTAAACCCCGATAGCGGTCACAACTGGCACCAGACCAGCCCAGAGCGCACCTGCGAGGTTGCAGATATCGCCCAAGAACCACACGAAAATAAAGGCGAGACTGATTGCCTCGGAGGAAGAATTGCGGTAGTTCTCGATTAGTTGAGGCACGAGGAGAAAAATCCAGCAGGCGAGCGAGATTGATCCAAAGATTCCGGAGAGGGCTTCACGGGTGGTGAGAGAGATGTCGGAACCCGAGACCAGGGTAGTGAGGGAGCTTGCCATAGCGGCGCAGAAAGAACAGAGATAGTGACTTCTCTTTCACATAGTCGTTGTGGAAAGGAAAAAGGTCGACCTGGGGCAAGCAGTGACGGCAGTTGCAATATTAATTATGGGGTTAACTTTTTGAGCGCCTGGATGGAGCCGCCTGATGACAAGCTCTTCGGTGAAGGCCGCCCGAGAATTCCATCTCCAAATCAGATCGTATTTATTACGGAGTACGGATACAGTACGCGGATAGTATACCACCGTCTACCGTCAGTCAACCATGCCAGCCAACAAACTTCGCTGGCCTTGTCCTTACAACGACATCCACAGAGAAATACTGAAAGTGGCACTGCATCAATCACATCTATAATACTCCGTAGTACTCCAGCCACTGAATAATCCACCACGACCTCTTCTCCCTGCGGTCCTTCTGAGATGTTTTCATATCGTAAGCATAGTCGTTGTAGTGCGAACCGAGTATGTTGTCCACGCATGTGTGGTCCCTGTCGCTCCAGGTCCAAACCTGCGCTGCGCTGCACCGCCCTTCCTAATCAAACGGCTTCTGGCTCCGGTCGAGGACTGATATGCTGCCGGAAGTTCTTCTTCATGCCTGGTACAGTTCCATTCGTTGGCAGTTGCAGCTCGCGTAGAATTGAGGCTAGTGTGGCCTGGGTGAGGCGGGCGATATCTCAGTAGGTTTCGCTGGGAAATATGTAATCGGAGTATTGGTGTTAGGATTTACGAGAGGAACCAAACGGTTAGAGGACACTGTTATGGTCTCTAGATAATGAGTGTTAGTATTTGATAATCCAGAACAAGAGTATAACTTACCTTGCTATTACTTGTGTGGTGAGAACATCCAAGCGGTTATCGATGGCCGTCAGTCTAGTTTCAATCCTACCCAAACGCTCGTTCATTGCAGTAAGAGTATGCAGAATCGCGTTTGCTGTGTCGAGAGCTGGTATGTTCGCTAGCTTCTGGAGTTCCTCGTGGGTAATTTGAAACCCTTCGGATAGTCGATGGAAGTTGGGTTGCGGGCTTAGGCTCCTTGGTTGGAGTGAATAAGACGCCGGCAACAAAGAGACAAATATCACCAGAGCTGGTTGAGCTTGCAGAAAGACATGCAGAGACTTGTTTGCTGGGAAACATCATTAGAGGCTACAGGCAGCTTACTGGATCTGTCTCTGTTTGACCACGTTGCTGGCTTGGGCATGCTTTGTTTGGCGATCTGATCGCCTGCAGGATTATCAGGCAGGATGTATAAGATGCATCCCGACGCTAGCAATTCTTCATGCTGTGCGATTTCGTGACCATGAGACCTTGGTTTCGGGCGGTACCATCCAACAGAGCAAATATGCTGTACAACAGAATGCTCAGAATGCTCAGAGTTCCGACTCTCCAGTGCTCTTTATCAGCCCAGGCCACTGCGCATCATGATAGGCAGCACTTTGGCTTGTAGGCTCTTGTAGATATCCAAGATACCCACCATACCTGCCCATTTCTTCGAGAGCGTGTTCAGGAGGATCAGACATGTTCCTGAGATTTCATGGATGCCATTAAAATCCACAGGCCCTTCTGCATCACCACTGAGTTCGCGTGAAAAGGTCACAACTGGAAGTCTGCCATCAATGGCTAACAAACAATGAGCCATGATTGTTATAGCAGCTTGTTGAAGGTAGTGTGCGGAGTTTATAGTGATGGGATACATTCCCCAGGGAGTTCCTTCGGCGCCGCGGAAAATCTTGTCGTAAAACTCAACAACCTTGACAGCTGAATGGTAGCTTTCGCGTGGAATCACTTCGGTCACTTCCGGGCCGAGCATGGGCTCCTTGGTCGCGGCCAACGCTCGCAACAAGAGTGGCTGGAACAGGAAACATATAGATGAGTCCAATCCAATATCACACGTCATGCTACCCATACCCAGGGGGTTGTTAATGAACTCGAGCTCCCGCCGCCACGATAAGATGTGCTCAAGACTTTGTTCGTACCAATTGCGTGACAAATTAGGTGCCACAGCCGGGAGGTAGAGTTCGCGAAAGATCTCGGAGCGAAGATACGTCAGGCGGTAATAGTGAGATGTAAGCACGAGCTGCAGGGACTCGGGATCTGCAAGAGTGGCTGCATTCAACGAGGCGGGATACTCAGTAGTAATAATCTCTTCCGCCAGATCGGAGGGCCGACCGAGGTGCTGGCCCATCGTGCGTTCGACACAATAAAGACCCCAAAAGATAGAGCGGCGCTTTCTTCGACTTCTCTCATCTTCGTACTCGTCGTTCGTTTCGCTGTGATAGTTAAGCTCGACGCTCAAGCGGCAGGCAAAATCTAACAGTTTCCAGAGATCACCTTTTCTGGGGTGGAAAAGAGTAAAGACGATCAGGAGCAAAAGAGCTTGCAGAGCGTCGGCAGATATATCTGATGTAACTTCCTCGACACACTGCAAACCTTCGGCATAGTACGCTATGGATTCCGTGTCGTAGATCGAGTGGTGTCTGGCCTTGTTGGCGGAGGCGATGGCACAAATCATCGCAACTCGGAAAAACTGATGCGCCTCCTTCCCAGACAGATACTTTATGTTAGTCCCATGGTGGCGTAGATATATGTCAATGTCCAAGGCGATGTCCTCAGGATCGAAGAATACCATCAGTTGATTAGAAGTCGACATGTATAGATCAACGAGCATCTCAATTTCGGCACGAGACGGGGCGGCTCTTGGCTGCAAGGGTTCCCCGACTTCGGTGCTCTGAGCATTGAGCCAGAACTCGGGCCCAGCGTAATCTGGATGATGGACGATGGACCCGAGCTTCGCTTGAGCATGCACGAGGACCTCGACGATGAGAGCATACGGTGAGCTGCTGCCTAGGAACTGCCAACAGGTGGGATTGGCGTGCTCGATGATAAAGTGTTTGTCGAGAGAAAGCTCGCTGGTATAAGTGCCCCATTCATTGTGAGGCGGCTCGAGATGGGAAGATTCAATGGACGCGTTTCCCTCATGAGGAGCAATCGGTTGGGCTGCCAGAGATTCATCAGAGCCATTGACCGTGGCCTGAACGGACCGTAGCCGGCTTAAACGGGTCAAGAGCGAATGCACATAACTGACTATAGGTCAGCACAAGGCTCGAGAGGAATGAGCGGGGGGATTGAGCTCACCTCCGCGGCAGAGTTTGTTGCAAGGCATGATCGAAGAAGGTGCACTCTGCTTTGCCCTTCTGGCATAACCGACAAGCTGGGAGATTTGTGTCGCACTTGCGGCGCAGACGACGACATCGTTGACAGGTGGGCAGGAGACGGGTAAGATCTGCTTCGGAGATGATCGTGTGGTCGAAGTCCATATTGTGTTTGTAAACAGACCAAGTCCGATCTGGGGGAGTTAGATGGAAAGAGGATCAAGGACATGTGCGCTTTTTGTAGCGCAGCCTTGTATCAAAGCCAGGGGATGAGGATCTTTGGTTTTCGCGATCTTCCGCCACAGCTATCTCGCAGGCTGAACACTCCCCAATGAACCGGTGGTCGAACAGGCCGAGGGCGAAAGAGATGGGGAGGAGGAGAGGAGGAGGGGAATGACGCTGGGCAGCGCTGGTACCGGCGGGCGCAGGCAGGAAAGGTTGACGGGTTTACGGCTACATTTGGCAGCTACTACCCAGGCCAAGGTGAGTGGCGGGGTCCAGCCTGCGATAAGAAAAAGAGGGCGCACCCTGCCTTTTCGACATTTGTTTCTTCTCGCCTGCCAATCAGAATGCAGACTGGTCGCAATCATTTCATTCCTGAGCAGTATCTCGGTACTAAGGTATCTAGTAATCCACGGCGAGGACTCGGATTCGCCTCGCGCAGCCACCTTTCCCTCTGTGGCAGCTCGAGTGGCTCTGCCCTGCGCCCTGGCGATCAAATCACCCCAGCAGTCGTTTTTTACCTTCTCTCCATTGTCGATACCTAGTTGTCCGAAGCGTTCATTTCGTCTTCTTACACAGCCGAGGAGGCATTCGCCAGCGTTGACAAGTGCAACTGCTTAGCACTGCCGTGGACATCACCGACTTTCGAACGCATCCCTGCCATCTCGCTTCCCTCCGTCGCCGGTTGCTTGGCATCACCCATCCATACTGCCCAAACGCCTCCAGACCCCGCGAAGTTGGATGGTCTGAACTCATCGACACCTAGCCATCAACATGGCCGAGTGTCGCCGCTCTGTCCTGTCTTGCGCCCGATGCCGTCGTCGGAAGATCAAGTGTGATCGGGCCATACCTTGCGGTCAGTGTCTCGCCGCTAAATCAGAATGCACCGGGTTCAGTTCCAAAGACCAGGATCCCACCATTCCCAGAAGCATCGTCCAGCACCTCGAAACCGAGATCGCCAAAGTCGAAGGGGAACTTGCCCGCAACGGCCATCTTGAAGAACTCAATGCCTCGGACATCCTCGCGGGGATGCCAACCAACGATGGCATACCTATGGAGAATCTGGCTCTCTCTGTTATTGATGTACCGAAGTTGGAGGAAGCATCTAATGCCTCGCTAGCCGTCAACGCCACTCCGTCCGTTGCAAGGGATACTATTCGAGATGAAGTGATGAGTTGCGGGGAAATCCAGGCCATGATCTTCGCTATCTTACCAACCGGCCCTGGAATCAGCGACTTGATAGCACGAGTGCGCATGAGCTTGACACCATCAACGGCCATGGCATCTGATAGCCCACGGGAAGACCGGAGAAGATCCTTCTCGCGGACCGGCAATGAAGTCAGCTGTACCATGCTGAGAAGTATTCCGACTCCTATTTTACGAAGTCTGGTCAAAAAGTACATGACCAGAGTCTACCCCATCTTCCCCGTACTACATGCACCTACATTATGGCAGCAGCTCGAGCGTGTCATCAAAACCTTGCAAGAGCTTCCTGAAAGACATCGTGCCGTTCCGCCATCCTTCGACTTTCTGATCATCTATCTCATGCTTTCCATTTCCGCGACTCTCGGCAGTGCACGAACCGGTCATGAGGCCAAACACATGGTTTTCTCGGGCACCCTGTTCGAGGAAGGCATCCAGCACCTGTCTGATAAAGCCAAGATCCCATCCGATTTGGCGGGCATTCAGGTTACCCTCATGGTCTTGCAATACGCATCCATCAATCCTCGTCTCGCAAATGTGTGGATGTTGACGGGGGCTGCCATGCGCGCCTGTCTCGAACTGGGGCTACATCGTGAACCCCCCGAAGCCTTGAATTTTGATCAGCTCACTCTAGACCTGAGGAGGCGCATTTTCTGGTCAACCTATAACTTCGACCGTGCGATTTGTTCAGCCCTGCAACGTCCACTATCGATCCCCGATCAGACCATCGATGCTCGTTTCCCCTCGGTTCTGGACGATCGCCACATCCATCCCAATGGCATCGACCCAACTGGCACCGAGACCAAAATTCATTCGATGCGCTGGATCCAATTCCGTCGACTACAGTCCGCGATGACCGAGGTTCACTTCCAAGGCAAACCCCTGGAACCCGGTCAGACCTGGGACGACTGGCTTGTGGTTATGGAAAGACGCTTACAAGCTTGGTACGAAGACTACAATGACGGTCATGAACTAACAGAATTCACCCTCGCCCATGGCCTGAGCAACCTCCATCGCCCATCTCCGCGTATGCCAATGCCCGGACCCCGCAGTCTCATGGTCGCATTCGAAGCGGCATGCTCCAGCGCGAAATCGCTGCGCGACCACATACTTACAGGCTTCTATCGGCGGTCGTGGCTGATTGCTCACCATGTATTGGAAAATAGCATGGTGGTTCTTTTTTGTCTCCGGCACGGGTTTGATACCATTTCGGCCCGTTTCAGTGCTCAGGAGATCTTTGAGATGACCAAAGTCTTTACCGCCAATTTCCTAGCACTTGCCGCCCAAGGTTGGAATGAAGTGTCCAATTACGCAGGAGTATACGAGCGTCTATTAGGGCCACTTCTCGAATCCGTCTTCTCCAACCGCCCTCCCTCATTATCATCGTTCGGGCCAGCTCAAGATGCCGAACTCACTCGTCTTTTGTATCCTGGACCCGCCCAGCTTGACAAACTACGCTTCGGCAGTCGTTATGGCCTTGGAGGAGAAGGAATGCCTTCTTTCGACATAGGAACGCTGAATTGGGAAGATTTCAGTGTCAGCGACGGGCGGTCTGCATCAGCAGAGGGCTTTGTTGCCGGATGGGATCTTCTGGATCCAAATGCGATTGGTGGAACTGCACAGGACTTGGTGTTTGGTATGGCCTGAACGGCCATCAACTCAAGCGCCAACTGGAGAGATCTACGGCGACTAGAACAGCGGCGTCTCACTAGGGATCGCAGCTTCCCATTAGTGTAAGCTGCTCTCGTACCTCTCACCTAAAGTGTGATCGTTCACCCGCGCAGGCCTATCGTAACAGTCAGGGTCCCAGTGTCACTCGAGTGGTTTGGATGAACGTGATTGTAAGCCGCGCAACGCACGTGGTCGTCAAGCCTGAGATCTCCACCAAGCTACAGCAGATTGGAGAACGTGGAAGCGACACGCCAGCATTTCCTCCCCGCCGAGCAGAAAGCGGACGGTGGGCTGTTAAGTGCAGCTACAAGGGCGCTGCGCATCCAGATAGGGTACGAAGAGAGGAGAACATGCCGGTCTGAGGAGATAGACGACATGTAAAGCGAGCATGACGATGCACCCTGGCATATGAAAGAGAAAGCCTGGTGTGATATGTGTGGGGACTGTTAAATATAGCACCTGGTGGTATGTATGTGTACGGCCAAGCGAGGACAGAGTTGTCATCTTGTCATCTTCTAAGATCTATGCATGATGGTACATACGTACTCGGACAATTGCCTAAGGCTGGGTGCCAAAATACATGGCGGATTATACGGCGGTCCTTCTATTAAGTAGAGAGCTGCTGTCTCTAGACATGGAATTTTAATACGAGAAATAGAAGAGTCGCTCTAGGGAGGCCGTAGATTATATCTAGTATCTTAGAAAGATAATCACTCGGTAGAGCTGGAGGTTTCCCTAATCTTATCGAAGTAGTAGTTGGACAAACCGCCTTTAGTTCTGGCACCCACCCTAAGCCTAGCCAACAATCTATACACGAGTAGTGCTTTCGGCTGACTTGGTGGGTTTGAGATGCCACATCTCCTCTTCTCTCTGCTCTGCACTGTGTAGGTGTGAACTGTCGCACACAGCAGGATCCGGGGATCATCCGTCAACATGCTAAGTGCGCCATCGGGGGAAGATAGCCTCAACCATCCGGATCAGCGAGTCTGGGACGTTGATGTTTCTGGGCGCGATTGACGCCGCAGGTCTAACCGCTGGACTTTGATCTCGACTGTCCCCGGGCCCCTGCCCTGACTGAACTAGGTCCCTCCAACTCTTGACATCGCTCAATTTGACGGCTTGTCCGAAATCATCGTTCTGCTTTTGCACGAGCAGTGCGCCGTCTGAACGCTTTAGCGTCAGGTGCTCCAAGACGCCATGGCTGGCCTGGAAGCCCACACTCATCCCGTCCAGCACGCCACTCGAGAAATCGAAGCGTGGAGTCTGTTCGAAGCGCCATGCGTCCGACATAAGCTCTGCCACGCCGGCTGCGACCTCGGGGTTCCGGTCGGCGGCACAGTCGAGATGGCCGATCGTGATCTCGTTCATGCCCGGCTGACGGGTCTGGCCAGCGCCATACATATTCCAGAACTCGTCGATGATGGCTTCGGTAATCTGTGTCCTTACTTCATGTCGCTGCCGAATATCGGGTGTCCACACCAGATTTGCAACTTTGCTGCGCACACTTTCCACACCTTTGGCGTGAATGAAATCTCGCCCTGGACTACGTAGCAGCTCCGAGATCTTGTCGATGTAAGGGCTGGAGTAGAGCAAGGTGCCGTGATGCAATGCCCGGCCTCGCGTGAGCTTATATGCGCTACCGCTCACTTTCAACCACTGAGATGGATCATCGTTTTGGTGACGCATGACAATGTCGTTACGGTCGTTGACCTTGACCTCGAGCCCTTCGTAATGCGGAAACACGGTGGTGAGTTGCAGTTTGAGCTTCGCAGACGAGAGAGCCCGCACGACCATCTCGGCGTGCGTGCTCCGCTTGAACGATTTCGAATTGGGGACTATCACCGAGTAGTTCAGGTTGCCCGAGTCATGGAAGACTGTTCCACCTCCGCTACGACGGCGGACCAGGCTGATCGCTGTCGAGTGAGGCCTTGTAGTATCCGTCGTTGGCAAACCGTGGTGCTGAGAACCCATTGTTTCACTAGCTGCCTCTTCTCTTTCCGCCTCTTCTTGGGGAGCAAGTAGGCCCTCCCTCAGTCGCCGGAGATCCGTCTCTAGCCATGGGTTCTGGTTCCGTCCAATGACCACGCATGGTCGATTCGTGTAGAACAATAGAACGCGTGAATCCGAGTGCAAATGCGTCAGCAAGTAGTGCTCCAGGGCAAGATTGTGGTACGGATTGTCCGAGGTCGAATGGAACACCAGTGGAGTGGTGTCTTGCGAGACTCGCGACAAGTCTTGGAGCTTCCATGAAGCATGGGAGGAGCGCACACTGGTCAGGGATCTGGATGCATGGTATGCGGGCAGTGGTGCGGTTGGAGAATGACTAAGTCTAAGACGAATCCATCTTGAAGGTGTCAGGTTCGGCGAGAGGGCCGCCCGCATTGGAGTGGGAAGAGTGAAAGAGAGGCCGAGGGAGGTGGTAACGAGCACGAGTACGACTGGGAGCGTGAATGGCACGATGATGTGTGAAAGCACAAGAGGAAGGTTAGGCGAGAATTGGTATATGGCCGGAACAGGACTAGCTCTATAAGGTGCGTTCCTCCTCCTGTCACCTGCAGTGCTGCCTGTCCTCGAACGCAATCATTCTCGGGGCCCAGGAATGAACCCGCGGCATTCTCGAATCTCGAGGTGATTGATCAAATGACACATCAAACAGCCCATGGTCCTCCCGCTGCTTGCCAGCTGCAATCGAAGAAGCCCCAGATTCACCAAAGTCCGGCGACCCCTCCAGTTCAAACCCACCCGATACCAAGCTTGTGTCCGGCATCGGTTGCCGCCAGCTGCAGCTAGTGGCCGAGTACAGACCCTTCATAAAATCAGCGAGTCGATGCGCTCGCCCTGACGCTATCTCCTCATGTAGCTTGTCCGAGTAGATGAACTGCCTCAGGACCTTTCTCGAGTCCTCCCAGCTCGCGACACCCAAGTCTGCTGCTTGAGCGCGATAGTTGGTTTCGAACCATCCCTCATTCCCGGCGCCCACAGGATGTACCTTCTCCGCCAGTGAACCTACGTATAGTGCCCACAACCGGAGACGCCGCGGATGGACGCTGCCGTCCTCGGCTTCACTTTCGTCCAGCTTCTTGTGGAGGCTGTCGATGAGCTTCAGGCCAAACCGGAGTGGTTCAGGCGAGCCCAAAACCATGTTCGTCATCAACGCTGTGGCCACGCACGCATATGCTTGGGTGTGAGGCCGCTGGAACAGGTGAGGATAGATTGTCAAATTCACGTAGTGGTCTGCGATCCTCGATAGGCAGTCAAACTTGCGCAGTTGCTGCCAACGGAGCAACTGATCGTCGGCAGGAACATCGTGGTCTTGGATATATTCGTGAGCTTTGAACAGCTCGCGCAGGTCAGTCACCACCGCTTTCATAGCAGGATGCTCAATCAGGGGATCAAGGCCCACCGCATGGTCCCCGACAATGCCCGCAGACAGCAAGCGTGCTTTCCATGGCTGACTGAGCGGACCAGGTGTCCATTCTCGGGCCGGGAAAAGAGGTCGAGTTTCGTATTTCAAGGCGAAATAGCAGTCACAAGAAAGGAGATCCTCTCGGAACCATGCATCGGTCATGATCACCCCGCCGGCCGCATTGACCAGTTTCCGAAGCATTTTGAGGTGCATGCGCGCTACCGATGTGTTGTCGACGAGAGTCTCGGTTGAGAAGAGCTTGAGAGTGGCCTTGAGAGTGATCAGGTCTTGGGGTCCCGGTCTCGCCACTCGGCTTTTCAGCTCTGTCATGGCCTGGCCTTGAAAAAAGCGTGACTGGCACGCTAAATTATCGTCGTTGGTCATGCCCGCCATGGCCGAAGCAAGGAGACTGAGATATGCATTTGCGTAGCAACTGTCTTGGTTGATGATCGCGGTATCCTCCCGGCACTTGCGGATTTCGTACGATCCTTGCACTCTCCCGAATTCTTGGGGCCAGCTTTGGGGGATGAAAACGTCGTATGCGAAACCGACCAGTTGGTCCACGAGAGGTGGCATGGATGGAACTGAAGACTCAAAAGGATTGCCGGTAAGATCCAGCGGTGTGCCAATAGCGCCAAGTAAAGAGGCCGAGTCCTCCGAATGCGGCGAATGCGGCGAAGTCGACAAGGTCGGTAGGCGGCTGCCCGACGCCTGACCAGTGTTGATGCCGGGGTAGTCAAGCTGAAGTGGTTGTGGTAGCTCTGCTATCCAAGGATCGAATCCCAACGGAGCGACCGTCGGCGTGGCGCTTGTCTGCATGGTAGTGTCCCCAGTCAAACTGCTTCTTTTGGGTATCTCGTACGGGGCTCGACGAACAGACTGTTGCTGCCTAGCCTGTATCTGCGATTGCAGATGCGATGGAGACGAGAAGGGGCCCACGGGCACGTTCGCAGATGCTCGCAGCCTCTTGGCCTGCTCCTGTTTCTTCCATCGCTCGTAGCGGTTCATGACGTGCCACGACACAGCAGCGTTGTGATCTTTGGAACTGATGTTGCCGGCATCTTTGTTGACAAAGGAGAACTCGCCACGAAAGGGTGGTGGCTGGTCGGCTGACTCTCTATCTTTTGACATGGACTTCTGATACAGCTGATGGACAGCTGTGTCGAGCGTAGGACGTTGGTATACAAGTGCAGCCATGCTTGGGAGGAGGGGCCGGCCGGCGGTTTTGAGGTCGCTGAGGGCACTTCATGATGCAGCTCCGCCACAAGCAGCGAGAAGACGGAGGGATCTTCTATACTGTATTCTTCATCCTTAGCTGAGCATTTGAGGACGTCTGATGGAAATTCGAGGCCATATAATTAATCCAAGGCCGCGAACGCCGAGGACACGCACCCCAGTCTAACCCGATAATGAAGGTCATCGTTGCAATCTCATTGGCGGGGGTAGGAATTGGAGGCCCTAGTCGTGGCAGCTGTGCCTGTTAGGTGCGGGTTAGGTGCCAGTAAGGTTCCTGTTAGGTGCTGTCAGGTGCTGTTAGGTGCTGTTAGGTGCTGTTAGGTGCCTGTTAAGTGCCTGTGAGCCTTGGGGCCGATGAGACGTCAACAGATCTCTGCTTAGGTCAGAGATCATGCCGCGTGCGGAATTGAAGTAGCCAGCCACCCGCTACACAATAATAATGCTCATCTTACCTTATCCTTCAAGTTCACCCTCAGGCTCAGCCATGGTGGCTCCTACAAGCTTAGTCAGTGTGGGATTGCATCAGCCTCTGTCAGTCAGCATCCATTTGTCATTTCTCGGTCATTATTTTCGATCTCGTTCCATCCTGTAGACCTTGCCTAGTCGCAGGCGACTGTCACCGGCGTTATCTGTATGTATATAGGTTAATCTCAATTAATCAAATAATCCAGGCTTCACCGATTCGGGCCATGCCAAAAATCCCGTGGAAACTGCCCGGCCCACGAAGGCATCGAGTCTAAGAAGCTGTGACAGAATTGGTGTGCTCGTTTTGAATGTATGGGTATGTTGGCACCCACAGTGTCTCGATAACTCTGAGTCACCTGCGCGCACAGTCATCTGCTTTCCGCTTCTTGTCCTGATACAAGTTATTTCGTGAGACTACTCGGCTGGGGCTGGCTATGACTATTCCGAGACCTCACTCGTTGGCGCAGCCTACGACGTCGTATTACAACATCTCATTGGTGGCGACGTACTGGAAAGCAGCAGCTTACAATGCATTTCCGGCACTGATAGAACGTCACGGCTTGTTGTGACTAACCTATTGAAATGGAACATTCCAACAACAGCGCCTGGATACGACCTGGAGCGGCCGGGCTGACCACAAACTCTCTGACGGGCCTGGCCATCTAGCATCTAGGTCCCCCCCTTGTTTGAGACAACTGAAAGTAGGTCAACAGGGAGCACTCGAATTTGATTTTCAAGGCCTGCAAGGCTAGCAGTTGGGTCAACCCTGGTGCTCTCTGCGCCGACTGTAGACTAGGAGTAAAGGAGTGAAGACTAGAGAGGGCCCTCGGGCGGGTTGGGAGACGTCTGTGGTCCATGAACTTGATCGCGGTTGTCCAGATGGCATGCATCAGGCCCTAAGAGGTTCAGCCAGGTCAATTAGCGTCCCTCAAATGGTTGCCTCCAGAATGACTGGTTGCTCACTCCGCCTCCACACCACCATGAGCCTCAAGCAAACTGCGTGGCGATGCCCGCGAGAGTCGCTGAGGGCTCAGTAGTGGTATGCGTAAGACTCCGAATGGCCTGGGCTTGAGGAGGTCTGTTGTCGATGTATGGGACCACGCACGCAGCAGCAACCTCTCCTGAGCTGATGTTATTGACGTGCAAAGAGGGAGGAGACACCGTCAGGTCCCAGATGCCGGCGATGTCGCGCATAAAGGCGGCTGTCATCTCCGCAGTGGCTGACCAGCTGAACAGGCACCAAGCCGTTAGCACGCCGGCCTGCCAATGCTTCAACCCCCCAGGTTCGCGGGTGGCGTTGGGTCATGGGAGTTTACTCTGTAGACTGCCCCTGAGCCCTGCTTAGCAAAGCTAACCGTTGGGGGCAACGCGTTGAGCATTATTACTCTGTATCCGCGTTAGTTGACGGCGAGTCAGCAAATACCAGGACTCGGAATGGTGAAGGGCCAGATCAAAGTTGTCTTCTGATCCGTGGGATGATCTTGCCATTTTTTGGAACTTGCTGCTTGCTGCCGGGGTTTCCACCTCTTGCTACGAGTACAGTTGCTTAGATCCCATTACTCGACGGACTCGTCTCATGTATACCTACCTGCAGCCGCGCCATAAGAAACACCATGTCAGACGTTGGCTTCCCGTCGAATCATGGGACGAGCTCATCATCTTCTCTAGGCAAAGTTTAGGAAGGGTCTTCCAGCAGCCGAGGCGTTTCTCGTACTCCGTACTCTGTATGTGTATCGAGACGGTGGCCGCGAGACTAGGCCTTTTAGGCTAGCATACTAAGTAGTGCGTGTGCGTGTGCTTGTGTTGAAGTAAGGCGATCAAATTAAGATGTATGAATGTCCCCTCGTATTTACAGAGTAGTCTGCGACATTCAGACAACAACGAGGGAAACGTGGCAGATCGTCGATGATCTGCTTGTCAATCCGAATGTCATCCGGACAGGTATGTAGCCAGCCACAATGGCTAGGGTTTAAGGAGTACGGATACTCCATACTGTGAAAGAAATTCTGGAGCGAGTGTCCGTACATCAGAAAGTGGACCGTGATGCTTGGCCATTGCTGTCAATTATCAATATGAGGGTAACTGGGTGACACAAAGATATTGATAGCCCAAGCCTTGACGGATCAGTCTTAGTCGAAGTAGTACGGTCATTAGTCCTCTGTCGTGGCAGCCCTAGCTAAGCTGGCAAGATGGAATGCCCATCCCCCACCTTTCATGTGATGGTGTCGGCTTGCGTAGTTGCTAGAGAACTCATGACAGATGCTTCTGAGACGCCTTCTGGATTCCAGCTCTGCATGTCCGTACGGTGTCGCTCTGTGTCGGTAGGAACAGAGAATGATAGCGACCACCTTCTCGCCGACTGCTGTGGTGGGTCATCGGAAGAGTGCCGTACTCTGTAGAAACCCCAGGAACAAGCCACATCCTACTCCGTAGGGATATTCCGAGCAAGGGTTGCTGATCGGGCGATCGTGGGTCTGGAATTTGTAGTCCAAGCATGTGAAAATGCCCAACAGAGTCAATCAAGATGTGTTTCAGGCGATGCGGGCTCGGCCATCGTGCATCAAAAAGTTGGCCTTGATAATGCATTAAACACCCAAGGATGAATCCAGATACCTTGGTAGGGTTGGTTTTCAGTACCTCGCGCAGTGTTCATGACGTACTTTCCTTAGTCAATCGACGTACAACGGCGGACCTTCATGAAATCGAGAGGCGCCAGGCGTTTTGAGTCTTGTTGGCTTCCTTGTGCCGTCCGAACCACAGTATCCATTTGCTTATTGGTGGTCCTAGGACCTCCCGGCGGCGCTGTTATGACATCTTCCTCTCCCCACACTTTTCTTTTAGCGCCTATTCCGCACACTCACACAGGTGGGCTGGGCGTGCTATCTGCCTGCGGTGGGCGCACCTTCAGGGTAGAGGGGTCGGCGGAAAATGTCTGGACTGTACCACGGCGGATGCATAAGAAGAGAAAAACGATTTCGAATCGGCCGGGCAGTATGGATCGAGGAAGTTTCGCCCATCTCGTGAACCTGCTCACAAGGAGGCTGGATGATACCTATTGATTCGACTGATCTTTATCTTGCCTTCGCTGACACAGAAGACCAGTCGCAGCTTCAACCACAGCCGACAGTGTCTGCCAGAGCGGTGGCCTGATGAGATCGTATTCACCTTTCAGGTATTGATGGGCAGGCATGCAGCATCTGCACGAGTTGCACCTGCAGAGGCCGCAAACTGAAATTGACGGACCTGCGTCACCCCTGTGATTGCTGCACGTGCTGCACCCGAACTGCTGTGCTGTGTTCACGGGCGGGCAAAAATGAGCGGATTGCCATGAGCCAGGCTTCCTTTTCAAGAGTGGTGAGAGGGCGGATGGAAGCGACGTCAGGGATTACTACCTTCACATGGTATCCCTACTCCGTCCTGCAGGCGAGTTTGACGGCCGTCTGCCAGAGCTGCTTTGGTGGTCAACAAGGGACCCCAGCACAGAAGATAAGCCGAGCAGGGATTCGAAAGGCGAAAATGAGTAGCAAGGAGCCAACGCCAGTTGGTGGGCTTTGGTGGATGAGGGAGGGACAAGCGACAAGCCAGCCCACCAAGAAGCTGTGAAGCAGTGCAGCAGTGCACCACCTCTCGCGGCTCGAACCCACTACACTTCTGCACTGTTGGTGTTCAGTGGTCCATCTGTGTGGCATGCGACCCACGACGGCTGGACAGGGGACGGGGGTTGGGCCATGTCGCCTAAATGTAGCCACAAACCGCCCATGGAGGCAGCAAGTAGTAGGCCTAACGGCAGACACCACTGTCGCCGCTGGCCTCTGTCATTGCGGGCTTGGGGCATTTTATTAGCTTGGCTTCTTGGGCACTTCTGGCTCCCCCTCCGTCATCTCTTTGGTGCTTCCTGCGCTGCTCACCTCCTCTGTTGTCGTCCTTCAATTCGAGCCTGAAGGTCGTCTATCGCCCGCGTTCCTTCTAGACTCTTCACATCTTCATTTCGTTTTGTTCATATTGCCCTGCATCTTCCTCCTTCTTTAACACATCTAAGAGGCATTTATACGCTCGTGTCTTCGAACCAACCCCGTTGCTCCACCGTTAAAAGTCGAGCAGATCGCGATGAGAGTAGTGTTGGCCTTTTACCGGAAGCCGCTTTCTTGATTGATCTCAATTGTCGCACGAGTTGCTGGACTTTTGTACCGACGAACCTTGTCTTTCGCTCCTTTCAGACAAACCGATTCATTCTCCGACTGCAGATTCACAGTTGGCGGTCGGAGCGCATTCAACCAGACCGCTTCTAGCGGCCCTCCCGAGAACACCAGCGATTATTGGTACAGGCCAAGGAGGACCTTGATAGTCCGTGATTCTACAATACTCGGATGGCATACGTGATTTGGTGTCGAACGGCCAAGCTATGAGTGGGAGCACTGACGGAGTCTGAGTGTGTCTTTGGCACGACAACTCCATGTTCAACGGCCATATATCCAAGGATAGGCCATAAAGAATCAGGCTTGAGGCCATGTCCGATAACGTCGGTATAAGATGGGCCCTAGACCTGCAGCATGCCCGCCACAACCCGGAGTCTGCTGGAGACATGAGTGGCTTGACCCGGATCACGTCTCGTGAGAATGAGACCAATTCACAAGAGCTAGACAGAGGTAGTGCCTCTCAAAGTTCCGGTGGTGATTCCAGCAGTACACAGCGCAATACTCCCATTGCGTTGGCTGCGCAGAACCTTGCAGAACCTGTCGACGACAATGCCTTTGGCCGACTGGATGCGCATGTACAGCAGGGCGTCGCTGTATCTCCCGGGCTTCCTTCATCTAGATCGCATCCATCTCTTCCTTCGTCCACCCAGACATCGTCAAATTCATTAAAGTCCATGTTTGAGCGTGAGCTTGAGCGCGGGAAACCTGCTGGGACGTCCACGGTTCATCGGGCGCTTTCCACAAAGTCAACAGTTGCGTATCCGCGCCGGCGTCGTCCATCACACTCAAAATCTCTCTCCCACTCTCTGTCAACCTCAAAGCGAACAGTCAACGCTGACCGTCCGACCTATCCTGACCAATCCTTTGCTGCTTTACAAGTCCAGTTTCCTGCTTCCAGACCTCCTCCACTCCGGACTCGAAGCTCTCATCCGGCACAAAACCTCCTCTACAACGAGATGTCGACCTGGGCTAAGCCGACTCGAGATCGGCAGTCCAACTGCCAGGGTACGAAGACTGCAGACAATACACCCATGTCGAGCCCTGGCCTCTTCAATCCGGAAGCTCGGGTACCTTCATCGCCCTCTCTTACCGAACTCGGTGCCCAGCTACATCACCTTCAAGAACCCAAAGAAACACACACTGCCGAGATCGAACATGACACCTATTCGGGTAACAAATTCATCAACAACTACGAGATTGTTCAGGAACTAGGTCGAGGCGAGCATGGCAAAGTGAAACTTGGACGAGATATCGAAAAGGGCACTTTGGTCGCGGTCAAGATCGTCCCGAGATACTCTGTTAAGCGACGCCTTGGTCGCCTCGGTACACCAGAAGACCGCACAAAGCGAGAAGTAGCTATTCTAAAGAAGGCGAGACATCCGAACGTTGTCAGTTTGCTGGAGGTCATCGACGATCCCAACAAAAACAAGGTCTACTTGATCCTCGAATATGTGGAGCGAGGCGAAATCAAATGGCGCAAGCGGGGTGTTCGTGAAATTTTGGCAGTCAACAACAATAGGTTCGTCCAGGAACGCTTGGGTATACAGCTACCTCTTGAACCAGTCGAACGGGACCTTTTCAATATTGCCCAGGCTAAGCGCCGTCACGAACAGCAAGAGAAGGCGCGGGCCGCAGCTTCAAACTTGATCCCGAACTGGAGTCTTGAGCATGGAGGGGACGAACTGGATGACGATGAGGGATTGTCAGATATCTCTCGATCTGGCTCCCGACATTTCTATGAATCAAACATCCCCAGCAGGACTGGCTCCCACGAAGACTACGCTGATATAGCCCTAGCTGGGAGCATGTATGGTGCATATACCCCTGATGCGTATCACAACAGTCGGAAATTCAGTATCGCGACCAGCGCTGTTTCCCACATGTCGTCGGAGTGGAATCTCGATGAAAACGATGACGAGAAATCCTACGTTCCTGCCATGACTCTTGAAGAAGCTCGCGGAGCCTTCCGAGATACGCTGTCTGGCCTTGAATTCTTGCATTTCATAGGTATCATTCACCGTGATATCAAACCAGCCAATCTGCTCGTCACCAGCAATGGGACCGTCAAGATATCGGACTTCGGTGTCTCTTATCTCGGACGTCCAACAACCGACGAAGATCCTGAGAATAAGCTTACAGAAAACGACGTTTCAGCACTGGACGACGAGAAAGAACTTGCCCGGTCCGTGGGAACACCAGCATTCTGGGCTCCTGAACTTTGCTATGAGGACCCTTCTATGTTCGAAGAGAAGAATGGCCCCAAAATCACTGGAGCACTCGACCTCTGGGCCTTGGGTATCACTCTCTACTGTATGGTGTATGCTCGCCTCCCATTCTACGCAACTGAAGACATGGGGCTTCACGAAGCAGTATGCAAGGCTGAAGTCTTTTTGCCAAGCTCCCGACTTGTTCCCGTTGACACGTCGCGTGATAGACCTACGTACCACGTCCCGACTTCGATCAACAGCAACAAGCGACTGGATTATGAACTCAAATTCGAACTTGTACCAGAAGGGGTTCGCGATCTCATACGAAGACTCCTAGTCAAGGACCCTGCGAAGCGCATGACCATCCTAGAAGCGAAACGACATGAATGGGTGGTTGAAGGCATGCATGACCCGTCAGAGTGGTTCAAAGGCCCTCCGGAGATGGAGAAAGAAAGCAAGAAGAAGATTTTGGAAGTGGACGAAAAAGAGCTCTCGCACGCGGTTGGCAAGAGAAACATCATTGAACGCGCGCTGAATACGGCTGGGAGACTGGCAGGAAGTCTCCTTGGTAGAAGCAACACGCGAAAACGTGCTCCCAGTGCAGCCACCTCTGCAAGTCACAGTCGCTCCAGCGATTCAATTGCGTCAGCTTCGCCGTCCATCGCAAGCACCGCAGCAAAGAATGAGCGTGATAGGATGCGGGATGTCAGAAGAACTAGTCTGCGTGGCGATGAAGTTCTAGCTGCTCTCAAGACTTCCAGAGAGAATACTGAGCATCCCCTGGCGCAAAGTCAAACCGCAAGCCCTGACACATCTCCACATGAGAATTACTTCGGCAACTCGTTGCTAATTCCAACGGCAGCATCGACAGGTGTCAGCCCCATGCAGGAGCGTGAAGGTCGTCCCCGCATACCGGATAGAGCCATCTCTATCCTTTCGACTACTGAGTCAGTCAAGACGATCAAAGCTTCGCAGATGCAAAGGCACCCTTCGCCACTTCACGACTCATCTCCCTCCATCGTCGGATATAGCACTCACGATAGAAGCTTGAAAGCCAGGGTTGATGGTCTTTGGGAGGGTACGGCAAAGACGTTGGCCAGACTCGGCAGCCGAGACCGTCGGTCACAGAGAAGTGAACACTCGCCAGTATCGAGTCGCCACTCCTCTGAAGGTGATGGCCACACCCGACCTAGCATTGCCGTCAGTACAGCTTCAGCTGCGGGTGCCATCGAACCACCAGATGCCTTGAGGACCCCAGTCACATCGGTCGACGGCAACACAGCTCCACCACTTCCTCAGATGCAGGCCACGCCATATCCAAGGACTGTTTTCCAAGCACCTGCATCGACGGAAGAGGCCTTTGAACAAGCCCGGGATATCAACCAACGCCGGCTCATTCAGGAGGCCCATCAACAAGCTGTGGCCGCTGCAGAGGCTTCCTCGAGACGCCCGAATGAAACCACAGTCAATGAATGCCCGCCATCTCCTGACGATATGATGTTTCTGGAAAGACAGCGGACCAAGGTTTCAAACGACCCGCCACAATTCTCCATCGGCTCTTCAGGACCATCGGCCAGCACCATTGCGTCATCGATAGATGGTTATGGTGCCAGCAGCGTGTCACAAAGCATCTCCGACCCGAGTTTTGGAGTCGAATCTGGTGCATCTTCACCTCCTGGCGAAGGGTTTATGACCATGGACCAGGCGGGAACTCCAGCCGATGTCACTGCTGCGGGCAAAGACATCGAACCGGCCTTCATGCGCACCGCAGACACGATCACCAAACATGGGAGACCGACGCAAACCGCTACCGGGCCCTCTCTTGAAGATTGGCAGAACAACAGCTATGAATACCATCACGATGACGACGATGACTCCGATGAAGATGCAATGATGATGGGCGTCGCTCAGAAGAAGTTCTAATGGCTCTCATCAGGGCTGGGGCAGAACAGTTGCCAGCACAGGGCTTCTCACATTCTTTTCCGCCCACTTTTATTTTTACAACTCCCCCTATCCTCATCCTTCCCATTCATGGTGGGATTTCTTCTTAGATACCCTGGTTAGAGAAAGCAAGGCGTATGATGTGTCCTGCAAATGCGACTCGCTTCTTTTTTCTATGTTACGGAAGGCACCGGATTATGTCGACAGCGGGCGAGGCATATTTGAGCTGCTTTAATGCGAAGGCAAACCAACTGAAAAGCAAGGAGGCTGTTTGTGATCCATGGAAAAAACAACAATGCATTGTACATCAGCACAGAATTGAACACCAGCATAAGGACGGCAGCAATGTACACATGAAAAGGTGTCGATCGGGCTGTCTCAGGAAACCAAGTCCGTAGCGCATACTTAGGTAGTAACGGGCAAATACCCCCAAAGACTGTGTACGGATGCTCTGTCCTGCTGCTGCTAGGAGTAAGGAGTAAGTATCCGTACTCTGTACTCCGTAGTACTAGTCAGGTAACCTTCCAATTGCTATAGCGGAGTTTTTCCAGTGGCCGTGCCAAGCCCGTGGTCTACCCATCCCATTGAAGGTGCAAAGCGAACTCGTCCCCGTCGAGCAGTGGACTCGACGACCTGTTGCTGCTGCCGCTCTCACTTTTACTCGACCGTTTCCATGTCCATGGGGCATCCTCTTTCCCTGTATTGGCCTCCACGTTACTGACCACCTTCCGACCTACTCGATCGCTTTCAGTCCTGCGGCACCTGTAGCAGGTGCAGCGAACCTAGATCAGCTTCACCACGACTGCTAACCGTTTCGGGACCATCCCCCATTACCCTGATTTCGCCTCAAGATGCAGAAGGTCTTGCGCATCAACCTCCTTGCGCGTAACCAGGCTCTTAAAGGTGCCCGGAGAAAAAATCTCAAGAAACTGAAGGAAGAATGGGCAGACCATGACCAACGTCGGATAGCCATGGATAAGGCACAACGTGGAATTATTAAAGACGAGCGAAGACATCGGAGAGAGGACTGGATAGCCGGGCCATTGGCGCCTAAACGAGATGTTGGCAAGCGGCAAGAGCTTTACGCCACGGTACCCGGCTTGCTTGCCCAAGGTGCCCCGTTTCCAGAACGTGCTCGACTTGGGCCCAAGGGAAACGGGTGGGATCCTGTAGGATCCGAAGGCTTGGAGGGCGAGAACAAGGAGTGGGAGGGCGTCGGAAATGAAGGCAACATTGTTGAAGGGGACCGTGTCTGCGTGATCCATGGCAAAGAGGAGCTGATAGGGAAAATTGGCCGAGTCAAGACTGTCCATGCGGAGCAAAAGCTCTTATCAATCGAAGGGCTTAATATGGTACGATATCCCAGTTCCATATGCACACTACCCGAACTAGGCACGCTTCTAACCAGCAGCGAGTATAGGCCGACATTGAAATCCCCGAAGGAACTCCCACCCGAGAGCGCGTCGCCTTCCAGAGTATGGAGCTGCCTTTACCCATCGACTCTGTTCGGTTAGTTCACCGATTGAAAGACGACGAGACCGGCCGCGACCGGGACGTGATCGTCAAACTCATCCGTGGAGGAGCGCCGTACCTGCAGCGGGAACCTTACTCGCCCTTACCCCGACACACACGATATATTGCAGGGGAGGATGTCGAGATTCCATGGCCGGAGGTTGATACGCCCACTTACCAGACCTTTGATTGTGACACGAACCGCTTCGACGTCGAGTCCCAGTCATACATACCTTCAATTTACCAACCGCCCCTTCCGCGTTCAGAAATCCTCGATGAGCTCCGAGCCGACAAATATGCGCGTGACCGCGAATGGCACGACGACGAGTACGTGCGTATGAAGGTCCTAGAGGATGCCCGCGCCGCCTGGTATGCGCAGCGCAAGCTACAGTCGCCCCTTGAGCGGCTAGCGGAACATAAACGGAAGTTGGCAGAGAAGAGGATCGAGGAGATCAAAAGGCAAGGGTTGTCGGATGAGACTATGAGGATAATATCGGAGGCTCAAAGAACGAAGAGGCCGCGGAAGCAGACGGCGTTGGCAGATTAGATGTGGCAGTGGGATCTAGGTTTGTCGGTGGGTGCTATGCGGCCGCCCTACTATTGAAGTCCCAATCCAGTGAAGGGGTTCTGCTCTGAATCTCGAGCTCCGGTTGTATAATATGGTAGCGACTAGGAATGTTCAAGACGACCAAGATTGGGCCTGTGTACTACTGCATTTGCCCTAGAAAGACCTCACATGGTGATATTTCAAAAGACAGCAGACCTGCTTTCCATACCATGATATGTACAATACTTTTCTGCTGTTTTGCAGGTGCAAGCAAGGAAACATTCTATCGGTTCGTCATGGGTTCATTCCGCATCACCACGTCGGGTTCGCTGGTGTGAAGCGACCTGAGAGGTACAGCAATCTATGTTATCAAAGGTCCAATATACTCTACCCTGGACTCTCCCTCCTCAACCAGCTGCGGCCACTGCACAACAAACCGGTCCACAAAGGGTTTTAAAAGGCGGCCACTCAAACTCAGCGACTTGACGCGCGCCCAGCTTTCAATGAAAATGCTGCGCATCTGGCCGGCTTGCGTATATGAGACATTTTGTCGCTCGCGGGATCCGGCCGAGTGTACAGTTTGCTTTGTAGATTGCCACCACGAATTGGCCCGGCTGTTGGACCCGAAGAAGCGTAGAATGATCGAGGCCAGAATGACAATGACTCCCGTTCCGGGCCCATTAGTAAGAATCAAGTCTGGGTATAAGCGAGTAGCCCGTGTTCGACGTTGGGGGCCGATGTCGCGATGCGTGCCTCTCAGCACGGCAAAACAGTCCCACAGACACCGCAGACTTGATATCTGAGCGGTCAGGAGACTTTGATGGACTTTCCTAGCGCGATAGACAGTTACGACGTCGTAATTCGTCCCCGTCCCCTCAGGGATACTAATGCCTGAAGTTTCGAGGTTGGAGAGCAGTGACTTTTCGAAATCGTGAGCTTTCAGCGCGGAAAAATCGTCGCCCGAGCTGACCACGTAGGTGCGATATGTGAAGTCGAGTTGCAAATGTGGAGTTTGGGAGAGGATGTTCAGCATCTCCGCTGTGTGGCCGCCAGAGCCCAGGACAATCAGAACATGTGTTGGATCGAGGGCAGAGCGGCGTGGACGTGGCGACGGAGGTTCTCGAGATAGCACCGAGATGAGGCGGAAGAAGGCGACAGTGAGAAGCAGGAAAGTCGTAGCGGAGACTATGAGCATAAGTTGGCGGGTCGACGAGAGACTGAGACCGATGTCGAGCATGTTCGTTGGCCAGAAGGAGAATTGCGAGTGTTGGGAGGGAAGGCTATCCCTGCTGTATAGATGGTCGTCCATGCCGAGCAATTGGTGGCTACACTGAGGTCAATTTAATCGAAGTCGGAGGAGAAACAGACGCCGGGCGACAAGGCTACGACCCCTTAGGTCTCCGGAAGCCGTACGGATACAGGAATGGCATATTAGTCGGCGCGCAGTGGTGAAGGGCAACTCTTAGTGCTTGGTGGCCAATTGGTCGCAAATTTAGGATTATGTCGTAGTCATGCTGGGACGCTCCAACAGGACAACCGGATAAAGGAATTGATGTACGGAGTAGACATCTACCTAGATCGTACGAAGTACAGAGTACTTTACCAAAGCGCAGTCAAAGGTGTCGACTGTCCTTTTGGCTGTTGGCCGGAGATAGCGACCCACCATACCCAGTATCTCCGAGGAGCGAGCTAAACCTCTTATGGCATACCGTTGATTTCTTGAAAGCAAGCCCTGTGAATACGAACAATGAAGTCAGCAACGAGCATCCCCTCCACCACTTCCAGCGTAGGATATATGTTCTGGATGTAATGTCCCTGACTCTCTACGTTGGCTTATGCTTCTCTATTGCCCGGCTGCAAGGGATGCAACAGAATGCCCGTCCAACTGCGACAGCGCCTCGATTGCCACTACTGCGGCCGAAGGTCGAAACATAGCAAGAAGCAAGACCGCAAGTTCCAGTGTGAGCACTGTCTTGCGGTAAACTTTTTTGACGAGGTGCGGCGCCCTATCTGTCCACTGTCTATGCACCTAACTCTCCTTAGAATGGCGAAATCGCGGATGTTCCTGTGGAGGAGGCTGCGCCCGCGCAGCGCTTTGCCCAACCCGTCCTACCAGATCCCCTCGCAGACGACTTTTCCTCCCAAGACTCCGTCTTCTGTTCGACATGTCTCAAGAATCAGCACTTGTACACGTACAACCTCTCCCAGTTCCTTCCAGACCCCGAGCATCCCGATTACGAAAAACTGGAGGCCGAGCTTCCCGAGTATAAGAAAGGTCTGGAGCAACGCTATCCGCAATGCTGTGCTCGCTGCGAGCCCAAGGTCAGGGCGCAACTACATCAAGCCACATACAATGCGAGGAGCGACCATCTTCGGCGGGTATTGGAAAGGTCGCGGCAGAGGAGAATCGCTAGTCGCCTGGGCTGGAGAAGCCTTCTGGTTACCGCTGCAGGACTCGGATGCTTCTCTAGCCTGGCTATGCAGGTGGTCTGGCACCTTTATGGGTCCCAGGTCAGCGGATACAAGCCTATGCCACAGCTGCGTCCGGCAGACTGCGTTACCCAGCGACCTCTGGTTTCTGAGTGCCTGGACATGATGAAACCTCTGATCGGATTGTCTCTTAATCTAGCACTCTTATCTATCTGGTGGAATCCGAAGTGGCAGTACAGACTTTCCAGCCAGCCAGGAAGTTTAGTCGGTTTGAAGGAGTATTACTTGGTGCAGCTGGCTCTGCTAGGGTTGAGGTTCAGCGCTTGGGTTGTCATGTTTCATGCGCCTCTCGATCCCAAGATGCGGTCCATGCTTCATGCTTGCTTTGCGGTGGCGATCACAGTCATTGCAGGCTGGTCAATGTTTGGCATTATCGAGGTGAAAACCGCCCCTCCTGTTAATTGGCATGCAGACCCGGCTCCGTTACTGTCCAACAACCAGTTTGTTTTGCCTTCTGAGCCCTCCCAACCAGATCAGCCTCGGCCATTCAGCGTTGGGAGCCTCGCAACGCCACTGGCACCATCTTACCCAGCATGGAGACCGCCGACGCCTCCGGATGACACTGCAGAGTCGATGGACTGGACTCCCTCTCAACCGAGCTTCCAGCCTGAACTTAAGCAGCTGCGCTACAAATCCACTGAGCCGTCCCCCTTTCATGGCACGCTGCCAGCGCTGAGTGTGAAAGGTGTGTATAAAAATCCTGGTCAGAACAGAGTGGCCCAAAAGGAGGCGATTGGTCTACCTCCAGGTTTTTTTGATCGCCCAAAAAATCCAGCTCTGCCTTCGCGTCAGAACAAGTCAGCTAGTGATGCCATTGCGCAGCCGAAATTCTTCGGCCACGACAGAGACGCCGACACGGGCCTCGAAAGTATTTTCGGGACCGTCTTCTCGCTCCAAGATCAGTCTTTCGACCCAACTGCCACTGCACCGCGAGCTGTTGTCTCCACTTCAGCTCCGTCTTCACAATCGCCGGAAAGTCTGCGACCGCCAATTACTCCTCAAAATGCATCATCTGTGTCCATATTCAGCGGCATTTCCTTCTCCGCGGTCTTGATAGCGGTCGCCGTTTGGACTTTTGAAGCTACCGTCTCACCAAAGACCACGCAATTTGGCTTCTATGTTGTACTGATCAGTGTCTGCGTTCCTATTGGCCACGTGGTGTTACTTTTGACTTCTACCGGAACCTACGGTCAAGTCTCTCGTCTACTACTATTCACCATTGAAGCGGTCTTGTTGATCGGTATCGCTATGCTCCAAGAACCGTTCGGCGAGCTCTTTCGAGATCTCTGGAACAAGTTGGGCATCGCGGCGGTAGGGTTGTTATTGCCGCAAGAATTTCTGCAGATGCATCACTCCAGCACGAGCAACCGGGCTCAGGAGAAGCACGGAATCCCAGTTCAACCGACCCCAGAAGTCGTGGGCGCTGGCGACACTCACAGCCCACCAGAAACACCAGCACTCAGCCGCCGCGACTCTACGGAATCGATGGAGAGTAGGTCCTCGATCGCCACAAGCTCTACTGCCTGGGACTGGCCCACTCCAAAGCTGTCGAGAGGGCGTTTTGAGCTGCACGAGTCGTCAAATCCAACGCCAAAACCTCCTGGGCAGGGCGTTAGCTCGCGGGAACGACGGTCGTCTGACAAGAATATGCTTGGTATAGATACCCTGTCGTTGAGCGACCGTGCATCTGCTGGGAGTCCTGGAAATCGCGGTGTGAGAACGGGTGCTTCTTCAGGAAAAAGCTGGGGTCTCGAATCGTCGGGGACAAGCATTGCAGGGCCCCGAGCGAGACGGAAATTTTGAATCCCTGCATAGTATAGTTTTCCCATTTGACTGTTAGGTTTAGTACTGTTTTTTTAGGATTGCATAGCGAGGACAATTGTGGCGTCAAAAGTCAGCTTTACAATCATGAAGGAGCATGGCTTGGAGTTGCATAGGGCATCTTTGTGGCCTCCGGGCAAGGTTCCGTTTAAGTATTAACATGATTGTAAAACCTCATGAATCTCGTCAATATTATCCTTTTCAATCATTAAAGTTGATGGTAAGGTAATCAGCACGGAGTCATGCACCCTCTTATGTTAACTTTTGCTTGATGAAGAAAGACCGCAGATGTGAGAGCTGCCAGGCGCATGTCACACCGAGGACGGTCAACTGAATCAATGTCCACCGCACAATCTTTCCATTGGTGGCTTCGCTCTGGTCGCGGAATTCTGCTTCTCGTTCCTGTTACGCAAGGTGAAGTTAGACTGTGTTCATCTCCATCTACTGGGATGTAGCCCCCAATTGTGGTGCGGTGAGGTGGCATCTACATACCCGTTGGAAGACCTGCTCCCGTCGAATATCGGCCAAGCGACCATTCAGCTCCCTCACTTTGCCCACGATACTGTCAATTTTGCCCTTGTCTTCGCTCTCGATCTTGCTGGTCTCGCCAATGGCCATGTCGATGGTCAGCTTGACGCCGCCAATGGTCGCGCCGGCGCCAGAGAGCCAGCCGCCCACGCTGACGGCGCCGGCACCCGAGGGCTTGAAACACAACCGGTGCAACCCGCTGTCGGCGGCGCTGAAGGTGAATTTGGTCGGCGCGTCCGAGGAGGTCGTCGTCTGCGTCACCACGCGGTGGTCGTTGTCGAACGTCTCCTCCACGGTGATCTGGATCTGCAGCTCCGATGTCACATGGAAAGAATTCGTTTGGCTGTTCCAGGATTCGGCCTTGTATGTTCCTGCAAGCAAGCAAGAAATGTGGTCAACATCCTGACCCTAGATTGTAGGTGTAAAGAAGCAAGGCAAATTTTCCTACTAACCGACTACCAGCGTGTCCTTGGGCAAATCCTCGTAGAAACACTTGGGCGTAGTCCCGTCGAGGTAGAAGTACAGGGCGTGTGAGGAAGTAATCAGGGAAGAGAAAAGGGCGAGCGTCGCCACGAGGAGCTTCATCTTCGTCCGCTTGCGATGGAACGCTGGATGTGGCAGGACTAGTGGTGAAGACGGGGTTGTGGTCGTGGTCGTGGTCGTGATCGAGCGAGGGTCAATGGACAAAAAGTTCCCAGTTTCGGTTCAGGGGGAGACCGCGGAGGATGGGCTTAGGAGGCCGTGCCAAGGTGCCACTCACGTGCGCAGGGAAAGGAGGGCGTTCTGCACACAAGGCTCTCTGATCTTGCAGGCCAGGCTACGATTCACGTGACCCTTAGTCACGTGGCCGGTATTCTGCCACCTCCTGCGCTTCGATAATTCTGCCCTGCCGCTTGGTGAATGACCGTGGCTCCGCGTCCAGCTTATTCAACGCGTACACCGGACTGACCACCAAGCCGCTCCTCCGACATCAATAAGCCTCGTCGAGGCGGTTCAGTCACCTTGTGATCCCGTCTCAGGTCTCAGATTGGCCCATCATGGCGTCCACGAGCGACATTCGCGACATCATGAACCTGGGCCAGGCAGGTCCCCGGCAACCTGCGCCAAAGAAGAAGAGGCCGGTCGAGCCTCAGGTGCGGGTGACGGGAGTCAAGCGAGAGGTTCAGGCTCTCATGGGCGACTCGGTTCCTCCCATCGCCATCGTCGAGCAACGATCGTACAAGTCACGGCCGTCCATATCGCAGAAGTTGTTCAAACCGAGACATTGGGAAGAGAGACCATTCCAGCATGGCGCAAGGACAGACGGGTTGCAGCTGAGGCATTGGAAGCGCTCTGTTCCCGGATCGAACGTTCGGCAATCGTCAGTCGCAAACATGACTGCCTCGACCGACGTGGAAATGACAGATGAGCCAAGAACGCCCTCGGGTGTGCAGGATTTACACTTTGAGGAAGAGTTTCCTTCACATAAATGGGATGTCAAGGTGCAGGTTCCTTCGTACACAGACGAACAGTATGAAACCTTCTTGAAGGCGGAGGAATGGACAAAGGAAGAAACGGACTATTTGATGGAACTTTGCCGCCAGTACGATCTTCGCTGGGTCATCATTGCCGACCGCTACGATTCTGACCAGATCGTGGGCGCCACACCACCTCCAGAGACCGGCGAAGCGACTGGAACAGAAGTTGCCCGTAAAAACAAATATCCAGCTCGTTCTATGGAAGCGCTCAAACAACGATATTATGGCATTGCGGCCAAGATGCTCGAGCTACAGATTCCGGCGAGTAACATGACCCAGGCGGAATTTCAGCTATGGGAGAAGATGCGAAATTTCGACGCACGGACCGAGTCAATGCGGAAAGCCATGGCAGAGAAGCTCTTTGAGCGCACCAAAGACGAGGCCGACGAAGAGAGGGTACTCCTCGAAGAACTCCATCGCATTACCAAACACGAAGATGACCTCATGAAGATGAGGGCCGAGCTATATTCGAGACTTGAGCCTGTCCCTCCTCTCAGGAGAAATGAGGAGCAATCAACTGCCGTGTATCAAACCTCCGGAGGCCTGTCCATGCTGTTGCAGACACTTCTTGCTAAGGAGAAGAGGTTGAAGCGTCCTCCGGCGCCCAATGGTGCAGAAGCAGGCACCGCTGCGGCTACGCCCACTGATTCGTCGAAACATGACAAAGTCAGACACCCTAACCAGTACTCCCGGAGGGATACTTTGGATTCGCAAGCCGACGAATCGAGGCCGCAGAAGAAGGGCTCAGTATCTCAACCTAGTGTGCGTACACTCTCGCCTCAAGAGGAGGCGCGATTTGGCGTGTCACATCCACAAGAGAGACTCACCAGTGGAGTACAATTCCGGCATGAAAAGATTAATCGTCTCATGATGGCCAAGAGTCAGACGCAAACGGCCAAGATACAAGCTGCTTTGACCGAGCTAGGCATACCACCTCGGTTACTCATGCCTACACAGCGTGTATGCCGGGTTTTCGAGACCCTAGTCGGCGAGATCAACATCCTGCTGGATGCCAGGAAGGTCAATGAAAAGATTGCTACTGAGATCAAGGTCCTGGAAGAGGCGAGACGTATCAGACTTGGCCTGCCTGAAGAGAGAGAACAAAACCCTGCACCAGCTGTTGATGCTATGGATGTAGATTCTTCTCACCTTGTTGATAGCTCGAAAATTGAGAACGGCCAGGAGCATTTCACCAAGGAGGAGAACGATGCTAGGGGTGACGGCAGCACTCCTGCAATGAAGACGGAAGACAAGAGTGAACATGGCGGTCGTGATAACGACGAGACTACGATGCAGGTGGACGAGCGGCCTCACGAAGATGGCGATGCAGATGCTGACGATGACGGGGATGAAGTCGGTCCAAGCTCATCTTTGAAGCCCACAGAGAATGGGGACAACGATGAGGAGGAAGATGATGGACCGGAAGAAGAAGAGGACGAGGAAAATGACGAGGACAGCCATCGGACTGTCGCTCGGGCGGACAATGAAGATGAAGATGAGGACGAGGACGAGGACGAGGAAAGTGATGACGCGGACAACAGGCCTCAGATTGACAGTGGCGAGGATGATGACGAGGATGAAGGAACCAGCGAAGAAGACGACGAAGCCGAGGTCCAAGCCACCCCCCAGGACGACAGCGACGCTGAAGAGGAAGAAGAGGAAGAAGAGGAAGAGAGGGCTGAAGCCGAATCTGAGGAAGACGAAGGAGAGGGCGAGGCGGAGGAAGATGCTGCTGCCGAACAAGGTACCTCTGGACCAGAAGCCGATGACTCGGGCACTGACGGTGCGGAGGACGCGGAAGAAGAAGAAGAAGAGGAAGAGGAAGAAGTCGAAGGAGAAGTGGGTCAGGATGAGGAGGTTGAGGAAGAGGAGCATGTGGCGCACGAGTCGGCGTCCGCAGCTTCCCTCGGACTTCGTGCTCATAAGCGCTCTGCGAGTGTAATCTCTGCAGCCAGTCGGACGGGCAGCAATCGGAGTGGGTTGGGCAGGAAGAAGAGACGATGAGCATGGACATGTAGAAGAGGTTATATCCGTCAAGCAGCACAGCTCTAGGGGGGAGGTCAAGCAAGGATGAAATGTGAGACTCGAATCCACCAGGCAAGCCGGAAGCTCAAACATAAAAGCGCTTCCTCGACTGCCAGTCCCAAGGGAGTGACAAGAACAGTGACATGTCACTGGGATTGCGGAGATGTTAGTAAATGAAAGCGGGAAGAAATTTGTTTTGCCGAGTTTGTTCAATTCCCTATGAACAGAATGTGTCGGCCAGACCCTTCCTAGCCTTTTCAATGAAGCCTTTTCCAACTGTGCGCCTTTCTACGCCTCGTGCCATTCATCTGTATGTCATCCTCATTTTCCCAATATCATTCTTCAGTACGCCTCCTCCCAATGTCATTCTTCAGTACGCCTCCTCCCAACCATCATGTTGCCCCTGCCAATATGTCCGTCTCTGGCTCTCACACACCAGTTCCATTGGAACTCACGAGATGCCTCTGCATTTCAAAAAAGGTCGTCGTCGAAGTCTTGGGCATCCGTCTGCATCGCAGTCGTTATCCCTTCCTGGTCTTCCCACAGGTCGGCGAATTCTGTCACATCTTCCTCGGTCACATCCGCCTGAGTCTCTGCTTCGTCGAAGTCTAGGGCGTCCGTCTGCACCGCAGTCGTTGCCACTTCCTGTTCTTCCCAAAGGTCGGCGAATTCTGCCACGTCTTCCTCGGTCACATCCGCCTGAGTGTCGGCTTCATCGGCAGCCGCTTGAGCTGTTGTCGTTGTCATTGCCACAGTCGTATGTGTGGCAGCGGGAGCGGGGGCGGGAGCGGGAGCGGGAACGGGAACGGGAACGGCTGCAGCGCCGGTGGGGGCCCGTGCAAGGGCAGCCTTCTTAGCAGGAGCCCGTGCGGATTGTTTGCGAGCAGCCGGGGCTTTCCTGTCACTCTGCTTCGCAGGTGCAGATGCAAGCATAGCTGCTGCGCGGGCGGCTGCGGCTTGTTGGTGAAGCATCTCGGTCTCTGGACCGGGCAGGTGGCCTATTGCCCTGTTGAGGGCCTCGTTGCCGGAGGGTATCATCCACGTCATGGTCGAATAGTCTCGCTTGACACGCTTGGCGGGGCCGGGGCCGGGGCTGGGGGACGAGGTGTCCTCCGCCGAAGAGGTCGGAGGAGTTGGCAAGCGCCCGGCTGGCCCGGGGAGTGAGGATAGAGAGCCACTGTCGCTGGCTGCATATACCGTAGGAGCAGCGCCCTCGATGTTATGCGCCGCAGGAGAAGAGTGGGAAGAGGAAGAGGAGGAAGCGATAGGGCCAGGGGTCTGGTTGCGAGGAGGAACTGGAGTACCGCTCACTGGGTTGTAACCAGACACAACGGGGGCGGGCGTATCATCCTCGTCGGAGTCGCAGGTTAGATCCACCGTTTGCCTGGGTGTGAGCCTTGGAAGCAGTAGTGGGGCGGACGGCTCGTTGTTCTGGGGCAGCTGGCAACTAGGATCGGCCAAGATCACCTGGCCTGCGTGTTGCGGGTTGTGCGGGATGCGCCTCATGTAGTCCTCCATGTAGGGCGGCATTGGGTTCGAGAAGTCGGCGAGCTGACCGGTGGTTGGGAGGAAAGGCTGAAGGAGGCCATTCGGTTTGACTTCGAAGTGGAAGTTGCCTCGGAGCATGTTGCAATAGGCCTTGAGCCTCGTGTTTTCCTGCAAGAGGCGGACCCCATTGCTTTTCGACTTTTGAAACTCCGTGGCGTACCTCTGGGTGACCCCTCTCAACTGCCGGATCTCTGTGGAGTGCTTTTGCAGGAGAGCTTGGTATTGTTGGCGAAGGACATTGATCTCTTGTTGGAGGACGTCTGTCTCAACTGCCTGTCCCTGCGCCATGGTGTGGTCGGAGCTGTGCTGCTGGAAGGCATTGAGGTTCCCCTGTTGCTCCATTTCTTGGTGACGACGTTTCGTGCCATGTTGAGAATGTAGGGATGGGAGGGAGTGGGCTTGTAGGGTGGGCTGGTTTTCACCAAAAGCGAGGTACTGATCAAACTCTGCACTGGCATACGCATACCCGGCCGGGACCTGGGCGGAGGAGTAGGGATGCTGGGAGTCCATGGTTGTTGGTCAAGGACTGTGATGGTCTGCAGCGTAGTAAAGTCTTGAGGGTGGAAAAGATATCTTGTGATCGAGTGCAGGGCTAACGTGTGATGAAAAGAGTATGAAAAGGTCGAGGGAGACGACAGCAGGCCTTATAGTCAGAAGGCCTTGAACACTTCCACAATTATGGCTCGTATCGACCAGGACCAACACAAGGTACACTGAGCTAACGCCCCAAAACAGCGATTTCCACTCGGAGGTGACTGAGACCAGAGACCATCCAATTCAGCCTCGTCTGGCGCTGCGGAAGTGGGGTTGTGTGAACAATGGTACAGCCACTTGAATAGGATCTGTTCTACTATTGTGGGTGCAGGAGGAGGAGGGTGCGGCAGAAAGGGTGTGGCATGCTGGAGTGCGAATGACAATCACCAAACCACGTGCGGAAGTCGCGCAAACAGTCAGGGAGGTCGTCCTCATCCATAGATTCCAGGCAAATGTGTTTCAGTGACCCACCGGTTCAGTAACTTTCCTCTGGTACAGCCAAGGTGCCCGTCCTCTCAGAAGAGGCGATCTTGGGTGGTGTCCGGTGTCCGTGGACGCCCTGAACCTACGTGAATTATGAGGAGGACCTCAACAGGGTGCTGTGGCAAGCCGCCACAACATACGCCTCCAGCCCTCATGCTGGGCTGCCGTGTAGATGTAGATTGTGTCATTAGTCACTCAACGTCGCGTGCTCCTTTTGTGCAGAGTCAAAGACAAACGAGGCTCACGACGTTGATATTGACTTGTCGAAAAAGGCTGAAAGACATCCAAACGGGGAATTTACGCGCGATAAGCGGCCTTAGCGACCTTATCGATACGGCATGTCCTATTGGTCCGGATGGAGAGACAAGCTTTGCACGGTTTATCCGGCCTGCCAGTAAGCACAAGGCATGGAAACTGGCCATTTTAGACTCAAAAAGTTAATTCGCTCGGCCTCTCAGGCTCAGGCCTACTTACTACCTAGGAATTAGCCCTCCTCTCTCTCCCTCCCTGCCACTGCCACAGCCCCCCGCATCCACATCCACATTTGGTCCGCGGGAATCATGAGGCCTTGAGCACCTCACCTGTGACGGCCTGCACCAGATAGAACAGCTGGACATGAGCAGGCAGTATGAGCGTCATTCTATGCACTGGTAGGGCCTGCCAAGTCAAGTCGAATCACCTCGTGAATTTTGCTAACCTCTGTCTCCAGCTGGCTATGACCATACCATCAGGTTCGCCGCGTCTTGCCATCCTCACATCCTCCCACCGATCCCCCCGACTCACTTCTATCCTTTAGGTTCTGGGAAGCCCTGTCAGGAATATGTTCGCGCACTATCCAGCATCCAGAGTCCCAAGTTAACCGACTATGCATTACGCCGGACAAAAAGTATCTCGCCGCAGCCGGGCGGCATATGGTGCGGCTGTACGACATCAAGTCCTCGAATCCCAACCCTATCATGCAATTTGAGGGACATACAAACAATATAACGGGGGTCGCTTTTCATTGCGAGGGGAAATGGATGGTCACGAGCTCGGAAGACTCGACGGTCAGAGTCTGGGACACGAGGTCGGGCCAGGTACAGCGCAACTACCAGCACACCCACCCCGTCAACGATGTAGTCATCCACCCCAATCAAGGTGAACTAGTGAGCTGTGATCGAGGGGGCAACATTCGCATCTGGGATCTCGGAGAGAGCAAATGCACCCACCAGCTCGTACCGGTGGAGGATGTCTCGATGGCCAGTGTTAGCGTGGCCAGTGATGGCTCTCTTCTGGCCGCTGGAAACAACCTGGTACGGATTCGAGTTCTTCACGTCTATTCAGATCATCCGTTGACCTTTTTTGATCTAGGGTGACGTCTACATCTGGCGGATGTATCAGAACCATGACTCCACCACCCTCCTGCCCTGCCGCGTCTTCAAAGCTCACAAGGACTACCTCACACGTCTGTTGCTTTCACCAGATATCAGACTCCTTGCGACCTGTAGTGCAGACCATACTGTACGAATCTGGAAAATAGACATGAACGAAGAACACCTCGAGGCCATCCCAGAGGGGCCAGGCAGTTCCAACCCCGATGACCCAAATCATCAAAGCAATGGCTCGCCAAACCAGTATGTCGTGAACGGCAACGGTACCAGTAACGGAACAAGCACGCCAAGCTCAATTTCAACTCCTAACCCTATCGTCTCCGGCGGCTTCAGCGCAATCGCGAATCCCGACTCACGATCCCAGTCCTCAGGCAGCCTAACTTCCACTCCAATATCCCCTGCATCTTTCCGAACCCTGACTGAACTCATCACCCAGCGCCGGCCTCTCCCTTGTGACACCGTCCTCGACAACCACCAGCGGTGGGTATGGGACTGCGCATTCAGCGCCGACTCTGCCTACCTCGTGACCGTGTGCAGCGACCACTACGCTCGTCTGTGGGAGCTCGGTACCGCCAGTATCATCCGGCAATACAGCGGTCACCACCGCGGTGCCGTCTGCGTGGCTCTCAACGACTACTCGAATCCGCCCTAGAATGGCTCGGATTGGGACCCCTGCGATTGGGTGCTGGAAGAACGGAGACAGGAGGGAAAGAAGGGCGAGGAATCCAACGAACTCCTTGCTCAACGCTTCCAAGACGATTATGTGCAGCCGGAGGAAACCCACGACAAAGCCTCAGTCAACCACATTGCTGACCGCGACCGTCGATCCTTTATCGTTCCTGACACCAAGTCTCATCCTGCAGCGTAAGGCTTGTCAGACGACAGACAGCACTGGTATGAAAAGGGGGTCATGCTATGCAACCAAAGTGTAAAGAAGTGTGGTCTTGCAGCATTCCGAGATGAGGTTCACGTTGGTATTTTATGTATCTCATTATTCCCATCCCCAAACGGGAACTCAGGCAAGGCACGCGCATAACATTATTTTATGGGCACGACAACGAGGAGCTACACGGGGTTTAATCCTGCCATACGAGTCACCCCACTCAATCGTACTCAAGCATGGCTCTGGCATTACGTAGGTATCTACGTGTAATAAATGCACTCTGCTGAACTCGAGCTCTCGGCACTCGTCTAAAGTTCGTATCTTGACGTTTTGTTTCGATCCCGCCCTTCTCCGGAATCCAAGTCTCTGATTCATTCGCCCTATTGGCGCGGTTCAGCCAGTGTCCACATATTAACCCCAGGTTGACTCAATCGCATCCATGAACTTCTTGAGGCCCAGGTCCCCAGCAATGGTAGCATTACAAGCCTATGACTCGACCATCCTGAGCACAAAATTGACCACCACGGCAGCCAGGAGAGCAAGGGTCAATACGGTGGGTCCAATCCGGTCGTCGAACCCGCCCTGGCCTCTCACTCTAATGCTCTTTGCCCGCCAATGGAACGTGAACAAAGCGTATAGCATGGCGCCCATGGCCACCAGCGTGAACAATCCTGCCGAAATGCGACCAACTGAATCACCAAAGTTAAGAAGACCGACGGCAAGGCCGCCGAGGATAACTGTGAAGTTGAGCCATGAAAGGAAGGTTCGCTCGTTGGCAAAGAAGACTTTGGGCTCTACCCGGGTTGGGAGGGCGATACGTTTGCCTAGGAATGCGCGTTAGCGGAGGCAGACGAGAATGGCAGTAGCAGTATATACCCGGGGCGCTTTGGAGAAGCGGTCGCTCAGACATGTTACGGTCGATGTTCCGATTTTCCGATGTCGTAGAATAACGGGCTGTACGGTAGGATTGATCTGAGGACACCTTGTGGTTGGGGCTAGAGTGGATCGTGCTGGCTTGGGTCCTCCAAGGACAAGTGGTTCTGCTGGTTGGATGCCTGCTGTTCGTTTCGAGGTAGCCGCCGGTGATTGATCAAACTCTGAGAGTTTCGGGTTGCAGGACTCAGAGAATGCGATCCGTCACTGGACAATAACGCTGAGCGATGCCGTCCCTTGGCAGTGATATCACTTTGTTTTATTCCCACCTCCTGCTGATCTGTATTCACAGATCCAGGGCTCTGATTTTGAGCCACTGGAGTCGGTCCGGACTGTGATGTCTTGCTTCCTTGATTTCCGCGATTAGGGACCGGTACCGAAGCTCTTCCTGGAGACTCCAATCAAGGCTCGAATGTGCTGTAATTAAATTGCTTCTGGGAAGTTTGGAAAGAGAATCGGTGTGCCCGTCGAGCAGTTGTGGTACAACGAAGAGACTGAACGCCGTCCGCAGTGGGTTGCCGTGGATATGTGTTTGCTTTCTGCCGGGCGCTCCAGAATCACAGCACAACAACTCACAACCAAAGCATGTCCAACTATGAGAAGAATAATACCTGGACCTCAAGGATATACACACAGTAAGTGAAGTGCAGCTTGGTAGACCGAGTTTGTAAGGGAGAAAAAGGAAAGCTTCTTCTTTTCTCATTCCGCTTCGAACGAGACCTCACGTCCTGCCTACTTATCGCTCTGCGGGGCAAACCAGGCGCAAAGCGCAGCACCTGCTCGCTTTACAACTTCTTATTCGTTGGTTCCTGTGGGAGCAGGGGTTAGACTGGCAGGGCACGTGCCGAGCTGCGCTTCGCAGGTCAAAATGTCGACCCTACTACGGAAGGTCAAGTCGACCATCAACGCCACAGCATTGGATCCACCAAGTAGTAGGAACGCAGACACGTTGGCGACGAGAAGCCGACCGCAGAAAGTACCATCTGAGTGGCGGCCTGAGACATTTCTCGACCCATCCCTCGTTTCTAACAATCCCGCACGTCAGAGCCAGCCTGAACACCCCCACGCATTGACCCAGTTTCGCAGACGACTCAGCAGAAAAGCCTCGACCTTCAGCCTTCGGACGAAACGTTGGAAAGCTGAGCTAAGAGAACGGAGACAGGAGGGAAAGAAGGGCGAGGAATCCAATCTTGCTCAACGCTTCCAAGACGATTCTGTGCAGCCGGAGGAAACCCACGACAAAGCCTCAGTCAACCAGGTTGCTGACCGCGACCGTCGATCCTTTATCGTTCCTGACACCAAGTCTCATCCTGCAGCGTCGGCACCTGTATCCCAGACACAAGGAGAAGACGCAACGCCGATTACCGTAACCGAAGCTTCCTCACTTCCTCAATTTCTACAAGACTTCATCCGCAAGACACAAGAAGGCTACATTTGCCTGGATCAGGAGGGAGGGAAGATTTCAGCTAAGATGGCCTCCGAGCATACTTCTGCGCCGCCTGTACCTTACACTCGTCTTAAGGAGATAACAGAGAGCGTGAGTGGAGACCACTGGAACTCGAACCTCTATACTCCGTAGAGATATGCGAAACTGACATCTAGACCTACCAGGCATGCGAGGCCGCTCTTGCAGGTGTCCAAGCATATTCGCATCCAGATACAGAATCATGGAACACGACTATTATCAATAGCATTCTGGGCGCCCTGGTCGAGGAAACGACACAGAAGGCGACCGCTTCTGGATCGGGGACAGGTCAACCTCAATTCAAGTATGTCGTCAACAGCACAATCATACAGCATGCGGCTGCTCCGTCATCGTCCAGCGACGATACCAAGAAGACAAGTGGTCGTCGGGGTATGCATGCAGCCAGTGGAGCGTATTGGAACAACGAAAAGGATGGCATGTGGAGTTACAAGTATCCCGGTGCGGACAGCAAGGGGCTAGATGTGGTCGTCGGCATCATCTGGGTCTGGGTTGGGTAGCCGTCGACCTCAAGGGCATCATGTCAGCCCGGTATGGTACAGCGGTTCTTGTTAAAATAGGCCCAGAAGTTCGGCATTTGTTCCAGGGACTTCACTCAGGGCCGGTATTTGAGGGCTGAGAGTGACCCGAGGCAATCCATAAATATCTCAGGCAGACGACGCATACAGTCAATCGTGAAAATGGTTTGGCCGCACTGTTCAGCGATTGATCGCGCTTGGTTGTCTACTGAACACTGTGACCAAGCCTGACTGCATCTATGCCCGCGGCCTCGCTGCCGTGCCTGGAATTGGACGCAAACTTTATGAAATCTGATAGTCATTCCGAAGCCAACGATGGTAGCCTAGACATAAAGCGGCGGTCATGCCTGGATGGCCAGGCAGTCGACATGAGAAATGGCATTATTGCGAGAAGTCCTGATGAAGGCACCTGGACACCTGTAGTACAACCTTGCCGTGAGGGGTCCTTTAGCACTCAATTCTTCACCGAATCTCTCGCTTTGGTCGTCACACTATTGAACGCCTTTCTCACCAAGAGCATCTTGCTACCTACCACTTTCTCCGGCTCCTCATTCCACGCGTCCCACTTACTCTTTCCTTTCTTCAACATTCATCGGGACCGAGCTTATCGTGAACAGTTGTTCAAGTTCAGCCGTTCTAGCCCTAGCCCAAATGGGTAAATACAGAGAGGTGACCAAGAATGCGGCTGCACAAAAAGGGATGATGCCCGGTCGCGGTCGAACGCAGGGGCTGGAGCGGCGGAGCCCCATGAATGTTTATGTCAAACTTGAACTGGTGTTGGCGCAGGGGTGTACTCCGTAGCAGCCCAAGCTCGAGTGCAATCATCATTGGTCGGCGGGGTCAGCAATGCCCATTGAGGCTGAGAGACATGGCAGAGTTTGCAGCTGAGCGTCCGGTATCCGCATGACCCGAACAGGGTCCCATTGGAGGAGCGATGCATCAATGCAACATCCACTCACCAGTCTTGCATATGCCATAATATGCCGTGCAGATGAAACGTGGGCGATCGATTCCTGTACTGAGCCCGTTGGCGCTTGTGGCTACGCACCAATCGATGCGGACGTCCACTTCGGTACTGTATTCCAGGCATCGACCATCGACCATCGACCATCGACCATCGACCATCGACCATCGACCATCGCTCGAGGGATGGGAAATCTACTCGCGGCGCCAAACACGTGAGGTTAGAGCGGCATCACATTCTGCCCTCAACGAAGGCAGCACGCCGAGTTACCAGCGAGTTCAAGTTCTCTTGGGAGACGAGCAAAGAGTAATACCTAGTACTAACATGTACCTATATAAGGTAGGTAGATGATGCCCAGGCACAGAAAGCTTGAAACCCTGGATAGTCTTGGTGCCTTGGTATATAACGCCCCGTAACGGGCCTTCGAATATAAGGTAAATATCTATAGGCTGCCCTTCTTATACCTCATAGCTTATATCTTCACTGCAAATACTGGTTTGAGCCAGGACGCCTATAGGCTTCTGAAGACGCGTCTTGTCGCTATTTCTCTTCTCTATGTAAATCCTGTCTTACAGCTCGATGCTGACATAGTCTCACAGAGAGATGTGCAAGCACTTTGTGACTTCTTTACTGAATAGGAATCTATCGACAGCCACTAAGTGATACTCCTAGAGTTCATAGCGTACTTCTGTACGTAGTGTACGGAGTACGGTGCGCGGTGGGTAGATTGTTGGCGCCGCTCTACGGAGCACCCCTTAGTTACCTGCCGCTGGTCTCACCGTGAGCACGCATCTTCAAGCATGCGTCATTGTCATTACCTAGGGGGTTCTCTGCTTTCTCACAATTACGGGTGGAGCACCGAGCATGTTATTGAATCTGGTCTAATCAAGCGAGGCCCGCCGTTTGTAGGGTTGAAATGGAGATCAAACATCCGTATGCCGTACGGAGTACAGAGGAGAGCCAAAAAGAAAGTATGGTAGTAGGATCCATACCCCTTTCTGGATGTCTACCTAAGGTCACGTCGAACAAATGTTCTACGCATGCGAATATGAGAGGGCCTTTGACGCACAGTCCCCGTGGAGGCCCGCGGAAAGACGGGGACACCGAACGGGGACACCGACGCAGATTGAATTCCGAATTGCTTGGTCTGCGTGGGAGTGTGATAGGATGGAAGGTATTGGCGAACTAGGTAGGCGCTCAGTACCAGAATGGCAGTAAAACCGTTATGGGCCTTGTCTCGCCATATGATAATTCGTGGAAAAAGTCAATGAATGATCGAGAAAAATTTGACGTCTTTTTTTACACTTACTGCATAAGGTAGTCTGGTCAGTGGTCAACTGTCACACTCTGGCACCAAGACCAAGGTTCCTCCAGAGTCCACAGGGCTGAATCGTCACTGTAACGCCATCCGCGGTGGCTAGACTTGATGTAGTAATGGGCTTCCTGCGATATGGAGCTTGCTGGTGGGTAAGCTGAAGCCATGAATTTTGTTCTGTTGGTGCTGGTCGCCGACCAGTACGGAGTAAATGCGACTCCGCTGCCTCGTCCCGTTACCCCCTCCAGAGTACAGAGTAGGCAAGGCGGTTGTGATTTGATCGCAGCCTCACGTGGAACGTAGAGGTTGGCTTCACGTGTTCACTAGCAGTAGTACTGCGCATGTGCCTGTCCACCGTCCAGGGTCTTCCGTGGTTCATCAAGTGCCCCATGACATGACCGCTATCGCCGATCTAGTCAAAGTTTCGGGCTGGAGCCGGAGAGAGGTACGTAGACCACACCCTGCCCATGAAGACCAGCATAATGTACATGTATCTTTGCTCTACTCGCGTGCTATGCACTATGCTGTGCACTGTGCACTGTGCGGTCTCAGTACTCTGTCGAGGTAGGCTGCAGCTTGATAGCCGGCATCCGACAACGCTCGGCCGGGACCGTTGTGGGTGGAGATGGTAGAGAACAAAGAGGAGATTGGAGGGCGGTCGGGCAGGTGGTACAGCCGTTCGTGAATGGCGCACGGGCTTTGGGCACGTCCTGCCATCAACGATGGACTGCAGTAATTGGTGGCTGCGTGGGAGGCTGGCACAAGCTGGTGGGAGTTTGTTGTGCGCCTCCGAGTCAGTGGCTTGTAGGCTTGCACTGTGCAGGCACCGCAGGGAGTTAGAGAGACGTGCCGGGGAAAGCAGAGCAAGGCACCGGCCGGAGTACGGACGACGGACGACGGAGTCGGAAGACCAATACCTTGCTAGGTGCCTTGTGTTCGCAGAGTGTGCCTTCTTCTCCCTCAGGGACTCCGTACTACTACTGCAGGCTGCGCCCTCAGATCGCTTTCGATGGGACTGTCCGCTAGACCTCTTCGGGCAACCCCCCTCGCCTACAACCTCCTGCTGTGGAAATGAAGCTGCGCTCTTCGTGGTCATCCAACCATGCCCTGCAGCCTGCAGCCTGCGCCCTACGCCTTTCTGCTCCTGCAAAACAGACTTGCATCGTGTGCCTGGTGCTAAGGATAGCAAGCGACCATCAGCAGCTCACCCGCGTGGGAGGATCCCCCCAAGACGGCTACGGCCCCGTTGTCAGTCTTGCTGCAGCGCCATCTGTCAACTTGTGAAGTGCCAGCCTCAGCCGAGTCAGCCGAGCCACTCATCGGGTTATAGACTCTACACTGTCACAGCCCACTACTAACCGATCAACAGATTCTACCAGATCTTCGCTCCAAGCCCGTCCTCTCATGTCCTGAGTCCCACCAGGTCCCTAACATCCAGCTGTACAGGGGTCGACATCGATCTGCCACTGCAAACGCCAGCGCCTCTAGTTGTTACTCCATATTCCAGCTGAGTCTCTCTTGTCGATCCAGCTCCATACTCCGTTCCTCCGTACTCCGTACACTGTATAGAGTATCCGTACACCTGGCTACCGCAGTCTCCCCCGGTTCCTGCTAGCCAGTCTAGCACATGCAAGCATCTGACCACCCTGAACCGTGAACAGAGATTTCTTCTGCTTACCGAGTCGATGCGGAGAAAATTGGGTCTGCTGTCTGCTAGGGCCCACAAACCTAGCCGTTACGGCCAGCCTCGAACGGTGAACGGCCTGCAACTGTGCAACTACAGCCATGTCTTCACCGTCGTCACACCAAGCTACATAATCCTCTGCATCGAAATAGGACTAGGCGCTGGAACAGCTGAAGACCTCAGCCGACAACAACATACTTCACTTGCTCATCCAGGTTGCGTTCTAGGGGCTGGCCCTGCAACAACTGTACTGTACTCCCTACACCCAGCACAATGGCCAAGAACGGGTATTTCCAGTTAAGTTCTTGGAGAGTCCCGCGGCTGAAGGGACTTGAGGATCCACCGGGTGCATGGCTTGTTTAGCGTACCACCAAGTGCCGGAACGAGCGACTTGTAATAACTAACTACGTGATGGGTGGAATACAGGTCCCAAGCTGGCCTCTCAGGCTATTCCTTTTGCAGCCTCCTGGCTTGCAGAATCTAAGATCCCATCCACCCTGAGGTTTCCATCTGCACGGCACAATAAATGTCTCTTTCACGAGGAACCAATCCACTCTCACACTGTTCAAGCCGGCCCCTGGCGAACCGCCCTGCCGACTGGTGGGCACCGGCGATCGAGCATCTGACAATTCGGGATTTCGGCTTGAGGATTCGTCAAAGACTTTACCCCTGCTCACCTGGCGGGTGGGTATCTGTTCTAGGAAGCTGGATGGAGAGTCTTGATCAAGCATTGCATCTGTGGGAACTATTGCCCTTGCAGGCCTCGACACTATCTCTGTCTAAACTCCTGCAGCGTCTGATCCCAGGAATGACAGGTTAAACGGTGCCCAACTAAGGCTGTGGCTGACTCTATCTCCATTTCGCGCTTCGGAGAATACTGCCCTGCTTGCAGAGCGGAACGCCAATTGCGAATACTCAAGAGTCTAACGTGCCGCACCTTCTGCCTGTCACAACACAGACCCAGCAAAGTGGCCGTCTCCCCACAGATATAGGGCAGCTCCTGCTGGACCCTACGACTCGAGCGCCGCTTGTGCGGTCTGAACTTGACATTAACTGTCTGCCGACGCACCAGCGAGTGAAGTTCACTATTCGCAGCCCGACCGTTGCGCTATTTCCTCAGGGTCCCTTGTCGCCGCCCAATCAAACCTGATGCACTCAAATTGTCCAACTGAACTCATCTCCGTTTGATGCTGAACACTTCAGTCTGTTCATATCACCGTCGTAATGACGAACTTTTAAGACTCTCAGCTCTGAAACCTAGCTCTGTCACTGGAGGACAAGTGGTGGTCGCCAACTCATTGCTTTTGCGGGTCATCCCTTTCGCGCCCGGCCTTACGTACTGCTGGTTCGGGACCGTACCCGTCATCGCCTGATCTGCGAAGAGGTACTTGAATGATGTCGGTCGCCACAGAGATCATTCATCAAACTAAGTTCAAAACAATTGTCGTTGCCAACATGTCGGAATCAGGCAGTGAAGCAAGCAAGGCAGCGAAGAAGAGGTCGGTCTAGCTATCTCTCTCTCCCGAAAGACTACTAATCCATTCGTTAGGGAATATAACCGCAATGCGCAGCGCGTGTTTCGTAAGTAGCACTTGCGGCTCCACGCCCCAGCGGTTCTCTATCGAAATTGCCTTTTTATGGCGACTGATTTGTATCAGGTCAAAGGCGCAAAGAACACTTGAGCAAGCTTGAGGCCGCCCAGCGTGAACTCAACAGCATCCAGGTGGAAGAAGTCGAACGACTGCGTCGCGAGAACCAGTTGCTCGCCCAAGAAAACGAGACTCTTAAGGCGGCGTACGGGTCTCAAGCCAGTTCACCAGGACTGAATGAAGGTCCTAGTGAATTGAGGGGCTCGCCTTCTGGCTACATACACTACGGAGCAGGAGCAGCAGTAACAGGCGGCTATGTAGGTCCAGCCGGACCGTCTACAGCTTACGTGCCTGCGCCTATGCCAGCTGCTCTTCCCCCTCCAGCAACCTCTCCTCTATCTAGTACCAGCCACGACCCCGCAAACCTAGTGGTCGTGGTGCCGAACAACATCCGCGAGATTCGACGATCACTGCATCAACTGTTCGCACCTTTACTCGAAATACCAGTCATTTCGAATCCACAAAGACATCTTGCTACTCTCGCCGCATTAGAGCCATCATTACCAGCCTCATTAAGACCCAGCCAATTACAACTGTCTACTCCTCATCACGCCTACATTGATATGATACCTTCGCCCAGCCTTAGGGCTCGACTGATTGCGATCGGACCGGCAAACGCCAACACTTTTCTCACGGAAGCTTGCACGATTGCCTGTGACATTGAAGATACAGGACAAATGACTATATGGGGTGAGGACTGGCTGAATGATTTTTCGTGGGAGTTTTCTGCCAGCGTGTTAGAGAGATGGGGAGGCTGGCTCCTGACCGCCGAATGGGGTCAGAGAGCCAACTTCTGGCGACGCCAGAGAGGCGCGCCGATACTCCCAGGGTATGAGTGATGCGACTTTGCTGGCATGTCAACAGCCATTCTTCCTACACTACGGGCACCATCCTCACAAGGAAACGAATGGCTCCTCCTGTTGGCATGAACTGCCGGACCAACACCTTTTCGAAGATGAAATGCTTTGACCGCGTTTCATTTTAGGGCCCTCGTCGAGCACACTCTAGTCGGATGTCGTGAATTTTGGCTGCCTGTCTGCAGAATAAGCGGGTTGCGACATGCTCGAAGTTGCACTATACTGTGCGAACTTGAGCAAGGACCAGCCTAACTTCACACTCCTTGTTGGAACATGGCGCCGGTCGCCTTTTCAATACACAGATTATCTGTTCGTCCTCTTGTACCATATTGTCCTGACCATTCATGTATTAGCACAACGGTTTTTTTGTATTGCCTCTTGTCTATCAGGGTCGTCTGAAATCCTCTTTACAAAGGGCAGAACTTCTGGCAAGTCCAGCTCTCGATTTACTCCAGGTTTTATCGCGTCGAACCGATCGGCGGAGAGGATAGATATTTCTTGCAAGGAGTTTCGAGGTCTCAAGCCTGTCGAGAATCCATGTTCGCCGGTGTTTATGGACCGCTAGACATGAGACGAGGATCTCGACCACGGCTTCAAGGGCCTTTTGCAGGCTTTCGGAAGAGTTTTGGGGCTTTGCAGGTCATGGTCTCGAGAGAAAGCGCTCTTGTCTGGTTTTAGGCAGAAACACGCAGTCCTGCAGCCTCCGAGACGAAGAATTTGTTGGGAATCTCTGGTGTCAGGCCGTTTTACGTACAGAGCAGGTCCCAGCTTTCACCGCCCACATGAACCTTTGAAAGCGTTCATCTCACAAACTGTCGGGGATTTTGTTCCCACCAAACTTGTGACAATGCCCTATTCCCTGCGCCTCCGAAGACATCCAAAGAGAGTGCGAGTCGACAAAGTGACACTGTCGGCCACCGCAAGGCTCAGCTCAGCGCTGGACAGCATCGTTCCTACCACATGCGCGGATCTCTGATGACTGCGGATTTCGCCTTGGAAAAGAAAAAACCGCGCCCCCAAAACGCTCGAATTAGGAAGAAGACGGAAGGCACACAGTAAACCAGGGCGGCGCTTGGTTAGATATATATGGCTGGGGCGCTTAGGTTTTGACGGGTTGTTTGAGTTGGACATCACTACCCCCCGCCTGAGCGTTTGTTCCAAGAAGCGGACAGACCAGACCAACGACCAACTGGCCTGGTAACGACGGATCGGATCCGGTCCGAAGAAGGGAGGCGAATAGTATCGACAACCCCTTCTGTCCAGCCTGCACAGACAGCAGTCATGGAAATACGGACGGAAAGATTGCAAGAAGAGCAACTACAAACCGGTCCAAATATACATGCGCCCGGGAAGAGGAGGAATCAACTTGAGATTGGGAGATCGGGAGATTTCATGAGCTAAGGCTGGAGAACCCTGTCTAAACTATGTAATGTCTTCAAGTACCACCCACCCGGCATACTATTATTGTACAACACGGTCCAGGTTCCAATGTCCTGCGGCAGCCCCTGTAAATATAAACAACAAAGCAAATTCAAAACATGTCTATCACACAAGACAACAAGATTGAGTTGGGGGTATCAGTTCCGCAAACGCCGCCAATAGTGCTGTATCATAATCCTTTTGTTTTCTTTTTCATAACATCGTGGGAATCCATCTCCTTTTGGTTTCGGACACCATTTCTCCCTGTTCCATGCGCTAAATATGCAGAATCGAGTGTTAAGCTCGAGAGGATATGCCATGAAAAGCGAGATCATTCTCCGCCTTCATATTTCGTACAAAGAGAATTGGCAAAATCCGGAGTAAAGTGGATCCAGGGTTCTCGTGTAGGTCCACCAAATATGCTACCGGTAGTTCGACACCGATATCGTCGCAGCTTCGTGGAGTAGATCGCCAATCGGCTGGATTGGACAATCCCATTCCCGGTGGGCGTTTATGCAACTGTCCCTTGGTTCGGCTTTCCAACCTCCAGCTCCAACGATTCTTTGTCTGCCGCAACAACGACTGTGGCCGTGTCTCCCGTCTTAAGCTCGCCGCGAATGATCTTGTCTGCCAATCTCCGGCCAATCTCGTGCTGAATCAGCCGGTTCAACGGTCTGGCACCGTACCTCGAGTCATAACCTTTCTCGCACAGCCAGCCTTTGACTTCGTCCGACATCTGAAGCGTGATCCTGCGGTCATCAAGTCGGTCCTGGAGTTCCTTAATTCGAATATCCACGATATCTCTCAGCGCGGATCTCGACAGTTTGTTGAAGATGATGAACTCGTCAATCCGATTGAGGAATTCGGGCGGATAGCTCGCCTGCACGATTTCCATGACCGCCTTCTTCTGCTCAGGAGCCACGGTTTCGGAGTCGGTACCCGCGCCCATCAGGACTTCGGCGCCAAGGTTACTGGTCAGGACAATCAGCGTGTTTCGGAAATCGACCTTGTGACCCTGGCTGTCAGTCAAAAAGCCCTCATCCAAGACCTGCAGCAACAGGCTGGAGATGTCACGGTGTGCCTTCTCAAATTCGTCAAACAGCAGCACAGCGTAAGGCTTCCGCCGCACTGCCTCTGTGAGCTGGCCGGCGTCTTCGTAGCCCACGTAGCCTGCCGTGGCACCGATCAGCCTTGAGACGGTGTGCTTTTCCTGGAACTCAGACATGTCGAATCTCACAACAGCGGTCTCGGTGCTGAAGAGGAAGTTGGCTAGCTGTTTGCAAAGTTCGGTTTTGCCCACACCGGTGGGGCCGAGGAACATGAAACTGCCCATCGGACGGTTCTCGCCACTGAGGCCGGCTCTCTGCAGACGCACCGCATTGGCGACTGCAGTGAGTGCCTCGTCTTGACCTCTGACATGTTCTCGCAGCTTGTCCTCCATCTTGATCAACTTTTCCACCTCCCCGGCCATGAGCTTGTTGACCGGGATCCCCGTCGTGCGGCTCACGACGTTGGCGATATCGTCGGCAGTCACGGCGTCATGGATTAGGGTCTCGCCGTTCTTGGTCGTAGTGGCGACTTCCTCACCCTCTTCCGGCAATTGAGCCTCGAGCTTAGGAATAACGGCGTACTGGAGTTCTCCTGCACGTCCGAAGTTACCCTCCCTCCTCGCTTGATCTAATTCATGCCGTGCTTTCTCCAGATCTTCCTTTGTCTTCTTGATGGTTTCGATTTCCGCCTTCTCGCGGTTCCAGATTTCGGTCAACCTGTCGACTTCTTTCTGCTTCTCTGCGAGGGTTTCTTGCAACTTCTGCCGACGTTCCTTAGACGCAACATCGGTTTCTTTGCGAAGTGATTCAAGTTCGATCTGGATGGTCATAATCTCACGATCGAGTTTCTGGATAGAATCAGGCTTGGATTCCTGCTGGAGTCGCAAGGCAGAAGCAGCCTCGTCGACTAGATCAATGGCCTTGTCGGGTAGGAACCGATCGGTTATATAGCGGTTGCTGTAGGATGCGGCGGCGACAAGAGCCCCATCGGTGATGCGGACACCATGGTGGACTTCATATCTGTCTTTGATACCACGGAGGATCGAAATGCTATCCTGTACAGAAGGCTCGCCAACCAGGATAGGCTGGAAACGGCGTGCAAGAGCAACATCCTTTTCGATCAGGCGGTATTCGTTTAGAGTCGTGGCACCACAGCATTGTAGCTCGCCACGGGACAACGCTGGCTTGAGTAGATTGCTGGCGTCGATGGAGCCCTCTGCCTTTCCCAGTCCCAGCAGGGTGTGAAGCTCATCAATGAAGAGAATGACCCCACCCTGGGCGTCTTCCACCTCCTTCAATACTTTCTTCAACCTCTCCTCGAAATCACCTCTAAATTTGGCACCAGCGATGAGTTGTCCTAGGTCGAGAGAGATGACTCTCTTGTTTTTGATGCTCTCGGGGACATCCCCTCTCACTATCCTCTGTGCAAGCCCTTCAAGGATGGCGGTCTTGCCTGTGCCTGCAGCACCTATCAAGACCGGGTTGTTCTTTGTTCTGCGGGAGAGGATCTGAATCGTCCGGTGAATTTCGCTATCTCTTCCGATGACGGGGTCAAGTTTGCCAGCCTTGGCTCGAGCCGTCAGGTCCACCCCATACTCTTCCAGTGCTGGTTTCTCTTCTCCTCCTCCCATATCCATTCGATGTGTGCCACCCGGCGGGTGAGGTCTTCCATTGGCATACGTCCGTACTGTGGAAAGGGCAGGTAAGACTGATCTAGTCACTATTGTAGGCCTTGCCGTACTGGATATAAACGGAGTGAATGCGGTCCGTCGTAACGGGGTTGAGAATGAGCGAGTTGATATGGCTCGTCGAACGAGCGACGACTTTGCTGTGTTCATAATTGCGATTTTGTAGCGCCAGGCGCTTTTTCCCAGGAGTATTATCGGTAATCTAATAAGTGAATAGACATTCTAGCCAAATGAAAAGGAGGTCAAAGGACAATTATGTCTGAAATGAATCCGCGCACTTTTGGAGACTTGGTTCTGGAAGTCTCGAGAGGCATCGAATTCAAAAGGAGACTAGTCTGCCAAGGCCATCTGGGCGCCGCTTTTAAGACGCACGCCAGCGGCCACAGTAGTCCTCCGTACACTGCGTACAAAAGTAGCTCAGTACGCCGTAGACTCTAGGAGTATCACCCTGGTGGCTGCCGACAAATTCCTATCTAGACTCAAAAAGTGCTTGCACATCTCTCTGTGAGACTGTGTCAGCATCGAGCTGCAAGAGAGGCGCCCGGCGAAAACCAAAAAAGAAGGCCTGCTTATGCGACAGCATGTTGTCCTGTCGGCGTCCGTAGTTTCTCCAAACATTCAGGACGATCTTTGTCCGATTTTCCGTCTTTGTTATATGTACCCTGTGGTCAGTGTCGCAGACTGAACACTTGAATACCTCAACTTTTTCTGAGCCTGTCATTTGCATAATGTTTTGCGCGAGGGTCGGCCATCTTTCCTTCCAGCCCGGTTCCTCAAACAGATGGAGGCATATCTGCGAATTGAAGCGAGTGGACATGATCGCTAGTTCTCGCCCAGACTCTGTCTCTACCTCTAACCGGGTAGCAAGTATAAGCTGACCATCCACGACCCGGGCCTCACTTTCTCGTAGGTAGCCGTCATAGTCCTTACCACTCGCAGATAGAAAAGCCAGAGGTAAACCGTAAGCCGGCCCATACTCGTAGGCTCGGAGAACTAGGTCGATAATTTCCCGTGTCACACGAATAATATAAATACCTCGTGGCCGTATAGCGAGAGTGCCCATCACTTCATTTTCATCATACGGGCGAGAACGATGACACGGACATCGGTAGTGACAACGTTTTCTTCCTCGCCACGCAAATAGCAAGCCGCATGAGCGACATGTCAAATATTGCGGGCAGTCGAGTTCGAGGAGGCGTGAAAACCGTAACTTGGAAAGCTTATCCTGAGGAAGCGCAACGTTGATGTAGAGGCCGAAGAGGACACGGAATCGTTTACACGAGAGACTGAGCAGGAGTTGAGACTCATTGTCTAGAAAGCTCGTGATTTCTAGCACTAGCTCGGTCGGAAGATTCAGGAGCGGGCTGTGACATTGCTGGGTGCCCTTTGAGCTTTTCATTAGCACATGAAAATAGCTGCTCTTCGAGGGAGACTCACGAGTCCAAAAATTCTTAGTATATAGGCCAAAAGCCGCTGGGGCAAGTGTCTGGGATTCATCCGTGATAGATCTGGGGCAGTAGGGAAGAAGAGAAGAGATATGGCGACAAGACGCGGCTTTAGAAGCCTGTAGGCATTCTAGCTCAAGTCCAAGTTCGAACTTAACGACGCTGAAGGGTTGTGTACCTACCTAAGGTATAGGAATTCTGTGCTTATACTAGTAAAGACGTAAGTTATGAGGCACAAGAAGGGTAGCCCATGGATGATTATATTCGAACGCCCGTCCCTGGGCGTTATATACCAAGGCACCAAGACTAGCCTGGGAAACTTTAAAGTCAAAAGCTCACTTCTTCGAGGGTTTCAAGCTTTCTATGCCTCCTAGGTAGGCATCATCTACCTACATGAAGGTATAAATGTTACGTAGTAGGTAGTACTCTTTGCCCGTCTCCCAAGAGAAGTTTATTATGTGGACTGAGCTCATGGCTCGTAACTTAGCGCGTTATCTCGTTAAGGGCGGAATGTGATGCCGCTCTAACCTCACATGTTTGGCCATAGTGTTTCTTATCAGGGCGGCATCACCCTCATTCCCGATCGGGCGCCAGCCGCGAGCAGATTTCCCATCCCTTGGCATCGACCATGCCGGCTTTTTTTTGATTTGGGGGGCATCGTTGGCGAAGCAATTTGAACAGAACACCATCTACCGTATCTCGCCACAACACTGCTCCATTCTCCTCTCAGTCTCGTGCAAACAAGTAAACTAGGACCAAGGACCAATTCACACCGTCAATATGGGTTTCACCGACTTTATCTCCGACAGTGGCCTCACTCGTAGGTGTTTTGACTGCAGCCTCTGGAACCGCATGGAACTGACCGATTACAGTGCTGAACAACTGGCTGAGGACTCGTTCATACATCGCTGGGTATGTAATCCTCATGAGTTTTCTTGTTGCTTCTCTATTTGCATGATGAAATTAAATTGGTCCGTGTTGATGAGGCGGCTTAAGACACCGCAAAATGACTACTTCCAACCGCAAGCATTTGCACTTCTGATTTTCGTTGAGCGAATATCGTCGACTCTATACACTTTTCTTCTGAGACCGATCGCTGACAGGTAGCCGACAGCTTCCAACCATCTCAAGCCGATGTTGTTTCTTTCAAGGCTCTGGACAAAGCCCCCGCCGTTGAGAAGTACCCCAATGCCTATCGCTGGTACAACCACATCAAGTCCTACGAGGCCGACTTTTCCACCCTTCCCGGTGATCCATCCAAGCCGTTCACTACCTATGGCCCAGAGGCAGTTGCCGTGACACAAAACCCCAAGGATGCTCCCGAGGCCGAAGACGAAGACGATGTCGACCTGTTCGGCTCCGAATCGGAGGAGGAAGACCCCGAGGTTGTCGCAGAGCGTGAGAAGAGATTGGCCGAGTACAAGAAGAAGAAGGAAGGCAAGGCCAAGCCTGCTGCCAAATCCATCGTCACACTAGATGTCAAGCCGTGGGATGACGAGACTGATATGGCCGAGTTGACGAAGAACGTTTTGGCGATCGAGTTGGATGGTCTCGTCTGGGGTGCTCACCAACTGGTGCCTGTTGGCTTCGGCATCAAGAAATTGCAGATCAACTTGGTCGTCGAAGACGAGAAGGTTTCTCTCAGTGACCTGCAGCAACAGATTGAGGAAGACGAGGACCATGTCCAGTCGACCGATGTTGTTGCCATGCAGAAGCTCTGAGCGACGTTTAGAACTGGCCTTGTTCGCTGGAAGGTTGATGGCTAGGGCTCATGGTTACACAGAACCTGGAAGGCGACGAGTCAAGGGTGCAGCCTCGTGGAGGTGGCCAAAGCCTGCACAGTTCTTTGACAAAAGCCTTGACTCTAGAAGAATGCATAGCCTGCTCTACGGATAGTTCATGATAGATGAAGATGAATGACACTTTGCACTGTCAGCTTGTGCTGTGACTTCGATCATTCCACCCGCCCAGTTGACACAACATTGGTGCCTTGTTATCAGATCTGAGACATGGAATCCCTTGCTGCATCATGATTAGTTGGTTTCGCCTAGATCCGGACAGCCACCAAGGACGGCCTTGATAGCTTTAATAATAGATAGGACTATTAGCCACCCCTCTCCGCCTCTTCACCCATCACTCGCAGCTTCCCATCTCCAAAACTGTACGGATACTGAGGACGAAACCTGTCTAGAGATCAGAGATCGCTCTTGCAGGTTGGCCTCGAAGACCGCGGCTGCAGCAGTTCAGAACGCCAGCGTCGTACGGAGTACATAAATATATATACATATACGAGCAGCACCCATTGGCTTATATCCGGCCCCCAAATTCACACAGCACATAAGATACACCCAGGGATTCGAAGCAACCCCCTGCAGTCTCAAAGTAAGACGATTTCTCAGCCAGGAGGACATCGTCGTCATATCAGTGTTCTGCTATTAATCTGACCAAAAGAGCACCGCCTGCCTCGACAGTATCCTGGCCACTGACCACCATCTCCATCTACTCTCTGAAAAGAGCCACACACCCTTTTTACGCACGCAACGACCACGTATCCCTCTCGGACACAACCTGTCCCTCTGTTTCCGACAATGCCATCAAAGCTCAAGATCGACCCTCCGCTCCTCAACTCGGCTTGTCCCTGGTCCACGTCTCTCGAAGACATCAAAGAGCTCTACGACAGTCCATACACTGGCGCCGTGACCATCCGCACCAGCCTGCTCGAGGGCTTCACTCACGATGACTCGGTGCATCAGTATATCTTCTTCACGCCGGGCAAGACGATCCCTGCGAACGCTCCCAAAGGCGAAGAGTCAAACCCCAAAGGCAGCAAGTCCACAACAGAACAAACACCATCTTCCGCCACCTCGTCCTCTTCGGCGGAGCCGGTGTCGACACTAAACACACTTGGATACTCCCATCTCACGCTGTCCGAGTACTTGGGCATTATCAACGAGATCGTCGGCCAGCGGCACCTGGGCACGGATACGCCAACCAAGAAGCCGTTTATTCTCAGCGTGACCGGCACGCCAGATGAGATATCCATGGCCTACGCCCTGATCGCCAATGCTGCCGAAATGGACGAAGACCTGCGTCTAGCTATGGAAGTCAATCTGTCGTGTCCCAACATCGCGCACGCCTCCCCTCCAGCCTATGACCCAGCCCAGCTGGCCGAGTATCTCGAGGCCATCAGCGACTCGAAATCGACCTATCGCGGGCGCATGGCCACCCCAGAGAGCGTCCCGAAGGTAGGAATCAAGTTGTCTCCCTACACCCACGCCGCACAGTTCGACATGGTCGTTGCAGCCTTGAGAGCCGCCAAGTCGAATGAACCCGGAGAAAGTTGTGTCGTCGACTTCCTCACCTGCACCAACACACTCGGCTCGTCGCTGCTGCTCAACGACGCGCTCGAACCCGTGCTGCACAGTGAATCGGGAACAGGACTCGGCGGTCTGGCCGGCGCAGCGCTCCATCCTCTGGCCTTGGGCAATGTTGCCACTTTCCGCCGCCTGCTGGATCAAACCCCTGAGACGAAGGACATCGCCATCATCGGGGTCGGCGGCGTCGAGGACAAGGCTGGGTTCGATAGAATGCGCAAAGTCGGGGCCAACGCGGTCGCTTGTGCGAGTGCCCTGGGTCGCTACGGCGTCAGAGTGTTTGAGAGCATCACCAAGGGTGAATGAGGCAGCGAAGTCTTGCATGGATTTGGATTGGAGCTGGGGCAAAAATCGGCTGCTAAGACAGCTTTTATGTCTATCGGTGGACCACCAAACAGGGAGAGGCATCGTCTTCGTCTCTTGGGGCACCCGTACATGCTAGGACCTATATATCCCTTCAAACCATTCCGGATACTGAGTACATCGCTACGAGCCATGGACCGTCAAAGACATAGTATGAGAATCATTGGAATAGAACTTTTCTGCATACAACGCTAAAAAAGGAAATCTTGATTACGGCTCTCGCTCGCTCGCTCGTTCGTGCCTGCTCTCCTTGATTCAACACTCAAACGCATAATGCTTTCCTCTCCATACAGTTTGAGTACACTGACACTGTATGCACTGCTGTCTCCTTCCACCGTAGCAGCACTCACTACTCACCCCTCCAGTCAGTCGATCACTCGGCTCTAGGTATGCATGCCACTCCAACTGAAATCAATGCAAGACGTCCTTCCCTAAGATCTGCTTCTCTGTGGATACACTGAGGAATCGTGGTGGGCCAACCCGCTCAAAAAGTGTCCCCCGGAGAGCCGACTTGGCCGTGCATCATTCTATCGTTGGTCCAAGCTGCCACATCCCCAATTTGCATTGATCACAACGCATACGGGTTCATGGATCTGATGGTCAAGCATCTGGAACATGGGTCAGTAAGCACTTCAGGTCGATCCTAGGGCATGGAACTTACGGAGGACTCTTGGTTAGGTCCGTCTTCAAGATGACTGGCACTCGGGTCATTTCGGTAACATCCTGAATGTACTCGCCGCCTTCTTCTCGAAGTTTGAAGTAGCTGAGATACTTCTCCTTGTCCGACAGGTGGTTTTCTGGAATGTCACCTCCCGACTTGGCAATTCTGGAGTCGGATTGGGTTCGTGTCGGTCCTTGGGACGACGATCCGTTGCGGCTTGGAGATGGCGGAAGACTCTGAGTAGAGCGGTCAACAGGAGAGTTGAGCGAGACTCCGGCCGTCATCTCAGTAATCTCAGAGGTAGTGTCCTCGTCGTCAAACAAAGCATCGACGTCGTCAGTCGATATGGTGTTGCTGTCGGTTTGCTTTCGCTGTGCTTCGAATCGTTCTTTGGCACGTTCTTTGGCAGTCTGCGAGTCGCGTGCGCCGTTCGGGCCCTTGGTGCTCGCCGAGGCTCGAGGTCGCTCGTCTTCGGGAATATATGCAGACGAGGGCACACCCTTTTCCCAGTAAAGTTCGAGTACTCTTTCGTCCTTGCGGTACTCGGCCTTTTTCAGTGGCAGCTGATCACAATGAACGCGTTTCTCAAACCCATACTCGGGTATCAGGACGTCAAAGGCCGATTCGTAGACACAGATGACAATGCCCTCGCTGACCAAATCGCCGCCAAGCTCCTGACTCTCCTTGTCCATAAGTCTGCAAGACTCAATATGAACGGACTGTTCTTGGGCGGAATGGGCGGAATCCTTCTTGTTGTTGCATTGTTCCGTAGTCTTGGCCAGGCTCTCCAGATCTTCCGTAAATTCACCATTCGTCAGGGCCGCCTCCAGTTGACGATGCACGACAATGTCAGCATAACGACGACTAGGGTTGGTAAAGTGTGTGTAGATCGGTAGATTCAAGGCATAATGCTGACGCTGTTCCTCCGACAGCTGGTTGCCGATGTAGTATTTTGCACGTTGCAAGGTCTTGACCAAAAGAGTCTCCATACCCTTGCGCAGATCTGCATCTTCCACCTTGAACAGGCTATTCTGCAAAGTGCCACTGCTGGTGGCGTCGATCTCGTAGCCGGCTCGAGTCATCCGATCGGCAAACGTCAGCAGACGTCTCGGATTCGGCGGCGCTTGTCGTCTGAGAAGAGCCTTGTCGGGGATGGCGGCGAAAATCTTCTGAGCCACGAAGAAATTCGCCTTGCAGCAGATCTCTTCCACAATTTCGTGTGCGGCAGAGGTATTGAAAATGTTCTGCTCAACTGGTACATTCTCGTCGTCAAGTTGATACAACAACCGAAGCGGAGAAATGTTGGCGGAGCGATGACCAAATCGAGCTTCTCGGAACTTGTTGGCGACGGTATGAAGAGTCTTGATATCCTCAACCGTAGCGCCATGCAAGTCGATATTGCCATCTCCCTTAATGACGGCGTCAACGTCACGGTATGCCAGCTTGCCAGAACTCTGAATGATGGATTTCCCAATCCAGGGTTCGCCTTCGATCTTTCCAGTCTCAGTGTGGACGTTGAAAATCACACTGACTGTGAGACGCCCCTCTCCGGGTAGAAGTGAGCATACTCCAGAAGATAGTCTGGGCGGGAGCATGTTGACTGCACGGTTCACAAGGTAGACCCCGGTCCCTCGTTTCTTCGCCTCCCGGTCGACCAAGGAGTTCGCCTTCACAAAGTGCGCAATATCTGTAACGTGGATACCAAGTTCTACCAAGTCGTCACCGAGTGGCTTGATATGGAGGGCATCGTCGAGTTCACTAGTGCCATTGGGATCGATGGTGAAACTGCGCTCGTTGCGGAGATCACGGCGACCGGCCAAAGCCTGCTCGCCCTCCGATTGCAAAGACCAGTCGTCCCATCCCACACTCTTCAAAACAGCATCCGAAAATTCATCGGATCCAAAGTTGTTGTCGCGAAGTAAAGCGTCGGTCTCGACGCGAAGGTCTCCCATCTCCCCAAGCTGCTCGACGAGTGTACCGAACGGGTGTAGAGAAGTAATGGGCCAGCGCTTAATACATGCAACGAAGATTCGGTTGGCGTAGTCCATATGCTTCTCGACAAAATCTCGTGGGGCTTGCTCGGTAGGGATGGCAATCAATGGCACACGCTTGTCAGTCGGCTTGAACCAGACAATCTTTGGTTTGTCTTGGTGACGAGATTCAGATCGACCATGACCGCCATCACGAGCGTGTCTTTCTGCCTCCTGCTTGTCTTTGGTAGCTTGGCTGCTTGGACGCAAGAGCCCGAGTGTGCCGGAGAACATCTGGCCGGCAATACGTTCGATAACAGCAACAACGTGGCCAGCATAGAGCGGCTTCTGCTCATCACTGATCTCCTCCTCTTCCATGAGAAGCAAGCTTTGGCCTTCAACTTCCACATCGTCATTCTTCTTTTGTGTTGGTCGTTGACGTAGACTGCCTCGTCGTCGGATGCTACCGTCCGGCGCAATGGACTGTGCATCGCTGGATGACGCAGTATCATTTTTGCCGTTCTGAGTGTTTGCGGATGAACGGGTATCAGTAATATCTTTCCGCTTTTTCTTTTCTTCCTTTTCACGTTTCTGCCCCCAGACCTCGTCGACATCGAGGAGCTCGATGGCAACCAAGTCACCCTCGAGCGCTCGGTTACGATCCTTACTTCCGCAGATGAAAATATCTGCATCAAGATCGCTAGTGGTGACGTATGCATCGGAGCGATTCTTCTTGTTGACTCTGAGAATCCCCGCAACAAGCTGCCCATCGTTCAGTAGTGCAGGTAAAGTTGCTTGAGGGAGGTAGGGTGTGAACAATGTCTTTCTCTGTTGTTGCTGCTGCTGCAGCCCTAAGGGTGGGGCATGCTGGCTTGCTTGCAAACCACCGAGCTGTGAACCTTGCATAGCCTGGAGCTGAGCAATTTGCAAAGCGTTTAGTTGTTGACCAGCAAACATCTGCGGTGGCATCATCATTTGCCCTTGGGGCATTTGAACCAACTGCGGCTGGCCAGGATACTGGAACCCGCTCATTGAACCGATAGACTGATTCATTGAACCGCGAACTCGGTGGCCCGGTTGGAATCCCCCAGCACTTAAGCCTTGCGGCTGGGTGAACTGGCCCATTTGCTGTTGCTGCTGTTCATTATTCTGCTGATTGTTCTGTTGACGCCAGTTGCCGTCAAAGTTTCGTGAACCTTGTCTTGTGTGGCTACTCTGGCTTCCACGACGCTGGAGGTCGGACTGATTGCCTTGACCTGAGCCACCTTCTGTGGTACCCATCGGAGGTGGAAATTGGAAACCAGCACCAGCACCACCGCGGCCGGCCGCACCACCGCCTCGAGCACCTCCTGTAGCCATACTTTGACTCCGGCTATGACCCATAACTCTGGCATTCCCAGCGCGTTGTAAACCCAGCCCTTGTGGACCGGCCGGCGTTGCCGGTTTGTCATCGGATGGAGTGGCTATGACGGGACTCTCAACCGTGCCGCCAGCCCCAGGAATGGGAAACTGGAAGCCTGCTGATGTTCGCTTCTTTTCGGCAAGTTCTGCAGCTTTCTTTGCTTCAGGAAGTGCAAGTGAATGACGTCGAGCATGGCCACCTTGTGTAGGACCTCCTCTTCCACGACCGCCACTATTCTCACGGTTCTGGCCCATAGCTTGCTGATTGAAGTCGCCATAAGCTTGTCCCGCAGATGGAGCAGGTGGTGGCCCCATGGCCATGCCCGGAAGAGCGGATTGGTTTCGGCGATGAGCAGCAGGCGGCGCAGGCGGATTGGGGGGGATTCCCATCTGTGGCTGATGTTGAGGAAATTGAAAATTGGTGTTGTTTGGAGACATTCCGGCCAAGGCAGATTGACCTTGGATGGGCGAATAACCTGGCATGCCTTGCAAAGGCTGCTGGATCATGCCCATATTCACATACTGCTGATGTGTGGCAGCAATCTGTTGTTGCTGCTGCTGAAGCAATTCAATCTGTTGTTGAAGCGCAAGTTGTTCCATCATAAGTGGTGTCAACTCTGATGGACTGCGGCGATGGGCGATATGAAGTCTGCGGCCTGCAGGGCCAGGCACACCTGTTGAACCTGAATGTGCCATCTTCAAGTATCTTCAGTAATAGATACTTTACGTCCTAATTCTTCGGCGACGAGTGGTATTTTTCAATGTCAGGCTTGTGTCCGAGGTGGAGAGGCCGGCGAGGTGTCAAGTGTGACAGTGCAGGGTCGCGGGGATTTGAGGCAGGCGGGAGCCTGATGGCTGTCCGTCGCAACGGTGAACTGAGGCAGGAGGTAGCCTGATGGCTGTCGGTCACAATGGTGAGGTAACAGTGGAGGGCGACTGCAGAGTGAAAAATTGATGAACAGACAAGCAGGCTCGACGCCTGGGCGAGGGAAGGACAGGAAACGGAATTGACGGAGGACGGGACCGTGATTGGAGACAGGCGGGAGCACAAGAGAGTGACTCTGGCTATTTGAAGGACTGTTTGTGACAAATGGAGAGGGGGAGAGAATGGATGGTAGAATGTGGGCAGAGAGGACGGCGAAGAAGATCAAGAGATGGTGATGGTGAAGTGAAGGAACCACGAAGGGGAACGTTAAGTGTCTTGTCGATGTGTGTTGGAGAGAATGGGCTGAAGTAGTACGTTGACTACAGTAAGGTGATGGAGACGGGGGTGGAGGTGTGGTTAGTGCCCGTGCCTGTGCCTACGCCGCCAATATTATTAGGTACCTAAAGGTAGTCTTCACTGGTGGCATCTCCAGGCGCCAGGCGTAGTTACTGTCGGATGGGGGCGACACGTTTAGGGGAGGTCTACTCCGTATTTAGGGGAGATTCTCTAGACACGCTACAGGATATTCTATATTCTATATACTAGGTAGGTACTCATTGTAAGTGTCCGGTACGCCAAACAATGCTCCATCTCATGAGAGACGGGAGTCATTTGTGTAAGGTGCCCCCAGAAGGTCTCTGTGACACTCCATGAGTCTGACTAGTAGCGTACCATGGTAGGTACCTACCTTACAGTAGGTAGTCTCCTAGGCACTACTAGGGATTTAATATTAGTACCATTCACCTACCATTTCATCGTCGAAACCAACGCCAAGCCCCAGGTGCGGGCAGCTGTCAGGCGCAGGCAAAAGACATGTACGGAGTACGCAGCTGTGCCACTTCTCTTTGATGGAGCCGCTCATCCTAGTACTACTGTACATACAATACACTCCCCTTCTAGCACAGGCCAGCAACCGGAACCTCGTCGCGACACGCCTCGGTCCTCGACTTTGAGTCTAATAAACTCCAACTTCACCCTGCTTGTTGGCCCTCCCGTCGCCTCCTCATCAACCCGTTCGCCCGCTCCGACACGATCCCTTGTGGCACCTCTTGTAAGGACTGGTTCTCGGTTTCGGCTGACGAGGCCACCTATTCCTGTTGTTCCTGACCTGACCTGGCGCTAATTACCAAAGCCTCCTGTGCCAAAACAATGTGTTAGCCGAGCTAGCTGGACTTTGTCGCCATCTAATAGGGGCGTCTTCAACACGCCGTTTGGTATACACTGTTTTGTGTCGGAGGCTCTCTCACATAGCTCAGGCGAGTCTAGCTCATTTCTTCCGCAGCCAGCACTCCCGGAACTCCCAATTGCACCAAGTCGACTTGCGATACTTTTAAACATATGCCGCTGCTTGAAGATAAACACAGCAATCTCGGGCCCAATTCACCTCGTCACCTGGGCCTCAAAACCCTCGACAGTCTCTAAATAAGGGTGTCTAGGGCAGCTCTTTCGAGACCGACGTTTGATCCGCCTTGAGAGCATTCCCAAGACTCACTCAAACCTGATCAAGTAGCTCTTTTCAGTCACGTGATACTGGAAATGGCTGAAGCCAAACTTCAGTCATCGCCATTGGGAGCCAGGAACAGCCCTCGGATACGCAGAAATGACGACAGTCCATCCAGACAGCTGCAATTCGAGTTGGAACGTGCTTTTAGCCAGATCCACCTACACGAAACCGAACGCCAAAAGCTTCATGTCTATCAGCGGAGACAACAGCAAGAGGAACTCGACGCCAGAGAGCTCGCTCAGGCAGAGGCGCACAGGGCAGAGCTGAATGTTGCCAACGCACAACATGAGGTCGTCCGACGACAAGCCGAAGCTGTACTTCAGGCATATATCAAGCAGGAAGAGGAAGAAAGGCGACGCCGCGAGGAGGAACAGAGAAGACGAGAGGAGGAAGAAAGACGGAAGCTGGAAGAGGACCTAGCACGAAGACGAGCCGAGGAGGAGCGTAAAGCCCGAGAAGAGAAAGACCGGCGTGAACGAGAAGCGCGAGCAAAAGCGGAAGCCGAGAGATTGGCGATTTACGAAAAGCAAAAGGCTGAAGCAGAAGAGAAGCGGCGTAGAGAAAAGGAAGAAGTTGAAAGTCGACAGCGTGAAGAACAGGAAAATGCAGAGCGAGAAGCTGCTTTGAGAAAGGAAGAAGCCGAGAAGCAGGCCGCCGCAGCCAAAGTACCAGCTCCTGGGCCCTCAGCACGCCAGCTCCCCCAAAGCTCAGGCCGGCCCTCGAGTTCGGCCCAGGAATTGGAGAGCCTGCACCGGAGTTATTTGACCATCCATAAGAAGCTCAAAGATTTCCGAAGAGAGTTCTGGGAGAGGGTCAAGAAGGATCCATCCTTGAAACCTCATGTAGGAGACATGCGACGAGCCATGCGGACAAGCGTCGGGCAGCTCACGGACGACAAAGTTGGCAACAAGAAGGCGGTAAGTACCAATGCATAGTATTCTATGCAGGGCGTCGGGCACTAACTTGTGCTGCAGCATGACCGAGTGAAGATAACATTACTGAGAGCTCTGAATGAACTTCCCTCGCCCCCCGTCTCGGTCAACGACTACCTTCCTCCACACCTCTCGCTTCTTGATGGAGGTAGAACGACCGTGCCATCACTGGTATTGTACCTCCTGTCCTTCTTCAGCAAGGCTATCATCAACACCTTTGTGGGTGAATGCGCAGTGAACCCTAAAGCTGCCGAACCTGTCGGCACTCTCGTGGCGCAAATCTTCTCAATGACCGAGTTGCAGTTTGCCAAGAATGTCGCGTCAGAGAGTTCAGACCCTCAGTTCAGTACGTCCACATCGACGCAGAAGCCGACGACTGTCTCGCTTATCTCGGTCCTGATGTGCAAGTTCCACGCAACTGCGCCGGCTCTCTTCGGTATCCATGGCTCCGAATCCACGTCGGCGGGAAGATTGCGACTCGGATGGCGGTTGGAGAAACTGTCAGACGAAAAGAAAGCCTTCGTGACGGAGAACAAACACTATGACCGCCTGACTGGGCTGGGGGTCGGCTACGCCTCCATCGCTCTACGCAACTTCTCAAAGGCTAAAGTCCAAAATCCCTGGCCACCGGTCCATTACTGGTCGAGTCTGGCACATATCGTCAACACACCTGCTTCAGAAGTCCAGACTAGTCATCTGATCCTCCTGAAGTCGATGCTGGAGAACAACGCGGTCGACCGATTTGTCCTTTTCTTTGGAGCTGCCGGCATAGCAGCATTACGCCAAGCAGCCCTTGACTTTCCACGTTCGTTACCTCGAGAATTGCAGGAAAAGCCTGTGAGTAAAGCATTGGGTTTGATGGTTGAATCGTGGAAGACCGAGAAGCATTTCTCGCTGGAATAGGCTAGGCACCCTCGAGGAACGTAGGGGGAAAGGGCGGTTCCATTCATGGGGAGAAGAGAAAAAGAGCCTAGCCACAAGCCTCACATACAGCTACCAGGATAAGACATAAGACCTTGGGAATGCTGCATTTCTACGGATCGGCATCAAGCCTATACCAACAGGACGAAATGATGGAAATGGCCGGGTGCGAGGGTGTGTGTGTGTAGGTAGAAAGACGCAGTAAATACGAATCCAATACGGCGAGCCTGGTCATCCCATCCCGTGCTTAAGGAGATGCGTACTCCAATCCAACTCTTCCCATTAACATAACGGTCCGAGGAGCACAATGACAGTGTGGAGTAGTAGCACGGAGTACGGAGTAGAATAAAGGTACATAGTATGGACTCGGATTCAGGCCCGCAGCTCTAATCAGTCCAACTGTATCCGTAGGCCAGGCGCGGAAGAGTGGATCAGGACCGATCAGCCAGTCGCCGGTCTCTGTTCCGGGCGAGGCTGCGGCGAGGCCTGTTGCGCGTCCTCGACGACGAGAGAATGGCTCATCGAGCAGGCCTGGGCTTATACATACCTCACACCTTATACCTCGCACCTAGTTCCCCGGACCAGACCTTGGATCATCCTCACGCACTAGGTCAAGGCCGGAGCCGGAAAGCGGATCTACTCTGTGTGTCTCTCCATCCCGTCGGATAGGGGGTTGCGCTAGGTCAATTCCGACCGGGACCGGGCCCGGCTTCAAGCATGGTGAGTGGGAGTCGTACCGGCACTGGCACTGGCACTGGCACTGTATCAATGTGGTGTGGTGTGGTGTGCTCTGCTCTGCTCTGTACTGTAACGAGTCCCAATCCCAACGAGAGCAATAGTAAGTGAGAGTTAAGTACAATGAATACATCAAGTCAAGTGAAGTCAACCCAACTCAAGAGCAGGAGCAGGAGCAGGAGCAGGAGTAGAAGCAGGAGTAGGAGGTCTAGTTCATATACACCAGGCCAAATATATCCTCTCTTATACTCTGGTCTGGTCGGGTCTATTCTATTCTATTCTATCCATCCATCTATCTATATATCTTTCTGTGCGCCATCAATGCTGACATGCTCGTACATCTCATGTCATGTCGTGTGGAAATCAGTGTTTTGTTTTGTCCACTGTATAGTATAATGCCTGATTTGAGTAGATCAGATGGAAGCCAACACCTGCCCCTTCCCCTGCGCCTGCGCCTTTGTCGCAGCCAAGAAGCGCTCACTGAAGGGATAATCCGTGTAGCCTTTCGGACTGAACGGGGTGTAGAAGGTAGAGCGATCATAGGGATTCAAGTCGATGTGCTCGTGGATGCGGAACGGCAAGTCCGGGGTGCTGATGAAATACCGGCCGAAGGCGACCAAGACGTTGGCGTCCTTGTATCTCTGAACAGCCTGCTCGGCCGTTTCGGGAGTGAAGCCACCGGCGAGGATGATGGGGTTCGGGGTCCCCCAGCGCTCGACAAAGACGTCGTTGCGGCTGGCCAGGGTGCGGTAGACGTGGTCGCTGGGGTCGACTTCGGCGGCACTGACGCGGCTCTCGACGAGGTGCAGATAGGCCAGGTCGAGCTTTTTCAGTTCGGAGATGATGTGTAGAAACTGCGGGACGATGACATCGGCACTCTCAGATCCGCCGTCGGTCTCGGTCCACGGCGACAGGCGCACCGCGACTTTCTTGCTGTCGCCGACCGCGGCGATGACGGCCTGGGTGACCTGCACGCCGAAGCGCGACCGCCTCTCCACGCTGCCGCCGTACTCGTCGGTGCGCGTGTTGAGGCTCGCGTGCAGGAACTGGTCGATCAGGTAGCCGTTGGCGCCGTGCAGCTCGACCCCGTCGAAACCCGCCTCGACCGCGTTGCGCGCCGCCGTGGCGTAGTCGCCGATGAGGTCTTGGATCTCGTCAACGCTCAGGGCCTCGGGCATGTTACGCTGGCCGCCCAGAGTCACCGCCACCGCGCTGGGCCCCTTCACCGCATACGGGCCGCCTTCGGCGCGTGCGAGCACCGATGCCACCGCGCGGCGGCCCAACGCCCAGAGCTGCACGAAGATCGAACTGCCTTGGGCGTGTACCGCGTCCGTCACTTCTTTCCACGCCGCAATCTGTTGCGCGTTCCAGATCCCCGGCGCGTGGTCCAGCCCGGACGCCCGTGGGCTGACGAACGTCGCCTCAGTGATGAGCAGCGTGCCGGGCGTCGAGGCCCGTTGCCTGTAGTATTCCGTCACCAGCGGGAGCGGCACATGCTTGTCGTCCGCCCGGAACCGCGTCAGTGGCGCCAGCACGATGCGGTGGCTGACCTGCACGTTGCCGACTTTGAGCGGGGAGAAGAGTTTGTCCTGATCCTGAGCCATGTCGACGCAGGCAAAGGCGAGAGACAATGTTCTGGCTTGATTGAAATTGAGGCTGGCGTGGGTTTTGCTGTCTGGTTTGTCCTGTTGGGCCCATTTTAATGCCGGCATATAGTATACCTTATATACTACTGGACGGGATGCTGTATCTGTGGCATCTTCGGACCCATGCGCTCGCATCATCAGGCCCTATGGAGTAGCTGTGGCCCAGATGGTGGATGTTGTATATGAAAATATCTCCCAGGCTTACAAATCAGAAACCCGACTCCGTAGGCGGGAATTACAGTAATTACTGTAGCGCCCAGTCTGGTCTCCAAAGGCTCCTTGCTAAAAGCCCCCTAAGCCTAAGGAGCCCTGACATGTTTGACCCTAAGAGGCGAGCCCCGACCTGAAAGAGACAAATAGCTGGCTTGAACGTATATACGTGCCGTTGTCGTTGCCCGTTTACAAACCAGAAGTCATGATCCGTCGCCGAGCGAGTTGATCCTCCTCCAACGACAAAGAGAAGCCGTCACCATACAAGCGTCTGGTTCAGCTACGGGGTGATGCAAAGCACCACGTCGTTGACGGGCAGAAGACTCCCAATAGGCCAGAGAGAAGTGGCAACCTCTGGTCAAATGAATCGACGCAGAGCCTCCAACAGAGGTGAGGCCCTACTCAAGGAGAGAATACCTCCGCACTGGCGAGAGGTTCGCGAAGGTGATCATAGCAACACAACTCTTGTGCCCTGGAATCAGGCTTGATGTTATGATGCCCAAGGGTTGTTGCTCATTCGTTTTTCTCAACAGTCCTAAATCGAACAAATGAATGACATCCCAGTAACAAAGAGGACGCCTAATCATTCATGACGACGGGAGCTGGTCACAACGAGGTATGAGGGCCCCGTCACGGGGGGTCATACCATCACGACCTGTCAAGAGACATGGATTCCACCCAGTAATGTGGCGACTTCGCAATACTCCAGACTCGCGTGTAGATGTGCTAATGGCTCGTCTTTCATTGAAGCTTCAGTGCTAGTCAGCCTATTTTGCAATTGCACAATTAAACAAGAAAGATTATGGTGCCCTGAATCAGCCCAGTACTCGCCAACTCCCCTCTGTAGTCGACTCCGTGGTCTCATTATGCGTCTCCTTTGGAATAACAGAAATGACTCTTTTTAATCGAGATCGTCTGATTCGGAGCTGAGAGAGCAGAAGGTTGGCGATAGCAAGAAACGTGTTGAGGATTGGCGCTACCGGATGCAGCGAGGTCAAGCTTCACCTTGAAATGTCTGTCTTGTCTTTCTTCATGACGACCTTGGTACGTGTGGATCGTGTATTCGCAGAGTCATATGAAGGTCAACGCGTAGGAAACACAACGCCTCAGAAGGCCTAGCCTAGTGACGGTGCTGCAAACCGACAAACAGGGCTGTAGCAAAAAGATGGACCATCCTAGAGCAACATCTGAAGCAATGTGTAGGTGAAGGTGAAGGTGAAGGTGAAGGTGACACGAGATGCAATTAGGATAGTAGGATAGTAGGCACCTGCAGGGTATAGGTGCCTGGAGTCTAAAGCGGCGACACGGTCTGGGTCTGATTGCCTGCGGTTTGCCAAGCCGTCACTCATTATTCTGCACTGCAGTGCACCCGCACCACCCGAGATTCTTCAGTTCATCTGCGCTGCGCTGCGCTCCCCTGCCTTGTCTGCACTGGACCGCAGGCGCCGAAAACTCCCCGCTTTTATCCTTCCTCCCTGTTCTCGCTTTGTCTTTCTCCCCTTGTCGAGTCTCACTCTTCTGTATTCGATCACCAACCCGTCACATTGTCCTCGATCTGTCCCATCGGCCCTGTGTCATCCTGCATCCCGCATCCCGACCTTTGTTGTTCGCTGTCTTCCGCGCCCCCGAGGATGACTCTGACCTGACCTTCCCCGATCCGATACCGAACACAATGCTTCAGACTCAGCATCTTTATTCCCACCAGCAACAATACAGCCAGCATGATCAGTCTGCTTGGCAACACAGCGGTCCGCAGCAAAGCCATCAACCCTTGAGTCATGGGCAACAGCAGGCCCAGGCCGCCGCAGCGGCAGCCGCTGCCGCTCAACAACAGCACTATAACCGTATCGCGATGAATCAGAACCATACTTCCTCGCACGCGCAGAACGCCAATCGCCAGGCATCGGGTGACAACGCGCAAAACTCGATTGTGACCTCCTTGACCACCATGAACGAACAGGGTTCTCCCGGCATGGAACAACAGCTCTCAGAAGAGAACCGCAAGGTGTTACAATGGGTGGCGGAACTGATGGACCCCAACCGGAGAGAGGGCGCTCTCATGGAGCTGAGCAAGAAGAGGGAACAAGTGCCCGAACTTGCTTTGATTCTCTGGCACAGTTTCGGCGTCATGACCAGCTTGCTTCAGGAGATCATCTCCGTCTACCCTCTGCTGAATCCGAGCCAGCTCACTGCAGCCGCTAGTAACCGCGTTTGCAACGCGCTGGCCTTGCTTCAGTGCGTAGCAAGTCACAATGAGACTCGGGGTCTTTTTCTTCACGGTGAGTGGTCTGGCCGAGTGTCTCTACAGTGTACGGTACTAACGCGCAACTAGCTCACATTCCCTTGTTTCTCTACCCTTTCTTGAACACCACGTCCAAGTCGAGGCCGTTCGAGTATCTGCGGCTTACCTCTCTGGGGGTCATAGGTGCTCTGGTGAAGAACGAGCCGTCCTCGAGTGTCTCGATGAACCCGGCCGGAACTCCCGGAGCCCCGGGCAATGCCAGCAACTCTTCTCCCACCATCAACTTCCTCCTCACCACGGAGATCATCCCCCTGTGTCTGCGCATCATGGAGACAGGCAGCGAGCTGTCCAAAACGGTTGCCATATTCATCGTTCAAAAAATCCTACTCGACGATACAGGCCTCGGGTATATATGTGCTACCTACGAGAGGTTTTATGCAGTGGGGACCGTTTTGAGCAACATGGTCATCGGACTGGTTGAAACGCAGACCGTGCGGCTCCTGAAACACGTTGTCCGATGTTTTCTGAGGTACGTTGATCGTCGCGACCGACTGCTCCCAGACCTTTCCACTGATCCCTGGACTAGACTGAGCGATAACAACCGAGCCCGTCAAGCGCTGCGGCAGTGCCTGCCAGAACCTCTCCGAGACGCAACCTTTTCCAACGTTCTCCGAGACGATGCCGCCACCAAGCGATGTCTTGCACAGCTGCTCATCAACTTGAGCGACACAGTCGCCGACTCACAGAACGACCAGTTTGAATGATTTCATGAATGTGAGCCGTGTGCAAGGCTCACATCGATTTGCCGTGCCAAGATAGAGGATGACACATGATACCCTTCATCAGGATGACGAATTTTTTTCCAGCATTGCGACCGGCGATTGATGATACAGGGGGTATAACATGAAGCAGGGGAATTTGGAGTACTTGAAAGACTCTCATTCTTTTTTGTTTTTTGCGACAGGACCTGCAAACTCAGATTAGCATAGACCTTATACCCCTGGAAGCCTGAAAGCCACGGCGGTCTCTCCGTTCCTAACAAGATCCGGTGGTATTCTTGGTGAGGGTGGAGGACCGATCACTGGAGAGGATTGGAATGCAAGAGGAAAAGTCTTTATTCAAAG